TCTGCAATAATTCTTTGCGTTTCTAAGCTCTGGATGTACTCCGGTATTAAATTCTCCATTGACTGAATTTGGCCAATCAATGCAGGGCCTGTTGCTTCGGGTAATTGCGGCGGTTCCTTGATATTTGGTACCAAAACCTTTGAAACACCAGTGTGATGCGGGTGAAGGGTTATTTGGAGTTGAGGGAGACTGAAAAATAAGAAATTCGGTTCACAAAAATTTTCTTTAAATAAACCTTAATTCCTTCAAAAATGTGTAGACAATTTTGTGCTGAAAGAGGAAGTGATTCACAATTTGGAAGAAGCGCCTTTGGCCCATCACCGATTAACTCGTGATGAGAAGCCATTGAGAATTCATTTGGACAGACAGAATTCTTTAAAAAAATAATTTAAAAATATTCGAAATTTCGGCCGGACCTCGCTATAAGATACCCCCATTATTGTATACACCTCTATTTAAGAAAAGCTCATTAAAAGGTTAGTTGGCTACTTGGTGGGTGAAACTGCCCAGACAACCCCTCCTCTATTTAAGAGGCTATTTTCCCTCCAAAAAGGGTATCTTATAGTAAAATCCAACTAATTTTCGAACCTTTAAATTATCACAATCCTCACGACAAAGAGAAACAATATCAGATCCAGAAGGCAAACTTCCCAGTGAATTAATGGAAGGCTCACATACTTTAAACATGTGATAACAAGCTGTTTGATGCATGTAATGTTTGCATTGTTCTGAAATGCCTGGGACAACTCGGACCTGAAAAATAAAAATTTTGAAATTTTTTTGAAAAAAAATTTTCTAAGATTTTTTTCAAATTTTCAAAAAATTTTTTGAAAAAAAATTTACTGAAAAATTTTTGAATTTTCAAAATTTTTCTTTGAAAATTTTTTCAAAAATAAAATCAACAAACGGTCATTAACGCCGCCAACAAATCCTTTTCTGCATCATAAATACTTTCTCTATCGACCAAAACCTTCACATGTTTTCCTTCAAGAAAGGAAGAACAAGCCTCTCCTCTATAGACAATACAATCTCCTTTTCTAATTGTTTGTCCATCTAACCAACGTCCATCCGAATCTGTTCCTCTTCTTAAAGGGACATAGCCTGGACCTGCTGCAGTGTTGGGAACTCGCCAGGAATTGTCTGGGTGTGAGTGATGGTCGTTATTGTTGTTAACATTCATCTAAAAAAACGTCATTATAAGATACCCTCTAGGGGTTGAAAAGTCTCTTATAATGAGGTCTCTTATAATGAGGTATCTATTAAATAGAGGGTATCATTTAGGTAGCCTCCAAAATTCAGCGGCTATCCAACTCTTAAAAAGCGTCTCTTAAAAAGAGGAGTATCTTATATTGACTGATACCCTCTATTTAATATACACCTTATTAATAGACACATCAATGGGGTCTATTAAACAGGTATTGCCTGGGAGCTCCTCTCCCACACAATAAACAGCCTAAAAAAGACTGTCTTTAAAATAGAGGTATTAAATAAAAACAACCTCATCATCCTGATAATTATCGTAAAATCCTTCGTAATCGTTGTTTTCCTCGTCTTCACCCAAATCTTCTTCTAGTTGCTGTTTTTGTTTTAAATGGTGTCGATGATGACCACGTCGACCTCCTTCTTCAGTTGGTCTTTTTTTGCTGTTTGAAGAAAAAGTTGAAATTGGTTGTTGGGAAACCTTATAATGAGAATTTTTTAAAAAGATTTTTGAAATTTTAGAAAACTTTTTTTTGAGAGAAAAAGAAATGACAAAAATAAAAAAAAATATTGAAAGGATAAAAATTTAAAGAAGAAAAAAAGAGGATTTTGTGAGTGCTAGAAGAGTGGCTCTATGTAGTATTTTTATTTTAATTTATTTGGAAGGGTCATTGATTAATTGTTATTGTGTCCCAATGTTGGTGAGAATAAAAAAAATGAGGAAAATGAGGAAAAAAACATCGATTTTTGTTTGTTATAAAAAAGGTTGGAAAAAGCTGCAAAATTAAAATAAAATTATAGGAAAAAAAGTTCCGAACCAACGCGAGCTAACTCCGTCGCAGACCATAACTTGGGCTAAAGTTATGTATTGTTCGATTCAGCTCCTCGAGATGCGCTGAAAACTAGCAGAGCCTCAGGGGTTTGGAAATTTTAACCCAGGTTATAGACCTGCGGCATATAGCGTTGCGCCAGAATGGTTCGCGGCGGAGTTGCTCTTCTAAAGGAAATTATTTTTTAAGTTTTAGCTTAAAAGCAACGGAATTTTTTTAATTATTTAATTAAATCTTAATGGATTATTAATGAATAAAAAGAGGGAAGATTTTTGACCAAATATCCATCCATCTGTTATACTTTATTAAAAAAAATTTTTTTTTGTATTCTTCATCGATTATGGGCACTACTACGAATGGAAAAAAATTGTAGAAAATACGAGGAACAGAAAAAGGAGGAAGAGAAGAAGGGAGATTGTTGAGTGGCGGTGAGTGATTTATATTTAATAAATTACTTTTTTTTGAAAAAAAGTGTTCGCCGATGACAAGATTTACTTTATTTAGAAATAAATATAAAAATAAATTTTTTGAGAAGAAAATAGAGAAGAAAATAAAAAAACAGTCAAAAACCTATATCAAAAACCTATAAGATATCCACTTGGGGCTGAAAAAATCGTAGCTTATAATGAGGTGTCTGTTAAATAGAGGGTATCGCTTGGGAAGCTCCCTTCCTTCCTAGTGGGCTAACCTAATTTTTAAAGAGCGTCCATTAAATAGAGGTGTACCCAATATTGGGGGTATATTATAGTGGGGTTCCTTATAATGAGGTTTTATCTTAAATAGAGGTGTATGTTAAATAGAGGGTATTGTCTAGACAAACACCCCAAGAGTTAGTCATTTCTAAATAGTGTCTATTAAATAGAGGTTTACGCATCTTAATGAGGTTTCGGCTATTTTTTAATTAAATTTTAATTTTGTGGCCCTTGGAATGAGCCAAAATTCAATAAAAATGAGTGTCTCTCTCTCTATTTTCTATTAGAAAAAAATTAAAAATGCTTTCAATAAATGCAAAAATGGCCAACAACAAAAAGAGGCTTTTGGTCATTTTTTAGCAATATTAAATTTATTGAAAGAATTTTTCATTCTCTCAAAAATGCATTAAAAAAGAGGTTGGAAATTGAAAAAAAAATTTTTTTTTGAGTGTACAGATGTGAATTTAAATAAAATTTAAATTAAAAATAAACAAACAAAAATAGAGAATTTAATTAGTGGAAGAAGAAAGAAAAAGGCCGAAAACTAGTTTAAAAAAATTAAAAAAATTCTTGTGTTAATTTAGAAAATTAATTTTTTAATTTTCTTATCAGTTTCCACTAGAAACAATAATAATAAATTTATTTTTTTTATTTTAATTACCCCTACTATTTTTATTTTACTAGTCATACATTCCCCTTTATTTAGCTTAATTTCCCATGAGAGATTTTTTTGTCAACTTAATTGGAGGAATAAAAATTTAAATATTCTTTAGATAGAATAATTAAATTAATTTTTTATTGAAAATTTCATAGAACTTCATTACAAGATACCCCATTGTAATTAGAAATATCGTGCCTTATAATGAGGTGTCTCTTACATAGAGGGTTTTCTTAAGCAGCTCCCCCAATCTAATAGACAACCAACTCTTACGGAGCGTATCTTAAATGGAGGTGTATTTAATATTGGGAGTACTTTATAATGAGGTTTCCTAATATTGGGTGTATCTTATAACGAGGTTATTTTGTTTTTAAATAAAACTCCCCACCCTAAGCACAGCAGTACTATTAACACTTCCAGCAGCATTGCTAGCCGAGCACTGATAATACCCAGAATCTAATACATCAAGTTCCACAATAACCAACTTGCTAGTCATTTCTTTGTTTTTAAGGCGAAATCTTCTACTTTTCTCTAATGGGGCTAAATTCTTTAACCAACTGAAAAAATTGGAATTTTTTTAATTAAAGAAAATTTTATTCCCTACGTAAATTGAAGTGGAAGAGGAGAACCAGTTGCTTCACAACGCATCCTAACTTCACCTCCAATAGGTCTAGACATATTTCGAAGTCCTCCAGTTAGGCGAATATAAGGCCTTTTGCCTGTATTTGCGTCTGTCATTCTAGAAAAATAAAAATATAAGAGACTCTCGTTATAAGAGACCCTCTTGAAGCTACAGACAAACCTCCCTATAAGATACTCCCAATACTACTCAGACACTAGGGTTGTTCCCCGAGGGGAGAGGGATGGGGGACGGAGAACAACCCTAATAGAAACACCCCCTATTTAAGAGAAGCTCGAAAATTTGGTGCTCTTGAAAATAGGGGAGCTGCCTAACTAGTTAAAATATCCCCAATGTATGTCCAATTTTCTCAGCTCCAAGGGAGTCCCTTATGGGGAGGTTTTTGACTGTATAATGACATCGAATGAATATTCCCATTTGTGTTCTATTTCCTATTTTTACTCTTTATTTTCTAGTCAGAAAAATGGGGGCAATTATGTATACTAAAAACTATTTGGGATAATCCACAGACTAAAAACGAAAAATTAAAAAAAATTTTTGAATAAAAAAAGGCAATTTTTGGACTTTCTTTTTGCAAAAAAATCTCAAAAATTTCAAAAAAAATAAAAGAGAAAGTTGCGGCATTTTTTTTACTTTTTTTTGTTCGCGCCACCTATTTTCACTTAAAATTCATTAATCAATTGTAAAAAAATATAACACATATAAAATCCCTTATAGCTAACGTTATTTATGAGCTGATGACATGAAAGGAAGGAAAGAGGAGGGGGAAGGGTTTTTCTAGAGGACATTGACAAGAAAAACAATTTGCTTCCTCATAAATTTTCGGGAGTCCGGTCGATGAATGTTTGAAGAAAAAGGCACTGCGACATTTTGCCAATAACATGTTTTGCCAATAAGGGTAAAAATCGACATTTTGTCACTAAGTTTGTTGACAATATGGGAATTTTTAGCCTTATTGGCAAAATGTGGAATTGGTGAAATATGGAAACAAGAAGAAAAAGAGGAGGAAGAGAGGGGAAAGGGAAGAGTAGTGGAGAGGAGGAAGTGGCCTATAAATTAGAGCAATGGGAAAGTAGGACGAAGAAGAATGGAAAAAAGAGGAAGGATTTGCCCAAGCCTTGTTGTCATCATTATTATAATAAATTTTCTGTTTTCTCTGCCGTCTCTCATTTTCCCCTTATCTCTCTCCAACTTTTCTCTAATTTTCTCTTCATCAATATTTGTCCATTTTAGACCATTGGCAATTTGACTGCCTCTAGAAAATTTTTCGGCAAGTGAGAGGAGGGCTATTGAGTAAAAAGAGAAAACTGAAGTGGCCTTAAGAAAAATAAGTGGACATTGAGAGAAACAAAATATTTTTTTCCTTTTTTTACTTCCTTCCTTCAAAATAAACATACTTCTCTTCTCTTCAACAGAGGAAACTAGCTTATCGCTCCAGTGCATCATTCAATTTTCTATATAGATTTAAGGTTTTTCTCTACACTTTGACGAATGGGAAGAATGCGAAAAACTCATGAAAAGGAAAAAAGTAGAAGAATAATGGGTCGAAAAATTCGAAAAGACTCGAAACTTGTCGAAAAAACCTCGAATCGAACGCCCGATTGTTCTTATGGACATTTTGGATCGAGAAAAGACTTTTCATGTCTAAACAATGAACGTATCGGTGCCTAGAAAAGGATTGGTGCCTAGAACTAGAGGTCGGCAAAATCACATTCACGTGATCCCGTAATGGGACTCTTCAAAATATTTACGGGACAGGATTCCGTGGGATTAATCCCGTAAATCCTGTACTCCCGATAATCCCGTTATTTGCTTAAAATACGGGATTTAGGTACCGGATTCCGTAAAATCCCGTACGGGATCCTGTCCCGTGCTGACCTCTACCTAGAACGTTTTGGCGTCTAGACAAACTAGGCGGAATGGGAGCGCCAGCCGACTTTGATGGCTACAACTTTATTTAGCTTACCTAGATCCGATTGCAACTTATATTTTCGAAAGCCCTCGATTGCTCCTAGAAAATTGACATTTTGATGGCTAGAAAAAAATCGAGGGGATTTCTAGTCTTTTCATTTCTCTAACTACTCTCCTTATTTTGTGTACTATTTCTCTTAGTATTAACCGTAAAAATTTTTTAGCGAAAAAACATCAGAAAACTCACGTAGAATTGTAATCCCCATACACAACGTCATAATCTCCAGCAGGTTCAATAAAAAGCCCATCATCATAAGGCTTGGGACCCATTTTTTAATGTAGTCAATTAAATTTTGATTAAATTCATGTCGTTAGGTGTGGCATAATTAATAAAAGAAAATAAATTAAATTTAAAAAAATTTCTGAAAAAAAATATTTAGGGTGTGGTTATTTGTTGTTGTTAACCTTAAAATAAATAAAAACGTAAAAGTAAGTCGTTCCACGTCTTGTTCAGTTTTTTGGGTAATAAAAAAAGAGCTGATTTTAAAGAATAAATTGAAAATAGAGGTAAAACCGAGTCGAGATACCGAACAAAAATTAAGGTTATACAGATCAATATTTATCGAAATATCGATTCTTGTATGACCCTACCAGCCCGGTCTCTAATTAAAGCAATTTTTAAAGCTTCGCGCCGAAATAGCTGCGCCAAAATTGCAAATTTTAAACAGGTGGAAAGCGAGCGAGGTGACGATCAGTGTACCACAACCTGATTTTAGACCGATTAGAGTAAGTCGAAAGGTTTTCGAAAGGGCGCGCGAATTACTTAGAGATTCTTTTCATAACTAGGCCGAGTTGATTCGGACGGTGTTGCGACCAGGGCTGGACGCAATTGACGACAATACAATTAACCGACAATCGCGTTTTTCACTCTCTCGCTAGAGGTGTTAAAAATTTAATTGAGAAGGGGTAATTATTGGAAGGAGGGAGTAATTAATCAAGGAAATTTAAAGGAAATTAATTTAAAAACCATCAATTTTTAACGATTAGAAAAAATTCTTTTTCAGTGGTCATTTTGTCTAACTAAACTAAAAAGGATTGCCAATTTTTCATGGATTTTGTGAACTAGTAAATGGAAGGTTTTGTGAAAATGATGGCAAAAGTACCACTTGAAAAATAAGTAAAAAGCAAGAACAAATGAGTGGTTGATGAGAAGACTAGAAAAAAATTAGAGTAGAGAGAGGGTGCGCGAAAACAAGCAATTCTCGTTTATTAAAAATTATTTATATTTTTTCAAGTGTTTTTAGCTAAAAATTTTGGTTATTAAAAAATAGGTTAAATAAATTTTAATATTACAGATAAACCTCATTATAAGGGTTGGGGGTCCGGCCCGAAAGATCGAGTCAAGCATCGAATTTTGGTTTGAAAAAAACTCGGTCAGTCCGGTCCGATAAAAATGGGACCCGAAAAATGACTCGAACGTCGAAAACCCCAACCCTACTCATTATAAGATAACCCATTGGAACTGAAAAATCGTCTATTATAATGAGGGTGTAACGCTACAGCTCTCCCAACCAGTGGATCTACCGAATTTTAAAAAGCGTCTCTTAAATAGAGTTGTATCCAGTATTGGGAGGTATAAAGAGGTTTTGCATCAGGGATGTGCGCCAAAATTTTTCATGTGCGCCAAACGCAATTTTCAAATTTTAAAAACACGCAAAACGCCAAAACGCCAAAAATCTGCCAAAAAAGGACGCCAAACGCCATGACGCTCAGTCCTGCAGTGGATCAGGCAGTTCTCCTAACCAGTGGCTCTAACCGAATTTTAAAAAGCGTCTCTTAAATAGAGGTGTATTTAATATGGGGAGTATCTTATAATGAAGGTATCTTATAAAGAGGTTATGCGATATGAGTATATCTTAAACAGAGGGTATCGCTTAAGCAGCTACTCCATCCTGTGATAACAAAATAAAAAAAGCGTCTACTAAATAGAGGGTATCTAATATTAAAGGTGTCTTATAACAAGGTTCAACAGTAATTGTAATTTAGATTTGTTTCCCTTTGAAGAGAAAATATTTATTTATTTTTAGCTGTTAAAAATTGTTTAGTTGCTAAGGCCAACAATTCAACTATGCTTTTGTCCATTTTACAGCTAAACACCTTTAAATGCCGTAAAGATAAAAAAGCTTTTAAAGAAAGGAAATTTTATTTTAACCTCTCCCCTCCCCCTTTATTTTACTTAAAAGAATATTTTTAAAAAATAAAAATGCAAATCCCTTCACTATCTCAAACAAAACAAGAAAAAAAAAATTTAAAATTTTCGAATAAAATTAAATTAAAAAAAATTAGGTAGAGAGTAGGGGATTGGACACAAACGTCGAAAACTAGAGGCGAAAATCGGAGACCGCCGAGCTATAACTTTGTTCAAAATTGTCGAATCCGTGGCGCCCTGGTATGGTTCGATTCAGCTGGTCGAGCCGCATCGAACCATAGCTCGGCGGTAAATTGGGCTCGCAGTACATTGGGGTTTGGCCCGGACAATGACTTTACAAAAATCTAGGTTATCGAGAACTAAATTTTTCCGAGATCTCGATTCTCGTACGAACCCTCAATGTCGGTTAACAGTCTCCAAATAATTATTTTTAAATTATTAGACTAATTTTTTTTAATATAAAATAATTTTTATTTTATTTTATATATCCATCCATTAATGTCAAAATAAATTCAATTTTTAGTTTATTCTCTAATTGGATTATTTTATTTTTTGGGTATTTTAATGTGAATATATGTACATAGGTATATATAATAATTAGACATAACAAAAATAAAAAATACAACATAATAAAGTCGGACCTCGTTTGTACCCCTTGGGGTTGCACTCGAACGTTTGGGGGGGGGCGGGTGTTTGGGGTACGGGGTTTTCAAAATGTTTCGGGACAGGGAACGGGCCAAGGAGAAGTGTGAAAAAATCTTTCGAGAAGGGGGTTGGGACGCAACTCTAGTTTGTTGGGGTTGAAAGGGTGAACGTAAACTGAGAGTTAAAATTGGGGGGTATGGTCTATACAGCTCCCCAACTATTTCTCCTAACTATTGGTCGACTTAAAAGAGGTGTGTGCACAATTAGAGAGTGTATGTAAATTTGAGTGACGTAAAATAGAGATCTGACGTCTAAACGAGATTCTACTTTTAAAATATGTATACGAGATGAAAGGTGGTCGAAATCGCCAATTTTCCCGCTAGCTGTTAAAGTGTTAAAAAAGGATATTGTGGTGGTTGGGTGAACTTAAATACATATTAGTTCAGAAAAAAGAAGAAAAATTGTCTAGAAAAAATAATATGCGTCAAAAAAATGTTTCAGAAAAAGCCACTAATTTATGCTAAGTAAAAACACGTTAAAAGAGCTGGTAAAAAATAAGTTTAAAAAAATTAGTGGGTGTAAAAAATAGCAACATTTTTCCGTTATTTTTGGGGTAAATTTTGGAGGCTTTTTTAACCAAAAATAAAATTTTTTTTCAAGAAAAAATCTCGGCAGGTGGCCATGTTTTTTTGTCAAGAATTAATGTAAAAAAGAAGAAAAGATTATTATTATTTAAACACAAAGAATAGGGGCAATTTTGGGTATACAAATTTTTGGCATTGAACAACAAAAATTGAGGGAGAGGGGGGGGATATATAATTGCTAACAAGAGAGAATGAACAAAAATTTTTAGTAACTAAATTTATGAAAAAATAAAAAATAAATAAAAATTGTTTTGAATGGCGGGAGGTTAAAAAGCTCGCAATTTTATTTTCCCTTTTGTGCCAAGAGCAAAAGAAATTATTTTTACCTAGCTTTGGGGTAGAAACTTGGTCCTTTTAAAGGTTTTTGCTAAAAGAAGGTTATAGCCTGAGGAATCGTCATGGTCGGTGATTTAAGGCCCCAAGCTTTTAGTGGCCCTTTAAGTAGACCTTCAATTTAAGGCAGCACCCCAGGCCTCCAGAAGCGGGAGTGTCGGGTTTCGTGGTTGGTAGATCCTTCGAGGTTAGGGCTGGGGTTATGGACACGGGGTGCTACCCTACTTCAATTCTACACAAAACTCAGTTTAGTGTAAGCTCTTAAGTTGGGGACTATTAAAGGGAGGTACCTCCATTTTAATGTACAACTACTCATTTTAGTGTACGCTTATTCCTATTTCAACTAGAGACAGGAGAGGGGGTGTCGTACTAGAATCGAGCTCCCGAGAAAATTCTCGATCACGATAACAAAGACTTTCGATCGAGATCTCGTCTCGGTCCGGTCTCTAATTTCAACACTCAAGGGCGTACAATATAGCGAGAGTCTGAGCCAATATGATGGCTACAAGTATGTCCAACCTTCTAATTAGGGCCAACCACCATTAGAAAAAAGGTACACTAAACTAGGATTTATTAAGATTTTATATTTTTGTTCTCATCAAAAGTTTAGTTTAAAAGCTTTTAAATTATTCATAAAAATATGTTTTGAACAAAGAAAAATTTTAAAAATAAAAAAGAAAATGATCACATTCCTCGTTTAGACTTGGGTTTAGGTTGTGCTAGCTACCTATTAAAAATACTAGCAATAATACACCTTTGTTCAATATATAAGAGGATTATGATGAAGGAAAATAATGTAAAGGGGGAAATATTTTTGAAAAAAGTTTAAGAGTTAAATGTAAAGGATTTTAGAGAAATTTGAGAAGAAAAATATTGAAATAAGGTCGAAATCTTGGTATATGATACCCCCCCCCCCACCCCAATACCCTAAAATGAGTAGTACACTAAATTGGAGATACTGAATGGACACAAATCCTCTGCCTCCTAAGGATAGTCAACCAAATAAAATCCAATATTTTACCCTCTATTTAAGGTACACCGACTATAAGATACTCCCTATTTAAGATACCCTCACTATAAGAACACCTCTATTTAAGGGACGCTCATTAAAATTCAATTGGCCACTGGATGGCCGAACCGACTAGGCGATACCCTCTATTTAAGAGACCCCATTATAGGATACCCTCATTATAAGATACTCCCTATTTAAGATACTCTCACTATAAGATACACCTCTATTTAAGGGACGCTCATTAAAATTCAATTAGGCACTGGATAGGCGAACCGACTAGGCGATACCCTCTATTTAAGAGACCCCATTATAGGATACACCTCTTTATAAGGTACGATTTGTAGTGAGATCTGAACAGTATTACATACGAGCATATAAATTAAGGCCGGAAGGATCTCCCTTTGAAAAAAAAATTTTTAACCCAAACATAAATCATTTTTCGAATGTTAATTAATTGTAAAAAAAATTTATTTTTCAAACAAATTAGTAGTTAAATGAAGATAAATTTGAAAGAAATAAATTCTTAAAAAGACACAAAACTTTACGATGATTGAGTGAGTGCTGTAAATTATGAACTAAAAATTGGGGGAGGAAAATAAATAATGATGATGATCTCCTCTCTTTTTCCCTCTTTTTCCTCTTCCCGGAAGCATTTGCTTTTTCCCTCTTTTAAAGTGTCATCCTTTAAAAGAAGCTGTCAGCTGTCTGTTTATTTTATTCACTTTTGAAAGTTCTCTCGAGAAGCTTTCCCATATTTCACCAATACGACACTTTGCCAATAAGGGGAAAAACCTCATTTTGTCAATAAGGCTTGTTGGCAAAATGTGTGTTTTTGGCCTTATTGGCAAAATGTCGTATTGGTGAAATATGAAGACACGTTTTATATGAGAGGGATAAAGAGAAGAGAGAAACTTTTTGAAAATCCCCTCAGGATCTGTGGGAAGGGAAAAATATTTTTTTTATTATCCGCGGGGACAAAAAATTGCATTTGCAAGCCGCCGGGAGTTAAAAGTAAATAAAAGCGGTGACTTCTGGCAATGACATTTTGGGCATTTTTAGTTGACAAAAATAAATAAACAGTTTTTTGGGGTGGTCAAAAGAGGAGAATGAAATTAGTTGAAAAGTTTGTATAATAAAAGAGATCAAAAATAAACTTTTTTAAAAACTTCGGCATTTTCTTTTAAATAAAAAAGCGACATTTGCGAACCGACATTTGCGGACAAAACTGGAATCTATTGAAATTGGAACAAATGACCAATGGGTCTTGTTCGGTACCATAGACTATGCTTAAATTATTATTTTGGTGGTACAGTTTTGTGTTACAGTAATTTTCAGGGATGGGACATGTTGGGAAAATCCTATCTAAATCGGGTCAGATTTTCTTTTTCTTGTGATCAGTTTCGAGTGCGAATTGAAAAAAAAGGATTTCAGATAACGGGTAGTGGGGAAACCATCACATCCCTGATTTATACAAGCCGTAGAACAGAAAAGTCTGAGAGTATTGGCAAATGTCGTTGTTCCCAAATGTCTCTCTCTAGGAAATAAATAAATTAAAAAAGGGAGGAAGAGTTGCAAAAAAAATAAGTAAATGAATAGGAAAAGAATAAAATATACTCTCTCAATAATTTAGTAAAAACAAATTTTTAGGTAGAACAACAAAACAACACAAAAAGTCAAAATAATATATATTAAGTAAAGTATTTGTTTGTGTTCATTGACAAAAGGTAGAAAAAAAAAGAAGAATGAAGAGGAGGAAGGGAGTTTGTATAAAGTAATTATTGTTTGCCATCTCTTATAGGGGAAAAGAATGTTTTTAAAAGAGTAAAGAATGGAAGGAATTTTTAATGGCAATTTTTGAGTGTTATATTTATGGTGTGAATTAAAAAATAGATAAAGAAAATCGGAAAGATAAACATTAGATAGAGGGTCTGACCTCATTTTAAGATACCCTCATTAAGTCTTAAAAATAGTCTCTTATAATGAGGTGTATATTAAATAGAGGTATCGCTTGGGTAACACCCTGTGTTTCAACCTAATTGTAAAGAGCGTACCTTAAATAGAGGTGTATCTTGTACTTGTAGGTCGTACCTCACAGATACCCTCAATATTAGATACACCTCTATTTAAGGAACACCTTTGAAAATGATACCCTCATTCTCTTAAAAATAGTCTCTTATAATGAGGTGTATATTAAAGAGAGGGTATCGCTTGGGAAACTCCATCCCTGTATTTCAACCTACATATTTTTAAAGAGCGTACCTTAAATAGAGGTGATGTTGAGAGTTAAAAAAGCCGAGAATCGAGACCGAGACCCAACCCCGAGACCGAGACTCGGACCGAGAGTCGAGAGATTAAGAGGGATATCACTTGATACCCTTAATCCCCCATAATCCCTTGAATCCCCAAATCCACAATCTTACTCACCGTATATTGTATTGAGAGTCTCGGTATAAGAGCCACTCAGCATAAGATACCCTTAATATTAGATACACCTCTATTTAATCAACGCCCCTTAAAATTTGGTTAGCTGCCTGATGGAGGAGCTATTGAAGCAATATTCTCTATTTAACATACACCTCATTATAAGGTAGGATTTTTTAAACCTCAAAGGGGTATTTAAAATGGGGTTAGATTGTATGAGGATTATTAAAATAAATATATAAAGCAGGGCTCTCATCGACAAAATACCAATCAAGAGTACAAAAATCTCGATTTTAAAGTACATAGGGACAAAATTTCCAAATTTAAAGGACACTCAAAATTAAATTACAAAATATTTATTCGCCCTCAAATCTTTTATACTATTTCTCTGCTAAATGAATTTTTCTAATAATCTCTTGTTTCCACTGAGCATTTTGTGCATTTCATACACGCCATGTCAAAATTCGCTGTCACAAAAAGTAAAGCCCTGACAGTCTTAACCTCAAGCAAGCTACTTTCTTACGTCCATTTTCAACGCCGCAGTCGAAAATTTTGGGAAATTTCGGGGTTCTTAAGACAGATTTTTTCCATTTTTAGCGCCGCAGACGAAAATTTTTTAAATTTGGCACCCAAGAAGCCAAATTTCTTCCTTTTTCAGCGCCGAAGGCGAAAATTTTGTTAATTTTGGAGTTCCTTAAGCCAGATTTCTTCCTTTTTCAGCGCCGCAGGCGAAAATTTTGAGAATTTTGGAGTTCCTTAAGCCAGATTTCTTCCTTTTTCAGCGCCGCAGGCGAAAATTTTGAGAATTTCTAAGGCCGTAGGCCAAAAAAATCCACTTTTTTGCCCAATCCTTCCCTAATTTCATTTTCAATCCAAAATGTTGATTTTAAAGTACATACTTTCAATAAAGTACAAGTTCAATTTTGTAAGTACGGAGGTCGATTTTAAAGTACTGTACTTTCAAATAAAGTACGAATGAGAGCCCTGATATAAAGGTATATTATTTTACCAATTTTTACAAAAAATCCAGCAGTTAAAAGCCTTTAAAAAAGGAGAAAAGCTTTTTTCGCCTGAAATTTGAGTAAAAAATATATAAATCCTTTATTTTAAAATCGGTAGAGGATTTGTAGGGAAAGAAGGAAATTTGATCTTTATTTTGGACTTTTAAGGGGTATTATTAAAAAAAAAGTTTTTTTTAATTTTTAAAGGGCCCTAAAAATTTGAAAAAAATTAAAAAAAATATTTTTTCCCAAAAAAAAATTTATTTTGTAATAAAAAATTTTTTTATTGGATAGTGAAAAAAAATAAAAATGCTAAATGAGAAAAATTGTTTGTTAGTTTTTAAAGCCAATTGTTCATTTTATTTTAAAATTAATTATATATATTATTTATAGAGTATATATTGAATAATAAATAAATTAAAAATAAACTTGGAAATAAAATAGAACAAATAAAATTAAAAAGAAAATAAACTTAGAAAATAAATAAACCTAAAAATAAGCTTGAAAATAAACCTTAAAATAAACTTGAAATTAAAATAAACTTAAAAAATAAAAAAAACTTTAAAAATAAATAAACTTGTAAATAAAACTTAGAAAACTTTAAAATAAACTTAAAATAAAACCTAAAAATAAAATAAACTTGAATACAAAAATAAGCCTATTGAATAATAAAATAAACTTGGACTGAGAAAAAAAAGCCTAAAATCAAAATAAAGCTTAACTTAAATAAAAAATAAACTTGATATATTAAAATACAAAGTTTTAAATAAAATCACTAAACTTTTTTTATTTATATATAGTGTATGTTTGCACTAAAAAATTAAACTTATATACGTACTAGATACTAATTGAAAATGACATGTACTACCAAATATAAGAGAGTTTTTCAAGGACTTTAATAAAAAGGTTATATATTTTTTCAATTAAATATATAATATTTTATGGATGATTGAACAAAAAAAATATTTTTTTCTAAATAATAATTAATTTTTATTAATTCAACAAAAAATCAAAATTTTTTTTATTTAAATAAAGCTCAAAAATAAATAACAATAAAAATAAAATGGATATGTTGTACCTTTTTTTTGTTTATTGAGCACTCGGTTGGAGAGAAAAAAAAAGAAAAAAAATTGGGCAAGCTAATTATATTAAAATTAAGTGATTTATAATTAGGAATATATTTAGAGAGTTGTTCTTTCTATAAAAAAATTTTTAAAAAATTATTTTGATACCCAAAAATTAAAGAAACAACCCTAAATTTAAGTAAAAAATATTTTTTGGGGGGAAAAAGAAAAAAATTTTTTTTTAAATTATTTAAAGGATGATGCGACACTTGAGAGGCACGACAAGACTTGGATAATAAGGTTTACTATTACAAAATATTAAAAAAAATTTTTTTCTGGTTTTTAAAACCAAAGAAAAATTTTGCTTAAACAGCGAAAAATTTTTTTCTGATTTTCAAAATCAGAAAAATTTTTCCCGAAAAATTTTAAAAAATTCAAAAAAATTTTTCCAAACATGGAATTCAAGAAAAATTTTCCGAATTTTAAAAAATTTTTAATTTTCAGCCTTTTGTTCACAAATGTCGTGCTACGCAAATGTCCCACTCCAAATTAAGGCATATTTCAAGTTCTAAACCCGAGTATTTTCAGAAATAATATTAACTTCCACAACACTATTACTACTTTTCTTACCAACATCCTTCTTCTTCATTTCTCTAGCAGAAAAAAAGAAATTTCTATGAAAAAATACAGATAAGATAGCGATAGCTGCACCAACACAAAAACCAACAGCAACGTCGGATGCTGAAAAAAAAGATTTTTCTGAAATTTTGCGAAATTTTGATCAAAAATTTCAAAAATTTTTGTCCAAAAAATTTCAAAAAATTTCCAAAAAATATTTTAAAAAAATAAAAAATTTCCTACGATGATGTTTATGATCAAAAACTCGCGAAACAGCAACAAAACTTCCAAGAGAAATAATTATTGAATATAAAGCAATTAAAAGAGGAAGAATTGGAGCAGCAAAAGAACCAAAACTTTTTGAGAAAACACGAATGTGTGTATATAACTGAAAAATTAAAAAAAAATATTAAATTAAAATGAGAAGATTCCCCGACCTATATTTGGAAAATTTTTTGAGTCAAGGTTCCCTTCATTTATTTATAGAGCCGAACGGACGTTACCCTTTGAAAGGGCCGAATTCCGCCTATGCGAATAAGAAAACGAGAAATGAGGCGTATCATAAGAAGAAAGTAGAGTGAAATCTCTTTTATGTCACCCCACGAATCAGTCTAATTTGCTGACGTAATGGCTGCTACAAGTCGATTTTTTTACCTCATTTCTACCTCGGACGCGCCGGATTTACCGCCGTAAGAGAGGAAGACATAAGTGAGGAAGTGCCACCGTAAGAGGGTAAAGTGACTCGGGATATAAACCTAAAACCCCCAAAAACCCAAAAAAAACTCTAAAAACAAACGATAATAAACACAGCAAAATAAATAGAAAGAGCAGAATGTCCAGAATAAAAACTACATCTCCCATCCACAATTCTTGGATTATTCATATCAGTTGTTTTGTTACATTTAAATAAATCGCCAGGAAAAAAATAATTTGAATTATTAATTAAGCAATCCTTTGCATTGGTCACGTTGGTATATGGCTGACACATTGCAATAAAATTTGGACGGAGACGGCCAACAGAAATTTTAATAACATTAAATAACAGAAAATTGATTCCGGCACCTAACATCCAAACAGCTAAAAAAAGTTTTTAAAAATAAATGACAAAAATTTAAAAAAATCCCCCCCCCCTCCCATGGTAACGGGCCTGACTGGGTGGAGGAGCCTTCCAAGCGATACTTCTGTTTAAAATACAACTCGTTATAAGGTACGATGTTTTCCAAGGGGTTATTATAATGAGGGGAAACGCCCGAATAATTAACACTAAGTATTAAACGATTCCTCTCATCGAGCTAAAGAGAATGGTACCGAAATTTATAAGGGCCAGAAATTTTTTAGCAAGTTATGGCTAAACGACCTTATGGCCGCGCGACTATTCGGGCTGTACCCTATAATGATGACCCATTGTAAAAATAAATTAAATTTGTTCTTAAAAAATCAAACTTGTAAATCCTCCAAATTGTAACAATTTCCACAATAAAACGTCCAATTGCCAGAATTCAGGATTGGTAGGATCCCTTGGCTTATTAATAAAGAATTCGCCAACAAATACCTTTAAAAAGTTTAAATTTAATTTTAAAAAATTAAAAAAACCAAAACAGCCAAAATTGCAATAGAAACATAAAAAATAGTATTTGTCTCAACAGTTGAATCGCGATAAGGAAATCGAATAGAAAAATCCTGGCAAAAGAATCCACGAAGAGTTATTGGAAAAAATCGTCTCAAGTGATAGCCAACAATACCTGAAAAAAATATAAATATTGCAAAGATGAGGAGGCAGGCATCCGGGGGTTTTTTTCTTTAAACTGACCGGCCGGGTTTTACATGCTAACATAAAACCGCTGACAAATAGGATTTTATCGAAATACTCAAATTCCGAGCTGCAGACTGAATAACCAGGTCCCGGCCCGGGTTCGAACTCTACACAGCAAGCTTGAAAAAAATCGAATCAGGATTTACAAATTAGGGTCTTCAAAGTTTTCTTCGGATTGGGTTTAAGCCAAAAAAAAGTTTGGTGAAGTTTTGGTTAAAAATGGGAAACGAAAGAAAATAATAAAATTGAGGAGAGATAGGAAAAAAGGGGGCCCATAAATGTTAGCAATTGAAAAATTAATTTTAAAAAATAAAAATTAATTTCAGAGTGATTCATAAAAGGCCTCTCTCGACTTGAAAAATTTTTAACTTAATGACTCACTCCCTTTTTACACCAAATATTTTAACTAAAAAATGCTTACCAACTAAAATAGAAACAATAAGTCTAATTAGAATATCAAACAAAGAAAATTCAGTTGTTGTTGGTTTAGTTACCGCCTCATCTTTGTTGTTTTCCATTTTAATTTTTGTAATTCCAGAACTATTTTCTTTTAAAGATATATCCATATTTTGAAGCTTTATGTACAATAATTAAATATCACAATAAATATAATACCCTTAAAATTAAAAAATTAATTAAGAAAAAAAGTAACAATAAAACGAAAGCACAAAAATCAGGAAAAAAACCTAATCAAATTAATTAAATCACACCATTATAATAAAATGGCTAGATGACCTTTTGTCTTTGGACTTTTCGATTTTAGGCTTTACGTCACTAAAATTTGCGTCTTTTTGCCAATAGACACTTCGCCAATAGACAATTTGTCAATGGACATTTTGCCAATAGACACAACGTCATAGGGCTTTTCACACTCAATTAGCCGATCCGGTCATTAGAGTCTAAATTGCCTTTTTTTCCATTGACGAAAAATCCGCTGTCGTAATGTCGCGACAAATTTGCATGTGACGAAATGTCCCAATTTACTCTAATTGGCAATATGAATATTCTTCCAAGTTGGCGAATCGTTTTAATTTTTGATGAAAATTTTCTCAAAAAATTTTTTCGGAGGTTTTCTGGGTTTTCTAGGGTTAATTTAAATTTTCTTTTAATTTTTTGAGGAATAATCTGTGTCAAATATACAAAGAACTGTGTATTATTTAATAAAATTTAAAACAACAAAATGAATAAAACTGAAAGTGTAGCAGTCGCCTTTTCTCCAGAAGACAGTGTATTTTTTTAAATTAAAAATTCAAATTTTGTTTGTATTTTTTAGAAAACTCAAATAATTCTTCCTCTTAATGCTGCCATAAAAATCTTTACATATTTAACGCGAGACGAAATAGAAGTGTGCAAACAAGTCTGCAGTGGCTGGAAACAACTAGTCGAGTTTGCTGATAAACAACTGCCTAAAAGGCCTATTGATGCTGTTGTTCTTAGCTCAAATCATGAATATACAATCTCAATTTACTATAAAGACGTTAGACGTGTCTATTGTTTTCGAAAATATTTTTATGACAGGTTTATTTTTTGGTAATATTCTTCTTTGTTGGTCCTTAGAAAAAATGAGGGACACGCCCGAAATGTCGCATGGCCATAATGTCGCCGAGCCATAACTTGCTTTGAGATTTCCGAATCTTTCCAAATTTAGCATTAAACGATTCCTCTTATCTAAAGAGATTGGTACCAAAATTGATAAGGGCCAGAAATTTTTTAGCAAGTTATGGCTTGGCGACATTATGGCCGCGCGACATTTCGGGCTGTACCCAAGAAAAGAGCAAGAACTAGTAGAAGCGGAGAGATGTTATATTATCCATGTTTCCAACTCTGTTTCGACTTGGTCGAATTCGAAACTGGGATTTGAGGTAAATGAATTTGAACTCGTATTCGGACTCGGTACGCTGATTACCCAATAGCAGACCTTAAATTAATAAAAGAACACTGCTTGCTCATTTTTTTCTAGAGAGCAATAAAGCAGAAGATTATTTTAATTTTAAAATGTCAAATTTAGAGATATTGATGAGATTGAACTTAAAAGAGTTACTAAACTGCCGCAGTTGTTTGATGAACACAACTACAGATTTCCTTGTGGAGAATCTTTTCCTTGTGTTTATGATCATTTTAACTTTGGGCTGTTCGATCATATGCACGATTTGGAGTGTAGAAGTAAGTCATTTTACAGTAGAATTTGCTCTAGTGCAGTTTCCCCTCACCGTTGAACATTGTTATGAAATACCCTTATACTGGATACACCTCTATTTAAGAGTCGCTCTTTGAAAATGTAGGTTTTTGAGCTGGGGAGCATAGCCAGGGGAGGCTTCTGGGGCTATAGCCCCCCTGAAATGGGGAAAGTGAAAAAATTTCAGGAGGGAAATAATCAGAAAAGTGATTTTTTACGTCTACAACTCGCAAAATTCTTAAAATTTTCACCTGCGGCGCTGAAAAATAAAAATATATGTGCAAAAAATTTGCGTACGCCAAAGTAAACGCCAAAATTTTGGTGCACACCCCATTTTAGCCCTTTGGAATCGACCTCCTGGCTACGCCCTTGAATTGAGCTTGGGAGCTTTCTATTTATTATACACCTTCTATTTAATATACACCTCATTATAAGGTTGGATTTTTGTGACCTACTGGTGTAGATTATAATGAGGAAATATATTTTATATTTTTTAGAAAGAAGAAATTTCATGATGTACCATCGCAGAAATAATTATTCTCGAAAATTGTTCACTCCTCCTCTTGGCTTTTACGAGCGTCTCAAAGCAATGTTACACAATGGATATGTCAAACGTCTTGTTTTTCAATCATTTACTTTTACCGATTTATTCGTTGAAAAATTCTTTGAATATGTAAAAGGGCCTTTTAAACATTTGGATGTTGTCTATCTTCACTGTAATTTTTTCGATTTTTTAATAGTAAAGAGTGGATCACCTCAGAAGGTCAACACCTAAATGGTCACTTTCTATGATCAAATGACTTAAATGTCAAATTACCCTGAAGATCAACTTTGAGTATTTAGGCGGATTAAGATGGATTTTTGGATTAAGTTGGGCTAAGTGACATGAGATCGGTCAGATAAGGCCTTATCTGACTCTATCGGTCAGATAAAGCAAAAAAGTCTTCTCTTGAGTCACTTTATCCGCCCAAATATTTGGAGTTGACCTTCAAGATAATTTGTCCGTTAGGATCGTTCAAAGGGAGTTGACCATCTTGTTGAAGACTTTCTGTGGTGGACCCGTAAAAATAATATATTTTAGTTTGTAGTTTGCGACGGATAAATTCTGATTCTTTCCACAATCTTTTGGATCAGCTTTCACCAAAAAAATATTTTATTGATAAATTAACAAATTGCCTGCCCGTGCATGTTAGCAAACCTCTCTTGGATAAACATTCAATTAAAATGTATTTTTTTTAAATTTTATAACTAACTTTCATATTTTTAGGGCTGAAGTTTTTTCTTTTGGAAGTGCTTTTGCACGTAACCATCAATTGCAAGATAATTTTTTTCTTATTGATGATGATACTTTTTTGACTTTTGTAAATACATTATCAGCTTATCCAAATGTGTCGAGAAAGTTTTTTGGTATTTCACAATGTAGAATTACTCAGGAATTTATTCAGAAATATGCAAAGGTTTGTATTTTTAATTAAAGTAGACTTCACTATTAAGTGCATTCCTGTGACTGAAAATTTTTTGTGCATTATGTGGTTAAATCCCACCCAATGATCACCAAATGAAAGCCATGTTAACTGTTGAACCCGGCTCACTATTTAGCTTATAGTGAAGGGTAATGTCCATTCTTGGAAAATCTTCTGATCTCTGGATCCGAACCGAAAATCGTCGGTTTTTCAGTTCGGTTCTAAACTGTCAGCCCTTGTCATAGATATATCTAATCCAATTGCCAACCGAGTTGTATCTAGTGATGGGGCTATATTGTATGAGGCTCGATTGTTTCTTCATAAAATATTATATTAAAAATATATTTTATAATTTTAGCTTGTCGCACAAATCAAAAGAAATGATTTAGTCGATAATCGACTTGTACATGAAAATAAAAATTTTTGGTTGTTTAAACATGTAGTTTTTGGAAATTTAAATTATAAAGTTGATTTTTAAAAATTTTTTTTTTTTTTTTTATTTGTTACTAGTCTCAATTTATTTTTCTAAATTTTATATTCTATTTTAATTTTGTTCATAGAAAATTTATTTTGGAAAATGGATGAGTACGGAATTGTAAGTTTTTTTCTAAAATTAAAAGAAAAATTTTTTTTGTTATTTTAAGGAGGAATTGTATAATGGAGTTATTAATGATGTGATCAATCAAGTACGTCCAGCATTTTCTGATGATGGCGTTGATATTGAAATTTTGCGACATTTGAAGAAGGCGTGGGAAGAGAGGCTTCAAACTGCTAATGGTTTTTAAATAAATTTTTTTCGTTATAATAAAATTTTTATAGAATGGTCAGGATGTAGTGCGTCAGAGTCAAAGGTAAAAAAATAAAAATTGGGGATCAAGGCGCCGAGATACCAAACTGGAACTTAAAGTTTTTTTCTACACGGGGAAAAAAAGTAAGATTGGATGAATAACCAAGATTGATTTTTGCTGGTATTTCGGTGGCCTTGGGGAGTTTGGTATTTCGGCGTTTTGGTAGTACGACGGGCTGCTGATTGACTTTATAATTTTTTTCTTGTGTCAGAGTCATACCGGAACTGAAATTTCACAGTTGGATGGCGGAGGGCCAACTATGGATGACAGGTTTTTTTTAAAGTTATCGATCCTATAGATATTTTCTCTTAAATTTTTCAGTTCTTCTGAAGAAGAGGAAGTGGTTGAATCAACTGAAACTAAAGAGCATTTGAAAGAAACTGATGCAAACAAAAGTTCTGGCGATGAAGAAGAACCGCCGCTAAATTCTGATGATGATGGAGAAGATGAAAATGCTGAAACAATTTTTGAGACGGACAATGTATTTGCTTGCATTTTTAATGTTAAAATTTAAAAATTTTTTTAGATTGTGCTCTGTCAATTTGATAAGGTAAAAAATTTTTTTTGTTGTTCCGGTTTTTAATGCATAATAGAAGAGTTTGGTTTTTTGGTTATTCTAATCTGTTGAGGGGCTGGTTTTGGCATTTCCAAAATTGGATCGTTTCACTTGTCCAGTTTCATTTCCAGGATTTTAACGATTTTTCTTAAAATTTCTCGAAATTTGGACACCAGGGATGGGACGTATTACTTGAAACCTAAACTTTTTCCTCAACTCTTCCCATCCCTGTTGGACACCATATAAAATGAGAATTTTCTTTGATTTTTTAGATAGTTCGAACTCGAAAGATGTGGAAGTTTCATTTAAAAGAAGGGGTAAAATTTAATTTTTAATCAGTTTTAAATTAAAAAAAATTCCTTTTAAATTTTAAGATTATGACTATTCGCGGAAAAGAATTTTGCTTTCGACGATGTAATGGAGATGCTGAATGGTAGAGGAAACTTTTGAGAGAAAAATTGTTTTAAAAAGCGCTTTTAATTTTATGTAAGATCTCTTTTATGTTAAAAAGGTTTGGGATTTCTTTTTGATTTATAAATTTTTTGTTTTCCTTTTTGTGTTGAGTTGACTGTTGATTCGTCATACATATACCGGAGTGCACCTTAATGCCAAAAGGCTTTAATGCCATCCCCGCAAAGCTGGCGAAATGTCAAAATTTGGTAATGGCTCTGGAATGCCGTCAGTCGAAATATGTATTGTTTCAACAACGGGCTTGTGGGATGTTGTTCCAAATCTGAGCTTTTTGGCATTAAAGGGTCGTACCGTCATATACTTAATAATTATTTTTTTAATTATCTTTATTAATTAATAGTTTTAGATGCAAGAATCAGAAATAATTATTTTGGAAGGTTCTAATTTTTTTAGACAATATTTGGTTTATTCAATTTTAAGTGGAAGAAGGATATCTATAAGAAATGTTAGGCCATATGATGATTCTCCTGGAATTAAAGGTTTTTTTAATTTGACAAGAATAAATTGATAACAAAATTTAGATTTTGAATATAAATTGTTGTCGTTGATTGATCTAATAACAAATGGTTCAGAAATTGATATAAACAAAACAGGCAGGTATTTGGAAAATTAAATTAAACTTTTATCTGATTCCTACATATTTAAAGGAATGTTAAGGGTTTACTTATGTTTTTTAATAAGTAAGGTCTTTGAGGGTCGTAAGAGTATCGAGATGAAGAAATCTTCAAAAAAATCGAGGATTTTGATTTGATCTCTAACCGATCTCCAGTTAACATAAGTCAATACATTGACCGCCAGGATTCACAAGTAAGCCAGGAAACTTGTTTGGTTCCCCCCTGTGGATGTCACTTTTTTAAGTGTTACAATGGCTATGCTAAAAATAGCTTAACCAGCTATAAGAATTGTAATATTTTGCATTTTTAGGCACACAAGTTGACTTCTCGCCTGGAACTTTGCAAGGAGGGAGTTTTGAATTTCAATGTGGAGTTGAACGTTGTATCAGTTATTTTCTCGAGCCTCTCATTTTTCTTGCGCCATTTTGTAAGATTGCAATAAATGGAAATCTTAAAGGATTGACAAATGTGCCTGACGAGTTAAGCGTAGATGCTATTAATAGTACATGGTTACCTGTTTTTTCTCGTTTTGTGCCAACTGATGATGATTTATACTTAAAGGTTTTTTTTAATTTTTGGAAACTTCACCAAGAAAAATTTGGTAGGCGTGGCCATGACGGCGCAAAACCAGAACTACCTGGAAAATTTCTGACCCTTAAAATTTTTGTACCAATTTCTTTACCACGATGAGAGGGAATCGTTTAATACTAAATTTGTTATGATTCTGAAATCTTAAAGCAAGTTATGGCTTTGCGCCGTTATGGCCGCGCGCCTACTTGGGCGTATCCTTAAAAATTTGGTATGATTGTTGAAATGCTAAAAATGTCAAGTCCACAAAAGTGGTATAAATGTCAAACGGGGTGAATTTTCGAATAACAACGGCTTTTGGAGGACTGACATTTCAAAACGTTTTTACATTGTGACACGCTCCGAAAAATTTTTAATTTTAAGATTAATGCCAGAGGTTTTTTACCAGATGGAGGTGGATCTGTAACCTTTTGCAGTCCGATAAAAAAGAATTTGAGGCCTGTCCAAGTTGTTAAACCTGGAAAAATATGCAAAATTCGAGGTCTTGCTTATGTTTGTAAAGTTTCTCCTTCAATTGCTTCGAGGATGGTATTAAAAATTTTTTGAAAGTTTTTATACAAATAATTTTTTATAGATTGAAGCAGCAAAGAAAATGTTACATGGATATATTTCTGATGTTTACATAACTATTGACCAACGAAAGGGTCCCCAAGGAGGATTGTAACGTTTTTCGTTTTAAAATTAAAAGAGAATTTAAAATTTTAGGTCTCCAGGTTTTGGAATTTTCATAACCGCTACGACTACAGAAGGTGTCAGTTATTTTGGTGAAGCAATGTCCAATCCAAAAGATTCTCAAAAAGTTCAATTAATTCCTGAAGAAATTGGAGCAGAAGCGGCAAAGCGTTTATTAAACGAAATTTATAAGGTTCTTTTGACAATTTTATTATATTTGAACCCTTTGAACTGAAAATTTTTATTTTTAATGATGTGTGTTAATAGGGGTGAGGTATCGTTTTGGGCCGCCTCCACCACATGATACTTTTTGGAATCTTTTAAATTGACTTTCTGCACATCTCTGCTCATTCACCTAGTGGCTAACTTAAATTTTAAAACTCTTAAATCATCCAGTAATATGGGGTACTAAAAAATTTCAACGGTTTTAGTGGATCTGTTATTATTTTATAATAAATAAAAATATATTTTTTAAGGGTGGATGTACCGATTCCTCAGCCCAAGCTTTAGCTACAACATTTATGACGCTTTGTGATAAAGACGTTTCAAAATTTTTGTTTGGTCCTTTGTCATTTTATTGGTTTTTTTAAATTTTTTAAACTTTTTTTAATTAAAAAAAATTTTTTCTAAGTGTCCACACAATGAGAAATTTACGTATATTTTTTAATCATACATTTAAATTGGATGAACTATGGAAATTAGAAAAAAAGGAATTTGATGAAGAAAAGAAGAGAAGATGTACTGGAAGTGAAGATAAATGTTTGTTAACTTGTGTTGGTATTGGTTATTATAATATAAACAAAATATTAATTTAAAAAAGGTTTTTTTAGAATTTTGTTAAATTTGTTATGTTTTACTTATAAAAATATTTATTAAAAATAAAGTAGAACATTATAGGATACCCCCAATGCTAGATAAACCTTTATTTAAGAGATGCTTTTTAAGAATTTGATTGGTCTTTGGGTGAGGGAGAGCTGCCTAAGATACCCTCCATTTAAGAGACACCTCGTAATAAGATATAGGCGATACTCTCTATTTAAAATACACCTCATTATAAGAGACAAATTTTTCAGCTGGGAAGGGTGGGGGTATCCTATAGTGAGGCTCTTGTCTAATATTTGTTATTATTTCCAAAAAAATATTTTTAAATATTTTTATTATATTTTTTATCACTTAAGGTCTATAAATCGTAAACAAATATTTTTTTAATAAATATTTTAGAGAAATGGAAAATAATAAAGTAGATTCATCATTATATGCATCAATTTCAAACAAAGAATTAACAATTTCAAATGAATTAAAAAAAGAAGGAACTTTGGAAGATTCTCAAAATTGTTTACAATTAGAAGAAGAAAATTTGCTTCATTCACTTCCGTGTCAAATCGAATTTACTGGATCTGCCCAAGTTTCTGTTTACTTCAATAAAGAAAATTTACATCATGAAAATGTGAGGGCAGCTTCATTTCGAGGGCATATGCTTTTGAATAAACTTGTGAAGGTTCCAGAAGGTTATGAAATTTATACAGTGAGTGAGTCGAATGCAGAAAATAAAGGTTTTTTTATTTGATTTTTTAAGTAAGAGAGAAATAAAAGAAAGTTTGAACCTGGGCGGACATGGAACCTGGGACCCCCCGGCTATTATTGTTACTAGGAACTTTTGCTTGGGATGCAGCTGACATGAGTCGTATTTTTTCGGATCGGTTTTAAAAAGTCTTTGGGTAACTCGACTCGTCCATGATACAACTGAATTACTGATTGATTGAGCTAGCTGTTCTCTTCTGCCTTATCCAATAGATCCTAAATCTCTGCCTATTGAGCGTTTTGAAGTCTAGTTTGTTGGGTCTTCCTTATATTTGCAATTGATTTTTTAAGATCGATGTATTGATTGATTATGTCGAATAGGGTCGGACTCTAATTGTTAAAGTGTTAGATAAATATTTTTTTATTTTTTTAGATGATTGTGAAATGAAAACGTTTCAACTAAAAGGGTCAACTAAATCAATGAATTTTTGGGAGAAGGATGAAATGCCTGTGGGTCCAAATAAAATTGAAGATGCTTTAACTTGTATTTTGATTGCTGAAAATCTTTCAAATTAATTTTTTTCAATTTTATAAATTTTTTATATTTAATTTTCTTTATTTAAAGATGGGTATCATGTGCTGTTATATCAAATGCCGAAATGCCAAACCTTCAAAAAGACGTTGAAATACCAAAATGTTGATTGTTAACAATTTTCTACGTTGATGTAGCCTTAAAGGTTTGTATATTTTTTAGAGAGCGAGCTGGATCTGGATCCAGACCTTGATTTTTTCTGGATCCAGTTCCAGATCAAAACATTTTTCAGATTCCTGGATTTTTCCTCGATTCAACGTCAGGAATCTGGTCAAGATTTCTCGATAATCTCGCTCTCTAGTATTTTTCCACAATTTGGTATTTTGACTGTTTTGTGGGTAGGTATTTCGGCGTTTGGTGTTATTTCGTGTTCCCACGACAATATTTCTTATTTTTTTAAATTGAACAAATATTTTATTAAATTTTATTTTTTTTAGAAATGTCAAGAAAAAGCACAGCTTTATTTTTAATTTTATTTTTATATACTGCTCAACTAATTTTTGTTTTTGGAGAAGTTGTAACGCTAGCAGTTGGTGCTGGGGCAGTGAGTGCTCTTGGAATGTTTATTGGTGATTTTGCTGGAATTTATTCTTTTGCAAAATGCAAATGTATTTTGTTAAATTTGTATAATCTTAAATTTTTTTTTAATTCTCAGTTTTTGAATGTTGCAATTCTCCATGGATTAATAAAGATGTTGCTCGAAGTAAGTAAATTTTGGATATTACTATAAAACCTAAAAGTGTTGGATACCTCTTGGAGGTTTAGGATACTTTTTTGGAGATACCCTCTATTTAAGATACCTTATGAAATATTCCCAATACTAGATACACTTCTATTTATGAGATGCTTTAGTCAAAAATAAGTTAAAAATTAATCAGCACGGGGTGGGGGAGCTGTATAACAATTAACGATACCCTCTACATATTTAAGATACATTTCTTTGTAAGAGACTCTCGATACCAGATACACCTCTAATAAGGGGACGTTCTTTAAAAGTTTAGTTGATCGCTGAGTGTGAGGAGCTGTCCACGCGATACTTTCTATTTAAGATACCTTCTATTTAAGAGACCCCTTTATTAGTGAAATTTAGCTATTTTGGAAAAGAATTATTTTTTATTAAAGGATTGCAAGAAGAAGTTGAAGAAAGACTTTATGGTCAACACATTGCGCAAAAAATTGTAATTAATGCTGTTCGTTCACATATTTCTAAACAGTTGGGAAAATTTTTATTTTTGAAATTTTTAAAAAATTTTTAGAAACCCAAACAAAGCATTAGTTTTATCATTTCATGGTTGGACGGGGTCAGGAAAAAATTATTTGACACAAATGATTGCAAAAGCTGTTTATAAGAAAGGATTTAAAAGTCAATTTGTACATTTTTCTGTAGCAACTTTACATTTTCCGTATCCTGAAGAAATTAATAATTACAAGGTTTTTTTTAATTTTTTAAATTTAAAATTTTTTGGGGGTCTTATTTACCTGCTCCCTCATTTGTTTCTTTTTCTAAAAAAATACGAATAATTGTCAACCAGATAAAAGTTAATTCTTTGTCATTATGTACCCTGACCATGTATTATTTTTTGAGAAAGCGCTAAGAATAAGACAGGGAAAGCTTATAACGCGCCGCTGGCTTTGTTTCGACGTTGATTGTATAAACAAATAACCAAAAATTTGATAACTTGGTATTTATTTGAAATTCTTACGTCGTTCCCAGTTTGGCATTTTGGGTGTTACGTTATTATACCTTGAAAAGAAATCTACAAAAATATTTTTCAGAGGCAATTAAGAAGTTGGATTTCCGGAAATTTAACACAATGTGAACGTTCGCTATTTATATTTGACGAAGCAGATAAATTGCCTCTACAGTTACTCGATGCTATTGTCCCTTTTGTTGATTTTTATGATAATGTCAATGGTATTGATGCAAGAAAAAGTATTTTTATATTTTTGAGGTTTTCTTTTTTGATTTTTATTAGAAATTTTTGAAAAATTTTTTTTCAAGTAATGGAGGTTCCAATTTAATTGCTCAACATGCATTGGAATATTACAAGAGAGGACTGCCTAGAGAACAAATGACGTTTAAAGAATTGGAAGAATTAATGCAATTAAGTGCTTATAATGAAGGTTTTTTATGAGAATTTTAAAAAAGCGATTGAGGGGTTAAAACGCTAACCAGACTAATCACACTCTTGGGAGGTTAAAATTTCCAAGTCTTGGTTCTAGCTTTGAAATTTAAGGAGAAATGCTCCCCCTCCTTTCGGATGAATTTTTCTGTTGTACAAAAAATCGGTCGAAAATTTTGAAATCAAAAAAACCCATAAAGTTGAAATCGATTTCGACTTTTTGTGATTTGTTTATTTCTGAAAATTTTCAAAAAAAATTTTTTTTTGATCTACCTCGCTTCCAAGGGCGTAGCCGGGGGGGGGCTTCTGGATCTATAGCCCCCTCCCTGAAATCGACCCTTGCTACGCCTTTAATCCCTTCAATTAATACGATATTTCTATCTGGTTTATTTGTTTTATCCGGCTGGTATTTCAATCTTGACTCTTATTAATTAATTTAATTTTCAAAAAAAAATTAAATTTTTTCAGGAGAAGGTGGATTAAAAATGAGTAGAATAATAAGTAAACATTTAATTGATTATTTTGTACCATTTCTTCCATTGGAAAGAAGGCATATTATTATGTGTTTTAGAGATTATTTACATTCAAAAAATATTGTTTATACACAAGAACAATTGGAAAATTTGGCTGATCAACTTTCGGTTTTTTTAAAAATTTTTTGAATTTTCTAAAAATTTTTCGAGATTTTTAGAATTTTTTTAATTAAAAAATTTTTCGGTTTTTTTTGGTTTTGAAAATTTTTTGATAATTTTTTTAACTAAAAAAATTTTTTTTCAAGTATTTCCCAAAAGACACCCCAATATTTTCAACTTCTGGATGTAAACAAATTGAAAGAAGAGCAGATTTTATGTATGCTGAAGTTATTAGAGAACAACATTTTTTAGCCAGTCAATATAATGATGAAATTTGAAGAAATTTTTTTGGAGGTTTCGAATTTGTAAAAATTTTTTGTAATAGATTCGAGACTAATTCCACCCACAAACTCATTTTACGGGTTTTATTTTTGAAAAGATATTTTTGAAAGCCTTGAGAGTATGGCTAGACTTAAATTTACTTCGTTTTGCGGGTTTGCTTCACGTTGGGTCCAAAATTTTTGAGGGTTTTCTGGGAACTAGAGCGGTTTCGAAATTTCAATTTTCGTGAGTTTTTTGACTTCTCGGTATTTTTTCTATTTTCGAATTTTTTTCGAAACATCTCTTCTGCCTGAAATCACCGGCAAATTCATTTTTTAAATTCCGCTCTCTAAAAACTTCTCTAACTCAAAGTCTCAAGGAATTTTAAAATTACTGATTTTTTACTTTGTGTATATTTTTTCAATGTTTTTTCTTAAATTTTTACTGTTTTATAATTTAAAAATTGAAACATTTTTTAAATTAAAAAAAAATCTTCGACAAAGTTGATGACTTTGTGTAGTATTTTAATATTTTTTAAAGTTTATTTCTAGTCAATTTTAATATTTTATTTTGTTTGTCAATGTCAACAACATTTACTTTAATTGGTTTATTTTTCTTTAATTTTTTTAAAATTTATTTTTAATTTTTTTAAAGGTATCTCAGCAATAGCAGTTTCCTTGCTTGGTTATTATTTTCAAAAGTATGGCCCCCCTCCACCGCCAAAAATTGCTGGAATTGATTTGGGTACAACTTACTCTTCTATAGCTGTTTTTCTACCGGCTAGTGGTCAAACTATTGTTATTGAAGATAAATTGGGGAAGAAGTCTATTCCGAGTGTTGTTGGATTTTTGTAAGGTTTTTTTTAATTTAGAGCTATTTAAGAGACGATTTTCAAAATTTTTGTCAATTTCTTGACTCGGAGAGCTGTTTAAGCAATACTCTCTATTTAAGAGACGTTTCATTATAAGGAATCTCACTATAAGACACTTCACTATTAGGTACACCTCGATTTAAGAGACGCTCTCTTAAAATCTGGTTAGCTACGGGATTGGGGGAGCAACCTAAGCAATACCCTCTATTTAGGATTATCTCTTTATAAGAGACTATTTTTTCAAACTCAAAAATACCTTATAGTGAGTTTTATTTTTAAAAATTCAAAAAAAATTTCAGAGGCAATGGCGAAATTGTAGTTGGAACAAAAGCTGTGGAACAACAAGAAACGAATCCTTCAAATACCATTTATGATGCTAAAAGATTTATTGGAAAACGTTTTGAGGAAAATGACCCACAATTTCAGGTTAATTTTAAAAATAAATTCTTATAATTTTTATTTTAAATTAGCTATAGATGGATCGTAATCGTTACCCATTTACAATAAAATTGGATAGTGAAGGATTTGCTTTGTTTGAAATTGAAGAGAAGGGCGTTAAACGGTTTGGAATTTTTTTCTAATTTTTTTCTAATTTTTTAATAAACAATAGGGAATGGGCAGGGTTAAACGAAATCTCTTATTCTCGACCCCTGATTTTTTCGTCTAGAAGCCCAATCAAAAAAAAAGGATTTTGAAAAGGCTGACCTGATGCCGATTTTTTCTTAACTCGGTCCATCTTGATGAACAGCAAAAAAAAGCCTAGGGAATTTTGGAGGAAGAGACAATAGGAGTAGAACCCGACCCGACTTTTTTTTGTCTTACCAGCAGCTCATCCCTAATTAACAGTAAAAAAAGGTGGGGGAAATGTGGGGGAGAAATACGGGGAAAAAAGTGGATGGAGGGGATGGGGGGTAAACTACACTGGTCCAAAAAATATTTTTATAATTAAATTTTTGTTTAAAGTTTAATCCGGCCCGAAGAAATTGGTTCAATTATAATTTCTTATCTTCAAAAAATGGTACTAGAATTTTATGGTGCAAATATTAAAGAAGTTGTAATTTCTGTGCCAACAGAATTTGATCAAATGCAAAGAACATATACAAACAAAACTGTCGATTTAGCTGGAATGAATGTTAGAAGAATTATAAGTGAGCCAACAGCAGCAGCATTAGCTTATGGATTACATGAAAAAAAGGGTGTGGAATATATTGTTGTTGTTGATATTGGTATGAAGTTTTTATTAAATTTGATAAGTCATTTTGTGGTTAAGTGGGTTAAGTTTGATTAATTTTGATAAGAATTATCTGACACCGTTTAAAATGCTTATTGTTAGCGTGGAAGTTGAGCTACATGTAAGACGAAAAGAGAGAATTTAATCGTGGCTCCGGTAGTTAAGTGGTAGAGCGTCTATTTAGTTTTCAGCATGGTCGCAGGTTCGAATCCTGCCTGAGGCGTTATTACTATAAATTTCCACAGATCTGAGCCTAAAGTTTTCTAGTTTTATATTCTTTGGGTTTAATAATGTGGATAAATTAAAAAGTTTATCTAATTTTACTAAATTCACTGAATAAGGATGAATTTAGATCGCTAGATAATACATTGAAAATTTTTTCGGATCATGCTTTTTAAGTTGCACCCTTGGGTCAAAAAATCTTTTCCATATTGAAGAAAGGCACCCCCAACCAGTAGCCTACCAATTTTTAAAGAGCGTCCTTTATATTGATGGCATCTTATTTAAGAAATAGTGTTGTAAGTTGTTAGGCTTCACAAGAGTTCTATTAACTGAATTAAATTGTAGTTAAGTTGGTTATGTTTGAGTTTCCACTGTCCAAACCTAAAGTTTTCTGTTTATATTCTTTGGGTATTTATTGTGGATAAAATTAAAAAATTTATCTAATTAACAAGTAAATTTATTGAAGAATAATGGATTTATTAAATTAGATAAAACATTCTTTTTTGTTGACACATTCGAACCCCATTATAAAAGGGCACCTTTTGGGACTGGAAAATAGTCTCTTATAATGAGGGTCTCTTTTATAGAGGGTATCGCTCGGGCGGCACCCCCACCCAATGACCTATCAAATTCTAAAGAGCGTCGCTTAAATAGAGGTGTATCTAATATTGGGAGTATCTAGTAAAGAGGTTTTATTTATTTTTTATTTTAGGTGGTGGAACCATGGATGTTTCTGTTCTTTGGTTAAATAATGCGGTTTATTTTTAAATTTCTAAATTAAAATAATTATTTCTTTTTAAGGTATTTGTTACTCAAGCAATGGCCGGAAATAATCGTTTGGGAGGTCAAGATTTTAATGAACGAATTTATAGATTACTTTTAAAGGTTTTTTATTTTTTCTAATAATCTTTTTATTTTTAATATTTTAGAAAATAAAAGAACAGACAAAAAAAGATTTAAACAACAGAGAAGATTTACAACAATTGAGGTTATATTTTTTAAGAATATTGACGGGAGGGGGCATAATAGCTAACTAGGGGTGATTAGATTTGTCGGATACTGGGAAACTTTGGGATACTTCCTGTACATCTCAGTTTTTTGGGGTTTTTTTATCCACCTCTACTCAACGGTTGAAGAATTTGTTGAGATTTGGTTTTAGGGTTGGGGGCCCGATCCGGCCCGGTCCCGAGTCGGGCATTGAATTTTGACCCGAAAAAGACTCGGTCGGGCCGGCCCGATAAAAATGAGGCCCGAAAAGAATGACTCGAACGTCGGCCCGACTCGAAACCCCAACCCTATTTGGTTGGTTCCACATAAGGTATTAAAGCCGCGAATGGGTTTTTACCCAAACCCCGATCAAAAAAATTTTTTTGAGAACCCGGTCCGAAAACTTAACTCGGTCTTTTTCTAATCCACTCGTGAATATTCTAAATATTTCAAAAAAATTTTTTCTTTAAGACTTGCCGTTGAAGAAGCAAAATTACAACTTACAAATTTGCCTGAAACTTTAATTAATTTAAATTTTCGGTCGATTGGAAAATTTGAATATTTGGTTTTCTAATTAATATTTTTTTAAGATTTTTAAAAAAATTTCCTTTTTAAAGTTAACTCGCCAAGAATTTGAACAAGTCAACAAAGATTTATTTTCGAGTATTGTTGAGCCTATTAAAGCTGCTTTGGCAGATTGTCAACTTGGACCAGAGGATATAGATGAAATTGTTTTGGTTGGGGGTTCTACGAGAATTCCAAAAATTAGAAATATTGTTGGACAGTTTTTTAGGTTTTATTTTTTTTTTAATTTTAATTTTTTAATTGTTAAATACACCCATTTATAAATATCCCTTGAGACTAAAAAATTCGCTTTAAATGGATTCTTCTTAAATTGGGGGTATCGGTTAGTCAGCTCCTTCAACCCAATGACCAACCAAGGTTTTAAAAAAGCGTTTCTTGGATAGAAATTTATCTAATATTAGGCGGGAGGTATCTCATAATAAGCTCTGGTTTGTAAGATACCCCAGATATTGATATACCTCTATCTAAGAGACAACTCATTATAGGGTACAATTTTTTTAGACTTGAGGGGGGTTTTTATAATGAGGACGGCAAGGGCGTAGCCAGAGGGTAAGAACGTGTTAAGAACGCCAGAGCAAACGGCAAATGGCGCTCACCCTATTTTAGCCCCCCTCCCCTGAAATCGACCCCCTAGCTACGCCCTTGGAGGACAGACTGTTTATTAACAAAAATTCTTCTTTCAATTAAAGCAAAGTTCCAAATTATGGTGTATTTCCTGAATTGGCCGTCGTTATTGGTGTTGCAATCCAAGCTGGTGTTGTAATTAATGGTTGGCCTTTACAGGTTTATTTTTAATATTTTTTTGAATAAAAATTTTTCTTTTTTTTTAGGTTGCTGCAATGGAACTTCCATTTGCCAAACAAAAGAGGCATGTTTATAGACCTATTGAAGAAGAACAACAACCAAAGATTTAAATTTATTCCTTTTTTAATTTTATTATTTATTGGAAATTGGGGTTTGTTTTCTTTTTTTAAAAAAATTTTTTGTTATTGTTGAATCTAATGGGTATGGGGAAATTTTTTTAAATTTATTTTGTAAAAATATTTTTCGGAAATTCAAAAAATTTCCTTTTTCTAATTTCTTTTTCTTAGAATTCTTTTTTTTTCTATCGTGCTCTCACTTACATAAACATGGTTTTGGATTTTTAAGAATTCAACTAGTTTTTTTTTATCCATCTGCTTTCTCGTTTTATTTTCTGCTTTTTTTTTGTATTTTCTCTTTTCTTTAATTTATTGTTCTCTTTAACTATGGGTTGGACCCCAACTCTTGGCGGAGTCGAGTCAAAGAATTCGGAGCCGGATTTTTTTTAGCATAAAGGTTGGTGTTCAGTGTCTGGGTTCAACCCCTTCCCCCTCCCTTTTTTTATCATAAATTGGATTTTAACTTTTCTTTAAATCTATTTTTCTTTCTGATTCTGACTTGATTTTTTTAAATTTTTATTAAAGGAAGTAAAAATATTTATTGTTGAATTTTAAATAATCTCTTAGTAATTTTTAAGGATTGGAGGGAGTTTCTGATTGATTCTGAGTCATTTTTTCTGTTCCCTCTTTAAGGGTGTTTTTTTAGTTTTTTAAATAAGTTTAGTTGTTAGTCTTTCTTTTCTCTCTTCTAAAAATGTTTAAAATTTTTATTAAATTAATTTTATTATTTAAACTGTTTGGATGGACATTGGTAAAAATTAAAAAAAAATTTTTTAGTAACGGAAAAAAAATTTTCTTTTAGGGTTATCAACAAAATATTGCTTTGTATTATAAATTATTAAATGAACATTATGATACGTTCAAAACTATGGTTCAAATTAAAAATAAAATTTAAAATAAGAATTTATTTAAAAGCAAGATGTTGATAATTATGTTCAAGGAATGAATGAATTGTGTTCTATTCACAGAAAAATTATGGCTTATAAACGTGATGATGTAAAGGATATTTTTATTTTGATAGACAAAAAATCTCGTTATAAGATACTCCCTTGGGAATGAAGATAGTCCCTTATAATGGAGGCTCTTGTAACGATGTGTATTTTAAATAGAGGGAAATCTCATTATAAGATACTCCCTTGGGAATGAAGATAGTCCCTTATAATGGAGGCTCTTGTAACGATGTGTATTTTAAATAGAGGGAAATCTCATTATAAGATACTCCCTTGGAGCTGAAAATAGTCTCATATAATGAATTTTTTATAACGAGGCGTATCTTGGAGGGGAATCTCGTTATAAGAGATACACATTGCGGTTCGTATCTTGTATTGGGATGTACCTTAAATAGGGTGTATGTAATATTGAGAGGATCATACTGACATGAGGTGCATCTTAGATAGAGGGTATTACTTGAATAGCTCTCCCCACCCAAGACCTCATTGTACCCTTAGGGCTTATACTCATTCCTTATAATGGGGTGTATCTTAAACTGAGGTTTTATTGGGAGGTATCTTATAAAGAGGTTCAGAAATTAATTTTTTCTCAGTTGCCCAGTGAGGAAAGTTTAAATGATTGGCAATTTTCTACATCTCTTGGAAACCCAGAACAATTACCCTACCTTCTCGAAGGAGATATGGTACTGAGCGTCGAACAAATTCAATTACTTGTCGCTGACTTTCGTTCACAATTATCCAAAATAGAATATTGTCAAGCAAATAATTGTAATGAAAGAAAGAAGCGAATTTTAACGTCAGATTTAAGCCGTCGTTGGAAGGAGTTCCCAATTCCTTTTATTATCCAACCAGACGTTAATCGCCAAGCTATACTCGAAGGAATTGAAAATTGGGAAAGAACTACTTGCATTACTTTTGAAGAAAAAGAAGAATTGCCTTCTGATTCGTCTGGTTTAAATTTTGTTTTTGGAGAGGGGTAATTTGTGGGTTATTTAAGAATATTTTTATTTTTCTTTTAGTTGTTTTTCAAATGTTGGAATGGTTAAAGGACGTAATCAAAGAATTGGGATTGGAAGGAATTGTGATAATCCGTTTGTGGTTAGCCATGAAATAGGTGGAAAAGAATTTTATATACAAACGGGCCTCATTATATGATAGATACTTCTTTTTGTGTAGCATATAAGGTTGGGGGTTTCGAGTCGGACCGCATTTTTTCGAGTCATTTTTTTCGGGTTTCATTTTTATGGGGCCGGCCCGACCGAACCTTTTTCGGGATAAAATTCAATGCCCGACTCGATCATTCGGACCGGGCTGTATTGGGCCCTTAACCCTAGTGCCATTTGATTTTTAACTGAATGTAATATAGTTGGATGTTTTGTTTAGAAAATAGTCTCTTATAATGGAGTGAGTGTCTCTTAAATAGAGGGTATTGCTTAGGGAGCTCTCCAGTCCTTTATCTAGTGCTGAGAGTATCATAATGAGATCTGGCTATATTAAAATTCAAAATTTTTATCTTCCAGCACACGCTCTCGGCTTTTTCCACGAACAATCCCGGTGGGATCGAGATGATTTTGTTGAAATTCAATTTGCCAACATACTCCCCGGGTTTTTAAACCAATTCCTCAAATTTTCCTCTTCATTAACCACAACATTTGGAATTAAATATGATTTGGGTTCTGTGATGCATTACGATGCTTTTGTAAGGAGAAAAAAATTTTTTATTTTCTAAAATTAATTTTTGAGGGATATGCTAAGGAAGGAATGGCTACGATACTTACTAAGGATGTAAATTATCAGGAGACTATAGGCCAACGTTTTCGTTTGTCATTTGATGATGTTAGGAAGATGAATTTTGCTTATTGCAATGGTTAGAGAATTTAATGAAAAGTTAAAAAATAAAGAAAACTCATGAGACACCCCCTATTTGGTTATAATGTCTTGAGGCCCTAGTTTGAACCATAACTTTTTCGATTCTTAACCTATTTAATTAAATATTATATCAATCGAAAGCTATCGATGTGAGTATTATTTTATCTAAAAGGAGTGATTTGATCAGATTATCCTACAAAAAGTTTCATTTGGTTAAGTGCGCGCAATCATGATTTTTGAAATTTATTTGGCTATAACTTTTTGTAGGATGATCCGATCAAATCACTCTTGTTATCTAAAATAATCCTCTCATTTAGAGCTTTCGAATGATATAAAGATTATTCAAATCGGTTAGGATTACAAAAAGTTATGACCCAAAATATGACCGAGATTGAAGCAGTGACTGTGAAATATTCCCTACCCGTTTTTATATTGGGCATCTTCCTTACGTCCAACAAACAGCTTCCCTCCAGTATTCAGTTTATCTTTAATGAGGTTTTACAAAAAATCATCAAAAATATATTTTTTAGCAAGCTGCCCCTTTCAACTTCCTTGTCTTCATTCTGGTTATACCGACCCCAAAAATTGTTCAAAATGTAGATGCCCTGACGGCCTAACAGGTCTTTTATGCAGCAAAGTTGCACGGACAAAAACTTTATGTGGAGATCATCTAATTTTTAAAAGCGGAGAAGAATATAAAAAATTACAGTTTAAAGGTGTTGGTGAATGCAATTATTTAATTAAGGTAAAAAACTACCGTATTTACTGTAATAGAGCCCTTCTCGGGGGTAACAAAATTTAGCTACGAGTAGGCATCGATTTTGCAACCTCCTGGAAATTATTGATAAGCCGCTTTCGTTGACCAAGAGGGTTTGGGGGGGCACATGGAGCTAGATTTTATTAAAGAGGAGCTCTAATTCAAAGGATAGAGAGGGCTCTAATAATGTGCTAATTAAAAATCATTTTTGAAAGATTTATTTTTAAAAATTTTTTAAGGCACCTAGTGATTCGCGTATTTGTCTTTCAATGGATATTATTCATTTTAGAGACCATTGCCAACAAAATTCTTTTGTAAATTTTTAATTTTAATTCTTAACTGAATAGCTATTTCTAGGTAGAAATTCACTACCAAACTTCTTTGGGGAGAACTGGAGCATTGTAAGTTTCATTACAGTTGGGGCCTCACCATAAGAGACCCTCTTAAATAGGGGGGGCTCGCTTAGACAGCACCCCAACTCGATTGTACCCATATTTATGAACCCCATAAGCCATTGGGGTCTCCTAGAACTTCACTACATAGAAGCCTTTAACTTTTTCTTTTTCCGGTTCTGCATGGATACTCAACGGAGAACTTTTACAAGCGAAGGAAGCCAAGTACTTATTCTCTATCGTTCTGATTTTTCTAAAAATCAGTTTTCATTGCGTTACAAAACTTGTTAATCAAATGGGGAGAGGCGGGAGATTAAATAAAGTTCCAAAACATAAAGAATTTATTTACATTATTTACTACAACAAAAAAATTTCACAACAATATATATATTTACATAACAATAGGGTCACACAATTATATTTACAATATTACAAACAAATATACACAAATCACCTAACATTTTTATATACTTTTACAATTCTTGTTTAGTTGACATCATCCACAGATTCGCCACCTTTACGCGGGAACGGGTTCATATCGTCTTCGAATTTCGCGTAGATGTCGTAGAAGGTGATTAGCTGGCTAAGCGTTCGGAATTTGGGCTATCCTTCAATATCAATCTTTATGAGGTCCTTCCCGCAGCACACAATTCGGACATGACTGAAAAAAGATATAGTTTAGAGATTAGTATTTTTGAGCCCCAAGAGCCCCGACTTCCCCAATTCCCCACTTACCAATATTTCCCCTTCAGATTTTTGTAGACAATGAACAGCGGCAGAACACTTTGCAGCTGATCCTCATCGACAACCACAATTCGATGGTAGAGACGGAACATGCCAGCAGCTTTACATTGACGCTCAGCTTCACTCGGTGTGCACGGTCCTGCATAGAACTCAGTCAGCTTCTCTTTAGGGTTGACAAGGTCTCTGCTTTTGGTCATGTCCACTTTCGCCGCGTATTTGACATCAGCAGTTGACCTTTAAGTGAAAGGAATTTTTTGAAAGAAAAAAATTTTTCTTGAGAAACTCACATTGGAACAGCGACACCCGCAGCAGAAGGAGGAACTGGCCTAGCGAGCGATCTAAAGCAAAAAATTATTAGAGAATAAAATTCAGTTATGTTTTTACTTTTCGCTCGATTTGGGAACGACATATGATTTGTCGAAATTGGGTGGGCCAACAAAAACACCCTACAAGAAAAAAAACACTCTACACTCAAGGGAAGCAAATGAATGGAGATTTAAACATTGATAACGGGGATTTTTTAATTTAGTAGGTTTTAAAAAGGGGTAAAACTTGAATTAACAAACGAAAAATTTTGTGGAAACCAAATAACAATAATTAATTTCTAAACCTAATTTTCTGAATTCTAACAAAAGATTGGAGTTCTTCAGCCATTTTTTCTGCTGATTCCTTGTTCTTCTAAAGCACACTCATCAAATAGACGGTCTTCCAGCAACAATTCACCGGCCTAAAAAATAATCTTGAAACAATAGTAAATAATTGAAAATAACCTCTTTAAAAATTTTTAGGCTTCTGGATACTCTCTCAAAGCTGAAAATCAAGTAATTAAAAAACCTTTAAAAATAAAAACAACCTATAAAAAGATCAACCATTCAAAACAAGCAAATCAATTCATCTAACCAATGGACATTTGCTGTACGTCTTCTCGTTTGACAAGAACTTGGCCAACATTTAATTGGCTTTAACATTGAGTAAGGGATAAACTTATTTAAGGGAGAAACGTTGCGGACAAGACTTGCGAATTTAATAAAGTAAAAAAGCTGACCATGTTGACGAAAGCATTGGAGTTTAATGAAGTCATTGCCCATATTTCGCCGAAGCTAACATGGGACTTTTGCCCATATTTCGCCGAAGCTAACATGGGACTTTTGCCCATATTTCGCCGAAGCTAACATGGGACTTTTGCCCATATTTCGCCGAAGCTAACATGGGACTTTTGCCCATATTTCGCCGAAGCTAACATGGGACTTTTGCCCATATTTCGCCGAAGCTAACATGGGACTTTTGCCCATATTTCGCCGAAGCTAACATGGGACTTTTGCCCATATTTCGCCGAAGCTAACATGGGACTTTTGCCCATATTTCGCCGAAGCTAACATGGGACTTTTGCCCATATTTCGCCGAAGCTAACATGGGACTTTTGCCCATATTTCGCCGAAGCTAACATGGGACTTTTGCCCATATTTCGCCGAAGCTAACATGGGACTTTTGCCCATATTTCGCCGAAGCTAACATGGGACTTTTGCCCATATTTCGCCGAAGCTAACATGGGACTTTTGCCCATATTTCGCCGAAGCTAACATGGGACTTTTGCCCATATTTCGCCGAAGCTAACATGGGACTTTTGCCCATATTTCGCCGAAGCTAACATGGGACTTTTGCCCATATTTCGCCGAAGCTAACATGGGACTTTTGCCCATATTTCGCCGAAGCTAACATGGGACTTTTGCCCATATTTCGCCGAAGCTAACATGGGACTTTTGCCCATATTTCGCCGAAGCTAACATGGGACTTTTGCCCATATTTCGCCGAAGCTAACATGGGACTTTTGCCCATATTTCGCCGAAGCTAACATGGGACTTTTGCCCATATTTCGCCGAAGCTAACATGGGACTTTTGCCCATATTTCGCCGAAGCTAACATGGGACTTTTGCCCATATTTCGCCGAAGCTAACATGGGACTTTTGCCCATATTTCGCCGAAGCTAACATGGGACTTTTGCCCATATTTCGCCGAAGCTAACATGGGACTTTTGCCCATATTTCGCCGAAGCTAACATGGGGCTTTTGCCCATATTTCGCCGAAGCTAACATGGGACTTTTGCCCATATTTCGCCGAAGCTAACATGGGACTTTTGCCCATATTTCGCCGAAGCTAACATGGGACTTTTGCCCATATTTCGCCGAAGCTAACATGGGACTTTTGCCCATATTTCGCCGAAGCTAACATGGGACTTTTGCCCATATTTCGCCGAAGCTAACATGGGACTTTTGCCCATATTTCGCCGAAGCTAACATGGGACTTTTGCCCATATTTCGCCGAAGCTAACATGGGACTTTTGCCCATATTTCGCCGAAGCTAACATGGGACTTTTGCCCATATTTCGCCGAAGCTAACATGGGGCTTTTGCCCATATTTCGCCGAAGCTAACATGGGACTTTTGCCCATATTTCGCCGAAGCTAACATGGGACTTTTGCCCATATTTCGCCGAAGCTAACATGGGACTTTTGCCCATATTTCGCCGAAGCTAACATGGGACTTTTGCCCATATTTCGCCGAAGCTAACATGGGACTTTTGCCCATATTTCGCCGAAGCTAACATGGGACTTTTGCCCATATTTCGCCGAAGCTAACATGGGACTTTTGCCCATATTTCGCCGAAGCTAACATGGGACTTTTGCCCATATTTCGCCGAAGCTAACATGGGACTTTTGCCCATATTTCGCCGAAGCTAACATGGGGCTTTTGCCCATATTTCGCCGAAGCTAACATGGGGCTTTTGCCCATATTTCGCCGAAGCTAACATGGGGCTTTTAATGTTGCTGCTGCTGTTGTTGTTGCTGCTGCTGCTGCTGAAGTTGTTGCTGCTGCTGAAGTTGTTGTTGCTGCTGCTGCTGAAGTTGTTGCTGATGCTGTTGTTGCTGCTGCTGCTAAAAATCAGATACGTTTTTCAAAAATTGAAAAAAGCAAGTCTTGTCCGCAAGTCATACTCCTCCCCACCGCTCAAAAAGGTTACCCCCAAAAAAAAGGAAAAGCCATTCCTTCTGTTGTAGAACATCTTTGCTATAAATGGACAACAGAGGACTCCAAAAGAAGCATCAAAAATCGATTATTGATTTTTGGGATGAAGTGTCATTTAATCTTAATGTTTTGCATTATGCCAAATAGCGCAGATTTTTGAATTCTGAAAGAAATATTTGTTAAATGGTAAAGATATAACGGTTTTGAAACCGATTTATGGATTTCTAGTTTTTAATTGGATATTGGGAACACATGAAATAACAACACAAAAAACAGTGAAGTGGTCAGAGAAAAACATTTTCACTACTCTGCCGAGGAAAAATTAATTCTTTTTCTCTAACCAGTTCAAGTTTTTACATGTCTAAACAATCGTGTCCGGACAAAATATCGAATCGTTAAAATGTGGAATAGGCTAAAAAAGGGTTAAAATCTCGAATCGGGTAAAAATGGGTTAAAATCGCGAATAGGCTAAAAAGGGGTTAAAATACCGAAACGTTAAAATATGGAATGGTTAAAATCGCGAATAGGCTAAAAAGGGGTTAAAATACCGAATCGTTAAAATATCGAATTGATAAAATGTCGACACGGCCAAAATGTGTCAAAATGTCGAATTTTTTTAAAAATGGCGCCAAAACCTAAAATCCGGGCGTTACCGTAATACCGACGGTATTTTTCGGTATTCCGTGTCGGTAGTACGGTACGGAATGCCGACCGATAAAATTTAAAAGCTGATCGGTATTTTTCGGTATTCCGTACCGTATACGGTAAGGTACAAAATTTAGGTCTTAACTAAAAACTAGTGACGCCACTCTAATTTTTCCGTATCAGGATCCTGTTGTGTTTTCCGGATCCGTACGATCATGCCGGACCGGATCCGGTCGATTATGCTTGATTTAACCGGTCCGGTTTTACTCCGTAAAATACACTGAACTCGGGCAGAAAAGATTACGCCGGACTATGACATACGAGACTTATCAATCAAATTACCAAAAATAAGTTGATACATTGATAAAATTATCAACAATCAACATATGGCACACATCTGACCCTTTTTTAAAAGAATTCGACATTTTGACCCATTTTGGCCGTGTCGACATTTTATCAATTCGATATTTTGACGATTCCATATTTTAACCCTTTTTTAGCCTATTCGATATTTTAACGATTCCATATTTTAACGATTCGGTATTTTAACCCCTTTTTAGCCTATTCGCGATTTTAACCATTCCATATTTTAACGATTCCATATTTTGTACCGGAGCCCTAAACAATAAAATCAATAAATATAAAAAGAGTGCGAGAAATATAGAGACATTAAACAGTTAGAGAGTTGAGGTCAGTTCAGTGCGAGCGAAATGGCCAGTTCAGTGCGACAGACCGGCTGTTCTGAAAATACTAAAAGATTCTCCCTTCTAGCGTCAAATTCGAAATACTACATGTAAAATCTGATTAACGAGCCTCGTCAGATTTTCACACTGAACTGACTACAGATAGTAGTAGAATATTGTAAGAAAATTTAATTATGTAATTGTTAAAAAATTAACAATTTTTTAAAACAAAAGAGAAATAATTTTTACTTTTAAAGTAAAATATATTTTTGTTGTCCTAAAGAGATTGTTGTTGATTTTCTTCAAAATTTGTAGGATGAAAAATGTAAAGCCCATTTTGGCACTTTGAGAAATTTTGGGAAAATTTTTGCTAATGTAACCCATCCCAGAAATTCAAGTGCTGAACGAACACTGCGAAAATTGGATGGAGTAACGCCTAAAAGAAATTTAATGTTTCAAGTTTAATCGGACCAAATATAAGATACCCCTTTGAGATTGGAAAATAGTCCCTTATAATGAGGGGTATATTAAATAGAAGGTGGTGCTTTAGGCAGCCCCCATGCTTTGACCAAACAAATTTTTAAAAAGTTTCTAAAATAGAGGGTTCTTATACTGGGTGTTACCCTCTATTTAAAATACATCTCATTCTTGGATACCTCCAAGTGTAAATTAAATAGACGAAATCACTTGGGCAGCTCCCCCATCCTTTGGCCAACCAAATTTTAAAAAGTATCTTAAACAGAGGTGTATCTAGTATTGGAGGGTATCTTATAGCGAGGTTCTACAAATCTTTAAGTTCACCATTTTTGTCAGTAAATCCATATTCTGTCGCCAAATCTTCAGTAATGTGTATTCTTCCCGTCTTTTTAATTTTATTTGGATCACTTGCCAATCCCACAACTGCTTTTCCAACAAAGTCAGTTGTTTCTGCTGTTGCCAAAGAATTTTTAAATGCTTTCTTAAAATTGAAATTTTATAAAAATTTTAAAAACACAAAACTGTGGTCATTCCAGCTGCTTTAGAAAATTGCACTTCATTAGCCTCCAATGTCGCCAATTCGGTTCTGACAAAACTTGGCCATAGCGATACACAAGTAACACCAAATGGTTTAAGCTCTAAAAATTTTTATTTAAAAATTTTGTTGAAGTTAAAAAATGTCCTCACTGGGTAAAGGCTATTCAAGAGGACTAATGAAATTACAGATCCCCTTCCCATCCGAAATAGAGAAAAAGATATTAGGGGGGCAATAAAAGAGAAAAAAAACAATAAAAATCTTATTTTGTCATCAGGCACTAAACTAAAAAAATTCCACGAAGCGACATTTACTCACGAATGTCGCACATTTAGTGGAACACAATCCTATGTCAATGTCACTGTCGCGATTGACATTTGGACAATGACATTTTGAAGTCTAAGGAAAGCTATAAATCACCCGAATATATTTAAAAATAAAAAATACCAAATCCCATGTCTGCAGTCATTCTATCTATTGCAGTTTTCCCAACTCCATATGGCACAGAAAATAAATATTGTAAACTTCCAGCCGAACTTATATTTACTATTAAACCATCTCCTTGAAATTTTTTTTATTTTTTTAAATTTTGTTTAAAATAAAAACCTTTTGGAACCATTAAACGTGCTGCAAATGTAGAGCAAAAATAAGCATTTCTAAGGCCTACTTCATTTATATCATCCCAAAATTCAGGTTCGCATTCCCAAAACTTTTTGCCGGCATTTTTCATTAAACTCTAAAAAAATGGAAAAATTTATAAAATAAAATGCGGGTTCAACATTCGTCCTCAAGGATGGTAATTCACTTGGAACGGCAGGAGATTCCCACCCAGACGGCTTCATAGCAAAAATCACCCGTTAAACCGCCACCCATCCTTAAATGTTGAGCCCAAATTAAAATACAGCCGGATTTTACTCATGTCTACTTCCCTCCCTTTGGAGCAGAAAAAGATGTATAAATGGAAGCACGTCTCTCCTCCTAAACGAGAGGAGAACTCTAATTAAAAAAAAAATAAAATTTACTGGAGCTCCAGAATAAGCATTATTGACGAGAATATTTAAACGTCCTCCTTGTTCCTGTTCAATACGTTTAAAGAGTGAACGGACTTCTTCAGTTTTTGAATGGTCACAATATATTGGATGTGAATTGCCTCCATTGTCTTTAATTTCTGAAAATGGGGAATTTTGAAGTTTAAAGACCCGATAGACGCCACATGAAAAACTTAACCGGTCGTCAACAATCCTAGACCCCATCTTCATTTCTTTCCTTTCAAGGGGCTACATGAAAAATGAATTCTTCCATGGATATGGAAAATGAACAAATATGGCCGTGGTAAAGAGAAATACGGAAAAATAGGAAATGAATAAAAACAATGTCCCGAAAATTCCCTGGAAAATTAAAAACAAACAAAACCTTTTGCAGTCTGTTCAAGAGAAGGCAATTCATTTTGTGAAAAAGAATTCGAAGGGGCTCTTCCAGTCAAATAAACAATTGCCCCAGCTTGTCCCAATTGCAAGGCTATTCCTCTACCAATTCCACGAGATGCCCCAGTCACCAACGCAACTTTATTTTCTAACGGACGAATAATGTTTTTTGATGCCATTAATAAATTTTTAAAAAATAAAATTGATAAAATGATAAAAATTAAAAAAGATAAAAAATGGAGTTAAAACAATATTAAACAGACATTTTAAGTCATTTATATATTTTATACAGAAAATAAAAGTGCACATTTAAGGGATAATTTAAATTAGAAAATATAGGGCACGAAGGAAAAAGTTAAAAATAATATGCCTTTGGTTTAAGATTATGACCGCAATGTTATTTATAAGAGAGATCGAGCCTGGACGTGGACAAGTGAGGGTTGATTCGTTGACCTGGGCAGGTAATTCAAGAAAGATCCAGAAAAAGACCAAGAAAATCAGGAATCCCTGGGGTTTTCCCTTGGGCCCAGAAATTCTGGAATAAATATTTAATGTCCAGAAAACCCCCCAAGAAAATCCAGGAAGGCTCAGAAAAAAGCACAAGCATGGAAAAGGCACGGAAAACCCCAGGAAGCTCAAAAATGCAGGGTCGGGCCTTCCCTCCAACCATAGACCTTGTCCTAGACCCAGCTCGATCCCCTATCTAACAAAAAAATTTACAAAATCACCATGTTTTTCCATTCAAATATAAGGAGCAGTATTGTTCGGACCTCCCGGTCCTGGCAAATTTCTCGACGTTACTTGATTCCCTTCAATAATCATCGAAAAAAGATATCGGTATTGTCCATTTGGAATTGCCCGGTAAATTAGAATGACGAAGTAAGCAAAAGCGAAGAATGCCAACAAACAGAGAACATAGAAAAAATTTTTTTTACATTTAAAAAATTAAAAATTAACCGTAGCAAAAATATAAGCAAAAATGACACCGCCACTATAACGAAATGAACTTAAGACAGCTATAGCGCCTATAATTGAACCAATTCCGTAGGCTACAGTGCCAATGCATGCGACGATAGTATCCTGAAATTTTTTAATCGTTAGAAAATTTTTAAATAAAAAATTTGGCAAAGGAGTGGAGTGTTGCTTTATTGGGCTTTTTGTAGGTAACTTTATTTCCTTTTTTGGTTCACTTATGGCAGTCAATAAGGCTTACGTTAAAATAAAAAAAGTCAGAAAAAAAGCTGCAAGAAAATTTCGCAAAAGGGGAATCCGCAAGAAAAGTTCGCAAAAGGGGAATCCGCAAGAAAAGTCCGCAAAAGAGAATCCGCAAAAAAGAAGGGTCCCCAACAACGCCCAACTCTTCCCAAATGCCAACAAAAACTCACAATAAGAGCAAAAGGAATAAATGCAAATCCACCCCCAAAGTGCACATCAATCTTTTGAAGGCCAAAAAGATAACAAAACCAACTTATGAGACAAATAGGAAGCAAATTCCAGCTTATGTAAATAATAAATGCAATTGTGTTGTAGAAGTAATCGGCATAGAAAGTAAATATCACAATGATTAAAGGAATCAACTTAAAAAATTGAAAAAAATATTAAAATTAACCAGTGAAATGATCCCAAGGTTTAGGAAACGTTGAAAAACAAAAATCAAGAAACAATCGATTTTCCTGAGGACCTATATGATTTAATCAAAACGGAAAAACACTAAGGCAATGATTTATGGTTCCAGCAAAATCCCAAATATTCGAACCTTAAAAACTATTCAAATGAAGAAAGAAAATGCTACGAGATTCCAATGGCTCCGGTAAGACACCACAACATTCACCTAACCCAAACTTATTCTACAATAATTTTGCTAAATTACCGAGCGGTTTCACAATTTAGGGATTTGGAAACCCCAGGAGAGAACCCATCACTCACCCTAACAAAAAATTCAAAAACAATTATTAAAAAACTCAAACCCAATGCATAGTTTTCAGAATACCAAAAGGCCAAGCACAGACAAAACTCTTGTCAATTGAGACCATCCTTGCAAAATAAAATTTGAATCGAATGTTTGCTTAAAAACTTTTTTAGTAAAAATAAATTAATCGACAAAAAATAAATAGATTAAGCATTTAAAAAGCTTAAAAATAAATAAATCAGTCAACATTTAATAAATATTTTTCTAAAATAAATTAAATTTTTTTTTGAATAAATTAAAGAGATCGAGTGAAGAAAATAAATATACACAAAACACAAAGATAGGGACACGCCCAAGTAGGCGCGCGGTCATAAAGGCGCAAAGCAATAACTTGCTTCTAAATTTTTAGCTCTTATCAACTTTGGTACCAATCTCTTTAGCTCAATTAGAGGAATTGTTTAATGCTAAATTAGGTAAGATTCAGAAATCCTGAAGCAAATTATGGCTTTGCGCCGTTATGGCCGTGCGCCTGTACCCCAAAAATAAATTTTATTTTAATCTTGTTGTTGACCAGCAATATAAAGTGTTAAATGACATTCAAGTTCAGTAGCCGAAAATATTGCTCCTTTTCCATTTACAATTTCTAAAAAAAAATTTTTATTTATAAATTAAATTTAAAAAAAAACAAAACTAATTCCAAGCCTAGCAATATATGGCGATAAGCTGCTCACAAAAGGATATAATGCTCTTATATCCAAAATAGCTGAAGAAAATTCATCGATAGACCTTCTTGGGGTTACTAGAAATGTAAATTTTTAAGACTAAAAAAATTAAAAATAAACCAGGAGTTGTAGTTGATGAACCAGTTAATGACAAATTTGTCAAATCGCCAGCATAAATATCAACTTTTGCCATATCTGTTATAGCACAAACACTAAATTCTCCAGAATTGTTTACTCTAAAGGCCTGAAATAAAATAAGCTAAATTTCGACCCATGTGGTGTAGTGGTCAACAGCCCTGACTTGGAGTAAAAGGGGTCGAAGGTTCGATGGCTAATGGGGGATGATTTATTTTATTTCTGTATGCCTGTTAGACAGCTAGCAGGGTTCATGAGGAAGAATCATCTCCTCCCATATGGGTAAGCTTCGACCTCTTATTAACTATGAAAATTGGGACTGAAGACCACTACAAATGGCGTTACCATTACGCTGCCGTGGTGTAATGGTTAAAAGCCTTAACTCTGATTAAAAGGAAAGGCCTAGGTTCTGGAAGATAATGGTGGAAGATAGTGGCATGACCTAATATGGGGAAATAAACAGGTCTCTAGCTCATGCCGTCAAAACCCTTAAGACAAGATCAAGTCACTGACCTAGCTAATAAGCGAAGAAAAATCCTTAAAAATCCCCCTTCTAAAAGTGCCTAAAAACCCTACATAATTAAATTAAATAAAAAATTTAAAAAAATTCCAAACCCTTACAGCATTCTTTGCTCCAATATTTTTAACAGCAGACAAAATTTTCGACAAATTTTTGACTGGAGGCAAAGTAACAGCAACAGAAGGAGTTCCCATATTTGGAGGATTATAATCATTCCAATTTCTGACCAGAATAAAATTTATTGGAATTTCATTGACCAATCCATTTGCACTCAATTCAATTCTCAAATGTGGAATATTATCTTTCTTTACCAATTTAAATTTTGCTTGATTTTCACGTGATTGTATTGAACCAATTAAATCATCAGTGGAAAGTTCAAAGAATATTGCGTTGTTTTCCACAGAAATTCCTTCAAATACCCAAGAACAGAAAAGTTGGTCCTATTTAAATTTTTAAAATTTTATTAGAGACAGACTTCATTATAAAATACACTTTAGACTAGATATAAGGGAAACTGCCAAAAATTTAAAATCTCGAGATTCCATACCTAAAAAATGCATTAATTCATGATAGGATCTCTGACTTGATACACATCTAAAAAACCTTTCTTAAATTAGGGTGGCCACTGGGTGTGGGAGCTTGTGTTCCCCTTCCAGATACAACTCAATATAAAGTCTCTCTATAAGACACTCCCAATACTGGATACACCTCTAGTTAAAAGACGCTCTTAAAAATTAGGTTGGCTACTGGATGGAGCTTCCAAAGCGATACTCTCTATTTAGACTACACCTCATTACAAAGTCGATTTTTGATCCCAAGGGTGTCTTATATTTAGTCTGGCTATATTAAAATTAAAAAACCTTTAACAAACGAAAATCCAAACAAATTCCTTCTCTGATGCTGTAAACATTAACAAAACTAAATTCATTTGGTGTAATCCTCACAACAATTCTTTTTCTACATATTTTAGACGCAATTCCTAACACTTCTAAATATCAAAGATTTTTATTTAGACCGAAAAAACAAACTTGAAAAAATTTCAACTGATTTAGAATCTCCAAGTACAGCAGTAAAACGCATCTAGACTTGAAAAAAATAATTTAAAGTTTAAAAACAGTTAAAGGTATGTTGGGTAATTAAAATACAAACACAAAAATATTTTTAGAACAACAAACTTTATTTTATTCTAATTTACGTCAAAAATGACGCTAAAAGCCAAGATATAATTTTTTTAATATTTTGTAAGATATAAGATAAGATCTGGAATTTTGGTCACTGACAAGAAACATCGTCTACTGACAGTGCAAATTCGATATGTTTGCGTTTACTTCTAAAAATGACCTTGGGAGATGATGACTTTGAAGAATGAAAGTTGAATCGCTAGGATGAGAATTATAAGGGTACAGAAGATTTGGTCAGTTAGTAATCCAGGTGTTCATTCTACGTATAAAACTTACACTGTCTTGTGTGTGTTCCGTGTAAGAATATAAAGAAACTCAACTATTAACCTCGAAATTCCGTCAATGTCCAAAATTCCAGATACTCCAAAATAAGTTAAATTTCTATCACACTTTAAACTTTTTAAGAGGCACGCTTCTGTATAATCAAAGGTCCAAGATTGTCACCGGTCTCTTTATTATGTGCCATGTGACTACCATCGCAAAAAGGAAACTAAAAATAAAATGGAATCGAACTCTAAATTAAAAAAACCTTTTTTGATTGCCAACAACGACAAAAAACTTTTTTATCCCCAATATCCTCCAAATCCACTTTATCAGCAATTTTGTCTTTTTCTAACGAAATTCGCTTGTTGTGACGAACAGCAAAAGCAAGTCCAGTACGGCGTCCAATAAGATAACCAATAGTTAACCCACCAGCGAGAAATGTTATAGCAAGAGCGATTTGTGCTTTACCTTTAAAAGAAAGTTTTGGACTAATGTTTAAAGTGAACAAAAATTTTTTTTAAACTTTAGACGAAGGGGTTTCTCCGACGTATGGTCCTGAACTAGGTACTTTTCGATTTAAGTCACCTGGACATGTATTATAAAAAAACGCAAGGAACAGCAAGGCCAACGGAAAACCTCATTGCCAGCCTTGGTAACTTCAGCCAAAGGAAAACTTCAGCCCCCAGCCCTCAGAAACTTAAAAAAACTTTAAAATACCTAATGCATCAGTTGAAAAAGTAGAGTTCGACATCTTCTTCCAAATACAACTAAAAGCTTTCTAGTCTTAAGATTAAAAATCTTTAAACTTAAAAAAATTAAGAGAAAAGAAAACTCTTTAAAAAATTAAATAAAAAAGTAAAAAATATATTTATTTTTGTATTTGTATTTAAAATATCAACACAAAGAACAACCTAAAATTATCAAAAAAAACAAATGAAAAGTTAATTCCGAGATGTTCCACAAACAAAAATAAAAAGCAAATTTCGTTTGATCTCAAATATTTTATGGAGGTAAAATAATAAAAATATGCACATTTTACTATGCTCTTAAATGTCAACAACTATTTGAGGACAACAATCCATTTTTGCTATAAATATCAACACAAGTCCTTTCTCCAAGCAAATATTTAAATAATTCATAAGCACTCCAACTTAGAGCTGTTGCCGGCATTTGATATAAAACTCTTGCTTGAATACCAGAAAAGAAACCGAGAAATCCGCGATTTGAATAAATTGACCAAATGGCATCGAAAACACCTTTAAATTTTTAAAATTAAAATTCCTCGAAAATCTATAAAAAACCTCTATAAGAACCTCCAAAATATAGAATAGACCCTCTTTGGTCTAACAATGGTTGTGGAGACTGTTGGGTGTTTAACACCTTAAAGGTAAATTTTTAACAAAAAGTAAAGATTTAAAGGAATACCGTTTTAATGCAATCTAGAGGAGTCGTCAATGCTGCTGCGAGACCTCCAGAAAGTCCACCGGAAAGTAAATGACTTTTTGGGTCATAACGATGGCTTGGATTTATTAACTGGAATATTTTTAATTTATTTTTATAAATATAATGCAAAACGCCACGCCGAAATACCACACCTAAAAAATGACACTATACTTGAGCGTCCGGAACTGTCGGGGTTTTCGAATCGGGCCCACGTTCGAGTCATTTTTATCAAACCGGGCCGTTCAAGTCTTGTTCGGGCTAAAATTCAATGCCCGTCTCGATCTTACAAACCGAACCGGGCCCCACTAGTCTAGTACTACGGCGTGTAAGCAAATTTAGAATTCAAAAAACCTGTTGCCAAAATTCATAGCTCATAAAATGGACTGCTTGGAAAGGTATGTTCATCAAAAGTTGTGTTGAATATGACCGGTAAAATGCAGAAATACCCTCAGTTTTGTAAATACAACGCACACATTCCAACGACCCTCCATAAGGACTATAATGCATTTGCATTCGTTGTTTGATAACTTCGGCTGGATTCATTATTAAATCGTGGACAACTGTTGCAGCAACTCCAGCAAGAGCATAAGACACCGTATTAGAATGGCCATAAGTATTTCCAGTCAGCATGCCCTTTAACAAAAATAATCAGTCGGACTCGGTATGAGATAGTTTTGGGGTTTAAAATCTTCCTGGAGTTGAGTCGTATATACGAAAAAACATCCAGACAAGTTCCTACCCAGAAATCGTGTAAAGTATCCTAAATTGAGAAAGACACACCTCGGGTTGAAAAAAAGTCACGTCCGGGTCGAATTTTCAAAACTTTCCCAGATATCTGATGTAAAATTTGGGTATACCTGACACACTTGGTAGGCCCGAGTCAAGCCACTTGAAACAAAATATAAAACCAAACCTTGACTTTTTCATAAAAGGTGAAATACAAGGCATGTGCCGGAATCGACCCAAAAGCAACGGCATTAATTCCACGAAGCGTCCTTCTAAACCCTTCTCTTTTCGCAATTGAAGCAACTCCATGAAAAGGTGTTGGACATTCCCACTCAGGACACGGACAAAGAGATTGAATCCGCGTCTTCACACTATCCAAAGGGAACATAACACAATGCTCTGCCATACCAGCTACGGCACCAGCAGCCATGTGAACAGGCACAGAATAAGAAAGACCTAAAGATTCGTAATCCCACTCAACGTTTCCGCTGCTTTGCTCTGACATAATTAACTTAAAAAAATTTTAGAAAATTAAACGGAGAGCAAAAAAACAAGTAGTAATGTAATAAAAACAATCAAACTTGAACAAAAAATTTTAACAATCAATTTATTAAAAAAAATAAATCTAAAAAAAGATACTTTTTGGTATCCCGTCCCTCCCTCTTATATTACCTTTTCCAGACAACGGTGAATCCTAAAGATATCCAAAATTAAAGTCAAAGAAAATTTTATTACTTCTTCTAAAGGTTTTAATTTTTACATTTTCCAGACAACGTTGGATCAACCTGAAGAAATGGATCCTAACACTGAAGAAATACTTATCAACGCGGCCTGTTGTTATATCATTCGTCTGCATCTATACTACAAACTTGGCCATAGCAAAATTCCACTCCATGGTATCCTTTTTGTACTAAAAAGTTAAAAATAAATTTAAAAATCATTTTTAGAAACAAAACCTTTTTTTAAGGCTAGCAAGCGCTTTTTTATAACTGGCCCCACAAATCAGTTCTTAATTTTGTTTCACAAAGACGGTTGAGAAGCTGTTTAAGAAACCAATTAGGTGAAGAGGTATGGTAATATAGAAGTCCTTTAATAAGAGGCAGCTCCTCGTGTTAATTTAATTCTTCCAGCTTGTTACTTCTTCTTGCTTCAAGATTTCCGAATCTTACCAAATTTAGTATCAAGCAAATCTTCTCATCGAGCTAAGGAGAATGGTACCAAAATTGTTAGGGGCCAGATATTTTCCAGCAAGCTATGGCTTTGCGCCGTTATGGCCGTGCGCCGTTTTGGGCTGTACCCCCCTCTCTAGGCATAAAAAGTCCTTTAAAGTTTCATCCTTACTTAATTGCCAAAGCGTCTCCAGTCTTGTTATTACGAATAGAATTAACGGCCGCCGCGTAAGCGTTTTTCAGAATAATTTTACGATCCTTGTTCACGTTTAAGGCCTGAGCCAGATATGTCTTTGCGACTACTCATTTTGAATGAAATAGTTTTAAAGATAAATAATAATAAATATATTTGTAATCTAAATATCTGAAACAAAAAAGAAGAGGCAGCAGAGCTTCTTCCGGAAGAGGCAGCAGAGCTTCTTCGCTCTCGAATTGAGGAATCCTCTGTAGAGATGGCAGAACTTCAAACGGAGCTCGCAAAGACATATCTGGCTCAGGCCTTAAACGTGAACAAGGATCGTAAAATTATTCTGAAAAACGCTTACGCGGCGGCCGTTAATTCTATTCGTAATAACAAGACAGGAGACGCTTTGGCAATTAAGTAAGGATGAAACTTTAAAGGACTTTTTATGCCTAGAGAGGGGGGTACAGCCCAAAACGGCGCACGGCCATAACGGCGCAAAGCCATAGCTTGCTGGAAAATATCTGGCCCCTAACAATTTTGGTACCATTCTCCTTAGCTCGATGAGAAGATTTGCTTGATACTAAATTTGGTAAGATTCGGAAATCTTGAAGCAAGAAGAAGTAACAAGCTGGAAGAATTAAATTAACACGAGGAGCTGCCTCTTATTAAAGGACTTCTATATTACCATACCTCTTCACCTAATTGGTTTCTTAAACAGCTTCTCAACCGTCTTTGTGAAACAAAATTAAGAACTGATTTGTGGGGCCAGTTATAAAAAAGCGCTTGCTAGCCTTAAAAAAAGGTTTTGTTTCTAAAAATGATTTTTAAATTTATTTTTAACTTTTTAGTACAAAAAGGATACCATGGAGTGGAATTTTGCTATGGCCAAGTTTGTAGTATAGATGCAGACGAATGATATAACAACAGGCCGCGTTGATAAGTATTTCTTCAGTGTTAGGATCCATTTCTTCAGGTTGATCCAACGTTGTCTGGAAAATGTAAAAATTAAAACCTTTAGAAGAAGTAATAAAATTTTCTTTGACTTTAATTTTGGATATCTTTAGGACATTTTTTAAATGACCACCCCCCCCCCCTCCCCGAAAATTTTTCCTGAATACGTGTCCAGGAAAGGGGATATCCAAAAAGTACTCTAAAAAACAAAAAAAAACTATGGATTTTCAACTCGCCGAAACAACGCCAACCACTTTTGACCTGAATTTCTAGTAACTTTTTGTCCTTCTTCAGTGCTATCATAAAGTAAAGGCACAATCTCATCTTTTTCTTCTTCTTCCTTCTCCAAAAGTTTAAAAAGTGGGTGTTGTCCAATTTGATCAACCATCCATTTATGTACTTCTTCTACGTCAGTTATTGTATAGATTCTACCTGAATAGAATAGATAAAGTCGGATAACAAAATCAAAACTAGCTATAGCCTTATTGCAGAAAACCCAATTCCAAACTGTGGAAATGATGTCGAAATACAAACCCAATACACCAGACTGATAAAAAATGTCAAAATACCAAATCCCCTAACTAACTATAAAGCCTTTAAAGAGCGAGTGTTGCTTCAAGTAATTAGGATTATAAGGACACACCTTATCAACAAAGGTATATCTTATAGTGAGGATATTACCTTTCAATCAATTCTAAACAAAAGACAAACCTCCAGGTTTCAAAACAAAAGCATATTCAGACAGCAAATTTGTTGAAATTATTCTCCACTTGTGCTTTGTCTTCTTAAAATGAGGGTCTGGGAAGAGAAAAAACATTTTGTCAAGTTGTCCTTTAAAGAAAAAGTTTGTAATGTTCTTCATTGCATTGCTTCTAACACAACAAATGTTTCCATATTTTGAGGGGTTTTGCTCCCGTAAGGCTTTAATTCTGTCTTGAACAAAATCTGAGACCTAAATTTTTTTATTAAATTGATAGTCTGTCTGACCTCATTATAGGAAGCACCATTGGGTTAAGAAAAACGTCACTTATAATGAGGTCCTTTATGAAGGGATGTCTCATAAATGGAGGAAATCGTTTAGGCAGAGGATATTGACCTCTCCCTGCTATATTGTCCTCTGCTGGACAATATCCTCTGCTATCGTCCCCCATCCCGTAGCCAACCATATTTTTATGAGCGTCCCTTAATTAGAGGTTTATCTAATATTAGGAGTATCTATAGAGAGGCCCGTCAAACTAGTTTCAACATTACTTTGACTCTAATCTCCATTCCAACCATCATAATGTCAGGTAACATGGGCGAAAGTCTAGCCAATAGACCGCCGTATCCACAACCAATATCAGCAAATTTAGGCAGACAATTACTTGAAGGAGAAGAAAAAAGTTGAGACCAATCCATTCTTAAAAAGAATTTTTTAAAAATTTTCTTTAATCGAAAAAAATACTTTTCTGGAGAAAGAGGGTAGACTAGATCGTGATCAGACATTGGATTGCTATGTGCTCTTTGGCGATAGAAACGTTTTTGAGGGTAGTGGATCGACTGATTCTTACTTTCATTGTTGAGTTGGGAACAATTTGGAATGTTTTCAAACATTGAACTAAAAATTTTTTAATTAAAAAAATTCACAACAAAAAAACAGAATTGCCAATTCTTTCCTATTTTCTTATTGTCCAATTGTCGTACCACAAAATGACATTTACTGAAAATGGCCGTTTAATCGCCAATGTAATTACGACGTTTCATCGCCATAAAACCGTATTAACGGAATATACAGTCGGGCCCTGATTCTGAATCCCCCTAATTTTACCTCGCTTTTAGATACTTTCTAGAGATTTTGAGATACTTTCTAGAGATTTTGAGATACTTTCTAGAGATCTTTTTTCTAGATACTTTCTAGAGATCTTTTGGCACACTTTGTGGCGTTCTTACCATTTTTCGTAGCTATTCTCATCATTATCTCTCCCATCTCACTACGATAGTGCTAAAGTGATACTCAAATTTAGAGTGGGACTTGTACGTAATTTGAGCTATAAAAGCCGAAAATCTTTAGTAATAATTAATAATCTACCAAATCCACAACCCGTATTCTCTTCAAATAATTTATTTTGTACACGTCCGTTGTTGAAATGCGTAGTACACGAATCATTCAAATCGTTAGTGACTTTCTTTATTTCTTTATGCATTTTTATCATTTCAGTTGAACCAGGTCCGCGGATTGACTTCTGATGAAGCAGAGGAAGTTTTAATTAGAACAATTGAGGAAAACAGCCGAGAAGTAGCGGAGTTACAAACCCAACTTGCAAAAGTTTACCTGGATAAAGCATTGAATAGCAAAAAGGAAAGGAGGATGTATTTGAATAAAGCTCTTGAAGCGGTGAACAATTCGCTCCGGATTGATAAAACGACAGAGGCGTTGGCTATTAAGTAAGGCTTGAAATCTTAAAGACCTCTTTTGTGACCTTAAAAATTAGGGTAGAAAACAGAAAATATTCTATTAGGAATATTAATTCGTAATACCGTTGATAAGGTAAGAGTAAGGAAAATGGTCGTTGAAGGGAAGTCTCTCTCCCACCCCCCCCCCCCGAGTACCGATTTCCAAGCTACAATTCTTTAAAACATTGTAAAAAATTTATTTAAGATGCCGAGTGTTGGGACACATTATAATGTGTAATGGTATCAGTTATGACAGTGTGCAGAAGGCGATTGAAGTGAAGGTAATTTTATTGTTTTTTAAAGAATTAAATTTTTAACTTACAGCAAACGATGGACAAGCTGGAGGAGATGGACTCTCAAAACGTGGAGCTGCCGCTTATTCGCGGACTTCTATATTATCATGTTTCTGCTCCAAATTGGTTCCTCAAACAGCTTCTTAAACGCTTATGTGGAACAAAATTGAAGGAACTGATAAGCGGTGCAAGTTATAAGAAATCACTTGCTAACCTTACCAAGGTTTTGTTTCTAAAAAGGATTTCTAAATTCATTTTTAACTTTTAAGTACACAAAGGACACTATTGAGTGGAGTTACGCTATGGCCAAGTCTCATTTAAAATTTATACCTTAAAAAATTAATACCTTTTAGTTGCCAACGAAAACTGAAAAACTTCGATAGGGCTGCTTTTTTTTATGAAAAGATGCTACAAATGGCAGTAAAGAATGTATTTGAGGAGGTTTATTTTTGTTAAAATAAAATAAAGTTTTGTTGCTTTTTCCTTTGCGGAGAAAAAAGACGAGAATATTTATTCTCCTCGAGCATTTCTGGTATAGAAACATGTAACGGAGTATTACTTTTTTTCTGGGGCGGGGGCCAAAAATTGATCGATCACAATAGATTAATTTTTTATTTTTAAATTCAAAATTTTAGGAACTTGTGGTCAAGGCTCGAGAGAAGTTGTCTGGTCGAAAGAAGTGGTAAAGGTTAATATAATATATTCGTATTGCGATTGTGTTATATGTTCGTAATGAATTTGTGTGTTCATATTAATTTCATAATAATAATTTCGTAAAAACTTTCGTAAAAAAATTCTTATCTTAAAACTTTCTTACTTAGACTTTTCTTAAAACTTTTTTTATTTTTTCTTAAAGATTTTCCTTATTATTAAAATTAGTCTTTTTATAAAACCCTAGTAGCCCCCCTAACTCACTAGTCCATAAAAATCAAAGGAACATAGTGGAAATTCACAAGCACAAAAAGGAAAACTGGCAAGTTGGCTAAAATTAACAAGTGGTAAACTTGGCCTGAAATAAATTGTGGTAACGGTTAATTAACAGTATTCGTATTGTTCGTCTGTTCTTATTAAAAAGTGTGTTAGTGTTCATATACCTTATTTCTTATAATAAAAAAATTTCTTATTTTTTATTAAAAAACCTCTTCTTAAAAATTTTTTCTTAAAACTTTCTTATTTTTTATTGTTTTCTTATTATTAAGCTTACAATTAGTTTTTTTAATTAAAACCTAGTAGCCTTTCCCCTAACCCACTAGTCCATAAAAATCAAAGGAATACAATAGAAGCACGAAAAGGAAAACTTTGGAGAGAAGAAAAAAGAAATGTACTCTACAACAATTTTATCTAAAATTTTATTTCTTAATTTTTCAATTCAAAAAAACCTTCAATCTTAAATCTATATCCCTTCATTTTCTCAAACAATCTTCTTATTGCTGCCTTATCAACAAATTCATCGGAACAGGTTGTCGATTAGGTTGTCGAAAATATTTGCAACAATTTGAAGAGCTTCTCTTACCCAAACATCACTGACCTAAAAAATTTTTTTCAAAAAAATCTAAAAAATTTTAAAAAACCGGATTAGAGCCTTGATAGACTGGCCGAACATTTGGACTTGACGGAAGTGGAGAACGTTTATTGTAAGGTTTAGCTGTATAAGATTCCAAAGCGTGACAGAGGACATCAAAACCAGAATAAATTGCAACATTTTTAGGCATTGACATAACATTTAGAGGATCAATTATTGCCAAATTTGGTTTGATACATCGAAGTCTGATGCCTGTTTTGCATTGTTTTTCAGGTATGTCAATAATTGAAACGCCAGTTGTTTCACTTCCAGTACCGGCAGTTGTTGGGACCTTCGAAAAAAAAATTAAGTTTTTCAATAGTGGGGGCAATTAAGAATTATTGAGAAATTTCCTGTTGAGAAACACCCCGCAACCTTGAGAAACTCCGATGGGCCCTTCAGATGTTGTCGAAAACGGAAGGCGTAAGAAAAAATAAAAAACGTAAACGAAAACTATGCTTCGAAGCATCCTCCCTCGGATAATATAAAATGACTGCCCTCCCTCAAAAAAATATTAAAAAAATAAATACAACAAACAGCAATCAGTGGAAGCATTGTTTTATCAGGAATAAGCCCAAGGCCAAATGGTTTTTGTACAAAATCAAAAAATTCAGCGTTTAGGTTGTTTGCATACAAAGCTGCTGCCTTAAAGTTTACAAAAATTTTTTTAAAAATAAAAAAAAATACTTTTGCAGTATCAATAACAGAACCACCACCAACAGCCAAAAAACAATCAAAAGGTTTTTTTCGAGCAAAATTGATAGCTGATTGCATACCCAAAAATAACAAAAATATTTTTATAAAATAGCCTTGGTAAATGACACCAAGGATGGACTGGAATGAAAAAGTTGATTGTGCCCTTGATAAGCCTTGCCCGAGGGCAAAGAGTAGAAAAGGTTCGAAGAGCTTACAGTTCGAAACCAAAGAACCGAAGATTTCTAGCTCTTCGGCTCGCTTCTGGAAAGAAGATTTCCCGGTAACCAACAAACCTAGGATCCATAACCTATACAAGACCCCAAAATAATTTTCAAAACAAACTTTGTTGTGAAGGTTCACATTTAATCTCATCAAAAACTTCAAAAGCAATTCTCAATTTAGTTAATGAATTTGCAACATTTCTTTAAAAAAAAGATTCTTAATTAATTAAAAAAATTAAATTAATACTCAAAAGCAACAGTTTTAGCCACATTTTTGTCAGTTACAATTAACGGATTTTTAGCTCCAAATGTGACAACATCAAAACCAATTTCTTCTGTTACTCCTTCTACTATGCTCTTAAATGTCAACAACTATTAGATGATAACAATCCATTTTTGCTATAAATATCAACACAAGTCCTTTCTCCAAGCAAATATTTGAATAATTCATAAGCACTCCAACTTAGAGCTGTTCATCGAAAACACCTAAAATTATTGGAATGTAATTGTTGAAAAAATAATTTATAAAAACCTGTATAAGAACCTCCAAAATATAGAATAGACTGGTCTAATAATGGTTGTGGAGATTTTTGGGTGTTTAGCACCTTAAAGGTTACTTTTTAACAAAAAGTAGATTAAAAATAATACCGTTTTAATACAATCTAGAGGAGTCGTTAATGCTGCTGCAAGACTTCGAGAAAGTCCACCGAAAGTAAACAATTCCAGCCATAGCATACGACACCGTATTAGAATGACCACAAGTATTTCCAGCTAGCATGCCCTTTAACAAAAATAATTAGTCAGACTCGGTAAAAGATAGCTTTGAGGATTAAAATATTGCTGGAGGTGGGTCTTTTATAAAAAGTAACGCCAGACAAGTACGCGTAAAAAACATTTTAAATTGAGGTAGGAAATCCACCCCTTTTAATAAATGTTTGAAAAATGTCTATTAATGTCCAATTAGCAGAATATCGGAGGTAGCAAGCAAGGACAGCTTGTATTAAACTAATAATAAGCATTTTAATATATACACAAACCTTGACTTTTTCATAAAAGGTAAAATACAAGGCATGTGCCGGAATCGATCCAAAAGCAACAGCATTAATTCCTCGAAGCGTCCTTCTAAACCCTTCTCTTTTCGCAATTGAAGCAACTCCATGAAAAGGTGTTGGACATTCCCACTCAGGGCAAGGACAAAGAGATTGAATTCGAGTCTTCACACTATCCAAAGGGAACATAACACAATGCTCTGCCATCCCAGCTACGGCACCAGCAGCCATGTGAACAGGCACAGAATAAGAGAGCCCTAGAGATTCGTAGTCCCAATCAACGGTTCCGCTGCTCTGTTCTGACATGATTAACTTCAAAAAAATTTAATTAAAATAAAGAATAATAAAAAAGATATCAACTGACAAAAACAGTCAAAAAACAAAATTTTTAAGAATAATTTTATTGATAAAAAAAATAAAAAAAAATACAAATTTTTTTAAGGATTTTTAAGTCGCCGAAACAACGCTAACCACTTTTGACCTGAATTTCTAGTAACTTTTTGTCCTTCTTCTGTGCTATCATAAAGTAAAGGCACAATCTCATCTTTTTCTTCTTCTTCCTTCTCCAAACGTTTAAAAAGTGGGTGTTGTCCAATTTGATCAACCATCCATTTATGTACTTCTTCTACATCAGTTATTGTATAGATTCTACCTAAATAGAATAGATAAAGTAGGAAATCAAAATCAAAACTAGCTATATGATACACCCCAATAAGTAAGGTAGTACGCCGTAATTCAAAACGCCGAATTCCAAACTGTAGAAATGGTGCCGAAATACCAACCCAACACCAGACTGATAGAAAATGTGAAAATACCAAATTCCCTAACTAAAGCCTATGAAGAGCGGGTGTTGTGTCAAGTAATAAGATGTATAAAAACACGCCTCAAGATGACTTAAGAGTGTAATTTATAGTAAGGATTTTATTTTTCAACCAATTCTAAACAAAAATAAACCTCCAGGCCTCAAAACATAAGCATATTCAGAAAGCAAATTTGTTGAAATTATCCTCCATTTGTGCTTTGTCTTCTTAAAATGAGGATCTGGGAAGAGAAAAAACATCTTGTCAAGTTGTCCTTTGAAGAAAAAGTTTGTAATGTTCTTCATTGCATTGCTTCTGACACAGCAGATATTTCCATATTTTGAGGGGTTTTGCTCTATCAAAGCTTTGATTCTGTCTTGAACGAAATCTGAGACCTAAATAAAAAAATTTTTAAACTGATATGACAGTCTGACCTCACTATAGAAGGCACCATCGGCCTTAAACACCGTCCCTTATAATGAAGTTCCTTATAAAGAGGTGTCCCTTAAATATAGGGTATCGTTTAGGCAGAGGATATGTCCCCCGCCCCGCATCCAATCAATTTTTATGAGCATCCGTCCCTTAAATAGAGGTTTATCTAATATTGGGGGTATCTTATAAAGAGGTCCGTCAATATAATCTTCACGTTACCTTGACTCTAATCTCCATTCCAACCATCATAATGTCAGGAAACATGGGCGAAAGTCTAACCAACAGACCTCCATATCCACAACCAATATCAGCAAATTGAGGCAAAGAATTACTTGAAGAAGAAGAAAAAAGTTGAGACCAATCCATTCTTAAAAAGAATTTTTTGAAAATTTTTACTCGAAAAAAATACTTTTCTGGAGAAAGAGGGTAGACTAGATCGTGATCAGACATTGGATTGCTATGTGCTCTTTGGCGATAAAAACGTTTCTGAGGGTAGTGGATTGACTGAATCTTACTTTCATTGTTGAGTTGGGAACAATTTGGAATGTTTTCAAACATTGAACTAAAAATTTTTTAATTAAAAAAATCAGGTTTCACGACAATAAAAAACAGAATTGCCAATTCTGTGCTATTTTCTTATTGTCCAATTGTCGACAACAAAATGACATTTACTGAAAATGGCCGTTTCATCGCCAATGTAATTACGACGTTTCATCGTCATAAAATTATATTAACGGAATATACAGTCGGGCCTCGATTCTAAAGTGGGCACGACTTGTCGTCTTGGCTTCGCCACATGGGGCAAAATTTCAAAGCAAAATTTCAAAAATAGATAACTTTTGGCAAACTTTGTGGCGTTCTCACTATTTTTCTGCCAATCTCATCATATAACATTATCTCTCTCATTTAAGATTTTTCATATGACCAACTGATGTAAATGTCACTACGACAAAGTGACCACGTCAGGTTAACAGAAAATCATGCCATTGAAAAATAGTGTGCTAAAGTGAAGAGAGACGTTATACATTCAACTTTTTCACTTTATTTCCGGTAGTTTCAGTGTCAATTATTAATTACGGGTTGAGTGCCAACTTAATCGCAGAGTTTGAGTGTCAATAAGGAGAAAAATCTCTCTCATTAGGTAAATCTTTATATCTTTTAACACTTTAATTCTATACTTTTCCAATTATCCATTTTTGTATTCCTAAAATAGTTCTTTACACTAGTACCCTCTGTTATTCTATTCGCACTCCTTACTTATCTCGCACTTTATCACTTTAGTACCATCTTTTATTCATCTTCGAACTCCTTATAAATCTCGCACTTCTTTACACTAGTACCCTCTGTTAGTCTATTCGCACTCCTTACTTATATATCACTTTATCACTTTAGTACCATCTTTTATTCATCTTCGAACTCCTTATAAATCTCGCACTTCTTTACACTAGTACCCTCTGTTAGTCTATTCGCACTCCTTACTTATATATCACTTTATCACTTTAGTACCATCTTTTATTCATCTTCGAACTCCTTATAAATCTCGCACTTCTTTACACTAGTACCCTCTGTTAGTCTATTCGCACTCCTTACTTATATATCACTTTATCACTTTAGTACCATCTTTTATTCATCTTCGAACTCCTTATAAATCTCGCACTTCTTTACACTAGTACCCTCTGTTAGTCTATTCGCACTCCTTACTTATATATCACTTTATCACTTTAGTACCATCTTTTATTCATCTTCGAACTCCTTATAAATCTCGCACTTCTTTACACTAGTACCCTCTGTTAGTCTATTCGCACTCCTTACTTATATATCACTTTATCACTTTAGTACCATCTTTTATTCATCTTCGAACTCCTTATAAATCTCGCACTTCTTTACACTAGTACCCTCTGTTAGTCTATTCGCACTCCTTACTTATATATCACTTTATCACTTTAGTACCATCTTTTATTCATCTTCGAACTCCTTATAAATCTCGCACTTCTTTACACTAGTACCCTCTGTTAGTCTATTCGCACTCCTTACTTATATATCACTTTATCACTTTAGTACCATCTTTTATTCATCTTCGAACTCCTTATAAATCTCGCACTTCTTTACACTAGTACCCTCTGTTAGTCTATTCGCACTCCTTACTTATATATCACTTTATCACTTTAGTACCATCTTTTATTCATCTTCGAACTCCTTATAAATCTCGCACTTCTTTACACTAGTACCCTCTGTTAGTCTATTCGCACTCCTTACTTATATATCACTTTATCACTTTAGTACCATCTTTTATTCATCTTCGAACTCCTTATAAATCTCGCACTTCTTTACACTAGTACCCTCTGTTAGTCTATTCGCACTCCTTACTTATATATCACTTTATCACTTTAGTACCATCTTTTATTCATCTTCGAACTCCTTATAAATCTCGCACTTCTTTACACTAGTACCCTCTGTTAGTCTATTCGCACTCCTTACTTATATATCACTTTATCACTTTAGTACCATCTTTTATTCATCTTCGAACTCCTTATAAATCTCGCACTTCTTTACACTAGTACCCTCTGTTAGTCTATTCGCACTCCTTACTTATATATCACTTTATCACTTTAGTACCATCTTTTATTCATCTTCGAACTCCTTATAAATCTCGCACTTCTTTACACTAGTACCCTCTGTTAGTCTATTCGCACTCCTTACTTATATATCACTTTATCACTTTAGTACCATCTTTTATTCATCTTCGAACTCCTTATAAATCTCGCACTTCTTTACACTAGTACCCTCTGTTAGTCTATTCGCACTCCTTACTTATCTCGTACTTTATCACTTTAGTACCATCTTTTATTCATCTTCGAACTCCTTATAAATCTCGCACTTCTTTACACTAGTACCCTCTGTTAGTCTATTCGCACTCCTTACTTATCTCGCACTTTATCACTTTAGTACCATCTTTTATTTATCTTCGAACTCCTTATAAATCTCGCACTTCTTTACACTAGTACCCTCTGTTAGTCTATTCGCACTCCTTACTTATATATCACTTTATCACTTTAGTACCATCTTTTATTCATCTTCGAACTCCTTATAAATCTCGCACTTCTTTACACTAGTACCCTCTGTTAGTCTATTCGCACTCCTTACTTATCTCGTACTTTATCACTTTAGTACCATCTTTTATTCATCTTCGAACTCCTTATAAATCTCGCACTTCTTTACACTAGTACCCTCTGTTAGTCTATTCGCACTCCTTACTTATATATCACTTTATCACTTTAGTACCATCTTTTATTCATCTTCGAACTCCTTATAAATCTCGCACTTCTTTACACTAGTACCCTCTGTTAGTCTATTCGCACTCCTTACTTATATATCACTTTATCACTTTAGTACCATCTTTTATTCATCTTCGAACTCCTTATAAATCTCGCACTTCTTTACACTAGTACCCTCTGTTAGTCTATTCGCACTCCTTACTTATCTCGCACTTTATCACTTTAGTACCATCTTTTATTTATCTTCGAACTCCTTATAAATCTCGCACTTCTTTACACTAGTACCCTCTGTTAGTCTTAAACAATTTAGTAGACTCATCTGACAAACTTTTTACTACAAAATTGCGCACTTAAAATTTATTTTTTTCCAATGCTTATAAAATTCGTCATTCCCTTTTTTTATTGTTATTAACATTTGCGTGTGAAAACTAAAAAAAAATTTTTCTATTAAATCAATTTTAATATTTATATAAATAAAAATGCCATTGCCGCCAACCTATGTATTTAATTCTTAATTGACTAACAGTGTTTCTAGTATATCATTTAGGTATTTTACCCTGAAATTCTTTAGAACTGAAAAGAAAATAAAAATATTTAAATAATTAAAAAAAAAATTTTTAAGGGCCCAATTAGGCGCGCGCCCAAGTAGGCGCAAAGCCATAACTAGCTTGAAAATTTCTGGACCTTAACAATTTTTGTACCATTCTCTTTAGCTTAATGAGAGGAATCGTTTGATACCAAATTTAGAAAAATTTGAAAATCTTGAAGCAAGTTACGACTTTGCGCCTACTTGGCCGTGCGCCTATTTGTACCCTTAAAAAATAAAAAATTTTTTAATTTATGAAGAATATTCTTTTAATTTCTTTTATGCTAATTTTCAAAAGAATTCTTTCTCTTATTCAAAAAAATATTTTTTTCCTCAAATAACTAAAATCCATTTCTAAATTTATTTTCTCTCAATTAATTTTTTAAAATTTAAATAAAATACATATATTAAAATAGCTGACTAATTTAATTAAATAAATAATTCTTTTTGCCGTTTATTTTATATGCCCAATAGAATTGTAGGTGTGTGCCATACTTTTTATTTGTTGGAATTTATTTTTACTCGTTTCCTTTTCATTTAAACAGATTTTCTCATTTTTATTTATTTAATTAAAATACTCCCTCGAGGTTAAAAAATACTCTTATAATGAAGTGTCTATTAAATAGAAGGTATCGGCTTAGTTAGCTCCCCACTCAAAAATCTTAAACTTAAGAAGCGTCTCTTAAATAGAGGTGTATTTATATTAGAAATCGAAATGTCGTTAAGTCGAAATTTTAAGTCGAAATTTCGCGAAATTTCGAATTCATTCAAAATTTCGAAATCAAATTCTGAAGTCGAAATTTCGACATAGCTCTAGTCAATCAATTTTCTAGTCAGGAAATAGAAGGATTTTTAAAATTAAAGTAATGAATACAAGTCGAAATTTCGCAAAGAGATTACACTTTTAAATTGTACACCCCAACTTACCGTGAGCCCAGTTAACAGCAGAGCTATAACTTTGTTCAAAATGGTCGAATCCGGGACGCCCTGGTATGGTTCGATTCAGTTCGTCGAGGCGCATCGAACCATACTAGGGCATCCCAAATTTTACAATTCTGAACGAAGTTATAGGCTCTGCGGTAAGCTTGCGTAAGTTGGCCTGCTCCCTTCTAAATAGGGTGTATTTTTAAGCACTATTTAATAATTAATTTTCTTCTTTTTTTTTCAGTTTATTTAAAATTAATTTTTCTATCAAAAAATTAAATGAATATTATTACTCCAAACAAAATTTTAATTAAAAAAAGAAAAAATGTCTGAAGACCCCTCAACCCAAACAACAACTATTCAAGAAGGACAATTCTCAACTAATGACCACCAACAAGAAAAAATTAGAGATATTATAGTCCTTCCACCCCCAGAAATTATTAATTCAGTAAATGGGGGTAATGACGATATTGATAAAATATTGGGACAAATGGCTGAATTTATGAGTGAAAAAATTATTGAATGTAGACAGGTGGGAATTTAAATAAAAAAATTATTTAATTTATTCTAAACGATTTTTAAAATTGGGGTAATGAGAAATTATTTCTCATTAGAAATTATTTCTCATTTATAGTAAGGATTTTATTTTTCAACCAATTCTAAACAAAAACAAACCTCCAGGTTTCAAAACATAAGCATATTCAGAAAGCAAATTTGTTGAAATTATCCTCCATTTGTGCTTTGTCTTCTTAAAATGAGGATCTGGGAAGAGAAAAAACATCTTGTCAAGTTGTCCTTTGAAGAAAAAGTTTGTAATGTTCTTCATTGCATTGCTTCTGACACAGCAGATATTTCCATATTTTGAGGGGTTTTGCTCTATCAAAGCTTTGATTCTGTCTTGAACGAAATCTGAGACCTAAATAAAAAAATTTTTAAACTGATATGACAGTCTGACCTCACTATAGAAGGCACCATCGGCCTTAAACACCGTCCCTTATAATGAAGTTCCTTATAAAGAGGTGTCCCTTAAATATAGGGTATCGTTTAGGCAGAGGATATGTCCCCCGCCCCGCATCCAATCAATTTTTATGAGCATCCGTCCCTTAAATAGAGGTTTATCTAATATTGGGGGTATCTTATAAAGAGGTCCGTCAATATAATCTTCACGTTACCTTGACTCTAATCTCCATTCCAACCATCATAATGTCAGGAAACATGGGCGAAAGTCTAACCAACAGACCTCCATATCCACAACCAATATCAGCAAATTGAGGCAAAGAATTACTTGAAGAAGAAGAAAAAAGTTGAGACCAATCCATTCTTAAAAAGAATTTTTTGAAAATTTTTACTCGAAAAAAATACTTTTCTGGAGAAAGAGGGTAGACTAGATCGTGATCAGACATTGGATTGCTATGTGCTCTTTGGCGATAAAAACGTTTCTGAGGGTAGTGGATTGACTGAATCTTACTTTCATTGTTGAGTTGGGAACAATTTGGAATGTTTTCAAACATTGAACTAAAAATTTTTTAATTAAAAAAATCAGGTTTCACGACAATAAAAAACAGAATTGCCAATTCTGTGCTATTTTCTTATTGTCCAATTGTCGACAACAAAATGACATTTACTGAAAATGGCCGTTTCATCGCCAATGTAATTACGACGTTTCATCGTCATAAAATTATATTAACGGAATATACAGTCGGGCCTCGATTCTAAAGTGGGCACGACTTGTCGTCTTGGCTTCGCCACATGGGGCAAAATTTCAAAGCAAAATTTCAAAAATAGATAACTTTTGGCAAACTTTGTGGCGTTCTCACTATTTTTCTGCCAATCTCATCATATAACATTATCTCTCTCATTTAAGATTTTTCATATGACCAACTGATGTAAATGTCACTACGACAAAGTGACCACGTCAGGTTAACAGAAAATCATGCCATTGAAAAATAGTGTGCTAAAGTGAAGAGAGACGTTATACATTCAACTTTTTCACTTTATTTCCGGTAGTTTCAGTGTCAATTATTAATTACGGGTTGAGTGCCAACTTAATCGCAGAGTTTGAGTGTCAATAAGGAGAAAAATCTCTCTCATTAGGTAAATCTTTATATCTTTTAACACTTTAATTCTATACTTTTCCAATTATCCATTTTTGTATTCCTAAAATAGTTCTTTACACTAGTACCCTCTGTTATTCTATTCGCACTCCTTACTTATCTCGCACTTTATCACTTTAGTACCATCTTTTATTCATCTTCGAACTCCTTATAAATCTCGCACTTCTTTACACTAGTACCCTCTGTTAGTCTATTCGCACTCCTTACTTATATATCACTTTATCACTTTAGTACCATCTTTTATTCATCTTCGAACTCCTTATAAATCTCGCACTTCTTTACACTAGTACCCTCTGTTAGTCTATTCGCACTCCTTACTTATATATCACTTTATCACTTTAGTACCATCTTTTATTCATCTTCGAACTCCTTATAAATCTCGCACTTCTTTACACTAGTACCCTCTGTTAGTCTATTCGCACTCCTTACTTATATATCACTTTATCACTTTAGTACCATCTTTTATTCATCTTCGAACTCCTTATAAATCTCGCACTTCTTTACACTAGTACCCTCTGTTAGTCTATTCGCACTCCTTACTTATATATCACTTTATCACTTTAGTACCATCTTTTATTCATCTTCGAACTCCTTATAAATCTCGCACTTCTTTACACTAGTACCCTCTGTTAGTCTATTCGCACTCCTTACTTATATATCACTTTATCACTTTAGTACCATCTTTTATTCATCTTCGAACTCCTTATAAATCTCGCACTTCTTTACACTAGTACCCTCTGTTAGTCTATTCGCACTCCTTACTTATATATCACTTTATCACTTTAGTACCATCTTTTATTCATCTTCGAACTCCTTATAAATCTCGCACTTCTTTACACTAGTACCCTCTGTTAGTCTATTCGCACTCCTTACTTATATATCACTTTATCACTTTAGTACCATCTTTTATTCATCTTCGAACTCCTTATAAATCTCGCACTTCTTTACACTAGTACCCTCTGTTAGTCTATTCGCACTCCTTACTTATATATCACTTTATCACTTTAGTACCATCTTTTATTCATCTTCGAACTCCTTATAAATCTCGCACTTCTTTACACTAGTACCCTCTGTTAGTCTATTCGCACTCCTTACTTATATATCACTTTATCACTTTAGTACCATCTTTTATTCATCTTCGAACTCCTTATAAATCTCGCACTTCTTTACACTAGTACCCTCTGTTAGTCTATTCGCACTCCTTACTTATATATCACTTTATCACTTTAGTACCATCTTTTATTCATCTTCGAACTCCTTATAAATCTCGCACTTCTTTACACTAGTACCCTCTGTTAGTCTATTCGCACTCCTTACTTATATATCACTTTATCACTTTAGTACCATCTTTTATTCATCTTCGAACTCCTTATAAATCTCGCACTTCTTTACACTAGTACCCTCTGTTAGTCTATTCGCACTCCTTACTTATATATCACTTTATCACTTTAGTACCATCTTTTATTCATCTTCGAACTCCTTATAAATCTCGCACTTCTTTACACTAGTACCCTCTGTTAGTCTATTCGCACTCCTTACTTATATATCACTTTATCACTTTAGTACCATCTTTTATTCATCTTCGAACTCCTTATAAATCTCGCACTTCTTTACACTAGTACCCTCTGTTAGTCTATTCGCACTCCTTACTTATATATCACTTTATCACTTTAGTACCATCTTTTATTCATCTTCGAACTCCTTATAAATCTCGCACTTCTTTACACTAGTACCCTCTGTTAGTCTATTCGCACTCCTTACTTATATATCACTTTATCACTTTAGTACCATCTTTTATTCATCTTCGAACTCCTTATAAATCTCGCACTTCTTTACACTAGTACCCTCTGTTAGTCTATTCGCACTCCTTACTTATATATCACTTTATCACTTTAGTACCATCTTTTATTCATCTTCGAACTCCTTATAAATCTCGCACTTCTTTACACTAGTACCCTCTGTTAGTCTATTCGCACTCCTTACTTATATATCACTTTATCACTTTAGTACCATCTTTTATTCATCTTCGAACTCCTTATAAATCTCGCACTTCTTTACACTAGTACCCTCTGTTAGTCTATTCGCACTCCTTACTTATATATCACTTTATCACTTTAGTACCATCTTTTATTCATCTTCGAACTCCTTATAAATCTCGCACTTCTTTACACTAGTACCCTCTGTTAGTCTATTCGCACTCCTTACTTATATATCACTTTATCACTTTAGTACCATCTTTTATTCATCTTCGAACTCCTTATAAATCTCGCACTTCTTTACACTAGTACCCTCTGTTAGTCTATTCGCACTCCTTACTTATATATCACTTTATCACTTTAGTACCATCTTTTATTCATCTTCGAACTCCTTATAAATCTCGCACTTCTTTACACTAGTACCCTCTGTTAGTCTATTCGCACTCCTTACTTATCTCGTACTTTATCACTTTAGTACCATCTTTTATTCATCTTCGAACTCCTTATAAATCTCGCACTTCTTTACACTAGTACCCTCTGTTAGTCTATTCGCACTCCTTACTTATCTCGCACTTTATCACTTTAGTACCATCTTTTATTTATCTTCGAACTCCTTATAAATCTCGCACTTCTTTACACTAGTACCCTCTGTTAGTCTATTCGCACTCCTTACTTATATATCACTTTATCACTTTAGTACCATCTTTTATTCATCTTCGAACTCCTTATAAATCTCGCACTTCTTTACACTAGTACCCTCTGTTAGTCTATTCGCACTCCTTACTTATCTCGTACTTTATCACTTTAGTACCATCTTTTATTCATCTTCGAACTCCTTATAAATCTCGCACTTCTTTACACTAGTACCCTCTGTTAGTCTATTCGCACTCCTTACTTATATATCACTTTATCACTTTAGTACCATCTTTTATTCATCTTCGAACTCCTTATAAATCTCGCACTTCTTTACACTAGTACCCTCTGTTAGTCTATTCGCACTCCTTACTTATATATCACTTTATCACTTTAGTACCATCTTTTATTCATCTTCGAACTCCTTATAAATCTCGCACTTCTTTACACTAGTACCCTCTGTTAGTCTATTCGCACTCCTTACTTATCTCGCACTTTATCACTTTAGTACCATCTTATATTTATCTTCGAACTCCTTATAAATCTCGCACTTCTTTACACTAGTACCCTCTGTTAGTCTTAAACAATTTAGTAGACTCATCTGACAAACTTTTTACTACAAAATTGCGCACTTAAAATTTATTTTTTTCCAATGCTTATAAAATTCGTCATTCCCTTTTTTTATTGTTATTAACATTTGCGTGTGAAAACTAAAAAAAAATTTTTCTATTAAATCAATTTTAATATTTATATAAATAAAAATGCCATTGCCGCCAACCTATGTATTTAATTCTTAATTGACTAACAGTGTTTCTAGTATATCATTTAGGTATTTTACCCTGAAATTCTTTAGAACTGAAAAGAAAATAAAAATATTTAAATAATTAAAAAAAAATTTTTTAAGGGCCCAATTAGGCGCGCGCCCAAGTAGGCGCAAAGCCATAACTAGCTTGAAAATTTCTGGACCTTAACAATTTTTGTACCATTCTCTTTAGCTTAATGAGAGGAATCGTTTGATACCAAATTTAGAAAAATTTGAAAATCTTGAAGCAAGTTACGACTTTGCGCCTACTTGGCCGTGCGCCTATTTGTACCCTTAAAAAATAAAAAATTTTTTAATTTATGAAGAATATTCTTTTAATTTCTTTTATGCTAATTTTCAAAAGAATTCTTTCTCTTATTCAAAAAAATATTTTTTTCCTCAAATAACTAAAATCCATTTCTAAATTTATTTTCTCTCAATTAATTTTTTAAAATTTAAATAAAATACATATATTAAAATAGCTGACTAATTTAATTAAATAAATAATTCTTTTTGCCGTTTATTTTATATGCCCAATAGAATTGTAGGTGTGTGCCATACTTTTTATTTGTTGGAATTTATTTTTACTCGTTTCCTTTTCATTTAAACAGATTTTCTCATTTTTATTTATTTAATTAAAATACTCCCTCGAGGTTAAAAAATACTCTTATAATGAAGTGTCTATTAAATAGAAGGTATCGGCTTAGTTAGCTCCCCACTCAAAAATCTTAAACTTAAGAAGCGTCTCTTAAATAGAGGTGTATTTATATTAGAAATCGAAATGTCGTTAAGTCGAAATTTTAAGTCGAAATTTCGCGAAATTTCGAATTCATTCAAAATTTCGAAATCAAATTCTGAAGTCGAAATTTCGACATAGCTCTAGTCAATCAATTTTCTAGTCAGGAAATAGAAGGATTTTTAAAATTAAAGTAATGAATACAAGTCGAAATTTCGCAAAGAGATTACACTTTTAAATTGTACACCCCAACTTACCGTGAGCCCAGTTAACAGCAGAGCTATAACTTTGTTCAAAATGGTCGAATCCGGGACGCCCTGGTATGGTTCGATTCAGTTCGTCGAGGCGCATCGAACCATACTAGGGCATCCCAAATTTTACAATTCTGAACGAAGTTATAGGCTCTGCGGTAAGCTTGCGTAAGTTGGCCTGCTCCCTTCTAAATAGGGTGTATTTTTAAGCACTATTTAATAATTAATTTTCTTCTTTTTTTTTCAGTTTATTTAAAATTAATTTTTCTATCAAAAAATTAAATGAATATTATTACTCCAAACAAAATTTTAATTAAAAAAAGAAAAAATGTCTGAAGACCCCTCAACCCAAACAACAACTATTCAAGAAGGACAATTCTCAACTAATGACCACCAACAAGAAAAAATTAGAGATATTATAGTCCTTCCACCCCCAGAAATTATTAATTCAGTAAATGGGGGTAATGACGATATTGATAAAATATTGGGACAAATGGCTGAATTTATGAGTGAAAAAATTATTGAATGTAGACAGGTGGGAATTTAAATAAAAAAATTATTTAATTTATTCTAAACGATTTTTAAAATTGGGGTAATGAGAAAATTTAATTGTGCTAGTATACATATTTACACATATGACAGGGCAGTTTCGAAAAAATTGCGAAAGTCGAAATTTCGAAATCGAAATTTAAAGTCGAAAATTTCAATTCAAAGTTTTTCCCGAAATTTTCACGAAATTTTCTCATAATTTCTAATTTTTCTCGAAATTTCGAATTGAAATTCAAATTCGAAATTTTCCCGAAATTTCGAATTGAAATTCGAAATCGAAATAAATTACAAGTCAAAACTTCGAAATAGAATTTCGAAGTCATTTCGAAATTGAGATTTCGCAACATCTTTGCTTGGGAAAAATAGCTGCTTTTTTACGAAACAATTGTTTTTCCTAGGAAATCTTTCTCTTTATTCTCTCCTCTAGGCCCAGGTAAATCACAATATTCTCCATAATAAGTTTCATTTCTTGGACAGATACATGTAAATTTATTTCGAGGCCAATGGTCGTGTCCATGCCAAGGTTTTTGGTGTCGTCGTCTGTCGCGTAAAATACAACGGCCACGTCCATGACAAATTCGTGTTGAACAACTAAAATTATTTTATAGACACTCAGAGCTCGTTATAAGAGACGCCCTTAGGGTCGGTTCTTATAATGAGCTGTATATTAAATAGAGGGTATCGCTTAGAAAGCTCACCCACCCAATGGTCAACCGAATTTAAGAAAGCGTCTCTTAAATAGAGTGTATCTAGTATTGGGTGTATCTAGTAGTGAGGTCTGACTATCAGAACCCTCAATACATGATACACCTCTATTTAAGGGACGTTTTCTAAATTTTGAGAAAGGAGGGAGCTATCTATGTGATAGCTTCTATTCAACATACACCTCATAAGAGACTATTTTCATCCCCAAGGATGTATCCAATAACGGGATTTTTTGTCTTAACTCTTTTGTATTCTCAATCAATTTTTGTACAAACGGTCCAAAAACGTTGTTTAAATACACAGAAATTGAATGGCATCTTTCTCCAATTTGTTTAGAACTTGACCAAATAATAAGACCATCAACACCTAATTGAGCTGTCCATTCATAACTACAAAAAAGCTCTTCTTTTGAATAAAACAAATTTTGGGAGGGAGAATAAGGGTCCAATTCCATTTTTGTAAATAAAATAACTGGGCGATCCTTTCGACGTAACGACCTTTGAAAAAAATTTTTTTGAAATTTCCAAAAAAATTTTTAAAGGAAAAACCAAGTCCATTCAGCCTCGGCTACTTTTGCATGCATGTGCCTTTCACACAGAATTTTTTTCCGTTTTCGATCACCGGGGTATAGATAAATTGAGGAATAGAGGGCGCTAACTTCTGCGTATAACCACCATAATCTAGAAATTTTTTTATTTGCCTGTGAATAGCTACTTTCAAGACCTCATTATAAGACCCTTGAAAAAATAGTACCTTATAATGAGGGGTATATTAAATAGAGGATATCGCCTAAGCAACTAACCCACCCAATGGCCAACCAAATTTTAAAGAGCGTCTTTTGAATAGAGGTTATAGTATAGAGGGTATCTTGTAATGAGTGTATCTTATAAGGAGACTCCCAATACTAAATACACCTCTATTTAAGAGACGTTCTTTAAAATTGGTTGGTCATTGGTTGGGGGTGCTCCCTAACTAATACTCTCTATTTAGTATACACTAATTATAAGAGACTTTTTCAGCCACAAGGGTGTATCTTATACTGAGGTCTTAACTTCTACTTGTCATTATGTTTTCTAAACAATTCCAAACAACCAACAGGCCATCGTTCACCCGCATCATAATTACACAAAGGCGTATCATAAAACCCCCACAAAGCTTTAGGGCGTAATTTCCTTCCCAATCTAATCGTTTCAACAGTAAATTTCCTCGCTCTTTTATTAAACAATTCTCGGCCTATTTCTGTTGCCGATTTTTCGCTAATTCCTGGGAAACGTTCAAGAACGTCTTTTGTAGATTCCAATTGGTAAATCCGTCGAGCTGCCCAATTTAGGGACCATTCGGGTCTCCACTTTTCGTAGTCGATTATTGCTGGTCCGGAGAAGTCGGGATCGGGGATTGCTTTTAAAATGTCGTTTTTGGCCTTTTCCAAGTGGTCGTTTAAATTTATGTTCTGTAAAATTAAGAATGATTTTAGATTTTTGTAAAACCTCATTATAAGATACCTCCAATACTAGATACACCTCTATTTAAGAAAGATCGTTTAAATTTTGGTGGCAACTGGGCAATACCTCTTTAAGATAACGCCCATTATAAATCACGTCTCATTACAAGATACCACCCATTACAAGATACCCCTTGATTCAAGAGCATCTCATTTTAAGATACCCACATATCCTCATTATAAGGTACGATTTATAAGCCCTAAGGCTGTATCTTATAGTGAGGTCTTTAATTTAATATACCCCCAATATAAGATACCCCTCATTATAAGAGAATCTCATTATAAGGTTCTCAGTCCTAGAGGTGTATCTTATATTAAGGTACTCTGTTGTTAAGACTAGTAATTTTTACTTGAGGTAGACCACCATTAATATATTTAACAATTAACGTTTTATTTAACTCTAAATTATCATCATTTGTAGATTCTTCTAAATCATTAAATTCTAAATAGGGATATAATCCAAGTTGGTGTTCATAAAATATTACAATCTTAAGGGAATTTTAATTTTTTAAATTTTAAGAATAACACCTCAGTTCCATGAAACTTTTGATTTTTGTTTGTTTTAATTCCAAATTTTTGAGGTTCTATAGGTTTTCTTGTTTTGTTTAGGCATTGTTGACTTGGAACGGCCCAATAAATCTAATATATTTAAATTACTTTCACTATTAAATACCTCCATATTAGCTACTACTCTGTTTAATAAACGCTTTTTAAAGTTGGAGAGAGAGAGAGAGAGGAGAGAGACTGACAATAGGAGAGAGAGTCTCTAGTTAGAAAGAGAGCCCCCAATACCCCCTATTTAGGAAACACTTCAATTTAAGCTCATTTTTGGCATTAAGGAAGATCATTTTTGGCATCCCTCGTCCTCTTTCTCAACTACAATTTCTCTCGTTTCATGTACTAGTTATTCTCTTTAAAAACCCACCTATTTAAAATACACCTCGTTATAAGCGTTTTTCATCCCCTACTATTTTTCATTTCTTTTGGGTATCAGTGAGATCAGTGACTATCTATCTTAGTTAAAAACAGAATTTAAAAAACTCACATCTAGAGTAAGACAATATAGAGGTAATAGGACAATATATACAATAAAGAAAATATTGGCAGACTTGCTGACCATTTTGTACCCTAAATTTTTTTTTTAGTTTTTTTGATGAAAGGAAAAAAATGTTACAAAATGTACTAGAATTAACCTCAAGATAATGAAAAAAAAAGTTATTTTTCGAAACACGAGACTTGATAAAAACCTAACAGATAAAATATCAGCCAGATCATTTCCTTTTGTTCTATTATATTTAAAGGTGTGTGTTTGTCCAGACATGATAAAAAGAGGGAGAGGGAAAGTGAGGGCAAACATTATTTGAATTAAAAACCAAGGGGGGGGGGGGGTCTCAAAAATGTTGCGGAAATTTTGAAAAAATTCCAAAGAAAAATTTTTTTGTTTTTAAAGTTATCACAATCCTCAGCCGTTAGTTTTACGGCTAATTTTCTTCAATCACGTGTTATTAGTACAGATGTGGGTGTTAGACTGGCAAAGTTATATGAGGCTTTACAAGTTAAAAATTTGGAAGAATTTAATCAAAAATTGGAGGAATTGAGTGAAAATAGTAGTGAGAAAGGTAAAATTAATTTTTATGAACTCATTATAAGAGACACCTCTATTTAACAGACACCTCTTTTTAGCAAACCAAAAACCTTTTTATAAGATACTATATTTAAGAGACGAAAAATCTCATTATAACAAACACCTCTATTTAATAGACCAGAAAATTCATTATAAGATACACAAAGCAAACCCTCTATTTTATAGACACCTCGTTTTAAGGTACTTTTTCAGGCACAAAAGGTGTATCTAAATAGTGAGATCGAGCTGGGTCTGACCTAGGTTTTTTCTGTACAAGGCCTAGGTTTTTCCTGTACCCAGAGTCCAGGCCCAGGCAGTTTTTGACCTTCTTGGGGTTTTCCTGGGCCGGCCCAGGCCAATAAATCAAACCCAGAGCCCAGCAAGTTTTTTAAAAAAATCTCGATCTCTAACCTAAATATTGAGATTTTACTGTATTTTATTTAAAAAATTTTTTATTTTTTAAGCTAGAATTATTCAAAAATTAAAAGAATCTTTTATTCAATGGGAAGAATTTTTATCAGAACTGGATAGAGAATTGGAACGTATAGCTGGGCCAGAAAAACGTTCAGAATTGGGAAAGAATGGAACTGGTTTTTTGAAAGAAAATTTTTTTTGAATTTTTTATTTTTAGATATTCAATTGGTCAGCCATTTAAGTCGTCTGGCACAGAATGGTTCTCTTTTATCTTATGTACAGTCATCAAGCTATTCTCTTATGTCTGTTTTTGAGGGGGATTTATAGGGGCAATATTAAATTCAATTAATTTAAACCAGAATTTCTTTGGTGTAGTGGGATATGGCTCAATTTATTAGGGGGAAATGAAGGGGGTTCGACTCCTCTTGAGGGTAAAATAATTTTATAACCCAAAATCTTCCTTAATTGCTCAAAATTTTTATATTTACGGACCTCACTTATAAGTATACCCATGAGGCTGGAAAAATTCGTACCTTATAATGAGGTGTCTATTAAATAGAGGGTATCGCTTAGGCAGTTCCCGCACCCAATGGTCAACCTACTTTATAAAAGAGCATCTCTTAAATAGAGGTGTAGCTTATATTGGGATTACCCTTTATTTAATATACACCACATTATTAGATACCTCAAGGGTGTCTCTTAAATAGAGGGTATTGCTTGGGTAGCTCCCCCACCCAATGGGTAATCTAATTTAACTAAGGTCCTTTAAATAGAGGTGTCTCCATTATTGGGGGTATCTTATGAGGTTCGACCAATTTAAAATCTTTATTTTCAGGTTTTTAGAAGTAGTATCTTCCTTCGCCGTTCAAGAATGTTACGAACACGTAAAGAAAATGTTCGACTCCTTAACAGAATTTCATAAATTAGGATGTGATATTCTTTTATTAACTCAGAGACCAACAACGGGAGGTGGAGGTTTTCTCAAATTAATTGGAATGCCGTTTAGAATGTTGTTAAATGAAAGCGAATCTATGAGACAGATTTTAATGCACAGACAGTCGGCTTTGTCGATGGCGGGGATTAGAGCATTACACATTGTTGGTTATTTAAACATAAAGTTGGAGCTCATTTATACCCCCAATATTGGAGACACCCCTATTTAAGAGACGTTTTTAGAATTAGTTTGGCCATTGGGTGGGGGAGCTGATTAAAGATATACCCTCTATTTGACATACATCCATTATGAGGTACGATCCTCAAAGGTGTGCCTTATAGTGAGGGTTATCCTCTATTTAAGAGACGTTCTTAAAATTAGGTTGGCCACTGGGTGGGGGGAACTGCCTAAGCGATACCCTCTGTTTAAGAGACATCTCATTATAAGGTACGATCTCGAGGGTGTATCATATAGTGAGGCTGCTGGGAACGAGTCTAAGCTATACTCTCTATTTAAGGTACACCTCATTATAAGGTTTGTTTTTTAGCCCCACGGGAGTGAATATAATGAGCTCTAAATTGTATACGTAATTCTCAAAATAAATATTTAACAGTTAAAAAATTGTCAATTTCCGTAAAATGGCAAAAAAGCTTTCTAAGTGTCCAAGAAATATTTTATAAAATAACTGGACAATAAATAATTTTATTTATTATTTTTTAGTCTCCATTTTCCCCTTAAAAAGACTACCATTTATTTTATTTTTAATACCCTTTTTTATTTTCCTTCAAAAGTTTCGGCAAAAATGCCGTCAACGGGGGGTTCGAAGAAAAAATAAATTTAAATTCTTTTTAGTACACAGAATTTTTGTGTAACGATCACCCATTGGAAATTGCTTCTTCTAAAAATAATGGAAATAATGGGGTATTGGAGAAGCAACAAAGTGGGTGTATTTTGCTCAATCATGAAGGGCAAATTTTGTATTCTTATTTATGCACTGATTCGAGTGATTGGCCTGATGTTGAAGTTTTGCTTGAACAAGTAAATGACCTCGTTATAAGAGACCCCCTCATTAGAAAATACCCCCCGATTTAATATACTACCTCCCATTATAAGATACCGTCTATTTAATAAACACCTCATTATTAGAGACCCCCTATTTAACAAACACCCCATCATAAGATACCTTCTATTTAACAGACACCTCATTATAAGATACCTTCTATTTAACAGACACCTCATTATAAGATACCTTCTATTTAACAGACACCCCATTATAAGGTACGATTCTTCTAGTCCCAAAGGTGTATCTTATAATGAGGTCTGATTATTTTCTTAATAGACGAGATCAATCAAGGATGTTGTCCTCTAGGGTATTCTGGATTCCTTAAGCTTATTAATTCAATTAAGGTAAGACTCAATCAAATCAGAAGGCCTTCAACAGCCAAAAGTTCCCTTCAACCATCTTCACAACAAACATTAGCCACAGACGTATTAGCTTCTGACCGTTTTGAAGACAATCAAAATAACATTCAAACAAACGATTTAACTGGAAATTGCCAAGAAGTTGCTGTACATAAAAGAAAATGTTGTATAATTATTTAGTTTTAAATTATATTGGACGATACGACATTTGCGATAACGACAATTGGACACATCCCTTGTAACTTTAAAAAATGTCACTTATTTTTCTTTTTCTTTAGCTAATGTTCGCAAATGTCGGTACGCAAATGTCGCGTACTTTTCTTATTCTTTTATTCTTTACAATTTTATTTCTTTCCTTTTTTACCTTGAAAAATAAAAAAATTTTATTTTATCTTTGTTTGGTAATTTAATTATTTAATCAATAAGTATGTTCAAATCAAGTAAATTAATGTCAAAATCGATCACGATAAATTGATTGCGCTTTTCTTCCCAATTATTCTAATGACCTTACCTACACCAGAAATTAACATCGAAAATTTTGATCATTTCGAAGAGAACGAAAATAAAATTAAAATTGGAGAGAAGACAAAAAGAGTACGTTAATACAGGCAGACCTCACTATAAGACACCCCTAGTATTAGAAATACCTCTATTTGAGAGACGCTCTTTTAAAATGTGGTTGATCACCGGAGGGAGGCTCCGAGAGATAACCTCCATTTAAGATACACTTCAATATAAGGAGTCTTAATGTAGGATACACCTAATTATAAAATACACCTCTATTTAATGTACACCTCTTTTTAAGAGACACTCTTTAAAATTGGGCTGCCACTGGAGGGGGAGCTGCCCCGGCATATACCCTCTATTTAAGATACACCTCATTATAAGAGACTATTTTTAGCCCCAAGGGTCTTATAGAGAGAGTTCACTATAATTAAAATCAAAAGTATTTCCTTCAATAAATTTATTTTTTCAGTTACTCAGGCTTGTGGGCCCCCAATTAGCAGTGCCTTTACTTCTCTATATTTACCTGTTATTTGGTGTTTTCTGTTATCATTTAATTGATGGAGAATTAAAAGACATGCCTTTCACCGAATTATTTTTGTTTTGTTTTGGAACACTAACAACGATTGGCTATGGAAATATCAAACCTTCAACTTCAATTTCTTTACTTTTTACAATGATATATGCCCCTTTAGGCATTCCTTTGTGTATGTTAACTTTGGCTAATATGGGGAAGCATATTACTAAAGCTTATAATTCTTTGACTTTATCATTGAGGAATAAAGTAAATTTATTTTAAAATATACGTAGTCAGACCTCGTTATAAGATACACCTCTGGGCTGAAAAATAGTCTCTTATATTGGGATGTATATTGAATAGAGGGTATTACTTATACAGTTCTCTTATCCAATAATCAATCCCCTCCCGTTCAAAGGCCAATCAATTTTTTAAAAGCGTCTCTTAAATAGAGGTGTATCTAAGAGCGAGGGTATCTTATATTGGGGGTACCTTATAATGAGGGGCATCTTAAATAGAGGGTTTGACTGAACAGCTTCCCAGCCCATTCCCCAACTCAATGGCCAACCAAATTTTTTAAAACGTCTCTTAAATAGAGGTGTCTCTTATATTGGGTGTATCTTATAACGAGGTTTAAAAAGTAATCACCACTTATTTTTAAAAAGAAATTTCTCTCACATTCAATTGGACAAAACAAAAGATTGCCTTTAATCGCAACAATAACACTCTTTATTTTATCCCTATGTGGATCAGCAGCATTATTATCTACAGAAGAAACGCCTCTCTTCCATACAGACCATTTATATTTTGCTGTTGTTAGTTTTACAACTCTAGGTTTCGGTGACTTGTACCCAAACACGGAAGGCAATATATTCCGATTAATTGGGATCATTTGTCTTCTTAGTGTGGGCATTATAGCGATGGGAGTTTGGTTCCAATTGGTAAAGAATTGGCTACAGAAAATATTTTGCTATAAAAAACGACGATTTCGACATGCTAGGAATATTCAGGCAAAAATAGATTTATTAAAATTTAAGGGAGGGACAAAACACCGTCCGACAAAACACCGTCAAGGCAAAAAACGCCCTCCTTTACTTTGAGTAAACAAATTTTAAAATAAAATTTTTAGGCAAAGGAGTAGGGTACTAAACAATCCCAATATCAATAGGCTCTAAAATATTGAGATAACATAAAGTTGGCTGAAATCTAATTCATTCTCTGTTAAGGTGTATCCAGTCGGTGTTTTGGTCGGACGGTGTTTTGCACTGATTCGATTAAATTAAAAAAAATATAAATTGTTTAAAGGTTTGGTTCGGTCATAAACAAATGAGACTCTCAAATGTTTTAGAAGTTGTTGCTCGCGAGTTTAATGTAATCTGTCAAACGAGGGAAACAACTAATTTGTTTTTAAGGCATCCCCAATGCAAATACACCAAGTATTGAATGACTTGGATTTTCTTATATCTGATGCAAAAGCTAATGATGCGACAGAAATAAATTGAATTGCTTACACAGAGATCTGGACATAATAATGGGATAATAAGTTGAGACTTTCCTAGTTTATATGTAGTATAAAAGTCAGTGAAAAAATAACCTCTTGGTTGACACTCACCTAGTATAAAATCATGACAGCCTTTCAGTGGAGGTAATAAGAGGTAAAAGTGTAGCCTCAGGCATGCTTAGATCCTATACCCTCTTGGTGGCTAAGGCGTCTCCATTCTTCCTTAAAAGGTGTTATCTCTTTGTCACTCATCCTAACCTTCTAAGTAAATCTAGATTTCAAAAACCCTTCATAAGTATTTAAATTTTTATCTTGAAAAATAAAATTGCTAGAAATTTTGAAAAAATTTAGAAAATATATTTGAGTACTACGCTTTTTGGAATATAGAAAAATGCCCGGTTTACGTTTTCTGAAGAAATTTTCACAGGGGGAAAAGGAAGAGGTGATAGTGAAAAGGGAAACAATGGCGTATCCAACAGTCTGAGAGGTACAAAAAAAATTTTTTTTGCGTTCGAAACTTTTGGCTTTCGAAACGCCAAAGGTTTTGACTTTAACGCCAAAGGGTTTGGCGCACACCTCCCAACTAAAATCCGTAGGCTGTGCGCAAAATTTTTGCGTTGGGCCAAACGCCAGTTTTCAAACGTTTAAAACTTGCCGGGTGCAAAACAACAAAAATAGGTTAAAATGGACGCCAAACGCCATGACCCACAGTTCCGAATCAGACAGACCCTCTGGATACGCCCTTGAAAGGGGATATAAAATTTAGGTTAAGGAATTGTTTGTTGTTGTTGTCTAGCCAAATAAGTTTGGATAAATATAGCTAAACGATTTTCTTCTTCCTCCAAAGTTTGGTTTCTTTTAAACAAAATTAATTCATCCCCTTCTGTTGTTTCATCATCAATTCTAATGTAGTATGGCCAATTTGTTGCATCAAAACCCCAAAAACAGGTGTTTTTCCCGTTCGTCGGTGAATGTGTGTGAAGACAGAAATCTTCAGGTTTAAACATATTATGACACGTTTTGCATTCTAAGCAAGGATTTGGAGTTAATGTCGGGTAGAGATATCCTTTACAACCACCAAAACAGTCGTGGGCAACTTTTAATGGAAGCAATAAACTTCGTAGTTGGTTGTTTAGGAGGTCGAAAGGTGCTGGAGATCCCGTTAATTTTAACATTGCTATTAATCTTTCAGCATTTGTTTTTGTTATTAATTCACATCTTTAGAAATAAAATAAAATTTTAGAGGATTGAGCAATGGGGGAGGGACATTTCACCGACTTACTATTCACCGTTAAGTTTTCTGTGGCGTGTCGACGAAAAGTCTGTCGGTGAAAAGTCTGATCGCAGGTTAAGGAAGGAAAATTCCGAATGGAGGGGGCATTTCGGCATCCTACTATTCACTGAAATAGACAAACTTTCTTTCTAGGAAGAGTGTCGGTGAAATATCAAACAGGCCCCCTAAAATTACAGAAATAAGGGGGTAGTTCGCCGACCGACTATTCACCGCCCAATTGAGAAAATCGACAAATAGTCTTTCGGTGAATAGTCAGCTGGTGAAGTCTATTAGGAAATGAGGGAAAGCCCTAAATCAGAACCAAATTTAATAAAAATAAAAAAAATTACTTTGGCAAATATGACGGAACTATTTGATTCCTTTTTAAAACATTTAATTGTTCTTCACTCGAATGTGGATTTATTATTGCCAAATTTTTCATCATTTCATCAATTTTATATGTTGGAATATCTCCAAGACAAAGTGCTTTCATTTGTGGAAAACAGAGACGACATTCTCCGCCAATGACAAAACATGATAATAATTTGCCTAAAATTAAAGTTTTTTTTAGTTTAAAAAACTTAAACAAAGCTGTAAGGTAGGAGGATAGTTTAAGACTGAAGCAGGACATTCTCACTAGAGATCGAGCTGGGTAAAGACCAAGGCCTGGGTTTTCTGTACCCAGAGTCCAGGCCCAGACATTTTTTCTGGGGTTTTCCTGGGCTACAGGCCCAAGAGCCGGCCCAGGTCAATAAATAACCCAAAGTCCAGGAAAGACCCACTTTTCGAGATCTCGATCTATAATTCTCACTATAAGAAAGGGTGAGAATGTCAGTGACACCTTGACGTGAAAGATTAACGTCAGGCTATCTCACCTCGAACATGGTTTAAACCCTCCTGGTGTTGTTCAATTTAGCTTGTCTAGAGGAGAACCATACCAAAGCGTGTGGGAGACTCGACAAATTAAAATAAGGCTGGAGCCTCAGGGTGACTTGGGTATGGAGCATGGATGTCAAGAATCATGTGAAAACCACAACACAAAAATCTTGAAAAATTGGACCCGGCATTTTTTTTTCACCCCGCAACAACCCTGGGATCTCACCCCTAAAATCCAATTCAAAGAAAAATAAAAAAAATCAAACCTGCAACAATTGTCGACTTAAGAATAGTAGAGTTGCTGCTACTTGGATCCAAGGAAGAAAATGACAAATTTGAAGTAAAATTAGCTGCAAAATTGTTTTTATTAACAAGAGATCCATTGCTTAAATTGTTTGAAGTTCCATTAAAAATTGAAGAACTACAGCCCGGTTGTTGTGAATCAAGTTCAGCTTTTTGATGCGAATCGATTAATTTTTGTAAATTTTCCATAATTTCGTCACGAAAATTTTGAGGATTATTAAATTGGTTGTGATTGAATCCCGAAATTAATGAGGGGGAAGATTCTGCAATTAATCCACAAGCATTCCTCATTAACCCAATTAATCGACGAATTGTCTTTCGGTGAAAAGTGTGTCGGTAAGAATTTTGTTAGGGGGAAAATTGATGGAATTGACAGAAATTTTCTGAAGTTTTGAAGTCAATTTTAGAAGAAAAACAAAGTTGAGCCTTAAAAAAAATTTTTTTTAATTTGAAAAAAATTCAGGTAAGAAGGAATTTGTATTAAAATAAACGGATAATCTCTAAGCTTTATTGATTTTTTTCTCCATTAAAAATGCTAAAGCATTCAAAAAAAGCTTTCTTTTTTAGTTTTTCTACACGGCGGTCTTTTTTTGCCACTTTTTTTTAGTTAATACATGAACGCAGAAGTAACTATCAGTCACATGATAAAAAAATAATAAACACATTGCAAAGGCTTGGCCAATATTTTATTCCGCGTACAAAACGGTACACGACAAAATGGAACGCAATTAAAATAAGTGGGGCTGCTTAAGTGCTGTTTTGTACCCAATTAATCGACGAATTGTCTTTTAATCGACGAATTGTCTTTTAATCGACGAATTGTCTTCTAATCGACGAATTGTCTTTTAATCGACGAATTGTCTTTTAATCGACGAATTGTCTTTCAAATGACCGATTTTGAACGATGTGACATTCTGTCGTGTACCATTTTGGGGATGGAAAGGCTTGCCTTTATTTATTATTTGTACAAATGTTATACGACAAAAGGGAACACAATTAAAATAAGTGAGGCTGTTTTGTCTCCTTCTTTCAGATGACCAATTTTGCCCTATGTGACGTTTTGTCGTGTACCATTTTGTAGAACATTTGTTTATTTACCATTTTGTCGTCATGACGTAAGTTTTATTAGTGTTTTCTTTCTCTTTTTATGTCTCTCTGTTATATTTCTTTTTCTACAAAGCTAGTTAATTAACAGGTTAGAGAGTGTTGGGTGTTAATTAATTTATTTTAATAATTAATTTATTCCTTTTTTAACTACAAATTAAATAAAAAAATTTTTTTATGAATTTTCTACGTTTATTTAAAAATAAATTTTTAATTTCATATTATAATTTTGAATGTTTGCATACTTCTAATATTTATTTTGGAAAATTAATTAATTTTAAATTGTCAGATATTGGTGAAGGTATTGCTGAAGTACAACTAAAAGAGTGGTTTGTTTTAATTTTTTAGATTAGTCAGCCTCGTTATAAGGAGTATTTTATGCGCCTCAATTTAGGCGATGTTTTTTTTTAAAAATACGCAAGAAATGTCTGCAAAAATTAGTCCGCAAAAAAAGTCCGCAAAAAAATCTGTCCGCAAAAAAAGTCCGCAAAAAAATCTGTCCGCAAAAAAATGTCCGCAAGAAATGTCCGCAAGAAATATCCGCAAAAAATCTGTCCGCAAGAAATTTGTCCGCAAAAAAATCTGTCTGCAAAAATCTGTCCGCTAAAAGTCTGTCCGCAAAAACCTGTCCGCAAAAAATGTCCGCAAAAAGATCTGTCCGCAAAAAATGTCCGCAAAAAGATCTGTCCGCAAAAAGTCTGTCCGCAAAGAATTCTGTCCGCAAAAAATATGTCCGCAAAAAATTCTGTCCGCAGAAAATATGTCCTCAAAAAATGTCCGTCCGCAAAAAATCTGTCCGCATAAAGTCAGTCCGCAAAAAAATTAGTCCCTCTAGTTAAAATATGATTTTTTCACTTCGGGAGTGTATCTTATAATGAGGTTTTTAAAAAATAAATTATTTAAATATTTTCAGGCATGTAAAAGAGGGTGATTATGTAAACGAATTTGATGAAATCTGTTCTGTTCAAAGCGACAAAGCCACAGTCACAATAACTAGTCGATATAAAGGAATTATAAATAAATTGTATTTTCAACCTGACGATATTGCTAAAGTTGGACAGACTTTGTTGGATGTTGAATTAAATGAAGAAGAAGAAGATAATGAGGAGTTTTTGAAGGAGATTTTGCCGGAAAATGAAGGTTTTTAATTTTTAATAATTACTGCATAGTCGGACTTTACTTTAAAATACTCTCCTTGGGGCTGAAAAATTCGTTTTTTATAACGAGGTATATTTTAAATAAAGGGGGGAGGCATATTTTTGCGCAAGGCTTGCTGACGGATTTTTTGCGGACAGACTTTTTGCGGACATTTCTTGCGGACTGATTTGCGAATTTTTGAAAGTCTGTCTCTTGTATATAGGGGTATCTTCTATTGGGAGTATCTTATGGTGAAGTTCTGACAGAATTTTAATTTTTTTCAGAAACTTCTATTCCCATAACAAACCAACAAAATTCAATAAAAATATTAGCATCTCCAGCAGTTAGAAGATTGCTATCCGAAAATAAAATTAATTTAGAAGAAATTAAAGGGACTGGACCAGATGGTCGAATTTTAAAAGAGGATATTTACAAAATGATTAATAAAGATGAAAATAATGTGGAAATTATTAAAGGTTAGTTAATTTTGTTTTTGGACCGGGGACTTTTCCTCACATTAGGGTTGTTTACAGGGGCCCTCACGCTTTGACGAAAATCAGGGTGTCGGTTCCTGTCAATTTCAGAATTTTTTTTTCGGTCCGGTCATTTCAAGCGGGAGAGCTGGAAAGGGGAGCTTTCTATACCCCCCAAATACTTGTCAAATCAATAGACCTCATTATAAGATTTAACCTTTCCCGTCCCCAAAGAGTGTATTTTATAGTTGATTTTTATCTTTCCCTTGGGTGTATCATATAATGAGGTTTTGATATTTTCTTGATCACTGGAAAGGGAGGCTGATTTATTGATACCTCCAAATAAACATACCTCATTATAGGCTACTCCCTTTTTCTTTTTCAAGGGTATATTCAATAATGAGGTTTCCTTTCCAGAGACTACTCAAAAAACAACAAAAATTCCAATAAAAGGGTATACCTTTTCTATGATCAAAACAATGACGGAATCTCTAAAAATTCCACATTTTATTTATGGAGATGAATTTTTAATTGAAGAATTGATCAAAATTAAAGAATTATTGAAAGAAAAGAAGTCAATGAATTTAACTTATTTGCCCTTCTTTATTAAAATGATTTCAAAAGCTCTTGAAGATTTTCCTATTTTGAATTCCTCGTTGGATTTGGATAATCAAAATATTATTTTAAAGGTTTTTTTTATTAAAATTACTTGGAACTGCTGATTTTTTGTCCGCAATTTTTTGCGGATGTCCGCAAATTTTTTGCGGACTTTTTACGGACAGTTTTTTGGCCCTTTTTGCGGACTTTTTGTAATACCTTCGAACCTCGTTTATATACTCTCACTTTAATATACCACCACGTTTTTTTGGTTCACACTCGTCTAATCCGACACCAAGGGCGTTCCAAGGGGGGGGGGCTTGCAAAAAAAGAAGTTCTGCAAATTAAAAAAAAATTTTTCAAGAATTTTCACAATATCTCTGTTGCAATAGACACCCCAAATGGTTTGGCTGTCCCAAATATTAAAAATTGTCAAAATAAAAATATTTTGGAAATTGCTTCGGAACTGAATGCTTTGAAGGAAAAAGGGGTTAAAGCAGCTTTTTTACCTGAGGATGTGTCTGATGGGACTTTTACAATATCAAATATTGGATCGGTTTGCAAAACAATTTTTTCATTGAATATAGTCAACCCTCTTTATAAGATAGACCCTCTATTTAAGATACCCTCATTATAAGCGACCCTCTATTTAAGGGACACCTCTTATTTGTTAGATACACCCTCTATTTATGGTGCCTTCATTATAAGAGACTATTTTTCGACCCCCAAAGGGGTGTATTTTATAATGAAGTTTGACTGTTTAAAAATGTATTTTTTTGTTTTAAGATTGGTGGAATTTTTATGAGTCCAATAATATTCCCTCCACAAGTTGCTATTGGAGCAATTGGAAAAATTAGAAGAACTCCTTATTCTGATGATCCGGAAGAAGAATATATTCACGAAAGTAAAAGAGTGGTTAATATTTGTTGGGCTGCTGACCACCGAGTTTGCTTATTTTTTTAAATTTAAGCTCATTTTTGCGGATTTTTTTTCTGTCCGCAAAAAATGTCCGCAAAAAATGTCCGCAATTTTTTTGCAGATTCTTTTCTGCAAAAATTTTTTTGCGGATGTCCGCAATTTTTTGCGGACAATTTCAAAAAATGTCCGTAAAAATGACGCCCTACTTTATTCGTATCAATTAAATTTTATTTTTTAAAGATAATTGATGGTGCTACTTTAGCCCGTTTCAGTAACAAAGTCAAACAATTATGTGAAAATCCTGCAATTTTGTTGGCTGAATTACGTTAAGTGCCTATAAAAATGTGATGGAAAATTGTGATTTTTTAAATTTAAATAAACAGTCTAACCTCATTTTTAATACCCCCAAAAACTAGTAAACCTCTATTTACGGAACATTCTCTAAAATTTGGTTGACCTCTATTTAAGCTACACCCCATTATAAGAGAAAACATCTTTTCAGTTTAAAAAGGGGTATTTAAAAACGAGGTTTATTTAACAGTATTTAAAAATAATTTTTTATTGCCTTAATATTTTTGCGGATTTTTTATGTCCGCAAAAATTTTTGCGATCGTCCGCAAAATTTTGAATAATGTGTTGTCAAAAAAAGTCAAAAAAATGTTGTCAAAAAAATGTCAACCAAAAATGTCCGTAGATTTTTTTCTGATGTCCTAAAAACGTCCGCAAATTTTTTGCGGACGTCCGCATAGAAAGTCCGCAAATTTTTTGCGGACAATTTTTATAATATTATTGTAATTTCTTGTTAGAGAATTTTAAATATAATTTTATCCAGATCTATTACAAGTTTTACAAGTAATAAAAAAAGCAGCAATATTATTCCCCCACCCAACATTTCCATTTTCTGGTAATCCAGTAAAAGGGTCAATTCCCATATTCCATCTAGTTCCAGGTAAATAATAGCCACAACAATTATTTTTGTATAAAAGAGAATTAATTGGTGAAATTAATAAAATTATTAAAATAAATTTAAATAAAAACATTTTTTTAAATTTTTTAAAAATTTAATTTGGAAGGGAGAGAAGAGGGGATGTCTTTGGGTCTCAAAGTCTTTGTGGGTCTGTCCGAAGAAATTTGTTAAGGTCGGAGAGCAATAACAGTCTAAAAATAACAGTATATCCAAAGCAGAAAATATTTAACAAAATAGGAAGAGGTTGAAGGGGGGTTGGATCCTTCCCTAATTTTTCAGGATCAGTCCAATTAGACTAACGCTGACACTTTTTGTAATAAGCACAATTAAAAGGGGAGAGAGATTTCTTTCTGATTAATTGGAAGGAGCGAGGGAGAAGAGCTTTCTGAGAACATTTTTTTAAAGAAAACATTTTTTTTGTTTTTTAGGTCAAATATTTCTTTAAAGAGATGAAGGTCAGTAAGAATACAAAAAGTAATTTAGGAGATTCTTTTATTGTAAAAGGGAAGGAAAATTATTTTTTTCTTCTTATAAAAATCCACTTTAATAAGCATAATTTATCTACTTGGAAAAAAATGAAAATTATTTTAAAGAATCGTAAATTAAAAATAATACAGTTAAGCCTCATTTTAACTCATTTTGGGGGCATTTATTGCAAACAGACTTTTCGGGGTTTTTGCGGACAAAAATTTTTTGCGGACTTTTTTTGCGGATTTTTTTTTTGCGGACAAAATTTTCTTGCGGATTTTTTTTTGCGGATTTTTTAAAAACGCCTTTAAGCAGAAGTGTATCTTATAACGAGATTTGACTGTATTTAAAACGATATATAAAAAAGTTTTATAGAACGTTTGGACGAATATTTTAAAATTGTTTTTTAAATCATTTTTATGGTTGTGCCTCATTATGTGGAGTAGATCTGTTAAAAAAAATTTTATGAAAAAATAAAATTTTTAATTTTTTCCTACTCTTTTGTAGGCGCTAACGGCTGCATTTCTCGTTGATGTTGTGAAGTAGTTATTGTTGTTGTAACAATTTCATATTGTTCGTCTGCTGGGACATGAATTCCAATAAAAAATTGATAAATCCAGGCGCCTTTAAATTTTTTTAGAAGAAAATTTTTTTTGAAAACTCTACCTAGGAGAGCGCCAATAAATGGGGCAATAATTGGAATCCAAAACCAACCATAATTATTATAGCTGAAATTAAAAATAAAAATGTAAAAATACTGGAGCGTTTGTGAAGAATGGAGTGTCGTTTTGAGGGGTATTTTTGCGGACTTTTTTTTGCGGACATCTCTTGCGGACTTTTTTAGAATTTTATTGCGGCATTTCTTGCGAATCTATCTTGCGGAAATTCATTTGCGGACTTTTATTTTCAGACATTTTTTCTTGCGGACTCTTTTTGCGGACAAATTTTGCGGACATTTTTATTTTTGCGGACTTTTTTTATGATTCCGCGTGACACTCCTCTCTCCATATTAAAAAATTTTTAAACTTACGAAAACACTTCCCACCCATATCCAACAATTAAAGTAAATAGGCGAGGTCCAAAATCACGTGCTGGATTGCACGGATAACTTTAAGAGAAAAAAATTTTTAAATAAAAATTGCGGACATTTTTTGCGGACTTTTTTGTCCGCAAGAAATGTCCGCAAAAAAATCAAAAAATTTACCCAGCATTGTAAGCAAAAGACGTCCCAACCAAAACAAAAGATGTCCCAACCAAAAAAGGTTGAACCCAAGTTGGGTAGTGATTTCGCTTGTCCGTAATGTGGGCAATTAAAAGACAAAAAACAGCCGTAGCAACAACTTGGTCAATAAATCCATTAAACACCCCCAAATGGGGGGAGGAATACGAGGCGAATATGTGGGCGGTTGCTTTGGTTCCGTAAACTTGTCTGGTACCTCCATCGAATTTATTGATGGCGTCTTGAAAAATTTGAAAATTTTGGAAATTTTTGAAAAATTTTGAAAATTTTTTGAAAATTTTTTTTCGGATTTTTTTGAAAAATTTTCGAAAATTAAAAAAAATTTTTTTCGGAATTTTTGAAAAATTTTCGAAATTTCAAAAAAAAAATTTTTGAAAATTTTTTGAAATTTTGAAAATTTTTTTTAAATTTTTTAATTACCACAATAAACCAAATAAGCAACAGCCGCCCCAAAGAAAGCTCCTAATAATTGAACTAACGAATACAAAGCAAAACGGATTGGTGCCAATTGTTTGAAGCTTAAAAACATTAATGAAACTGCTGGGTTTATATGTCCACCTTTTTTAAAAAAATAAAATTAATTTTTTAAATTTAAAGTCCACCTCGTTATAGGATACATCCTTAGGGGTCAAATAAGTCTCTTATAATTAGCTTATAATGAGGTGTAGCTTAAATAGAGAGTATTGCTTAGATAGCTGCCCCAACCATAACCAACCTAATTTTAAGAAAGCGTCCCTTAAATAGAGAGTGTATCTAATATAGGGGGTCTCATTATAAGATACACTCATTACAAGGGACCCCCCAATATTAAATCCTCTATTTAAGAGACTTATAAAGTGGTTTCCTATGGTGTGAGGAGCTTCCTAAGCGAATACCCTCTATTTAATAGACACCTCATTATAAGAGACTATTTTTCAACCCCAAGGGTGTATCCTATAAGGAGGTTTTCTCACCAGATATTTTAGCACAAACAGCCACCCCAAAAGCAATACCCAACCCAACACCCAAATTAACTCCAATAGTCTGATTAAGTGCAGGCTTAGGTATTATTGCCTGTGCACAGACACAAGCTATAGTTAAAACCAAAACAAAAGTTCCCAAAAATTCTCCAAGTAGAGCTCTGCCCAATTCATTCCTTATACGCAATTTGGTTTGCAACTTAAATTTAAATTAATTTTTAAAAAAATTTTTTTTTAATTTTCCTAGCCTTTTCCATTCTTTTAATGGTGTGAAGTTGAAATTTTATTTGTTGTTAAATAATATGAAAGTAGAAAAATGTGTAAAAATAGGAAGAAAAATAATTTTGAGGATTTCAACTCTCTGTGATATTTATTTCGAAAGATTCTAAAATTTTCTCTTGATTATTCAGGATATCCTTATCCGGTAAAATTCAAGTTTGTTTCCCCTCTTTTTCCTTCCTTAATTTTTACACAACGGTCAAAAGACGGGATATCTAGAAATTTTTCGGTTTGGAGATTGGATCATGACATAAAAGATTTCCCATGATATGCCAACCTTATGTGTATTCTAACTTAAGGGTAGATTTTTTGTTTGGCTTCTGAATGGAAGGAGATGCCTAACCCTAAAGGCTAGGGTTAGGCTAAATTGAGATTAGACTGAAAAACAAAAATTTGAAAAAAATTAATTTTTATTGGTGATACTGATTGAAAAAAAAAGAAAATTAAAAAGTTAATTGGCCTGCAAAAATAAATTGCTTTCCTTCTCATTTGCATTTTTACATATAACTTTCAGAAAGAAAATACCGACATATTTTTGTACTATAAATCGAAAGCGTTGTTGACTGAATGTTTTTATTTATTTTTTTAAAGCCAGAAAAAAATTTTTCTGGCGACATTTTTTTAAAAAAGTCTGCTCTGGGTGGGCCCATTTAAGCGGTGATTGAAAGCAAAAATAAATAAAAAGATTTATTGCTTTTTTTGAGAGAGATAAAAAATAAAAAAATTGTTTTTGAGAGAAAAAATGTAAAAATAAAAAAAGGTGTTGCCGAAAAATATTTTTAAAAAATAAATTTTTTTAAATTTGAAAAATATGTAGTAATTCATTAGGATCACACCCAGCGGATCTCCTTTTTCAGAAGATCAACCCCCCCCCCCAGAAAATCAGCACACCCAAAAGATCAACAGTACAAAAAGGACAACTGTCACTCCCAGAAGATCACCACTCTGAAGGCCATCTCCTAGACGATCAACACTCCCAGAATCACACCCAGGAGATCATCATTTTCAGAAGATCAACCCCCCCCCCCTCCCCCAGAAAATCAACACACCCAAAAAGACCATCACACCAAAAAGACAAACGTTCAAGAAATAGTCACTCCCAGAATCACACCCAGGAGATCATCATTTTCGGAAGATCAACCCCCCCCTCCCCCCAGAAAATCAACACACCCAAAAGATCAACAGTACAAAAAGACCAACGCCCAAGAAACTGTCACTCCCAGAAGATCACCACTCAAAAGACTATCCCCTAGACGATCAACACTCCCAGAATCACACCCAGGAGATCATCATTTTCAGAAGATCAACCCCCCCCCCCCCTCCCCCAGAAAATCAACACACCCAAAAAGACCATCACACCAAAAAGACAAACGTTCAAGAAATAGTCACTCCCAGAAGATCACCACTCAAAAGATCATCCCCTAGACGTCAACACTCCCAGAACCCTAGAGAATGCCTAGATCCCACAAAAAATTTACATCATTCAGACCTCATTATAAGCCTCATTATAAGAATTAAAGGATATCGCTTAGGCCCCCACTAGTGTTGCGCCGGAAGTTCCGGTTCCGGCCAAATTTGCGGTTTCGGCGAAACACTAGCCTCCACCCAAAGACCAACCAAAAATAAAAAACTTTAGAGAGGGTAGTTTGACTGCTCTCTCCCTAGAATAAAGAATGAAATGGTTGTTGTGTTTTAATGGACTAATAAACAAAAATGAACACACTTGTATTTTATCAATTTTTGCGTTCCATCAAATCAATATTTAATTTCTAAACTTTTTTTGAGAAAAATAAAGTAACAATAAAAAAATAAAAAAAAGAGTGGAAGGTATTTGAGGTAATTTCACTCACTCCTAAAAATGAGGGGGGTTTTAATGGACTAATAAATATTATAACAATTTCAACACATCAAAAAAAGGGAGATAGAAATTTAATGGAGTGAAAAATTGACAAAATTTAAGCGAATTTTATTTTTATAAAATCTCTGAAAAAAAATTTTTTTTAATTGGTCAAAAAATGCTGTTGACCCAATTTAAAGGCACTTAACGGGAAAATTGTGCAAAAACTATTTTTGGATATTTAAATATTAAAATTAAAATTATAGAGAAAATAAATATCAAAACATCCAATTATTGTAGTCTATTAAATTTTGGTTTCCTAGGAAATTGAGCCTTAAAATTAAAAAAAATTACTCTAAGATTCCTTTTGGAAGCGAAATAGTGCGTGACAGAATGTTGGAGCAATTATTTAAGAGTCGACCAAATTGGTATACGACAAAATGGTACGGAACTGGTAGGGACAAAACGGTACTCTGAGTAAATAAGACAAAACGGTACACAGGGTAAAACAAGACAAAATGGTACTCAGTGTAAAATGAGACAAAACGGTACAAAGAGTAAACCAAGACAAAATGGTACAAACAGGTATGAGACAAAACAGTACTCAGGCTAAAATGAGACAAAATGGTACATAGGATAAAATGAGACGGTATGGTACTTAGGCCAAATAAGACGGAATGGTACTTACTGGTGGGGACAAAATGGTACGGAGTGTAAATAAGACAAAACTAAACACAGAAAAAAACGGTAGCTAGGCAAAATGGTACTCAGGTTTACTTAACTTTTTTAAGCTTTAGAATTTCTAAAGTAGTATCTAACTAATCTCTTGTGATATAAATAAAGTATTTAATACTTTTTATGCCTCAAGCATTTAATAAAATAAAAGGCACAGATTGGCTAAATAACAAAATAAATTTTTGAAAAAAAATTTTCGTCGCTTCAATGACTGATTGCCATCTTAAAAAATTCTGCCATGCTTCTGGCCCTATAAAAGTCAAAAAATCTTTTCTTCTTTAAAAAGACTAAAAATAAGCCTGATACCCTTGGGGTCAGTTGGTCACGGTCAATTTTGTGAAAATAAAGGAGGGAGGAGGATTGGGAATTGAGAAGGATAAATAATAAATCTGGGCTATAGCACATTTTGCCAAAACCACATTTTGCCAATAAGGCTAAAAACGGACGTTTTGCCAAAAAGTTAGTTGGCAAAATGTCGTTTTTTGCCTTATTGGCAAAATGTGGAATTGGTAAAATGTGCAAATGAGAGAATCTGAGGAGGAGAGGAGGAAGGGATATATAAATTATATACTAGTCCAACAACTGACAAATAAATGAGTCTAAAGAAGAAAAAAAAGTGGTGGCGCTGTCCTAATGTTTTTATAATGTTTTTAAAGCTGGCTTCTCTTTTTAATTTTCTTTTTGGTTAATTTCTCTAAATTTTTACAGCTTTTTTGCTTGACCGTTTTCCCCTTCCCCTTCGTCTTCTTCTCAATTTCCCTCCCAAATCTCTATAAAAATAAATCCCCTTTTTCCTTTTGACCATTAGAGAAAGCAAAATCAATTTTAGTAAAAATACTAAACGGAAGCTGAAAAGTTTTAAAAGCTAAAAAGAGGAAAATAACAACTTAACGAGACTGACATTAATGAGCAAAAATGAGGGGAAAATGAAAAGGATAAACAATTTTTTAAATTAATTATGTAGTTTTGGTATATTACTAAAAATGGAAAAAGGAGGGAAAAAACTTTAAAAAATATAAAAAAAATTAGTAAAAAGCTCTCATTAATGTAAACAAATTTGTTTGAATGTTTAGTGAGGGAAAAAGGTCAAAATAAAGTTGAGCTACCGTATATGCTGAAATAATTAGTTTATCGTGTCAACCTGTCGCTGAAGGGGGTAATAGGGGGCAATTAAACTGTATTTATCTTTAGAGAATCTTTAAAACATTCATTCATTGACGAAAAGTCCGTTGACGAAAATTCGAGGATTTTTTAAAAAACAACATAAAATTATTATTGGCATTTTGTTTAAAATAAAATTTCAAAATGGAAAATTTAAAAAATTTCAAAACGGTACGCGACATAATGGCACAAAGGGTAAAATACGACAAAAATGGTACATGACATAATGTGACAAAAGACAAAATAAGACAAAATGTAGCACTGCTTTTATTTTTTTTTCTTTAACTCTCTAACTGTCTCTCTTCCTTTTCCGTAATATTTTCGCTCGTGATTAAAACCTTGAGTTTAATTAAAAAGATCACGCTACTTTTTCCTCTTTTTAAGGTTTTATTTTAAAAATTAACGGAAAAATGTCTTCTTCAGATGAGGAATATTTTGATATTGATGAACTTCAAGAGGGTAGAGATGCTGGAAAAAATAAAAATGATGTTGATTTAAGTGAAAATAGTGATCAGGATGAGGTTTAATTTAATTATTTTTTTAATTAAAAATTAAATTAATTTTTAAGTTACAAGTTGCGTTTAGACAAGGACTTTTAAATAAACCTGGACTGTTTGTTTCTCAAATTAAAAAGCGGGAACCGATTTATAAGAAGGTTTTTTTATTTTTAAATAGTGGTTGATACTAGAGAGCTGGGTCTGGACCAAGGCCTGGGTTTTTCCTGTACCCAGAGTCCAGGATTTTTTGACCTTCCTGGGTTTTTTCCTGGACTACAGGCTGGTTAATAAATCAAACCTAGAGCTCAGGAACAGGCCCGGGCCTTTCAAAAATCTCTGTCTCTATTTGAAACCCGACCGGATGTGGAGTTATCTTCGCTAGAAACCCGGTAAATTTGATAAAATCCGCGTTTTTAGGTTTTGGCTCGGAAACTCCGACCTGTTTCAGTTTAAGAAAAGCCCATATACCTGAATAGATAATTCGAAAATTTTAAATTAAAAATTGATTTTTAAGGAAGAGATGTTGAGGAAATTGTCAACTTTTAACACAGAAAGGGATTGGATTGATACTTTACAAATCAAATTTAATCCAGAATTGTGTTATAATGATTCTGTGGATCAAGATTTGGAACGGGAAGCTGCTTTGTTTAGTTTTTTTAATTTTATTTTGTTATTGACTGACCTCATTTATACATATCCTCACATTAGTATAGGCATTTTGGCTCCAATTCCGACCTTTTCCAGATCTAGGCTCCGGAGTCGGCTGTTTTTGGAGTCATCTGGATGGAAAACTAACGGTTAATATTTTATTGTAGGATGTGGGTGGTTTATCAAGGGGTTTTGAGGATTTCAAGGGATTTTCTAGACCAAGACTTTACCTTATATTTTCGACGTAAAAATATTTCTAGAAAATTAAAATTATTTTTCAAGTTATAAACAAAGCCTCAATTCTGTTCAAAATGCGAAACAACGTTTAAAAGCACTGGGTATTCCAACTGATCGGCCTTCTGATTATTTTGCTGAAATGGCAAAGGGAGATACTCAAATGGATAAAATTAGACGAAAAATTCTTGAAACAAAGAATATTAAAGAACGGAAAGAAAATGCTAGAAGGTTTTTATTTGAAAATTAGATACTCGGACCTCGCCTGATACTCCTTGTGGTCAAAAATTGTCTCTTACAATGAGGTGTATCTTAAATAGAGGTTATCGCTTGGGCGAGTCCCTCATCCAGTTGGCCGATTTTTAAGGAGCGTCTCTTCTAAATAGAGGGTATTGATTAAATAGAGGCTTTCACTTGGGCACCTCCCCCAGCCGGGTAGCCGGCATTTTGAGGAGCGTCTCTTAATTAGAGGTGTATCTAGTATTGAGGGTATCTTATAGGGGGTCTGACGTTAAGCTTGTAATATTTAAGAAAAATTTAGATTGCGAGACGAAAAGAAATTTGCCCGTAAAGTCCAAAAAACACGTGAGGAGCAAAAATTGAGAGCTAAAAAGAAGTTGCTGGATGCTACAAAAAAGCATAGGAAAGGAAATAAAGCGCCTTTGGAAGAAATTTTAAAAAATCCAAAATTTGAAAGGAAGGGAGGGTTTCAGGTTTTTTTTGAATAATTTTAAAATTAGAAAAAAATTTTTAATTAGAAAAAGAAGATGAACAGAACTGCGAGAAATACAAAATATGGGTTTGGTGGAAGGAAGAAGGGGTCAAAAAGGAATGATAAACAAAGTTTTAATCTTATGTAGTTTTAAACTATTTGAAGAAATTTTTGTTTTTTAAAAGGTTGTTTAAATTTTAAAAATTTTTTTGTGTTTTTTTGAAAATAATTGGTTTACCCGACACTTGCGGTTTTTTGCATTTGCGGACCGTTACGAAAAACCTAACCCCCATTTATTGGAACAAATAGGCATGGGTCTTTCTTAGGGATGTTCCTAAGAAATTTCCGAAGCTCGGCGAAGTTGAACTTTTTGCAAATTCTCTGTCCCCCGTGGTTACCCTCTCCTCTTCGCCGGGGAACACACTTAGTTTTTCTAGTATCATGTTAAAGCAAAAACGTCCAAAATCTAGAAACATCTGTCCGTAAGTGTGAATCGGCAAATGTCGTAATACCCCATATTTTATATTTTTTTAATTATTATTTTAAATAAAAATTAATTTTAGAACAACTAACCCTTCTTATTTTTTAATAAAATGACTTTTCTTAAATTACTAACCCAAAAATCTTTTAATAAAATTTTTAACCCCTACTCTCCAACAATTTTTCAAAAAGCCCAAATTGGTGGTTGTGCATGTCCCCCAAGTAAAATTTTTTTAAAATCAAAAAAAAATTTTTTTAAGGTGAAGAAGATGTTGATTATGCTTTTGAAATGTCCAGCTCAACTTTACGTTTTGGCAAAGGAGTAACTAAAGAAATTGGTTTTGATGTTGTCACTTTTGGAGCTAAAAATCCGTTAATTGTAACTGACAAAAATGTGGCTAAAACTGTTGCTTTTGAGTATAAATTTTAATTTTTAAATTAATTTACGATTTTTTTTAAAGAAATGTTGCAAATTCATTAACTAAATTGGGAATTGCTTTTGAAGTTTTTGATGAGATTAAATGCGAACCTTCACAACAAAGTTTGTTTTAAAAATTATTTTGGGGTTTTTTATAAATATTGAACCTAGGATTGTTGGTTATCGGGAAATCTTCTTCGTCCAGAAGCGAGACGACGAACTTAAGAATCCCTCGGCTCTTCGGTTTCGAACCGTCAGCTCTTCGGACCTTTTTTGCTAATTGCCCTCGAGCAAGGCTTATCTATGACACAAGCAACTTTTTTTCTAAACCCAGTCCATCCTTGTTGTCCTAAGCGAGGGCTATTTTTTAAAAATATTTTTGTTATTTTAGGTATGCAATCAGCTATTAATTTTGCTCGAAAAAAACCTTTTGATTGTTTTTTGGCTGTTGGTGGTGGTTCTGTTATTGATACAGCCAAAGTATTTTTTTTTAATTAAAAAAATTTTAGAAGATTTTTTAAGGCAGCAGCTTTGTATGCAAACAATCCAAATGCTGAATTTTTTGATTTTGTACAAAAACCTTTTGGCCTTGGACTTATTCCTGATAAAACAATGCTGCCACTGATTGCTGTTAGTTGTATTTATTTTTAATATTTTTTGAGGGAGGGCAATCATTTTATATTAATCAGAGGGAGGATGCTTCGAAGCATAGTTTCCGTTTATGTTTTTTAATTTTTTCTTCCGCCTTCCGTTTTTGGCAACATCTGAAGGGACCCCAATTTTTTGAAATTTTCTTTGAAAAAATTTCTGAAATTTTTTTCTTGCGGAGTCACATCAATAGGAAATTTCTCAATAATTCTCAACTACCCCACTCTATTGGAAATTTTTTTTAATTTTTTCCCAAAGGTCCCAACAACTGCCGGTACTGGAAGTGAAACAACAGGCGTTTCAATAATTGACATACCCGAAAAACAATGTAAAACAGGCATCAGACTTCGATGTATCAAACCAAATTTGGCAATAATCGACCCTCTAAACGTTATGTCAATGCCTAGAAATGTTGCAATTTATTCTGGTTTTGATGTTCTTTGTCACGCTTTGGAATCCTACACAGCTAAACCGTACAATAAACGTTCTCCTCTTCCGTCAAGTCCAAATGTTCGGCCAGTCTATCAAGGCTCTAATCCGGTTTTTTAGAAATTTTTAGAATTTTTTTCTAAAAAATTTCTTTTTAGGTCAGTGATGTTTGGGTAAGAGAAGCACTTCAAATTGTTAAGAAATATTTTCGACGATCTATCTTTGATCCAGAAGATGAAGAAGCACGTACGTACATGATGATGGCTAGTTCATTTGCTGGGATGGGGTTTGGAAATGCTGTGGGTATTTTTATTTAATATAATCGAATTTCATTATAAGATACCCCCAATATTAGAGACACCTCTATTTAAAAGACGCTCTTAAAAGGTAGTTGGCCTCTGGGTGGGGGATCTGCTCAAGTAATACCCTCTATTTAAGAGACCTCATTATAAGGTACGATTCTTTCATCCTCAAGGGTGTCTCTTATAGTGAGGTTCGACTAATAAGAAGTAAAATTATTTTTAATTTAAGGGTGTACATTTATGTCACGGACTTTCTTACCCAATAAGTTCACAGGGCAAATCTTATTTTGACAAGCATTATTCAAAAGAACATCCATTAATTCCTCATGGATTGTCTGTTGTTTGTACAGCGCCTGCCGATTTTTTATTTACAACGTGTGCAGATCCTAAAAGACATTTGGAAGCAAGTCAATTGTTGGGATCTGATTTACCTGTAAATTTAATTTTTTTATTTTTGTATAATAGGACCTTTTTATAAGATACACCCAATATTGAGACACCTCTATTTAAGAGACGCTACTTTAAAATTTGGGTGGGAGAAGCAATGCCCTCTATTAGTGAACACTCATTATAAGAAACTTCTAACTAATACACATCCAATATTAGTTACACCTCTATTTAAGAGACGTTCTTTATAATTTGGTTTTTTTATAGAATACATCAAGTCCTGATACAATCGCAAACGTTTTGGCAGATCAGTTACGTTCATTTATGTCAGATTTTGGTTGTCCAAACGGTCTAAAACAGATGGGTTTTGATAGAAGCAATGTAGATAAATTGGCAGAAGCAGCACTAAATTCATTCCGGTCAAATCCAATTTCACCAAGAGAAATTGATTTTGATTCGGTTTCTGATATTTATGAGAAGTCATTAAATGTATATTAGATTAGGGGGGGGGGTGATATTTAAAGATATTTCTCGGTGATATAAATGGCTTACGACACATGCGGACAAACATTTGCGGACAAAATTAAATTCAAATAAGAGTGGAACACAGACAGTGTTCATATCAAGGCTTATATATTTTGGTGGTCTCACACTTGCGTCTCTCACTCACAAGTCACAGAAATCTCGTGTGTGTCCGCAAATACAAGTCCGCAAGTGTTGTTATATACCCCTACACAAGGAATGGGCTGAGTTACCAGATTTCAGAAATCTGAGGCCTGGACCTTTTTTATGACCCGTGGACACTTTTATAGGCCCCCTCTATCCGTATAAAGTTTTGAAGCACAGATTCGATTTTTTAACCCGGCCCATCCTTGCCCTACACTATTAGAAACGGGATTACACTATTAGAAACGGGATTAAAAAATTTTTTAAGGGGAACTAGTAAAAAATTAATTTTTTAAAAACTAAAAAATGTTTTCTTGTATTTTTATATAGATTTTTATTGTAAAATTGTACATACTTATTAAATTTTAGATTTTAAAATAAAGATTTTCTATTAAAAAATACTTTTCTCTTTTTAAAGTTCAACATGTTTATTGTTTTGTTCATTCAATTCATTTTGAAGACATTTATTTTCTTCTCCCTCAATAACCACAAAAACATAAATAAAAAGAAAAATGATAAAAATAACTGGGTACATGACCTTTTAAAATTAAAAAATTAGAAAAAATTTTAGAAAGAAACCTTAAAAAATGTATCAAGTCTTAAAGCATTTCTGTGATGCATTTGACTTTCTGATAAAAGAATTGAAATTTTATAGGCACTTATTTCTGTAGCTTCTTCTGTTGCAATTTTTTTCTGAAAAAAAATAAAATATTTTTAATCCTTGGGATAAAATAGTCTCTTGTAATGAGGTGTGCCTTAAATAGAGGGTACACATTTTTTGCGGACAAACTTTCTTGGAAATTTCTTGCGGACAGATTTTCTGCGGACAAACTTTTTGCGGACAGATTCTTGCGGACAAATTTATTGCGGACAGATTTTTTGCGGACAAACTTTTTGCGGACATTTCTTGCGGATTTTTTAAAGAGAGTACACTAAATAGAGGTGTATCTATTATTGAAAGGATCTTATAACGACGCCTACTTTAAATAAAAATATTTTTAAAATTCCATACCAATTGACGGCTTCTATGTTCAAGTCCAATAACTATTAATGCTTGCAACATTGTACACTAAAAAATCCGCAAAATTTTAAAAAAATTTGGGGAAAAAATTCTTACAAAAACAAAAACAGAAGTAAATCCAAACCAAACATCAATTGCTTTTACATAAGAAACTTTGGGTAATGTCTCCTTTGCTGAACTACTTTCTGCGCTAAGCGTTAAAAATACTGTTAGGGCAACAAAAACGCGTCCTTCAACAAATTCTTCGGGTAACCAAACACTTATCCAAGAGAATAAAACACCTAGTAGAAAAATGAATATAAAACCTCTATTTAAGATACCCTCATTATAAGATACTCCCGATATTGGAGACACCTCTATTTAAGAGATTTCTTTAAAAATTTGGTTGGTCACTGGGTGGGGAGTTGCCTAAGCAATATACCCTCTATTTAATGTACACCTATAAGAGACTATTTTTAACCCCTCTTTAGTGAGGTCTGAAGGAAAACCGACAAAACCTCATGAAATCCCCACTTCCGCCTGAAAAAAAGTCTCTTATAATGAGTGTATCTTAAATAGAGGATAAGTCAACTTTAAAAACCCCATTATAGGCGACTAATTTTCTCATCCCAAAGGGGGTCTCTTATAATGAGCTTTTTTAAAAAATTTAAAGAAAACTATGACAAACAAGTAGCTGTAGGTACATAAGTTTGCCAAAGATGATACCCAATACTTCTCTTCATTAAAAATCGAGCTTCTAGACAAGAAAAATTTCCTTCAAAAAATTTTTTAAGTTAATAAACAATTATTAAAGAAGAAACCTGTTTTCCTTTGAGTTTGACAATTTTTCTTTTCCAACCCAGCAATATATAATTCTGGTAATTGTAAACGTTTATAAATTCGAATGGCGTCGGATTGGCGAGAAAACCAACGCAAACTTGAAAAAATTTTTTTTTGAAATTTAGTACGTGAAATTTTATTTTAAGTTTACCTAACAGAGTCGTTTGTTGAAGCAACTGTTTAAGAAAAATATTTAAACAAATTTTTTGGCGGTGTAGACAGGCTTTTTTGCGGACATTTTTTCTGCGGATTTCCTTTGCGGACTTTTCCTGATATTTTTGCGGACTTTTTTCGGTTGACATTTTGCAGATTTCCTTTTGCGGACTTTTTCAAGTCGGATTGACGAGAAAACCAGAAAAACCAACCAATGGGTTGGTTTTTCTATTTAAGAGACACCTCATTATAAGGCACACCTCCTTATAAAATACCCTTAACACCTAAAATTTGGTTGACGACTGGGAGGGGGTAAGAGATATCCTCTATTCAATTGCAGAGGGGGGGGGGGGGACAATTTTTGCGAACCTCTTTTGCGGATATTTTTACGTCCGCAAAAACATAAAAATTGTCCGCAAAAAGCCAATTCACCTATTTTTAATTCAAAAAAACAACCAACTTGAACTTATACGTAATTGAAGTGTTTGACTGTCATGTGGATATTTACAAAGAATTAATTGACTTTTTGGTTTAACATATAAACGTGCCTCAAGAAATACTTTTCCACTCATTGGGAATACAAAAGCATAGAAATTGAGACGAGTAACTCTGTGGAATAAAGAATCCCGAGCATTTACAAAATGCATGTCCGGCCTCCAAATCTTTCTGAAAAAATTTTTTTAATAGTTAACCTCATTATAAGATACCCCCAATATTGGATACAACTCTGTTTAAGAGACCTCTATTTAAGAGACAATTTAATGCGGTTTACCAATGGGTAGGGGAGCTAATTAAGCGATACCTTCTATTTAAGAGACACCTCATTATAAGGCACACCTCCTTATAGAATACCCTTAACACCTAAAATTTGGTTGACGACTGGGAGGGAGGGTTAACTAATTGTAAGAAATACCCTCTATTTAACATACCCCCATTATAAGAGACTTTTTCAGTTCCAAGGGTGTATCATATAGTGAGGTCCGGCTTATTAAAAACTAAAAAACAAACTTCAAAAATATTTCATCATTAACAAGTATTGGAGTAGTCAGATTTAATGCCAAACGAGGATCTCTCCAACTCATTCTTAACCAACAATCCATATCATAATCCATTGTAGCCAATTGAAAATTAGCTATTGATTGAACTAAAATCCCAACTCGAACTTCAACTGGACGGCCTTGAATAAATTGAGGGGCACTTCTAGGGTCATAACCTGTTTTGTTTAGCATGGGTTCTAGAACGCCTGAAGGCAGAGGTTTGACTAGAAAAAATTGTTTTGTTAAATATAGTAAAACCTCATTATAAGATACCCTCATGAGGCAGAAAAAAGTCTTATAATGAGGTGTTTATTAAATAGAGGGCATCACTTAGAAAGCTTCCCGGGGTCACTTTAGTACGTGGGTCCCGGAGTTAATATACAAATGTTATACCATTCGAAAGAGCTAGTCGAGCTGAGTCGAATGCCACCAGTTTTAGCCCGAGGAAAAATTTTTGGACCGAGATATAGGCCCCCGAAATTTGAAAAAGCAATGGGGGGACCAAACACTTTTTTGGGGTGAAAAATTCAAAACTGCAAATGATACCTCATTCGAAAGAGCTCCTCGAGCTGAGTCGAATGACACCAAAATCAACGAAATCTGACTTCATTTGGCCGAATTGCAGACCCCCGAAGTTTGAAAATTTTTTGGGTCAAAAAATTCGAATATGAAAATTATATCTCATTCGAAAGAGCTCGACAAGCTGAGTCAAATGACATCAAAATCACAATGATTGAACAAGATTAGACAAAGTTATCAAAAAACAAAAAAAACTTAAACCTATGGAGCGTCGGCGAGGCGCTTGTGCAAAACCCCGCGCTTCGCGCGGGGTTTTGCGGCACGCGCCTCGCGGGGAGTCTACGGGCGCTGGGTCTGGGCTCGTAACATAAACCTATTCCTATCTCCCTTGCTCTGGACGTATTTGTGGCCTGCGTAGCAGCAAAAATCTCCACAGATGCCATAGGTAAGGAGCTAAAATAAAAGATCATAACTTTGTCCAATCAAGTCGGATTTCGTTGATTTTGGTGTCATTCGACTCAGCTCGAGGAGCTCTTTCGAATGAGCTATTATTTGCATATTCGAATTTTTCACCCCAAAAAAGTGCTTACTCCCCCCTTTGGTTTTTCGATTTTCGGGGGCCTATATCTCGGTCCAAAAATTTTTCCATCGGGCTAAAACTGGTGGTATTCGACTCAGCTCGACTAGCTCTTTCGAATGGTATAACATTTGTATATTAACTCCGGGACCCACGTACTAAAGTACAGCCAGCTTCCCCAACCCAATGGTCAACAAAATTTTAAAGAGCGTTTTTTAAATAGAGGTGTCAGCAAAAGTGGAGGTATCTTATATGGGGGGGTCTCTTAAAACGAGGTGTATCTTATATTAGTGAGGGTGGCTTAAGCAGAAACCCTCAACCAGTGGTCAACCAATTCTAGGGGACACTTAAATAGAGGTGTCTATAATATTGGGGGTCCCTTATAATATGGTTTTTGTTTAAATATTAACAAACCTCCGCCCTGTCTAGAAATACTTTCCATTTTATTCAACATTTCATCCAACTCTTTATCATCTTCACCATACAATAATTGTTGCCTTAAACTTTCTCGGCCCTCAGGGCCTAACGCTTCTATTTTAATGCCTATTGGTAAATTTGTCTTTTCGGGTAGACTACCTGAAAATTAAAAACAAAAAATTTTCTTGGGTCTGGACAAGTTTATGAGTCCAATGGAAATTTTATAAGCTTAAGGGAGGTTTTTACGGAATGCGACATAATGCCAAAACGACAAAATGCCAATCCACCCAAAATTCCGTCGAAATACCAAACTGAAAGAAACCCCCGAATTTGATTGACTCAAAAGTTAATTGGACTCATAAACTAATACAGAACCCTTATATTTTTAAAAAAGGCAAACTTGTTGGTGTTGTCCTAGTAATTGAGAGAAGCTCTTCCTCATCTAGCAATTTAACCTCTACAGACCTTTCACTTCTTTTTGCATTTTCTTCAAAATTTCTAAAGGAGTTGACACTCAAATGTGGTTGTGTTGATGCTGAACAAATTAATAATTTGAGGAAAGCTAACAATAAGAAAAAATAGTTTACAAACATTTTTTGATTTATTGAAGAAAATAAATTTTGAGAAAAATAAGCCTAGATAGGCCCCCGTTAATTAAATCAACAAATTATAGAGCTATTCATTTGGAAGGAGGAGAGGAAAGGAAGCAAAAGAAAAGGTTGGGGAAGATTAGCAAAATAAATATTTAAAGAAAAAGGATTTGCGTATTAACAAAAAAAAGTACCAAAATGGTCAAATGAAAGGGGAGGGACATTAGAGTATGGCCGTTTCAGTCATATTTTGGGCCATAACTTTTTTGGTTCTTAACCGATTTAAATGATTATTAAATCAATCGAAAGCTCTGGATGTGAGGATTATTTTAGCTGAAAGGAGTGATTTGATCAAATCGTTCTACAAAATGTCACAATTGCTTAAGTGCGCGCAATCGTGATTTTTGATTTTTATTTGACTATAACTTTACAGAGAATGATCTAATCAAATCACTCTTGTTAGATAAAATAATCCCCACATCCAGAGCTTTCGAATGATATAAAATTTATTTAGATCGGTTAGGAACCAAAAAAGTTATAGCCCAAAATATGTCCAAAAAATCCATACTGAAACGGCCTTATCGCTAAAATGGTAGGCGACCAATTGTCCGCGACCGACTGTCCCGCTTCATATTTAAGATAATTTTATTTTTGAAATTTCTCACAGTCAGAATCAAATTACTTTGAATTTTTGATTTTCTTTTAGATATTTATTTTATTCTTATTAAATTTAAGCACAAAATTTGCTCACCTATTCCCATCTTTTTTAAAAATGTTTTGTGACACTGAAGTATTTTCAAGGAAAGTTTTTGTTGGGGGATTACCAATCGACATAACAGAGACTGAGGTTAAGCAGACTTTTCAGAAGTATGATTTTGAATAAATTTTAGAAAAAAATTTTTTCGTTAAAGATTTGGAGCTTTGCTGGTAGATTGGCCTTGCCGTTCTATGGATTTTTCTTTTGCAATTAAAAAGGAGCAAGGTTGGGATTTAAAGATTGAGGGAGGGATTTTTAAAGGGTATAAGGGTGGGCTTGGTTAGGTCTTGAAACATCTCCTTCCCTTGAGCTATTTGGGGAAAGGGGCTGGCTCTTGGGTTTGTAGTCCAGAAAACTCCAAGCTCTGGAAGAAATACGGAAGCCCGAAAAGATGCTCGGGTATAGGTATATTCCAGGCTCCCGGGCCTGTCCTAGGCCTGGAGTCCAGAAAAATCCAAGCTCAGTTAGGTATACAAGAAATCCTAAAAGTCAAAGACCCTCTCCCCAGGCCTTGGGTGTTCTCAAGGACCCTAGAAAGACGCTTGTCCGAGGAAAAGGTACTTGGCCTGTAACCAGCCAATCTCAAGTTATGTCTCCTTAATTTTCCTTACTTTTAGCTTCAGGCAAACAAGTAACTGGCTATGCATTTTTGATTTATCTTGAAGAAGTCTTTGTGCAGAAACTCATTTCAAAATGTTATCGTGAAGGGGACCGTTATTATATGCTCTTATCTAGTAAAACTGTCCGTGAAAAACCCGTGCAGATTCGACCATGGCGTTTGACAGATATGGACTATATGCCTCGACCTTCAAGTTTTTTGGATCCTCGTCGCACGGTTTGCTCTTTTAATTGTTTTTATGACTCTTATAAGACCTAAGTTTTGAACCTGGAAGCGTTAAGGAACCAGGGATGGTCCGGGGTAGGAAAAAAGTTGGGCGTGTCGTCTCTGGTCAGGTTTTTAAATTTTTCCGTGGATTGAGTTTCGGCTAGGCTTTTGCTAAACTCCTACTTCATTTTAGGGCTCTTGTTAATAGTAAGCCCCAAGTTTTGAACCCAACAACGTTATGGAATCCAAACCCACCTTTAAACTCTAAAGAAAATCGACATACAACCTTATAGGAGGGAACGTCTGGGGAATAAGCCGTGTCGGATTTTGGGATTTCTTGGGCCGGGTTCGGAAAAATTTGGGTTTCGGGTAGCCGTCTCATTTTTCTGATACGTTCATGGGACCCATAAACTTTACAAAAGAGAACTTATTTTTATTCAGATTTTTATTGGCGGAGTGCCACGACCAACAAAAGCTAGTGAATTAGCTTTTGTTCTTGAAAGTCATTATGGCTCAGTTTGCTATGCAGGCATTGATGTGGACCCAGAAATGAAATATCCTAAAGGAGCTGCCAGAGTTACCTTCAATACTTTTAAATCTTATGTTGCTGCGATGGCTGGCCGTTTTGTTAATATTCCACATTCGGATAGTACTAAACGAGTTTGTTGATAATTTTTTAAAATTCACTGGACCTCACTTTGAGATACACCTTATACTAGGCACACCTCTATTTAAGACTTGGGACTGCCTAGATGAAACCCTCTATTTAGGATACACTTCATTATAAGATACTCTATAAATCTCACTATAAGATACCTTCAATATTAGATAACCTCTATTTAATTGACGCTCTGGATAGCTACTGGGTGTAGGGAGCTTTCTAAGCGATTCCCTCTAATTAAAATACATCTCATTATAAGAGACGATTTTTCTGTCCCATGGGTATCTTTTAGTGAGGTCCGCCTTCAATAAGATGTCCAATATTTTTTTCTTTTAAAAGGTTGAAATCAAGCCATATGTAGTTAATGACCAAATGTGTGATAATTGCCATGGAAAACTTTGTCAAGACCGTTACGCACCTTACTTTTGTGGAGATGTTTGTTGTCTCCAATATTATTGTGAGGCTTGTTGGGATCGTCTTCATTATGGAGGTGCTAATCGAATTCGTGAAGTTCATAAGCCATTTGTTAGAATGGGTGAACAAACTAAGGTTTGAAAAATAAATTTTTTTTGTAAAATAAAGGGTTGGGTCTTGTTCCTTTAAGTTTCCTTTTAGCGTTGCCTTCCCGCAGTTTTTTCTCTCCCAAGACTCCTATGTAACAACCTTATTGTATAAAAGGTGTTGGCTTAGGGTTAGAAACGCTTAGGGCAGTGACGTTTGAAATTCGTAAAAGAGAAAGTGGGTTTCCAATAGTTTGAGGCATTGTTTTAGGTTTTGGGGTGAGGTTGAGTTTTAGGCATTTCTGACCTTTCCTTTTCTCTCATAGGTGATGCCTTCCCGAACCTTTTCCTAAGGCGTTTTCTAGTCTGAGGACAGACACCCTATTGTAAAAGGGGAAGACTCAACTATTTAGCCTTTTAAGCGATACCCTCTATTTAAGACACTTCCTTAAGGGCTCTCTTGTACCTCTTTAATTTTTTGGGAGAACACTTGAACCCGTTTTAATGCTAAACCTGTTGCCTTTAACCTCTCTTAAAAAATTTTTTTAAAGCAATTACATCGTTTGCCACACCATAATACTCCAACTACTGCTTCTTCTGCTGCTGTTGTTCCAGCAGTTATTCCTCGTGTTCTTTGAGAGACTAGCGCGATTTATATAAAAAAATATTATATATATTTTGTTTATTATATATTTATGTGTAGTTTGCATTCTGTGTAATTTCATTTTTTTTCTCTTTCTCGTTTTATATATTTATGCCATATATACACCTTTAAAAATTCCCTATATTATAATTTAATTTAATAATAATAAATAATTTTTTTTATATTTAAATTAATCTTGAATATAGGCCTCATTATAGGGCTACCTCTCGATATTGGAGACACCTCTATTTAAGAGACACTCTTTAAAAGTTATTCAGTGGGTAGGGGGAGCTTTCTAGCGACATCCTCTATTTAACAGACACCTCAGTTTAATAGAAACCTCAATATAGATACACCTCCCTATAATATACTCCCAATACTGGGTACACCTCTATTTAAGAGACACATTTAAAATTGAGTTTCTCAAAGGGTAGGGGAACTGTCTGGGCGACATCCTCCACCTAGGATAACCTTATTATAAGGTAAGAATTTTCAAACCCAAGGGCTTATACTGAGGTGGAGTTCAACTGCATTATATTTTATTGTATTTGGGGATTTTAAATTATTATTGTAATTTTTTATCGTCTCTAGTAAATCTGAAATCTTTTAAAAATAATCGTCATTATTAAGAATGAGAACAAAAAACACTCAAATTATTTGTTTATCCAGCACGTAAAGGTCGTTCAACAATTTTCCTTCTCTCTTCGCTTAAATATTTTTATGACGATCGCGCAAAATCTTCAAAAAAAACCATTTGTCGTTGTTTACATAAAAACCAGATGTTTTTGATGAATCATTAAAAAATAAATTATTTTTTAAACCACTTAAAATCCATACAAAATTACATGAAATTAGTATTTTTAAAAATATTTTTGTTGTTTTATTTTGTACCAATGCAAGGTCAGAAAGATTATTTTTAATAAATTTAAAAAAATTTTTTTCCCAGTACAATCACAGCAAGTAAACCTCGGCTCTCTTAGCCTAACACGTAATCAAAACGGGGATTTGCTTTTTGGCCTGGGGCAAGGAGCAAACATTTTTGGTTTTGGAGCGGACAGAAGACTTGGATTGAATATAGGGCCTGGGCGTTTTGGCGCTATCAGTAAGTCTTATCAGTGATGGGAAAATTTTCTGATAATTCCGCTCTTTTAAGATGACAATGGACTGATTCTGGGTAATCAACGCTTTGGAATAGATTCTCAATTAGGCTATGAAAATGGGCGTGGACTTGACCTTGGAAGCTTTCTAAACGTTCGTATACGTAACGTAAATGTTCTAATAGAAGCCAGGCTCCGTAGACCCCCCCCCTCCCAGTTAATAATAAATGCCCAGGGCTTGTATAAGAACCCAAGCCCTATTAAAAGCGCCCCTACTCATAGAAACACACGCCCTCAAAGCATACGCTTGTCAGTTAGAAGCCCTAATGTGACCCATTGAAAAATCGCCTAGGGCTTTTATTAGAAAATTTACAGTATTTATTTTTTCCTCCTAAAATTTTGCTATAAAATCCCCTTCCCAAGTTGTTCCAACCAATTGGTCAACATTTTGCTTACCAACAAAATCCAATAGCTGCCCAAAGAACGAATTTAGCCCTAGGCGAAGTAAATCAGGAGAATGTCTCATCCGTAGCTGTTAATAAAGGAGATCACCAATTTCCGCCAAGTATTGGAAGTGGGTGGAATGGGGAAGAAGAGATTGAAAGGAAAGGAAGAATCCACCACAAAAATCATTTCAAAGAAAACTTGAAAGATGATGAAGATTTAACAATGCCGCTTGTGCCTTTAGATGGATTAAAGAAGCAGTGATCTTAAATTGACTAAAACAAGAAAAAAAGATCTCATTATAAGATATCCCTTGGGCGCTGAAATTTTGGACCTTATAATGTGCTTTTTAAGTGAGGTGTCATTTGGGATCCTTCCAAATCCAAATCATCCCCACACTTTGGGCAACCAAGTTCGATTATGGCCGTATTTTATATGAGGAGCTTTTTTTTTATTTAAGTCTCTTAAATAGAAATCTATTGAGTTATCCTATAATGAGGTTCATGTAAGTTACATATTTTAAAAAATTTTCCTAAAACCCTCCCAAAATTCCTCAAAATTTTTATTATAAAAATTGTGTAATATCTTTTTGTAATAAATAAAATGCTATATATAGGTAATTATTTGCAATTGTCTTATTTTTAAACAAACAATATTCCTTTTCTCTCTTTCCCAATCAAAGGCACACACTTCGTTGTCAAATAGAAAAAAATAAATTTCAAAAAAAATTATGATGGCGGAGTAGATTTTTGATGAGGTTGTCCTAAAGTTGCAGCAGGACTTCCACTTAAAAGTGCAGTAAATTCATCAATACAAGCTATAATTTGATTGTTTTTATCCAAATGTGAAAGTGTTTCTTCTGGCAATATTCGACGAACAGAGTCGCTAGAAAAAAAATTTTTTTTTGAAATTTTTAGATTGAAAAATATTAAAACAAGGGAGCATTATCCGCTGTGTACAAAAATTTGGTATTATTTTTGATTCTGTTCGATAGAGAACCCTCGACTTTCTATTGTGAAGTGTCCTTCTTTTTCGTGCAAAGTGACTTTTAGGACGAGTTATAGCCGTTCAAACTTTTGGATTTTGGGAGCGTTTTTGTTATACGGAAGAAAGGAGAAAACCAAAAATTTTTGTATAACGGTACTTATGAAGATGGAGGTGCCCTTTCTGCGGACTTTTTTTGCGGACTTTTCTTCCTTTCTTTTAAATGTTTTACTTGTAGCAACTAACTGTCAACGCCACTCCCCCATTATTCTTCTTACCTAAGATTGTACATAAAGGTCAGATTTTCTTCTTCCTCTCCTTCCTCTATTTGCCCTGTGGCAAATTCAAACAAGAGACATTGATAAAGAGAAGATTAATTTTATAGTCATACACTTATTTTTTGCCTTCGAAAACAATTTAAACAAAAAAAGAATTAAATAAAATTGATTTGGTGTATAACATTATGAATTTCTGTGTAAAAACTTTACATTCCTACTTATATTTAAAAATATTGAACAACTGAAAAAATAAATCGTACTCAATATTGAACAACTCAATTAATTTTAATCTTCTCTTTATCAACTATGTCTCTTGTTTGAATATGCCAAGCTCAAACAGAGGAAAGAAGGAAATCTGACCATTTTGTGCAATCTTAGGTAATAAAAATAATGGGGGGGGGGGGGGGGACAAGGTTTGAAATTACCCGCATTTCTGTTCCACAATAACATATTCTTTTTCTATGAAGTATTCCGAGATCAGTGATCCATTGTCGAAATTCATCATCGTGTAATTGAAAATTTAGTTAAAGTAAAATTTTTAATTGATTGTAACATTTTTTACGTTTATATATTCAAATTAATCGTGAACACATATTTTTCAAATTGGCATAAAAAATAATCCTTTGACATTAATTGCTACGAGCAAAACTTGCTGAAAGCAAAACAACCAAAACATTTAAAAGAAAGGAAGAAAAGTCCGCAAAAAAAGTCCGCAGAAAGGGCACCTCCATCTTCATAAGTACTTGTATAACTAGATTTTTGTATATCCTCGCATAAGTACTTGTATATCCTCGCATAAGTACTTCATAAGTACTTGTATAACTAGATTTTTGTATATCCTCGCAAGAAAAAATTTCACAAAAAATTCTAAAAAATTACCCAGGTATTAACGGCTTCCTTTCCAAACGGCATTTCCGAATTTCTACAAAAGCTTTACGAATAAGTCTTGCATAAATACATTTGGACATAAATTGTTCCAAATTTTCGTTTTGGTCAGGGTGAATATCCATAAAATTGTAAAGGTCCTCGACTGCCTTGAAAAAAATTTTTTTTTAATTTTTAAAAACAAAAAAAAGAAACCCCAGAAAAAATATCATCGTCAATACGAGCAAATAACTTTTCCATTTCTTCCATAAAAGGTGGTGTTCCATCCAGAGTTTTTTCATCTCCAGCAGTATTCCGTTTACCAACGGCACGGACACAACGCTTTACATAAACAACAATTTTTGAATTTTCTGGGAGATGGTCGAGGTAATTAAGTATCTTAATTAAAATTAACAAATAAAAAATTAATTAACAAAAAAAACCGAATATTTCTTATCAACAACAATCCGTTGAATGCAAATAAAAAGTAATTTTGAAGTTTCTTTAACTGAAGCATCCAACTCATGCCCCTCGTCAGTAATATAAAATCGTGTAATGTAAGTATTTATATGTTCCAATAATGTGGGAATATCAATCTAAAAAAAAATGCGTTAGTGTAAGAACATTTATTGAAAAGATAATTTTGTTCTTTCACGCCCATTGTAAAGAATTTTTTTTAAATTACAAACCATAGCAACAATTGTAGGATCTGTAAGAGTTTCAGTTCGTTTAATCATACATTTACGAAGTAAATCCATCATCTTTCCTTTAGGTTCAGTTGCTTGGTATTTCATAATTAATTTCATCAAGGCCAAATAGCAAACACTTGGATGAGTAAATTCACAAAGACGAATAACAACAACATTTAATGAACGAAAAACCTAAAAAAATTTTTTAAACAAGAAAATATGTAATAAAATAAGCTGTCTAAGTCGCTCCTCAAGTTTTTTTCGGTCCTAAGCTTTTGAAAAACTTCTGAGCTTTTCAAAAATTCGTCCTATAACAAATAATTGTCGCTATTCTTGTTAATGTTTAGTTAAGAATTTGGGGCCAAGTTTTGGTCAAAAGGATTCACTAGTGGTTTGGAGTCTTGAAAATCTTAACCCTTGGAAAGCTAAAAATATTATTTAAAAATATAACCTGATCCTTAAATCCAGAAAGGCGTTGATCACATACTAACGACAAAATTGCTTCTATAAATCCACGTAAAGTATCAGCACTAATTCTCTTCATTATATGAGTTTCATTTGTTAACTTAAAAAAATTTTTTAAATAAAAATAAATTTATAAAAAAATAACCGTAGAGAGAAAATTACAAATTGAACGTAAAAATTCATTTAGCTCAGTTTCTTTAGAAAAATTCTGTTTTTCTTGTTTTGCTTCTTTACCAGATTCTAATTGTTCAAGATGTTGACTTCGAATATGAAAGACTTGTGTTACAATCTAAAAAAGTGTGAGATTCAAAAATGAAATTATTAAAAAAAAATTAACCATTTTTAAAATAAGCTCTGATCTATCAATGATATATTGACGATTGTTGGGATCATTCAATAAATGTAATAACTAAAAATTTGGAAATAAAAAAAACTAAACAAATTTAATCACTAATACTATTTAATTTCAAAAAATTAAAAAAAATTTAAACCTGAGCAATCGCTTCATCAGCAACGCTTAATTGTAAGCAAGAGACATTATGAACAGCTCGATCAATATATTCAGTACTTTCTAACGAAGAAATAGAAGATACAGATTCACTACGACGAGAAAATATGCTGACAGGGCGGATAACAGGTTTCTAAAATAAAATTAAAATTTTACATCTAAAAATCAAAAATATATATACGATTGGTTGTAAATCATTTTGATCAACAATTGGTTGAATACTTCGAATTGATAAAACACCTCGCTCCGGTGGCACCAAATCATTTTTAGTAAATGTAGAATTTAAATCGATGGTTTGATTTGGTTTTGAATTAGCAGCTAATAAAGTCCTCTCACCGTCATCAAAATCATTTTGATAAAATTTAGGATCCAATTGAAAATGACCAATACTCTAAAAAACAATAAAATTTAAAAACGAATTCAAACTTGATTCAATGTGGAATGAGCAGAAGGTGAACGACGAGGATTAGGATTATATGAACGACGAGGAGCACGAAAACGATCGACTTGTTGTTTTTGTGGTTCGGTAGCAACTTGTTGTTGCTGATTATTTGTGTTTGTAGCTAATTGCCGTTGACTTTGTTGAGATGTTGAAGGAGCGAAATTATTCTCAGAAGCAGGCTGAAAATAAGCAATCAAAAACAAAAAATAAAAGTGTAAAAAACCTTTAGACTTTGAGATTCAATCGAGGCCTTTTCACGATATTCAGCAATCTAGAATGTTATTTCAAATAAAAAATAGATAAATAAACGGATTTAGTCTAGTAACCAGAGCAAAGTTTCGGCACAAAACATACGATTCATTAAGACAAGCTGATTCGAATAGTAACACTCTTATCCGGAAATGCCTATGGATCAAGATATAGCTCCCCAAAAATCGAAAAACAGTCAAGTACATACATGAGCTCAAAAATGCAAATATACAATAGCTCATTTGCAGGATGCAGTTGGAGTGGCGAAAAGCAATTTCTACACTTAAATTTTTGAGCCCAAAAATGGGCCTAAAGTTTTTCATATTCCAGGGACATGTACTCGGCCTCATCAAATCGTGTTACTTTATGTTAAACTCAGTTCGACGAGCTCTTTCGAATGCCATATATGAACTTATCGGAGTATATGCACTCAATACCAGTTATACCAAAAATAAAAAGTAATTCAAAACAGCTCATCGAGACGATGTGTTATGTATCAAAACTTTACACCCGGCAAACTTAACAACAGTCAAATAAACCTTTGACATTTTTGAAGCATCTTTGACAATTTCAGCATTTAAAAAAACTGAAAGTGCACTTTCACCAATACATTTTTGTATAGCACCCAAAGCAGCACACGAAGCATCACGAACCTCAGGATCAGAATCAGAAGCATGCTAGTGATAAAAGTAATGAAACAAGAAAATCAAAAATACGTACATTAGATAATGACGCAACCAAATCCTTCAAAAGTCCTTTAGGAATATCCTTGCTGTTAAGTGACCGAAATGCTCTGTAGATGAAATGATCAAGTTGAGATTTTTGACCACGATTAGGCTTTTTAGCAGCTTCCAAAATACTAGCTGAGAGATTTTTTAAATTCTAAAAAATAATCCAATAAGAAACATAAATTATTTACCACATGAAAAACGGGCGAAACCAGAGTTGGATTTCAGCCGCGTTAACGCAAGAATTTTACCTTATAATTATATTTTAGAACAAGAAAAGATGGTTAAAAGACTAGATATTTAAGGTAATTCTTCGGATGACGCCCTCCCCCCTCTTTTTTATGTTTCCCTTACCATTTTGAGTTTTTCTAGTTGACATATAATAATTTATATATCATTCGAGAGAGCTCCAAGCTGAGTAGATTGATACAATGAACGGTTAGATTTGGCAATTTTTAACGAAATTATGAAGACAAAACTATATGGACATGCTTTTTGTGATGTTAAAAAAATAAAACATAAAAAAGGGGGGAGTCATGCGAAGAATTACCGGGTTATTTCCAAGAATGATCTTAAAACAGTTACAAACGCTGTGAAGTGGCGAGTAAGTAAAGCAATCCATCAAAAATTTATATAATTACCGTGCTAGCAAAAACAGCGTCAATTAATTCAATCAAAGGATCACGAAGATGAGGCTTCTTCTCTTTGAATCTGTCAAATATAATTGGAGATAATGAAGCTGTATGCGACCCAAATTTATTGCGCAATCCTTTCGCCATTATAGTAAGACATTTAGCAGCAACAGCAGCACAATTAATATTTGCGTCAGATGAGAGAACCTTAAAAATAAAAATAATTTAATTTAAATAATTACTTAAAAAACCTTTGCAAGCTTATCAATCAAATCTCCGTAATCTGGGTTATCAGTCAACTTGGGATTTTCTACCAAAATGGAGTGAATTGAATCCAACACAGCTTTTCTTTCTTGCCAAGTTTTACTAGCTAATTGAGTGTCTAAATTCGCCGGAAGTTTTGAAATAATGTCGACAGGTTCCAAAGGCTTAGAAAGATCGACTTGTTGTTTTTGTGGTTCGGTAGCAACTTGTTGTTGCTGATTATTTGTGTTTGTAGCTAATTGCCGTTGACTTTGTTGAGATGTTGAAGGAGCGAAATTATTCTCAGAAGCAGGCTGAAAATAAGCAATCAAAAACAAAAAATAAAAGTGTAAAAAACCTTTAGACTTTGAGATTCAACGGTGGCCTTTTCACGATATTCACCAATCTAGAATGTTATTTCAAATAAAAAATGTTTAAATAAACGGATTTAGTCTAGTAACCAGAGTAAAGTTTCGGCACGAAACTTTAAAAACTTTTTGTAACCTTGAAACTATTGGCAACTACTTTTACTCATAAATGAGTCTTAAACAGCTCGGCGAGAAGAATCGAATAATATATTTTGAGTTCAAATCACGGTGGACCTATATAATATACCGACACCGAAACTTTACACCTGGCAAACTTAACAACAGTCAAATAAACCTTTGACATTTTTGAAGCATCTTTGACAATTTCGGCACTTAAAAAAACTGAAAGTGCACTTTCACCAATACATTTTTGTATAGCACCCAAAGCAGCACACGAAGCATCACGAACCTCAGGATCAGAATCAGAAGCATGCTAGTGATAAAAGTAGTGAAACAAGAAAATTAAAAATACGTACATTAGATAATGACGCAATCAAATCTTTCAAAAGTCCTTTAGGAATATCCTTGCTGTTAAGCGACCGAAATGCTCTGTAGATGAAATGATCAAGTTGAGATTTTTGGCTAGGATTAGACTTCTTAGCAGCTTCCAAAATACTGGCCGAGAGATTGTTTAAAGTCTAAATAAAAGAAAAAAGTTAAGGTAACGAAAATCTAAATAACCGTGCTAGCAAAAACAGCGTCAATTAATTCAATCAAAGGATCACGAAGATGAGGCTTCTTCTCTTTGAATTTGTCAAATATAATTGGAGATAATGAAGCTGTATGCGGCCCAAATTTATTGCGCAAACCCTTTGCCATACCAGTAAGACATTTAGCAGCAACAGCAGCACAATTAATATTTGCGTCAGATGAGAGAACCTTAAAAATAAAAATAATTTAATTTAAATAATTACTTAAAAAACCTTTGCAAGCTTATCAATCAAATCTCCGTAATCTGGGTTATCAGTCAACTTGAGATTTTCTACCAAAATGGAGTGAATTGAATCCAATACAGCTTTTCTCTCTTGCCATTTCTTACTAGCTAATTGAGTGTCTAAATCCGCCGGAAGTTTTGAAATAATGTCGACAGGTTCAAGAAATTCAAAAGGATCGACTTGTTGTTTTTGTGGTTCGGTAACAACTTGTTGTTGCTGATTATTTGTGTTTGTAGCTAATTGAGGTTGATTTTGTTGAGATGTTGAATGAGAGAAATTATTCTCGGAAGCAGGCTGAAAATAAAAATTCAAAAGCCAAAAAACAAAAGTGTAAAAACCTTTAGACTTTGAGATTCAGTCGAGGCCTTTTCACGATATTCAGCAATCTATAATGTTATTTCAAATAAAAAATATTTAAATAAACGGATATAGTTAATGTAAGTATACCAGAGTAAAGTTTCGACATAATAAAGCCAATTCGGTATGACGAGCTGATCCGAATCGTAACAATCTTTTCCGGAAATGACTGTGAAAAGGTTCCAAAATTCAGTCAGGGATATCTTAAGGTCAAAAAACAAATATACAATAGCTCATATTAAGAGCTCGTTGGAGTCGGCGAAATTTACTACAAAAATGGTCATCCAGTTCTTTATTTTCATCAGGCCCGTAGCCAGGATTTTTTTTCGGGGGGGGGGGGGGGGAAATTTTTTGCGCCAAATTTTTGGCGCCGAAGGCGCCAAAAATTTTTATTTTCAGCGCCGCAGGCGAAAATTTTGAGAATTTTATAAGGCCGTAGGCCAAAAAAATTCAATTTTTCGGCGCCGCAGGCGCCAAAAATTTGATTTTCAGCGCCGCAGGCGAAAATTTTTTGAATTTTGGACCTCAAGAAGCTAGATTTCTTCCTTTTTTAGCGCCGCAGGCGAAAATTTTTTAAATTTCAGAGGCCGTAGGCCAAAAAAATTCACTTTTTTTGCCCCAGCCCTTCCCCAAATTTTTTCCTTTTTCCCATTTCGGGGGGGGGGGGGGGAATTCCCCCCCTCACCCCCCCCCCCCTGGCTACGGGCCTGATTTTCATGTACATGTAAGATGCACCTAAAAAGTCAGTCTAACTTATGCAGTTAGTTTATGGGGTCCTTAGTAAGGTTGTCGGATCCGGATATCCGGATCCGAAAAAAGGCCGGATATCCGGAAATTTTCGGTTCGGATACCGGATCCGGATCCGGATATCCGAAATTTTCGGTTCGGATATCGGATCCGGATCCGGATATCCGAAATTTTCGGTTCGGATATCGGATCCGAATATCCGAAATTTTCGGTTCGGATACCGGATCCGGATATCCGAAGATTTCCAACTATCCGACAACCTTAGTCCTTAGCACTAGAAGACGCATTGGCAACGCCCGTGTCGGAGTATGTGCTAAATATCAGTTATACTAATAGTAAGTCGTACATTCGAACCAGCTCGTCGAGACGAAGTGTTATGTATCAAAACTTTACACCCGGCAAACTTAACAACAGTCAAATAAACCTTTGACATTTTTGAAGCATCTTTGACAATTTCGGCACTTAAAAAAACTGAAAGTGCACTTTCACCAATACATTTTTGTATAGCACCCAAAGCAGCACACGAAGCATCACGAACCTCAGGATCAGAATCAGAAGCATGCTAGTGATAAAAGTAGTGAAACAAGAAAATTAAAAATACGTACATTAGATAATGACGCAATCAAATCTTTCAAAAGTCCTTTAGGAATATCCTTGCTGTTAAGCGACCGAAATGCTCTGTAGATGAAATGATCAAGTTGAGATTTTTGGCTAGGATTAGACTTCTTAGCAGCTTCCAAAATACTGGCCGAGAGATTGTTTAAAGTCTAAATAAAAGAAAAAAGTTAAGGTAACGAAAATCTAAATAACCGTGCTAGCAAAAACAGCGTCAATTAATTCAATCAAAGGATCACGAAGATGAGGCTTCTTCTCTTTGAATTTGTCAAATATAATTGGAGATAATGAAGCTGTATGCGGCCCAAATTTATTGCGCAAACCCTTTGCCATACCAGTAAGACATTTAGCAGCAACAGCAGCACAATTAATATTTGCGTCAGATGAGAGAACCTTAAAAATAAAAATAATTTAATTTAAATAATTACTTAAAAAACCTTTGCAAGCTTATCAATCAAATCTCCGTAATCTGGGTTATCAGTCAACTTGGGATTTTCTACCAAAATGGAGTGAATTGAATCCAATACAGCTTTTCTCTCTTGCCATTTCTTACTAGCTAATTGAGTGTCTAAATCCGCCGGAAGTTTTGAAATAATGTCGACAGGTTCAAGAAATTCAAAAGGGTCCATATCTTAAATTAGATTATAATTTTGTATAACAAATCTTGAGAAAATATTCCAAATAAACTAAGCAGTAAAACAAATCGTTTTTATTGATTTATTTGCCACGGACACCGTAGAGGACTTTCAAGCGCAAAAAATGAAAATACTGGATGAGAATAACCAAAATGTTACAAATAACACTTTTTTAAAACGCCGCGATAAAATGTAACAAAGGACGCTTAGACGCTAGAACCCTAGGCAGCCCATTTATGCGCGGCTATTTAGACGCAGGCCGCGCACACCGGTTCAATATCGTGCGCGACTACAATAGAGAACTCACATCAGCACATAACATGAGGATTTTTTTGAAGTTTTACGGTTTTTTAAAACAGGTTTGCAACTATGGATTGACATACATATGTGTTTATTTAAATCTTGACAAAATTACGTTTTATCTATTTTAACAATTTAACTTTTTACCACAATGAAACTTGCGGAAATTTTCTAGTTTGAATTTTTTGGGGTTTTTAATGGGGAAAATTTTTGATTTTTAAACTTTTTTTTTTCTATTTTTGATTGTTTAACTTTACCCCCCCCCCTCCCTTCCAATTATCTACATATTTTTTCTCTTAAGAAAGTGATAAGAATAAGAAACCCCCCATTTTATAAGAAACACCATCCATTCATTTAATTTTTATTCTCGAAGTATATTGATTTTATTTGCATTTTCGGTCATTCATTTCATATACATATATTTTTGATTATATTAAATATGTACATTTATAGAAATTTGGTTCCTTTTATTTAATTGATCAATCAAAACTTTTTTTTTCTTCGTGTCTTTAAATATTTTAGATTTCTAAAGAAATTTTATTTTTAAATTAATTTTGAGTCAATGACAGTGGATTCACAAACTTCTCCTCAAACTCAAGTATAATTTAGAGAAAATAAATTTAATAAATATTCCCATTTTTCAGGATGCTTCCTTATTTAGAAGGCCAAAAGTTTATATTATTGGTGTTGGAATGACAGCGGTATTTTATTTTTAAGAATCTTTATTTTTTAATCATTTTCAGTTCACAAAACCGCTTACATCTGGCAAGGATTATCCAGAATTGGTTAAAGAAGCAGGTAACTCTTTTTAACATTGTTTTAATAAGTCAAACCTCACTATAAATTACACCCTCGGGACTGAAAATTGGTATTTTATAAGTAGGTATTTCTTATATTGGGTGTAGCTTGTCTCTTAAATAGAGGGTATTTTATAGTGAAGTTTTTCTTAAATGTGAGGTATCTTATACCTAATGACTTTTTTCTTTAAAAAATTTTCCTTCTCAATTCTAAAAATTATTTTTTTAGTTGGCGAAGCCTTGAGTGATGCTGGTGTAAGATATGAACAAATTCAACAAGGTTTGGGCTTTTAAACTAATTTTTAAATTTATTTTTTAAATAAAAATTAATTTTTTAAAGCAACCGCTTCCTACATGTATGGTGGGTCTTGTTGCGGTCAAAGAGCATTATACGAAATTGGACTGACAGGAATACCTATATTTAATGTTTTTTCCTTAAAAATCTTTTTAAAAAACATTTCTTAATTCAAGTTGAATAATGCCTGTGCAAGTGGTTCCAGTGGAATTTTTCTTTGTAAACAAATTATAGAAAGTGGAAATGTTGATTTAATGCTGGCTGTTGGGTTTGAAAAGGTTTTTCTTTTCAAATTTTATGGAGGCGGACCTCTCTATAAGATATTCCCCAGTAGTGGATACACCTCTATTTTAGAGACGCTCTTTAAAAATAAGGTTGGCCACTGGCTCTGAGAAAGCTGCATAACCGATCTCTATTTAAGGTACCTCATTATAATAGACCCCAATATTGGATACACCTCTATTTAAGAGACGTTTACTAAGTGGCTTTTACTGGGTAAGGAAGCTGCTCAAGCGATACCCTCTATTTAACATATACCTCATTATAAGAGACATTTTTTCAATCCCATGGTTATTTTATAATGAGGTTTGATTTGGTCTTAAATTTTCTTTAAAAACATTTTCCTTTACAGATGCAACCAGGAAGTTTAGAAAATTCTCCAGAACATTTAGACGACCGTGCTTTACCCGTAGAAAAACATATTCAATTAATGGCCGACACCTATGGATTACAAGCGGCCCCAATAACTTCCCAAATGTTTGGAAATGCTGGACGTGAACATATGGAAAAATATGGTTTCTAGAAATTTTTTTTTGAAAATTTCTGTTAAAAAATTAAAAAAAGGTACAACAAGAGAACATTTTGCTAAGATTGCGTGGAAGAATCATTTACATTCTGTCCATAATAACAAATCACAGTTTCAACGTGAATTCTCTTTGGATGAAGTTGTTAATGCTAGAAAGGTTTATATTTTAGTTTTAAATATTGAGGGGTTTTTGCTGAAACAAAGGGCTCTTTACACGAATTTTCGAATTTTACTCAAAATTATACCAATTAAAAGTCCTCAAAAATTCCCTCAGACTACACAAGTGTCATTTACCGTAAATATTCCAATAGAGGCCCTGGATGTTTATTCTTACAGAAAAAAATATTTTTAATGGGTCTCATTGATCACTGACAAAATCCTCAACCTTCCGGTTTCTAATAAGCTCCTACTACGGTTCTATTAGGGATGGGCTTTTTTATTTAAAAATGACCGTAAAAATTTAAATTTTTAAAAAATTCAAGATTTATGATTATATGGGTCTATTCGAATGTTCTCCAACCAGTGATGGTGCTGCTGCTGTCATAATTTGTAGTGAAAAATATATTGAACAAAATCCTCATTTAAAGCCTCAAGCAGTTGAAATTGTTGGAATTGAATTAGGAACAGGTTTTTTAATTTTAAATTGAAAAAATTTTTCTTTAAAAGATGAACCTTCCGTGTTTGCTGAGAATAGCAATATAAAAATGGTTGGATTTGATCTTATTAAAAAAATATCTGAACGTTTGTATTCAAAAACTGGTGTTGATCCATCACAAATTCAGGTTTTATTTTTTCTAAAAGAAATTTCGAACTTTGTCACTCTCTCGCTTTTTTTTCCTCAAAGTATTCTAACAAGAATGGGCAGACCGAAAATTATTTTTTATTTTTTAAATTAAAAAGGTTATTGAACTACATGATTGTTTTGCTCCAAATGAGTTGATAACTTATGAGGCTTTGGGTCTTTGTCCTATAGGTTGATTTAAGAGATTAAGAATTTTTTATAAAATATATTAACAGGAAAGGCAGGTGAAATAGTTGATAAAGGAGATAATACTTATGGTGGAAAGTGGGTAATTAATCCGAGTGGAGGTTTAATTAGTAAAGGACATCCAATTGGTGCAACAGGTTTGCTTATTAACAGTGTCTAATATGACGGTCTTCTAGAGCTGTCCAACCCCAGGACCACCCGGTAAAGACCACCCAAAACCACTCAAATCTCAACGGTTTGGAGATTTGATCAAGATCACCCAAACTAGCCAGCCAACCCCATCCAAGACCAGTCCCATAGCCATCCAAGACAAAGGAAGACTCGGGAGATTTTATAATTTTGAACAGCCCTATTATTAGAACTCGTAATGTTATCGGCACCTAGTTTTTAATTTTTGTTCAAGTTTCCAGGCTTTTAGAATGCTGACATGAGATAGAATTATGATTGGAAATTCTTGGTTTTCTCAGTCTTGGGCCCTTCCTTGTTTCCTGTTCCTCTTTTTCTGATTTTTGCCTCTACCTATTCTATAATAGAAAAAAATTATTTATTTTTAAAGGTATTGCTCAAGCAGTAGAATTATGTAATCAATTACGTAAAAGATGTGGAGCTCGTCAAGTAACTAATGCAGTTTATGCACTTCAACATAATATTGGTTATTTTAAATTATAAATTTTCTTTAGTTTCTTTTTTGAGTGTGAAAATCATTTACGAGTGGCTTTTTTATTCTTTGCTTTTTTTTATTTTTTTAGTGCTTTTTATTTTTGCTTTGATTTTTCTGTCCTTTTTTGAATCTTAAAAAAGATTTTCCCAAAAATAATTTTTGTAGGGTCAAGGATCGTCTTTCGCCCCGATCGCCAACCCTCGCCCGAAAATGGTTCGCACACTTTTATTTTTCGAAGAGATCTGTTTCGAAATTTCGTGTTTTTTCTTTCGATTTTTATTTCTAAGGGATATTCGATATTTTAAACTTTTTTGATTTTTGAAGATTATTTTGTTCGAAACAGCTCTGTTTGCGAATAATATTTCCTTTTTTCAAAGTTCCTTTTAGCTAGAAACTTTATTTTTAAGGAATTGGCGGTGCTGGGGTAGTTGCTATTTATAAACTTGGTTTTCCTGAATTAGCTAATAAAAAGAAGGAAGAAAATGGAGAAATGTCTAGTGAATTTAAAAGTGATGCTATTTTTGAGGAAATTAAGGAAAGAGCAGAACAGGTTTAAAAAAATTTTTTAAATTTTAAAATTAAGTCATACCTCAATATAAGATTCCCCCCATATTAAGTCTCTCCCCATTTAAATTACCATCTATTTAATAGACGTTTTTAGTCGTGTATCCTATACTTACTGTTAGGTGACACCTTCTATTTAAAAGACCTCATTATTAGATAACCCCGATGCTACATACCCCCTCCATTTAATAAACACCTCATTATAAGGCAGGATTATTCACCCTCAAGGAGTATCTTATAATGAGGTGATACCCTCTATTTAAGATACACCTCATTATAAGAGACTTTTTAAGCCTCATTATAAGAGACTTTTTTTTATTATAAGAGACTTTTCTTATAATGAGGTTTTTTAAAAATATATTTATTTTTTAGGAAATTGATCTGGTTAAACAAGTTGGGTCTTGTTTTAAATTTGTTATTTCATCTCCAAATTCATCTAAAAAACGTGAATGGATTGTTGACTTAAAATGTTCCCCTCCATATGTTGGCCTTTCTGATAACAAGGAAAATACAAAACCAGAAGTTACCTTAACATTGGATGATCAAATTTTAATGAATATTGCTAAAGGAAAAATAAAAGCAGACCAAGTAATTTTTTAAAATTTTTTGAGGGGGGAAGGAGAAAAATTTTCTAATTTTTCTTAGGCATTTTTACAACGAAAATTAAAAATTAGTGGAGATTTTAAAAAGGCAATGAAATTGAAGGATATATTGGATCCTAAAAAATTAAAATCTAGAATTTAGGTAGAGAATTTTAAAAATTAGCGGAAAAATGTTTAAAAAGAATTTTTTATTTTCGAATTTTTAAAAATTAAAAAAAAATTTTTTTTTAATTTACAAAAAAAATAATTTTCTAATTATTGTGTTATTTTTTAAATAAATATAAAATATCTTCTAATTCGTTTTGGATTTCTTCTAAATTATGGAGTATTTGTGTATCTTTTACATTCATTTCAACCTTTAAATTAATTTTTAATAAAATTAATAAAATCTCAAATCCCACTTAGGGCTGAAAACTTATCCCTAATAATGAGGAGAATTTCAAAACCTTTGGAAAATTCTCTTATAATGAAGTTATCTTAAATTGCTGACTGGTATTGCTCGGCCAGCTCTCCCTTCTAAGGGTTAAAACCAATTTTTAGAAAACGTCTCTTATATAGAGATGTATCTTATAATAAGATTTTAAGGAGTGTATCTTATACTGAAATTTTTATAGGTGTATCTTATTAAAGGGGGTATCCTATAATGAGGTTTATATTGAAGTTTTAAAATTAAAATATAATTTACAATTTCTTTCCGTAAATAGTCAAACAATTCAGTCCAATTCATAAAATTATTATTTGGAGTAATATCAATAGAATCACCAAAAGCCGAATCAGGAGATTCTGATATTAAAGGGAAAGAATTAATTTTTGTCTGAGAATTAACTAATTGTTTAATAGGCAAAGTCAATCTATTTTTATTTTCAGAAATTGAAGAAAAGGGGGAATTAATGGTAAAAGAATTAAATGAGGAGGTGGAAGGGGAGGAAGTGTTGTTTTGTTGTAATAATAATTTGTGAGAAAATAATTTTTTTGAATTTTGTTTGTTGACTAGTTGAGAATTTAAATGATTAGATGTTGGGGGTATTTGGTGTTCATTTTCTTTTATGTAAAAAGAATTTGAGTGATTAGAGGATTCTGGTGAAGAATCAATTTTATAATGAATATTGTAGGGTAATAGAGGCAATTCTTCTTGACATGGCTTCCTTTAAAAAATAATTTTAAAATTAAATTTTTATTATTTGGATCCCTCATATGTATACCCCAGGGATGGGCTGTCTTGTCCGCCCTCCACTTCCGTTTTTTTTAAATGCAGGAGGGTCCATCCTTTGTATACTCCATTTACTCCACTTATTCCCCTCGCGTATACCCTCATCAATGGGGGGGGGGGGGGGGGTATTAATTCAGAATTTTATTAATTCAGAATTTTATTAAATCAGAATTTTATTTAAATCAGAATTTTATTAAATCAGAATTTTATTTAAATCAGAATTTTATTAAATCAGAATTTTATTTAAATCAGAATTTTATTAAATCAGAATTTTATTAAAATCAGAATTTTATTTAAATCAGAATTTTATTAAATCAGAATTTTATTTAAATCAGAATTTTATTAAATCAGAATTTTATTTAAATCAGAATTTTATTAAATCAGAATTTTATTTAAATCAGAATTTTATTAAATCAGAATTTTATTTAAATCAGAATTTTATTAAATCAGAATTTTATTAAAATCAGAATTTATATTTAAATCAGAATTTAATTTAAATCAGAATTTATATTTAAATCAGAATTTAAAATCAGAATTTATATTTAAATCAGAATTTTATTAAATCAGAATTTTATTTAAATCAGAATTTTATTAAATCAGAATTTGATTAAAATCAGAATTTATATTTAAATCAGAATTTAAAATCAGAATTTATATTTAAACCAGAATTCTGTTTAATATTTAAATCAGAATTAGCCCCCCATTGGGTGGAGAGCTACCTAAACTAAACCCTCCGTTGTAAAAAAATACCTCCACACCTAAATTCAAAAAAAGGACCAACAGCAGACCCATACATTCTTAATTTTTGTTCATTAATTTTTTCTTTTCTTTTTTTCTTCTTCAATTTTAAATTTGTAGTTGAATTATAAAAACGCTTAATAAATTGTTTTGCTTGTTCTAAACGTGGATAATTAAATAAATTAATTTTTGTATTTTCTATAAATTCTCTTTTTTCGCTAATTGCACGTGTTTTGGTTAGAATGGATGTTGTTGAGGATGTTAATATATTTGTTGAATTGGTTATTTGTCTAATTGGATTTTTTCTGTTATTGTGGAGACTTGTAGCAAGTGAAAAGCTTGAAAAAAATTAATTAATCATTAAAAATATTTTTGCGGACAAAAAATGTCTTTTTGCAGAATCCGCAAAAATAGAAAAGTCCGCAAAAATTGGAAAAATGTCCGCAAAAAAGTATGCAAAAATTTGTCCGCAAGAGAATGTCCGCAAAAATTTGTCCGCAAAAAATATCCGCAAGAAAAATCCGCAAAAAAAAGTATGCAAAAATTTTGTCCGCAAGAAAAACGTCCGCAAAAATAAGTTCAAAATTAACCAAGTTCCATTATCCAAACTTTTAGTTCTCTGCCTCTGTATTGGAATATTATTACAAATTTTAAAATCATTAGTTCGACTAGAAACAGGGCAACAATTTTCTTTAAAATTTGAAGAAAAATTTAAAGTTTCCAAAGAAGTATTAAAATAATTATTAAATAAAGGAGGAAATGATTCTGACATTGAAATTGCTGAAAAAATAAAAAAAATATTTAAAATCAGAATTTAAATCAGAATTTTTTTTATTTTTAAAACAGAATTCTGTTTTTATATTTAAATCAGAATTTTTAATTAAAAATCAGAATTTTCATATTTAAATCAGAATTATATGTTTTAATATTTAAAATCAGAATTTCTTTATAAATCAGAATTTTTTATTTCATTAATTTAAATCAGAATTTAAAATCAGAATTACTTTATTGTTAAAAGAAAATTCTGTTTTAGTCTCTGAAATCAGAATTTTTTAAATTATTTAAACAGAATTCTGTTTCATATTTAAAATCAGAATTTTTAATTAAAATCAGAATTTTTAATTAAAATCAGAAGTTATATTTAAATCAGAATTTTTAAATTTAAAATCAGAATTTAATTAAAATCAGAATTTCTATATTTAAAATCAGAATTTAAATCAGAATTTTTAATTCAAATTTAATTAAAATCAGAATTTAAAATCAGAATTTCTTTATTTTTAAAGCAGAATTCTGTTTAATATTTAAGTCAGAATTTCTATATTTATATCAGAATCTTTAAATAACCATTTTGAAGAGAAAAACCAGAATTAAAATTATTATTATTATGTTTAACATATTCTGTTGATGAATAAAAATCAGAATTTTTATTTAATTTGTTCATTTTATTATTAATTAGCAAGTTTCTTCTTCTTTTAGGTTCTTCACTTTTTATTTCATTTTTATTTTTTATTTTACTATTAGAATTTTGTTGAGAATTAATTGACGGCAAATTTTGTTGAGAACTGTCAAGAAAATAATAAATTATTTTTTAAATATTTTGAAGGTTATTAGAAGAAATTGGGGAGAGGAATTTTTTTGAAAGAATTATAAAATTAAGTAAAACCCCGTTATAAGATACCCCCAATACAAGGTAAACCTCTTTTTAAGATACCAATGAAATTGGGAAAACCCCATTATAAGATACCCCCAAAATTATGAAACCTCCGTTATAAGACACCTAATACAGGGAAAACCTCCCTATAAAATACCCCCAATACAGAGAAAACCTCCCTATAAAATACCCCCAATACAAGGAAAACCCCATTATAAGATAACCCTAACATTATAAAAGCCTCATCATAAGGTACCTTTTTAAATCTGGTTGGTCTCTTAGTGGGGGTGCTGTCCTCTATATTTAAGCAAACGATACCCTCTATTTAACATACACCTCGTTATAAAGTACGAATTTCAGGGTGTATTTACAAGCGAGGTTTTGTCGAATTTACCCTTTTTGGTTGGTCACTGGGTGGGGGAGCTGTCTAAGCGATACTTTCAATTTAGGGTACCCTCTATCTAATAAACACCTCATTATAAGGAACGATTTTTTCAGTGACGATTTTTCAGTGTATTTAGAAGCCCGTTAAAAGTAAATAAATATGTATTTATTTTTGGATATGTAACAAATAAATTTTTTTGACAAAAAATGTGGGCGGAATGGGTGTATAAAAATGAGGACAACTTGAAAGGATATTTGAAAAGAAATAGGAGAGATGACAAAAAACTTTTTAAAAAAAAATATAAATTCAAGTCCAACAAATATATATTCTCTCCCACCCCCCCCCCTCCCTTGCAGTTAGAATTTTTATTGAAGAAAAAAAAAACAAAATCATTTAAAGAGAGAGAAAGACTTTAATAAAAATAAATCTGGCAATTACACAGTTGGCTAGAAAAAAAAATAAAAAATAAAAATTATAAGGAAAGGAAGGAGTAAAAATATAGGTAAGCAAGAAACACCTAGAAGAGTCATTAATTATAAAATAACAAAAAATTTTTCTTTTTTCATGTTCAGGCTTTTCATTACCTTAAAATGTGTTAAAATCGTAAAGTAAAATTCCAAACAAATTTTTTTTAATTTTATAAAGTAGTAGGGGTAAGGAACTCTTCCAGAAGAGGGGTAAGGAACTCTTCCCCAAAAAGAACCCTTAAGCTTGTAAATAACGAGGGGTATGACGACGAGTACACCTCTGGTAAATACGACTAAGAGTAGATGTCGAGCCTGTCCTAGGACTGAGGGATTTTCGAGTCTCGTAGCTAGGGAACCAGATATTTTGAAAAAGGGTCTTAGAGGTTTCCAGGTTTTCAGGGTTCTCACCCGGAAACTCAGTCACGGGTCAATTTGAAAGAAAAAGCCAAGGACCTAGGATACCAGGCCCAGCAATTCGAAAAGGTCAAACTCCTTTCCCTATAAACTTGAGGAGCTCCTTAATTTTTTAAACTTTATTTTTCTATAAACTACCTTTTTATCAAATTAATTCCTTCACTTCCCCCACGGCATTTTCTCTTTTCCTCAAAATGCCGAGAAGCATCCCCTACTGACCAAGTGCCGAAGGCTACCTTAAAAAAAATTTTTTTTTAATTTTTTTAACTAAAAACTAACAGATCTATAAGCAGTTCCACAATATAAAGAATTATTAGCTGTCATTTAAAATTTTTAAATTTTGGAGAAAAATAAATACAAAAATTAAAGCTCTAGAAAAGCTAGAAAAATAAAATAAACAAAATAAAAACGGAAAAGGAGTGGTCATTAGCTAACAAATAAATAAAAATATTTATTTTACTAAAGGATTAAGAAAATTATAGTATTTAAAGGTATAGAAAAATTTTTAAAATTTATTTTAAAAATTTTTAGTCAAAAAATTAATTTATAATAAATATGGCAGCTGTTATACCGTAGTTATCCTTTAATAACTACCCTGGGTAATTATTGTTTAAAACTTCCGCTGGAGGGAGTAATTAATCGAGGGGGGGGGGTAATTATTTGAGGGAGGGCAATTAATACAGGTTATACGGTATAAATTTTTGTGAATTAAAAAATAAAATATATATGGTGCAGAAATATTTTTAAAATAATTTATTTAAAAATATTTTCAAAAAATCTTTTTTTTTTATTTTTCTCGTCCTAATTTGACAATATGCGCATTTCGATGCTTTTTCAGCTTAAGTTTAATGATGTGTAAAATCGAGGGGAATATTTGTTATAAAACCGATGAAAATAGACTAAATTATTTTTAAGGGTACAAATAAATTAGGTCTTTTTGATTGGCTCCCTATTCAGGGGTGTTAGATCATCGACTGAGATCTTCCTTTTTAAGGATCATACATGGACTAAATTAAAAATAAGACTCCCCCTGCCTTCAGGCATCGAACTAAGATCTTCTGTTAACAGATAAACAATTAATCTACTAAGCCCTTGACTCTCATGTTTAAGTACTTTCGGGGCTTAATACTCTCGTACATAAAAATGAGGGGTATTTAAAAACAAGATCTTCTACTGTCTTGAGTATAAAGTAAAATATGCTGGTAAGTATATAAGTTGAAAAACAACAAAAACATATGTAAAGAAAATTGATCTGCAAAATACAGAACAAATAAGCTGCAAAGCTAAAAGAGACAAGTTAGTAAAACAATTGGCTTTAATCCAAGAGAAAAATAAATAAAAATGATGGAAAATCCATTTATTTTTGTTTTGTTTTTGTTTTTAAGCTTTTAAAAGAAAATGTGTGTCTTTAACATAAAATCCTCCAAAAAAAAAGATTTTCCTGTCCCCAAAATGCTTTTTCCCTTTTGTCGCACGCAAAAAAAAGACGGCTTTTCTTTTCTGCTGTATTTTCTGTTTTCTCTCGTTTCTCTGTCCTTTTTTCTCTGCGTGAAATTGGATCCGGTAGGTTTCCGGAAAAGTAAAAGTAGTTAAATGGATTATTGCTTTTATAGGAGAAAAATGTGTGGGGGAGAAAAATGTGTGGGGGAAATTTTGTGGGGGAGATTTTGATGGATTGGAAGGAAAACTAGTAGTCATTTTTCACTTGTTCAACCTTCTTCAAGTAAATCGCGCGAATAAGCGATCCGTGTAAACAAATTACTAAATAGTTTTTTTGTTTGTTTTTTACTTTCTAGTTAACCTTAAAGTGTAGTAATTGTGTGTAAATATGTGTATATTATAGGAGGTATGTTCTCCCCCTACATTTTTGCGGTTATTGGGGGTAATAAATATGTAAATAAATATTTGGAAGAAAAGCAGGATATTTTTAGTTGAAGGAAAAAGTTTTTTGAGTGAAGAAAAAATATTTTTTGGGGGAAAAATTTATGTTGGCAACTGGTGAAAATTAATTTATGATACACTTCATAAGGCGTCTCAGTCCCCGGCACCATTTTTCTAAAATGGTTCAAATTTCACTGGTAGTCTCGGCCCCCTCACAATAGAAGTAGAACCAAATTTCATCCCGACGTCCAACGGACAACCAAAAGCCTCTCTTTTGTAAGGGTCATTGGGGCTATCTCACATCACAATGTTGCTTCTGAAACTAATTACGCCAAATTTATTTACGCGGCAAACCAACGATTTTGAGGGAAAAAATATTTTTTTAATTAAATATAGTGAAGGTTTGATTTTTTAAAGTAAATGAAGGCTAATTTAAATTGATGGAGTGCTGTTTAGTCCCCCCCCCCCCCTAAATTTCCATTCATTTAAAAAGAATTTTTTGAAGGTCGCCACTTTACAATTTTTTGTTCATGCACTTTTACATGCCTTCTTCCTAAATCTTTTACAATATAAAAAAATTTAATTTTAAAGAGTGCCTTTTTTAATTAAATTCCAAAACAATACATAGACTTTCTTTAAGAATATTTATTGAGAAAAATATTTCTCAAAAAAATCTTCAAAAAATTCCAATCCCGACAATCTTCTCACAGAAAGACTATTCACCGACAAGAAAGGAAAATTCCAGACTATTCACCGACAAGTAAAGGAAGATGATTTTTGCTTTAGCACTCATAATTTGATAATATTTTATTCATTTTATTTAAAATAAATTTATATAAATTAAAAATGCTTTAGATATTTTATAAAATGCGGATTTGAGAATTAAATGGGTGTAAGAAGGTTTAAAGCATCATGATCATTATTAACAATTTCATCCCTTTTTGCCTTTCCTTCTACCTTTTCATCTGGTATATTAATTCCAACAAGAAATTGATAAATCCAAGTACCAAGCAATGCTCCAATGAGTGGGGCGATTATTGGAATCCAAAAATAATAATTACGCCAACTAAATATTCGAGAGTAATTAATGGGTCTACCGACAAACTTTTCACGGAAAGACTATTCACCGACAAAGGAAAATAGGGGAAAATGTGTCGGTAAACAAGGTGTCGGTGAATTGTCTTTCGGTGAATTTTTTGTAAAAATTAATTAAAAAATGAATTTTACGAAAAGGCTTCTAATCCATAGCCACCAAATAGCATGAACAGGCGAGGACCAAAATCTCTCGCTGGGTTAATTGGAGTACCCAAATTCTTTAAAATTAGATTTATTAAAAATTTTCTATTTTTCCGAACCATTCCAAATGAGGACGTTAACAGAAAAACGGTTAAACCAAAACATAGGGGATGTAAATATCCTGGGATCTTGTTACGTTGATCAATAATAGCACAAACAAAGAGCAGTAAAAGGCCTGTTCCGACAACTTGGTCAATAAATGCTGAAAAATTTTTTGGAGTATTTTACTAATAAACCTCATTATAAGAGACCCTCTAGAGCTGAAAAATCGTCTCTTATAATGGGATGTATCTTAAATAGAGGGTATCTCTTAAACAGCTCCCCCACCCAATAGCCAAGCAAAATTTTAAAAGAGCGTACGTTAAATAGAGGTGTATTTAATATTGGAGGTATCTTATAAAGAGTTGTCCCTTATAACGAGGTGTACATTAAATAGAGGTTATCGTTTAAAAGGCTCCTCACACCCAGTGATCAACCAACTTTAGAAGAGCGTCTCTTAAATAGAGGTTTATTTAATATTGGGGGTATCTTATAATGAGATTTTGACTGTATCTTAAATAGAGGTACCAGTATATAACGAAATGTGTGGTTGGGGAAAAGAACAAAAAACAGCCCCAGTTCCATTTTTTCCATCAACAGAACGAATTCCTCCATCAAATTTATCAAAAGAATCAACATAAATATGTAAACATAAAGCTGCTCCCAAAAAACCTCCAAAGGTTTGCGCCACAACGTAAAAAGGATAGTGAATAAAAGGGAGCTTTCCAAGTGAACAAATAGCTAGGGAAACTGCTGGATTTAGATGTCCACCTATTTTTTAATTAAAAAATTTTAATAAAATAATTTTAGTTTACCAGAAGTTTTATAGGTAACAGTAACAGCAAGAAATATAGCAAAACCCCAAGCCAGACAAACCTTTAAATAAAATTTAGAAAAAATTATAAGGATATTCGGACCTCACTTTTAGATACCCAATGAATGTTGGAAAGCGTAGCGCTTATGATGAGGTGTGTGTTAAATAGAGGGTACTGGTTAGACGCCCCCCCCATCCAATGGCCAACCTAAAAACGTAGTTTATACCGAGGTTTGCTCAAAGGGGTATCTTATAGAGAGGCTTATTCCAATTAGTATGTTATGTTGAGGTCTATTTAAGGGAGTATTTTATAGTGAGATCCAACCCTTTAAATTTTAATACCTGTAAATGATTATTCAATTTAGCCTCAGAAAGTATAAATTGAGCAATACTACTACAACCAATTAAAACTAAAAGAAAAGTTCCAAGAAATTCAGAAATAAGATTAACAAGTAAACGATCACGTATTCGAAAAGAAGAATGGCGTAAACTTTCTACTGGCGACATACCAGCAGGAAAGGACAATTGATTCTGAAAAATTTCAAAATATTTAACAGGGAAATTTTATTTAAGTACACCCTTGGAGCTGAAAGTTTTTCTTTTATAATGAGATGTATCCTAAATGAGGGGACCACATTAAGTCTTAAAAGCCGTATCTTATAATGAGGTGTCACTTAAATAGAGAGTATCAATTGGGCAACCTCTCATTTCCAGGTGGTCAACAAATAAAAAAACGTCTACTAAACAGAGGTGCCTTCAGTGATGGGTTATCTTATACTGAAAGTATATTAAATAGAGGGGTATCACTTAGCAGCTCCTCAACCTAGTTGACCGACCAACCTTTTAAAAAGGTATCTTAAATATGTATTGTTTTAGGGGTAACTTATAATGTGAGGTTTGGTTGTAGGCTGGAAATAAAATAAAGGGGTATTGAAATGCACTTAAATTACACATATTTAAATATTTTATTTCTTTCTCCTCCCCATTTCATCACTTGTCTATAATAATAAGGATTTTAAATGTTCTTTGTGTTGAGTACTTTGAGTGCTTGGCCATTATACTCGCAAAAATTTTTCAGCCTTGTTTGACTCAAAAAAGGATAAAGAAACATGTTTAGAAATTAAAAATAAAGTTAAATTTAAAAATTGATTTTTAAATTGAGAAGGAAGGATATTTAACTAAAATAAAAGAAAAAAATAAATACCAACTCTTCGATTATTTCTCCAAGGTAAATTGCTAATCGGATGATCATCGTCTTCCATTGTAACAGGGAAAAAATTAATTTAAAGAAAGGAAATTTTTTTTCTTATTTTTAATTTAAAGGGAAAATTTAAATTCAATTGAGAGTATTTTTTATTTTTTTTTTAAATTTAAAAGAAACAAAGTCAGATAATTTGCGGTTGGTAATAATTTGAAGGCTGAAAGGTGCATGTTATTTATTGATTTTTTCGTTGCTTTCTACGAGACTTTCTAGTCGAGAAATGACTCTGCATAATATTAATTTATTTATTTAAAAATAAAATTTTTTTTATCAATTCTATAATGAATATTTTTATTTTATATTTTTTTAAGTTTCCAAGTTTGTAGATTTTAAAGTTCTTAAGTTCTTAAGTTTTGTGTCATGTTTTTAAGTTTGTAAGTTTTTAAGATTTAATCTTAAGTTTCTAAGTTTTAGGTTTGTTTCTAAGTTTTTAAGTTTAAGCTTTAAAGTTTATGTTTACCAAGTTTTAAAGTTTTAAATCTGTAATTTAAGTTTTCAAGTTTGTAAGGTTAAGTTTATGTTCAAGTTTTACGTCTGTAAGTTTACAAGTTTTTAAGTTTGTAAGTTTTTAAGTTTAATCTTAAGTTTCTAAGTTTCCAAGTTTTAAGTCTGTTTTAAGTTTTTAAGTTTGTGCTTAAAGTTTTATGTTTACCAAGTTTTGAGTTTTTAAGTTTAGGGCTCTAACTTAAGTTTGTAAAGTTTGTAAGCGCTTAATATTTAATATTTGCATATTTGTTAATTAAATTCGAATATTCTTAAATAATTAAAAAACAAATACAAATTTTATCAATTTCTCATTTAATAAGTTTACAAATTAAAAAAATTTTTTAAATTTTATTTTGGACTTTTCTTTCCTTAAAATTCATAAATAAATTTTTGTTCTGGAAACAAAGCCATTTTTAATGCCTAAAATAATGAAAATAAATTTATTTTTATTTAAAAAAATTTTATTTACTTCATTTCTTTGCCAAAAATTTCTAAGTTTATTTAATCGCTGAAAATTAAAAGCTCTAGATTTTCTTTCAAATAAATCATTTTTTGGTTGTGACTTAATGAAAAATAAAGGTGTTGCTTTTACGTCAGTGTCTCGGATGCTTCGATAAAGGGGCAATTCCTTTTAAATTTATTTTTAAAAAATTTAAAAAATAAAAATACTTGAAGAACAAATCCTTCCGTTAAAAGAGAAGACGATTCCATAACAATTAAAATAGAAAAAATAGTTATAAATAAAATAGGGAGTTTTGAATGTTGTTGTGAAATATGAGAAGGAAAGAGAAATTTTGAAGCAATTTTAATCATTATTTTTTAAATTAAGTAAAATAAATCAGATGGGTTATATTATAATATAACTCTGAAATATTAATATAAAAAAATCAGAATTTATATTAGTAAAATAAATTAGAAAAAATAACTCAGAAGTGTTATATTTTAAATCAGAATGTTTATAGCTGTAAAAATAACTCAGAATTTATATGGTAAAATAACTCAGAAATATTAGAAAACAGAATTTATATTATAAATTAAATCAGAATTAAAATAACTCAGAAATAGTAATTCTTCTGATTTATTAAAATCAGAATGAAATAACTCAGAATTTATATTTTCAGTCAGAAATATTAAAATCAGAATTTATATTCATAAAATAAATCAGAAATAGAATAACTCAGAAAAATAATAAATCTATTCTGATTTATTAAATTATAAAATAACTCAGAAATAAATCAGAAATGCTTATAATAAATCAGAAATTTATATTCTGATTTTCAGAACTATTAATATTAAAATAAATCAGAATTTTATATTATTAAAATATCTCACAAATCAGAAATGTTAATATTAATTTTCTGAGTATATTAATATTTCAGAGTTATACAACATGAATCAGAAATCAGAAATATTGGAATATTTTCTTTGTAATATTTCTGTTTTACAATTAATTATATTTTTGTAATATTAAAGCAACAATCTCTCAAGGGAAAAAATAAATAAAAATAAATAAATATTTAAGCAATAAATGAAAAATATAATCATTAAATAAAACTAAAAAAACTAACGTCAATTGCAGGTATTGGTTGCTATCCCGGAAGGACATTTAATAATAGCGGAAATTTATAAATTGAGAGAACAATGCCTACTCTATAATTATTTTTTAAAATTAATTTTATCTGTATTTAAAAGTAAAATATCCCATTTCTCGCAAATGATGCCAATTTTGTAATTTTTTTATATTCTACATAATTATTAAATAAATCAGAATTATGTATGTATTAAACAGATTATTAATAATAAACCAGGAAATTAATTATTAAAAATGCTTAATAAATTCTTCTGACAGAAAAAAGAATAAAAATTCTGATATCAGAAATTAATTATTCTGATTTTATATTTTTGTTCTGATTTTTAATTTTTTAACTGATATTAATAAAATAAGCTTAAGAATTAAAGTTCAAAAAAATATTATTTTTTTGTCAATTGTTTTCTTAAATTCAGGCCACCCACATGGATATACTTTAATTTCACCCTCCTCCATTTTACGAGAGGGAAATTCTATGAGAATTCCTTTTTTAGATTTTACTACGTAAATTCTCAAATTTTAGTTTTCCATATTTATCTTTCCATTGTTTATCTTCTCCATATAATTTTAGTTTTTCATTGTTTATCTACCCACTAACGACCACAGGTAAACAAAAAAAATAAAAAAATCATTTTTAGAGGAACAATCAGGTAATCTAAATACCGAAAAATTCGAAATCCAAAATTGTACTTCGATTTTTGGGGGCGGGACTCAAGTGTCCCTTTATAAATTTTAAACTTTTTTTGGCATTATGTTATTTGGCAAATTGTTCTTGGCGTTATGTTTTTGGGCGGGCTTCTTTCTTATAATTTTGGCGCCATTATTGACTGCAACAAAAATCAATTTTTGTAGTCTATTTATGACTCATTTTCCTCAAACTTTGGTCATTTTCTAATTTTTTCTTCTTTTTTTATACAGAAATTTATCTCTCTCTACTTTATTTACCTGTAATTTTATTTAATCTTTCTATTAAAAATAACAACATAAATGAAAGGAACTCCTGATCGTGGGGAAGGTGGGTTTATTACCCCTTCGAGATGTTCGCCTACTGGGAAATTTATGTTTGATAAACCGCTCTCTACTAAACGTGAAAAGGTTTTTTTCTGTTAAAATTGATAAAATGATAATTTTCTTAAAGCTTCTCCGTGGCACTCCATCTCGCTACAAAGTTCCACAAGCTCCACGGCTCATGAAATCGGCACCTAATGTACAACGCTATAGTCTGATACGGGCACATATTGAGCCTTTTGCAAGGATTGTTTCTTTCAAAAGTCCTTCAGAACGTAAAAACGAGTTTTCTATTTGACTTAAAATTAAAACTTTTTCAGGACCTCGACTGAGTCCTTTCTACCATCCTGATACTCCAGAGACGTATCTTGAGCAAAGATTTATTATGCACGGCCGTTTGGGTCGTGGCGATTTTGGCGAGGTTAATTTTTATATTTTGATTAGATTATAAGGGGAAATTTGGGGACTTTAGGGCCCTTTTTTCATTTCTTCCTCTCTTTCTCTTAGTTTGCCTTTGGAAAATCAATCGAAGGGGAAATTTTTGTACTTCTCCCATGAGGATACTAGTTCTTCGGTTTATGACACTCATTCTCTGTGTGTGTGTGTTTGGGTCTGAGTTTCTGTGAGTCATTCCAAGCTTTCGAGTCTTCGCGGTTCTTAGAGATCAAAATTTCATTGGTTTCTGCCCAAAATCAGACTTTTTGATTGATTTAATGGCCAAAGGTAAATCAAAGGAAAATTAAACTAGAGGGTTAGAGACGTCTGAGACTCTTGGTCTTGAGTCTTGATTCCGAGACTTTTCTTCGGTTTTTTCGATCTTGGGGTCTAATATTGGTCTTGAGTCTTGGAAAATCGGACGTCTCTACTAGAGGGTTCTCTAAAGCTTAAAATTACAAATTTTTTTCAAAAAAAGGTTGTTAGCGTTCGTTCAAAAGATGATGGAAAAGCGTATGCAATTAAATGCGCGATAGAAGTTTATAGAAATATTGCTGATAGACGTGAAAAACTTCAAGAAGTTCTTAAACATGAAATGTTGCCTCCACATCCAAATTTGGTTCATTTCTTCAAAGCATGGGAAGAGAAGGGACGTTTGTATATTCAAACAGAATTGTGTGCTAGAAGTTTGGATGATGTCGCTAGAGAGAGACATGAGATTGGTGAACCAGAAATTTGGTATTATCTCATTGATATTCTTATGGTTTGATTTATAAGATTATTATTTTGGGGACTTGTGGGTTTTGCGGACTTATTTTTGCAGACTTTTGTTGCGGACATTTTACTGGAATAGGGGGCATCACCCTAATGTTGACCTATAAGGAGTTGATTTTCTGGAGTGGACCCATTTTACGATTTTGAACTTTATTTTTCAATACTTCCCCTTAGCAATTCCTTCATTGGCATCTCCTGCCCGGTCAATTTCCTCCCATATAATAACGGCAAAATATCTCTCTTTAATTGCAATCCCCAAAAAATTTAAGCGGTGACAGAAAAAAAGATAGGGAGAGTGGACGGTCCTCGGGCAACTAGTTATTAAAATGCCCTCATAAAACTCGTTCAAAATGCCCTTTTCACATTTATTTTTTGTAGGCATTGGAGCATATGCATTCTCATGACCTTATTCATGTTGATATTAAGCCTTCTAATATTTTTATAACGTCTGACGGTATTTGCAAATTGGGTGATTTTGGATTGGTTTTTGATCTTAACAAGGTATTTTTGTAGTTTGGTAAAAGTCCGCAACTTTTTTGCGGAAAGTCCGCAACTTTTTTGCGGACAAAAAGTTGCTGACAAGTAAAAATTTTTTTTTAAAGGACGATCCAAAAAATGTAATGGAAGGAGATGGAAAATATTTGGCAGCTGAAGTTCTTAATGATAAACCGACTAAGGCAGCCGATATTTTTAGTCTTGGAATGACTATTCTTGAATTGGCGACCGATTTGGATTTGCCGAATAATGGAGTTTTTTGGCATGAAATTCGTAATAGAATGATTGACGAGAAATATATTAAAGGTTCTTTTTGACGAATTTAGAGAGTGTGTACTAGGGGTCGATCCCCGTTCCCCGAGACAGGGAATTCACCGGGGAACGGGGAGGTCTCCCCCAGGGTTCCCGTTTACACTCCTTGCGGCTCGAATTCCCCATAACCCCCGGTCCCCGTATACTCGGCCCCCGCCCCGTAATATCGAACCCTAGTATGTAACTGCGTATCCAGAGGGTATGTAACAGTGAGTATCCATTTTTCGACTTTGGACCCCAAGAAAAACTTGCGGACAATTACAAGAAAAGTCTGCATTGTTCTCATTCTTCCCTTTACAAGTGTCTAAATTGATAATCTTCGAATAAATTTTATTTTAGTTTTATCAACTGATCTTCGTCGTGTTATTGCATGGATGATCGACCCATGTCCATTGAATAGACCGAAAGCCATTGAGGTTCTCAAAGATTCGTTTGTTTCAAGATATCGGAGCAGACGTCAAATCAAACTTCTCAAACATCGCGCCGTTAGTTTTTTTTAATTTATATTTGTTTTTGGGGTTGTCGGTTTCAACAATTTCTCTCCTTCGACTGACTGAAACCAAATTGAAGAAAATTGTTGAATTTTTTGGGTTGAGTTTGTGAGACCGACAACTAATATATATATTCCGTTTTGGTAATGAGTGTAGTTCATAATTTGGACCTTTTTTCCTTCAACAATGATTTGAAACCGACAATCCCCCTTTTTTCACATGTTTGTATGTGTGACGGTGGAAAAGAAATAAATTTCAAGAGGAAAAGTTTTTTCCTAAGAAAAAACATTAAAAAATACATTCTTAGTTTCCCTATGTTGTTGTTGGTTTTCTAATACTTATCGGTTTTATCCACTAATCTACATATTATAACGGGCAGGGCTTTTAATTGGGTATGGGACAAGCCTAGAAAAAAACTTCAAGGTTTATTGGAAATGAATCAATCAAGCTAACAATAATTGACTTATGTGCCCCCTAAAAATGTATGCGCGTCCTAAAGTGGCTACGAAATTCGATTTCCGATTTTTGGAAAATTTTTCTGAATAAATGCCCCTTTTCCACCGTCACATATTTTCTTTTTAATATAGATGTGTAAATTAACTGATCTTATGTTCTTCACGTATTTTGCCATAACTTCATTCTTTTATCAAATTTTTTATCCAATAATTTGGGTAATTAATTTTTGTTCTGAGCGCTTCACTAATCCAAAAATAAGTACTCCATTCTTGGAAGGTCGAATTATGAACAACAGCTCTTTGCTACATAACCGAAACAGAGTATATATTAAGAAGGAATATTTCAAATTAATTTTGATTATTTTTTAAAAGGAGCGTACACCTGAATTTAACCTTGCTTCGCCTCCGTTTACTAGTAATTCTCCGGTTCCTACTACTCCATCATTTCGACAACATTTGGATTTTGATGATAAGACTTATAGTGAAAATGGTATGAAAGGTTTATCTTTTCTAATTAGGGGCAGACCTTATTATGAGATACCCACAATATTAGATCAACCTCTATTTAAGCGACATTTGCTTGAAATTTGGTTGGCTATTGGGTGGGCTGACTGCCTAAACGATATTAGGTACTAATTCCGGTGGTGTAGCTCATTATAAGAGACTTTCTTTTAACCCCACTGATTATTTCATATTTTTAGAAACTGGTATGTCACCACCTGCTGATGGTCGAATGAACGTTTCATTGCCTTCTCGAAGCACCGTTTCACCTTCACCTTTAGCACGTTTTACTGGAAGTGGCAATACTCCACCAAGTTCTCGTTCTAGGAAGAGAGGGCCGCGAGCTGGAGATGAGCTTTTTGGAATTGAGAGACGTTTTTTGAGAACAAGTAAAGACAGTGAAGAGAAGGGGGATAACGATGAAGGTTTTGGTGAAAAGAAGGGAGGAGGAGTTGGGAGTGATTAAATTACCAAAAAATTAAATTAAAAATTAAATTATTGACACAAATTTATTTTCTTTTTTTTTTAATTTTCTGCTTTTATATAAATATTTTGTGGGTAAAATGAACCTTATTTTTGTTTTTATTTTTAGTGTTGTATGAAAGTTCTTCCAGTTATTGTTTTCTTTTCTCCTTTAGTTTCGGGTCTTGCACGGTTTAAGACTTTGAGAAAATCGTTTGTTTTGGCTCTCATTCGTGAATGTAGATAGGCCTAGAAAATTGAGGGGGAAATGATTATTGGGTCAGTCTAGAGGCTCTGGAATTGTACGATCCCCGTAGGAATGTTATGCGCCCCAGAATCCCAACAAATTTTTAAGGAGGTTTAAGCGGTCAGTAAAACCCCGAAAAACCAAATAAACAATATTGGACGTTCCCTGGAGTAGAAAAGACGGGTGTAGTAAAACTAGAGGTCGGTAAAATCGCATTTGTCCTGTATCAGGATTGGGTTTTAAAATTTCATACAGGACAGGATCCTGCAGGATTAATCCTGAAAACTGAAAAAAGGCAGGATTTCGGACAGGATCCTGAAAAATCCGGTGCAGGATCCTGTCCTGTGCCGACCTCCAAGTAAAACGGTGTTCTCAAAACTTCGGATTAGGGTCGTTTCCCGTGTCCTAAACCAAAGCCAAAAAAACTTTAAAATTTAAAATAAAAACCTTTGAACATTTAATATGATAATGAAGATAATCCCGAAAAGTATAAATTAGATTAATTGTATCATCTCTAGCCTTTTTGTTTGTATGTCGTGGAAAGAGGACTTGAAAGGAAAAATAAAAATTAGAAAAAAAAATTGAAAAAAAACCAAAAGTAATATATCCAACATTTGGACCAATTTTAGCCTCTGAACAATTTTTTAGTTCAAGTGGAGGTTCTCCAACAGAATAAATTATTTGAGGTGCTGTTTGGCTAGCTTTTCTTCCTTCACGAAATTCCTTTATAAAAATAGAGATTTAAAATTTTTTGCGGTTTGCGGACAATTTTTACGGATTTTCACTTTTTCTGTTGTTTTGGAAATTAAGGTCTGAATGGACGGGGTGGGAGTTGAGAAAAATGTAGGACCAAATTTCAATTCGGGTTTGAGACTGTAAAAGTTAAGGTCTTAAAATCGAAAAAAAATATGAACGATAATTTGGAAAGTGACAGAAAAATCCGTAAAAATTGTAACCCTTCTGTATAGGTTCCTATTTAAATAAATTAGATAAAAAAGAAACCTGTAAAAATATTTTCCCAATAATAACATCATCTGGATCTTTAAATATTGTACTAAAAATAACAGTAACACGATCAGATTTTGCTTCAACAAACCTTTAAAAGGAGAATATTTTAGAAAAAGATAGGATGGAGGCGAGGCTTGGAAATCACCGGCTTTGAGGGTTTGGACTTGCATAAACGTGTGAAGAACTACCGGAACAGGCCAATGTACCCGAGCCCAATGTACCACAGAGCTATAACTTCTTTCAAAGTGGTCGGATCCTGGACGCGTTAGTATGGTTCGAAAAAGGTAAAACAAGAAGTCAAAAAAGGTTCTTTTTTAAGGTTCAAAAAATGTTTGCCGGGTAAAGCCTTTGGTCTTCGGATAGAGATTTGCCAACTAATAGCGAGGTATTGGTCGCGAGGTAAATTGTGAGGAACGGGGTGTACCCTTAGCTTAAATTTCCAAGTTTAAATTTTAAAAATAAATTTTAAAAAAATAAACTAACAAAGTTTCGTCTTCTCTAAAATGAACAACAGCTCTCCTCTCTCCTTCTTGCCCTTCCTCTTGAAATTTAAAATATTTTTCAAAAACAGAAGCAAAACAATTTCTCTTCAAAAAAGAAGCCTTTTTAACAATTTCCATAAAATCATCAGAAATATCAGCCAAATTAAATATTAGAGAAATATTATATCCAGATTCCGGTGTTGCTGACAAAAAATGTTCATATTCTCTTTTGATTAACTTTAAAAGAAAATTTTTGTAAATTAAAAAAATTTTTTTGTGAATCATTTAACACTTGTAAAGGTAAATGTGGAATTCTTAAGGATTCTTTTGCTGACAAAAAACAACGAGAAGACTAAAAGAAAAATATGGGGAACTATGGGAAAATTCCAAAAGAAAGTCCGTATAGAAGTCTGAAAAAACTGTTCGCAAAAAATCCGTAAGTCGAAAAAATCCGTAATTTGCAAAAATCTGAGTAAAAGTCCTTAAAAATTTTACAAAAAATGGACACAAATATTAAAATACACACGAACATTTAAAATCAATTCGAAAATTTTAATTTGGATCCAAAATCTCATTTGCCCCATGTTCTTGTGGAACTTCTCGCGGACAAAAAATAAGGGTAAACTAACGAAAACAAGAAAATCATGAAAAAATTCCCAAGTCCACAAGAAACAAAATATCAGCAAGGAATGACCGTAAGAAATGCACACTAATCTTTACAAGTGATAAATATTCCCATTCAAAAATTTTTTTAAAAAAACCTCATCAGCTCCATGTTCTTGTAACTCCTTATAAAACTTCAAAGAAATGCTCAACTAAAAGATTTATTTTTAAATTAAATTAAAAATAAAAAAATTAACCATTAATTTTAATCTATCTCCATCCGGATTAGATACTTTGTACATTACACCATCAAAATCGGCAAAAACAACGTTGACGGAATCAAACTTGCCACTTAAAAAAATAAATTTTTAAATTTAGTCCGCAAAAAAAACGTCTGGAAAACCCTACCAGAAAATAGAAAATTGGATGGGACTTGACCGTGAAAACTCTCCAACAAAATGGCATTAACTGACCAAGCAACAAAAAGGGAAACCACAAGTAAATAAAAAATCGGGTATGATCCTAATCTGGTTTTCGAAAGTTTACCGGATCGGGTATCGAATTGAAAATTAATTCGGATTTCGAATAACCATAACATTCCCCAACCTATCTCACATCAGGCCCTATTGCTTGCTATAAGCTAAATATAACAAGTCTTATATGTACCCTAGGAAACTTTGTAATTTCTTGGAAGGCACCCAACCCCCACTTACAATATTTTTAAAATTAATTTAATAAAAAAATTCAAACTTTGTTTTTGCAGCAGAAAATTTTTGTTCCAATAATTCACAAATTATTCGATTATTTTGCTCTAATAAAATCATTATTTTTGCTGTAAAAATAAAATTATATTTAAATATTCTTTTATAAATATAAATCAATTGCTTAGCAACATATAAAAAATAAAATTAAAAATGATTCACACAATTTTTTATTTTCGCTCTATTAAACATAAATATATTTTGCTGTTGATTTGTTCGATTTTATATTCCTTTTTTAAATTAATTTTATTCAAAATACATAAGAGCGACATTTGCGGACAGCGACATTTGCGGACACCCATAGCGTTTTAAAGAACTGTGTCGCCAAATAGTACTACTTTAGGTATGTCCCATGGTGCAGGATAATACACACTAGCAGCTTGTTGCAATTTTAATAAAAGTTCAATTTTGTCCGCAAATATTTGTCCGCAAAATTTTTTATCCGCATAATTTTTTGTCCGCAAATATTTTGCGGATTTTTTTATCCACAAAATTTCTATCAGCAAATGTTTTGTCCGCAAATATTTCGTCCGCAAAAATTCCTATCCGCAAATATCGCCAATATGAACAACACATTTAATCAATTGGGCTAATATCAGTTGAAAGAGTATAATAATGAATACTTCGAGCTTGTACATTTTGAACACAACAATTTACCCCAGCTGGACAATAAAGACACTTGGCAGTTTCTATAATTAATTTATTTTCTTCTTTCACTTTTTCTTTCAAAATTTTATTTTCTTCCAAATTTTCTTCTACAATTTTTTCTTCATTTTTTAAAGAATGTCTATTAAATATCCATTTATTTTCTTTAATTAAAAAAATATTTTTTGGCTAAAAAATTAAAAGTCGAACCTCATTATAAGGTATGCTCAATACAAGAAACCCTCTATTTAAGATAACCTCTATTTAAGATACATGCCATTATAAGCGACACCCTCTATTTAATCCACAGCCCGTTATAAACCCACCAATATTGAATACCCTCTATTTAAGCCACAGCCCATTATAGGCGACACCCTCTATTTAAGGTACATCTCGTTATAAGAGACTATTCTTTCGAGTGTACCTTATAATGAGGTTCAACTTTAAAAAATTTTTTACCCTCAGGCGTAATAGGAGATAACAACGTTGGTTGAAGTTTTAATGGTGGCCCTAGCGGGTCTGTTGGTGTTGTTTGTGGAATTGGAGTTCTTGGAACTTTTGGTTTTGTTGATACAATTTTTTCTTAAATAAATTTTTTTCAGAAAATACTTTTAAAAATTTACTGGGCGATTCTCCAGCTGCCAATTCTCCAGCACTTTCAATTGTACAATAATCACTTATATATTTTGCACTTTTACTTTTCTTCATTAAACGATAGCCAACCTTAAGATTTTTAATATTTAGTATGATCTCACTCTAAGGTATCCCTTAGAGGATGAAAAAATATCGTGCCTTATAATGTGTTTATTAAATAGAAGGTATCGCTTAGAAGCTCGTTATAAGAGAATTTTTTCTAGAGAGACATCGCTTATATTCTAAACATCCCATTTAGAGAGCCAACCTAATTTTAGAAGGCGTATCTTAAATAGAGGTGTATCTAGCAATGGGGGTAGCTTATAATGAGGTCAAATATATAAAAAATAAGTTTAAAAAACCTTTTGTGTCAAATTAATTAAAGAAACTGATTTCTTAAATTGAACAGATTTTTTATTTTGATTTTTCTTCTGATCAGATATTTTAGTAGAAACAACACCCACTGAAATTTTACTTCTCAATTGTTTGCCAAAACTAAATTTAAAAATTTTTAGGTATTATTTTTGCGGATAAAAAATTTTTGCAGATTTATTTTGCGGATTTTTTCTCAGATATCAAAGTCCACAAAAAAAATTGCGGATGAATCCGCAAAAAATATTTTGCGGATTGAATCCGCACATTTTTTGCAGATTTATACTTGCGGACATAATTTTTTCGATTAATTAAAATTTTTAAATTTAAAATTAAACCCATTGATCCAACTATCAAAAAGCTCTCTATCTTCCTCATCATCTTCACAGATCATTTCCATTCTAATACAAAAATGATTAAAAAACGTCGCACAAAGTAAAGGATGTTTAATTAAATTTTCCATAATTATTTTTTGACGTAATAAAAGAATCCATTTTTTCAACAAATTTTGGAATAAAATAATTGAAGTAATTAATAAACTAAAAATTGAAATAATTGAAGGATTGTCTTGTTGGTGACAAAATAAATTTGTTAGGAAGCATTTTGGTAGGCGTAAACATATAGTGGTTGGTAGCCATAAAAGTAATAATACGCCAAAAAATAGAAAATTCTGAAAAAAAATAAAATCACATTATAAGATTCTAGCAAGAAACGTCTAAACGCCAAAGTGAAGGAAATGACGCAGAAATCCAGAAAAATGACGCTAAAACATATTTGGTATTTCACCAATTTAAGACTAAAAATGGTCTTATGAAGGGTATTTTAAATAGAGAAAACATTAGAGTTATCGATAGAAAAACCTCTCGACTTCCAACCGCCAATGAGCGTAAATTGGGCAAGAGTGAAGAAATTAAAAGGTGAGAGGTTCTTATAATGAGGTGCTCATTAAATAGAGGTGTTTCTTGAATTGAGGGTATCACTTGGGGGCTCACCTCCCAGAGGGCCTTCAAGCGACACGGGGATTTGAGAGGCTCCCCTCTCGTTGTAAAATACTTAAAAAAACGTCTCTCAAATATAGGTCTTGGGTCCATCTTATAACGAGGATTACCTCAATAAAAAAATTAAAAAAAACCGTTAAGAAAAGAATAGCCTTTAATCCAGTCGCTGTTGTTGCCCATCTTTTAAACTCCAAAATAATGCTTCCAATTAAAATAACCAAAAAGATAGTAAAAAGAAAATCAAAATTAATTGAAAATAATAAAAAATAAATTAAAATAAAAATTATTAAAATTAACTGAAAAATATTTAAAAACATCTATTTTTAATTTTTTAAATATTTATACACGTATTTATAAATTTGTCTCTCCATGGAAACATGCAAAAAAAAACGAAAACAAATATTTATAGAAAAAACACAACTCAAAAAAAAAATAAATTTGTAAGGGTTGGGTCTTTCTTGGCGCAGCCCATAAGGACGCCGCCTTCAATTTTCCCATATTAATTTGATTTTCCACTCTCGCCCAAAATAGTCCGCGCCAAAACGTCCCTCACATTTATAAGAGATTTAAGGAATAAATTAAATTTTCAAAAAGTAAATATTGCTCTGAAATAAATAAGTAAAAGATCAAATTTCAGAAAGAAAGATCATTTGCAGACAAATAAATTATAGTAATTGTTTTGAATGTCGAAAAAATTTTCAAAAAAAACTTGAGATATTTATCAATTCTAAACCTATCCATCAGCTTCACATTATTCATGATTTTCTTGCTGCTGCTGCTCCTCATTAAAGATGCCGGCAATTCTTTTAAGCGTAAACACCTCAAACATATCCCCTAAAATTAAAAAAAAATTTTATTCTAGAGGCGTCAAAATTTGCGGACTTATTGTTAGATTTACCCAACCCCGAGTCTGCAAAATTCCAGGTCCACAGTAGTGATAGGCCGGGGTTACCCAAGCACAAAATCAGGATTTTTTCGACCCAAACCTCAAAATTTCTTTTGAACCGAAATTCGAAACCAGATGCGAATAAAATTCTAAAAACCCAACCCGAAACGAAATTTTTCTCAACCCGACCCATGCCCTCTCCCCAAATTTCACGATTCCTCTAAAAACCCTATACATCCAATTTTCCTAAATATAAATAAAAAAAATTAAATTTCACAAACTTTTAAGTTCTTGAATTGGCTGGGGAGTGAAGAAAAAGAACTGCACCTCCTTGCTATCCTTCGCCATGTCAGCCAGCATTTCCATGATGTAACGCCTATTGACCCTTAAAAATTAATTTAAAAAAATTATTTTTAATTTTTAAAAGATTTACATATCCATAAAAACATCAAATTCATCCATACAACGAAAAGGAGATTCCATACATTTCCATAATGACATGATAAAACAAGCTGTCGTGTAGGAACGCTCTCCTCCTGAGAGCCCTTAAGAAAAAATTATTTATGACTAACTGAAAAATATTAATTTGTCCGGGGAAAATGCTCAAAAAATTGGCAAAAAATTTTCAAAAATCCGCAAAAAAATTTCAAAAATACGCAAATAATGTCCGCAAGAAAAGTCCGCAAAAAAATCCGCAAAAAAAGTCCGCAAGAACATTTCCATACAATATTCTAATATTTATTTAAAAAACCTTTCAAGTCCTGCAAAACTTTTTTCTGCATACGCGAATCCCTTTCATCCAAGCTTTGTTCAGCAAAAGATTCTTCCATTGCCTTGTGTGTCACAACCTTTAAATTAAAAAAATTTTTTTAAATTTTCAACAGAACTTTTTTACTTTAATCATTATAGTTCCATCATCATCTCGAACATCTAAACTTGCTTTATATCCACGGTAATTCATATGATCTCTAAACCAGCATTCCAATTTTCCAGGCAAACTAGTTCTGATTAAATCGAAACGTCTCTTACGGGCAGTGATCATACTTTCTAACATCTAAAGAATTGGGAAATTAAATAACAATCGGACCTCACTATAAAATGCACGTTTGGGGTGTAAAAAACGTAACTTATAACAAGTATATGTTAAATAAGAGGTATTTTATTATGGGTATTATCTTATTATGGGTGTATCTCAAATAGAAGACATCTTATAACGGATGTCTTGTAGATAGGAGGTACCTTATAACGGTTGGGTTGTTCCTTAAATAGAGAGTACCTTAAAAGGGGAGATGTATTCTAAATAGAGATGACTTATAATGAGGTATTCATAAATAGAGGCTAATTGTAAGGCCGTACTCCGCCCAATGGCCCAACCCAGAATAAAACCCGCATCTTAAATAGAGGTGTATCTATTAGTATTGGAGGGAGTGAGTTCCTATCATAATTTAATTCTAAAAAATCAAACGTTATATCGTCGCGTCCAAACTTTGAGTTTTGCCTTGAATTCTATATAAATATTTTTATAATTGATTAAATCAGCTTCTGTTGGCACAGGCTCTTTACTAAAAAAAAATAAATTTTTTTAATTTGATTAGAAAAATTAAAACAAACTTTTTTTCAGCATTTCTAATTTCATTTTGAATAGCTTCAATATCTCTATTCAATTGAACCGTTTCAGGAATTGTATCAAAGTCTGGCACTCCATCACCAATTTCAGCATGATTTTCTAATAAATAGTCTCGATTCTTTTCAGCCTCTTCTCGTTTCTTTTCACAAGATTTGCTTAAAAAAAGAAAATTTAAAATCGGTAAAACATCTCATTGTAAAATGCACCCAACACCTCTACTCAAGTGACGTTTTTAAAAAATTTGATCAAACACAGGCTGAGAAAATTCCTAAAGAATACTTTATGTTCGTAGTGCCCCGTAATGATAAAAAGCCAAAAAAGCCGCCGAAATGCCAAAGTAGGGGAAAGACGTCGAAGAGCCAAAACCCATAAAGCCGTTAAACATGTAAACTGCTTTTGGCATTATTCCGTCACAGCATAACGGCATCATATCCCCCTATTTAATAAACAGGTCATTATAAAAGACAAAATTTTTCAACCCCCAAGGATCTTAAAAGTATCTTAAAACGAGGTTCCCATTATAAAAATAAAAAGATTTCAAACGTTTTGTCTTCAATCTGCTTTCTATATTTCACAATCAAATCATTTGCCCGTTTAGTTAATCCTTCACAGTCCTCCAATTTTTCACGATTTTTTTCTATTTGTATCTGACAACTTTTTATATCATTCTAAAAATTAGAAAATATTTTTAAAAAATTATTAAAATTTAAAAAAACCTCAATTTGTTTATAATCATTTTTTAAATGATCTGCCCTTTTTGTAGATGCTTCAATTTTATTTTCAGCTTCATTCATTTTTTCAGTCTTTTCTGCAAGAGACTGTTCCAATTCAGTTAATTTAACTTGCAAAGCATTTCTCTCATCTTCACTTTCGCGAATTGAAGTTCGCTAAAATTAAAAAAATAAAAATATTTTTTGCAACTAAAAACAGTCTGAACTCATTATAAGATATAAGTCCTTAGGAAATCGAATCTTAAATTGGAGGCAAAACCTTAGGCAGCTCCTCCAGCCAGAAACTTATTATAAAACACGTCCACTAAGCTAAAGAAATCGTATCTTATATGGAATGTACCTTAAATAGGGTGTATATCCTAGGCAGCAACCCCAGTAATTAACCAAATTTAAAAACGTCTATTAAATAGAGGTTAGAAGAGCGTACTCTAAACCGAGGTTATCTAGTAACAGGTTATTTGATAATTAGGTGTGTCTTATGAGTTTGTAGCGTAAATAGAGGACTTCCTCATCCAGTAACCAACCAAATTAAAAAAACGTCTCTTAAAAAGAGGTATATCTAATATTGGGGGCATCTTATATTCAAGTCTAACCTTTATTAAAAAAATAAATAAAATACCAAATTAGTTATTTTATCTTCACTCAACACCTCATCTTCCAATTTACTCAATTCTTCTTCAATTTCATATTTTCTTTCATTTAATCCATTTAAACGAGCTTCTGTTTGAGTCTTCTTTTGTCTCAAATTATTAAGTTTAAATTCCAATGTTTGGAAACAACGTTTTGATTTTTCAACTTTTTCACTTTGTTGTCTCAACTGTTCTGTTGATTGTTCCAATTGTTGATTAAAATCATTCAAATTTGAAGCCATAAAATGATTGTCCAAAACTCGAGCTTGAAAATTTGAATGGTCACGGAAAAATTGATAAGGTCGAGATCCTCTTTGAGGGTTAACTTCTGAACAGGCTAAGGTAATTGCTTTAGATACATTTTTTGGTGGCTTAACAATAAATATGTTTAGTAAATTAAACTTTTAAAGAAATTCGGGTAATTTCGAATTTTGTGAGAACCCCTGTTTATGTTTCTACAATATTCCTTTTGTTATACTTGTGGTAAATAGCGTAAAGCGCCGTAACATCGGAATAAAACCAGATATACCTCCTAACTAAAGTAGTTCATACGGAGGGAGAAGACCGCCGTTTACTTCAAACAACCCTGCAATCAATCTAAACACTTATGACTAATTTGGGTTCTCAAAATTAAAAAAATAAAAATTAAGAAGAAAATGAAGAAGGGAAGTCATAAAGTTCAAAATTACCCAAAAAAATCATTTTATTTCAAATAAAATTCAAACCTTTGGATACATTGCATTTCTTGCAACATCATCTTTTTCAAAGAGAAGAACACTTTCTGCTCTAACTTTGTCTAAAATATAATTTAAGACTGTTGGATTCTCAACATCTAAAACACGCAAAATTGTTGTAAATTCATTTGGAGGCTCTCTTCCAAATAAATCATATTTTTGATCAGCAAATCTATTAAAAAATATTTTGAAATAATTAATTAATCGGACAGACCTCACTATAAGATATCCCTTGAGACTGAAACAATCGTACTTTATAATGAGGCTATCTTAAAAGAATGCGTAGCCTAGGATCCTCGTACTCCTCCTTCCCACCTACCTATCCCAATGACAAACTTAATTTTAAAAAACCGTCTCTTAAATAGAGGTGTATCTACTAATGGATGTACCTTATAACGAGGTGTATCCTATAACGCGGTGTATCTTATAATGAGGCGTATCTTTATTAGGGAATAACGGGAGATTGTCAGGTAGCTCTCTCGACTAGAGGGCAACCAAATTTAAAAATAGTCTCCTATAATGGGTGTATCTTATGTTGAGGGTATCTTCTAGAGAGGTCTAACTTCATAAAAATAATTAAAAAAAATACTCTGTTGTAATAACATTCGGCTTTCTAATTTGTAATGTTTTGCATATTTCATCCAAAGCTTTTCGATCTTCTGAAGAATCACACAAAAAAGTTCCAATCATGTTTTTCAAGCAAAATTCTATTGGATTCGCCCATTTTTTGTCCTTCAATTTGATATAATTTCCAATAGGGCCAATTGGGCGTTTTTTAAAAGAATTAATATTTGTGTCGATTAGTTCAAGTAAACGAGGCACATCTTTTCCAAAAATAGCCAATTTATCAGCCTTTGATTGTTCAAATAAAGTTTTCTCTTCAATAATACGTGTTCGCCTTCGTTCTAATAAAGAATGCTGGTCGGTGTTTTCCTTAAGAAAAATTTTTTGAATAATTTTTAGGAAAAAAAATTTAAAAAACCTTAAACTCCTTCTTAAGATTCTCATAATCAACTTTGATGGAACCCAATTCATTAGTATAAGATGCTTGTTCTAACTCGGCAGCCTCCATTTGAGCAGCTATTTGAGTCAATTTTTCTTTTAATTTATTCTTTTCAGTTTCAGGATCATGACCAGAACTAAAAAAAATTTATTAAGAGTTAGTGAAAAAAAATGATTAGGAGAGGACGAGGAAAAAATAAAAATATCTCGATAGTCGCTCAAAAGACTATGAATTATGGATTTTTTCCCATGTGAAAATGAAGCCAAAAATCGCTTCCCAATGGAAAACCCAAACTTCTATTATGCCCACAGAAAAAAATTTTTGGAATTTTTCTTTAATTTAATAAAAATATTTTTTAATTCAACCTTCCAACCAAATCCTTCAGTTCTCTATTTGCCTTTTGTAATTGCCTCTCATATAAATCAATATTCCATTGCTTCCGTTTTACTTTATCGACCAAGTCATGATGATCAAAATTTAATTCTCTAGCCTTCCTTTTCAGTTCATTCAACTTTTCATTATGTTCTCTAAATTTAGAGGAAGCAGCACCGAGTTGTTCTTCAAAATTTTTTTGTTGTTTGTTAATATCTCCAATTTGCTTCTAAAAATTAAAAAATTAATTGTAAGAAAGAACAAATCCAGCAGGCAAGCATTTAAAATGCTTACTAGTCGGGAGTTTAAAATCTAATATCAAAAAAGAGAAGTAGCGCCATGTAGCTAATAATAAGTGGTAAGACCTGTACTATGTAAGGTAAGCAATAGAGAACGGCCTGAGTTTTTCCTGTATCCAAAGTCCAGGCATTTTTTATCTTCCTGGGTTTTTCCTGGGCCTGGGTCTTTCATGGACTACAGGCCCAGGATCTGACCCAGGTCAATAAATCATATCCAGAATCCAGGAGAGATTTCCCAAGGAAACAACATCCTAATGGCGAGTAGAACGAGAAACAATAACTGCCAGAAGGTCACAGGATCGATGCCTGCCTGGGGCTAAACCTAAACTTTTCCCCAGATAATTTTAATTTAAAAAATAGAAAATCTTACAATCAATTCATCCTTTTTAGCCACCTGTTCATTCTTCTTGTCTTCATTAACTTTAAGTTTCCTTCCAAGTTCTTCAATTTCCTATAATTTTAAAAATTTAAAAATAACCCTTTAAAATTAAAAAAATAAACATTTTTTCCATCTCGAACAGGCGCCCAAAGTTGATACCAATAAAGTCGTTGAATTGCTTCTTTTTTGTTGGAAAGTTGATTTACAGCATCAAAACGCGCTTTCATTTGTTGATATTTTGCTTCTTTTGCAGTCTTTTCTTTATCCATAGATTTGACAACTCTAGTTAATTCGTCAAAGAGAGTGTCGATATTTCGAAATAAATCTTCAGCACCGTCCATTTCCGAGCTCTTTTTGTATAACTTAAAAAATGGAAAATTTTTTTATTGAAAGGAATAAGCTCTAGTTTAGGTTATGAGTTCCATAAAGTTTTGGATTTCCCTTAAATTTAAGGATAGGTTTGGGATAAACTTCAGATACCCCGGTCAATCACTGAAGTCTAGTTGATCTTGAGACCTGCATTAACTTAAATTAATTTTAGCTAATTATAGTTACCCTTAAAAATTTCAGAAAACCTATCAGAACTCCCTAAAAATGATAACAAAGTCAAAAGAACCATCTCTGGGTAGCCAGCCCAATTATGATAGTTAAAGGTTTCCAACTCAAAAATTGTTAAGGTACACAAACACACCCTTAAACCCAAAAGCATAAACTCGCAAAAAATAAAAAAATTGTTAACCTCATAAAGTCTCTGTGGCTTCATTGACTGCAAAAATTGTCGCGCTCTATCCTGAGAAAGCCAAGAAAGCGGATTTTCTAAATCAATGTTGAATTGTTGAAGTATTAAATCAAGTTCTCTTCTTTTCCCAACAATTTCCTCTTTTCCTTCATTTAAACGAGTTTTGATTGTGACAGTTGAAATTTTATGTGTAATACGTCGTTCAACAATTATAATGTCGCCGTAATCAGGTATGCTGTTTGGGCCTTCGTTTGAAATGTGAATGCGGATTAATGAATAACTTTAAAAAAATTAATAAATATAAGTTAAGAAAAGAAGGGAAAAGTATGCGTAAGTGCCGGATTTCTTTAGGGTATGAATATGAGTCAGAAAAACTATATTCGCATCTGTAGATAAATATGATCAGAGAAGGTAAGAATAAAATCAGATAGTAAAAATAGAAACAAGATCAGAAACATTTAAAAAATCAAAATAAAATCAGAACAGAACAGAATTAAAATCAGAAACTCATTAGAAAATCAGAAATAAAATCAGAACAGAATTAAAATCAGAAATCATTAGAAAAGCATAATTAAAAATCAGAAAAAGTCAGAAAAAAGACCAGAATGCAGTAGAAAATCAGAATTAAAAATCAGAAGAAGTCAAAAATAAAATCAGAAACTCATTAGAAAATCAGAATTAAAATCAGAAAAAGTCAGAATTGAAATCAGAAATTCATTAGAAAATCAGAATTAAAAATCAGAAAAAGTCAGAAAAAATATCAGAAACTCATTAAAAAATCAGAATTAAAATCAGAAAAAGTCAAAAATAAGATCAGAAACTCATTAGAAAATCAGAATTAAAATCAGAAAAAGTCAGAATTAAAATCAGAAACTCATTAGAAAATCAGAAATAAAATCAGAACAGAACAGAATTAAAATCAGAAACTCATTAGAAAATCAGAATTAAAATCAGAAAAAGTCAGAATTGAAATCAGAAATTCATTAGAAAATCAGAATTAAAAATCAGAAAAAGTCAGAAAAAAGTCAGAATGCACTAGAAAATCAGAATTAAAAATCAGAAGAAATCAAAAATAACATCAGAAACTCATTAAAAAATCAGAATTAAAAATCAGAAAAAGTCAGAAAAAATATCAGAAACTCATTAAAAAATCAGAATTAAAATCAGAAAAAGTCAAAAATAAGATCAGAAACTCATTAGAAAATCAGAAATAAAATCAGAACAGAATTAAAATCAGAAATCATTAGAAAAGCATAATTAAAAATCAGAAAAAGTCAGAAAAAAGACCAGAATGCAGTAGAAAATCAGAATTAAAAATGAGAAGAAGTCAAAAATAAAATCAGAAACTCATTAGAAAATCAGAATTAAAATCAGAAAAAGTCAGAATTGAAATCAGAAATTCATTAGAAAATCAGAATTAAAAATCAAAAAAAGTCAGAAAAAATATCAGAAACTCATTAAAAAATCAGAATTAAAATCAGAAAAAGTCAAAAATAAGATCAGAAACTCATTAGAAAATCAGAATTAAAATCAGAAAAAGTCAGAATTAAAATCAGAAACTCATTAGAAAATCAGAAATAAAATCAGAACAGAACAGAATTAAAATCAGAAACTCATTAGAAAATCAGAATTAAAATCAGAAAAAGTCAGAATTGAAATCAGAAATTCATTAGAAAATCAGAATTAAAAATCAGAAAAAGTCAGAAAAAAGTCAGAATGCACTAGAAAATCAGAATTAAAAATCAGAAGAAATCAAAAATAACATCAGAAACTCATTAAAAAATCAGAATTAAAAATCAGAAAAAGTCAGAAAAAATATCAGAAACTCATTAAAAAATCAGAATTAAAATCAGAAAAAGTCAAAAATAAGATCAGAAACTCATTAGAAAATCAGAATTAAAATCAGAATTAAAATCAGAAACAAAATCAAAACCCATGGGAAAATCAGAATTAAATAATTTATCCTCACAAAATAATACTCCCATTATCCCAAATTCACTTAATAATAAAATAAATAAACCTCACTTTTCATTCTCTTTAATATAATCATTAATCCGTTTTCCTCTCTCGTTTGAACGACCAGCTCCTCCAAGTCCAATATTTAAAGCAGCAAACAGTGCACTCTTTCCACTCCCATTTGGGCCAATTATATAAGAGCAATTGTACTTATTGACATCAAAATTAAGCTAAAAACAAGTAAATTAAGTTAATTTAAAAATTTTAAAAATACTGTCAGGCTCGAATGACACATAAAATTGACCAATTCGATGCAAGTTATTTTGCCAGCAACTAAAATTTAGATAAAAAATAAAATTAGAAATTTTAAACCTTCTGGCATAATTAACGATCGTTTAGCTAGTCGTCTATCATCAGATTGAAAAGAATCATCAAACCCCCTCTTTTTAGAAACTGACAAGCTCATTAGTTTTTAAACAATTTTGAATCAATATTCTAAAAAAATAAATATTCAGTTAGAAAGCAAAATAAATTTATAGAAATGCGTAGTGTGGTAAAATTTGGAGATCACGCAGGATCAATAAATCCATGTACTCGCGTTTGTCGCTGAAAACAGGTATTTCAGAACACGATCCCGGACAAGTCAGAAACAAGATTATACCCCATTGGAAAATCAGAAATAAAAATCAGAACAAGTCAGAAATAGAATCAGAACTCATTAGAAAATCAGAATTGAAATCAGAATAAGTCAGAAATAACACAATGAAAAATCAGAATTAAAAATCAGAATAAATCAGAAACAAGATCAGAACTCATTGGAAAATCAGAATTAAAAATCAGAATTAAATTCAGAAACTGATTAGAAAATCAGAAAAAATCAGAACAGAACAGAATTAAAATCAGAAACTGATTAGAAAATCAGAAAAAAAATCAGAACAGATCAGAATTAAAATCAGAAACTGATTAGAAAATCAGAAAAAAATCAGAACAGATCAGAATTAAAATCAGAAACTGATTAGAAAATCAGAAAAAAAATCAGAACAGATCAGAATTAAAATCAGAAACTGATTAGAAAATCAGAAAAAAAATCAGAACAGATCAGAATTAAATTCAGAAACTGATTAGAAAATCAGAAAAAAATCAGAACAGATCAGAATTAAAATCAGAAACTGATTAGAAAATCAGAAAAAAAAACAGAACAGATCAGAATTAAATTCAGAAACTGATTAGAAAATCAGAAAAAAAATCGGAACAGATCAGAATTAAATTCAGAAACTGATTAGAAAATCAGAAAAAAATCAGAACAGATCAGAATTAAAATCAGAAACTGATTAGAAAATCAGAATTAATAAGAAGAGGTTATGTATAAAGTTTGAATAAATGATAAATTAATTAAAGAGCAACAATATAACAAATAACAGTACTATAGTACTACATATGTTATCCTATGCCGCTTTCTAGTAACGAATAAATTAGCAATGGTGCAGTAAATACCCATAAAATGAATCATAACAAATACCTAAATTGTTTTGAATCAGAACAAAATGTGCAAGAAAATAAGAACCAGGCTTGGAACTTATATGTAAATTACTAGGACTGGGAAAATGCAAAATTGGGAGTTTGAGTCCCTCTTCTTTTCCTTTCATTTATCATATTGTATCCCCAGGCATTTATTTTCCTCGTCATTTATTTTTCTCTTATTGGAAAGAGAAAAGGAAAAGAACTCTAACTACCAAGTTTGAATGTTTTTCCCAGCCTTATTAATTACATATGTATGTTTTAGGTAAGCCTTTTTGACACGCCCATTTTTCAATGTTTGTGCCTCTGAAGGAAGATGAAAGTTAGTGAAAAGTTGAGCCGCAGAATGCGACTATGAAAATCTTTTAAAGAAAAAGAAGGTAAATGAAAAAAAAAATAAAAATGAAAACAAACTGCATTTTAACATTTAACAGCAGAGAAGTGTTTACAAAAAAGAACTTATAAACAACAAAGAATCGATTAGGCCTAAGTACACTTTACCGGGCGATTTTAGATTTGAATGATTTATATGTCAATCGAAAGAGCTCGGCGAGCTGAGTCGAATGACACCAAAATTAGCCCGCGGACTCAACTATGGACCGAGATATGGGTCCCCAAAAATCGAAAAACCATAGGGGGACCAAGCACTTTTTTGGGGGTAAAAAGTTCGAATATGCAAATAGTAACTCATTCGAAAGAGCTTCTCGAGCTGAGTCGAATGACACCAAAATCATCGTGATTTGACAAGTTTGGACACAGTTACGATAGAAAAACTAAAACCTAAACCTATGGAGCGTCGGCGAGGCGCTTGTGCAAAACCCCGCGCTTCGCGCGGGGTTTTGCGGCACGCGCCTCGCGGGGAGTCTACGGGCGCTGGGTCTGGGCTCGTAACATAAACCTATTCCTATCTTCCTTGCTCTGGACGTATTTGGGGCCTCCGTAGCAGTAAAAATCTCCACAGATGCCATAGGTAAGGAGCTAAAATAAAAGATCATAACTTTGTCAAATCAAGTCGGATTTCGTTGATTTTGGTGTCATTCGACTCAGCTCGACGAGATCTTTCGAATGAGGTATAATTTGCATATTCGAACTTTTTACCCCCAAAAAAGTGCTTGGTCCCACCTATGGTTTTCTGATTTTTGGGGACCCATATCTCGGTCCATAGTTGAGTCCGCGGGCTAATTTTGGTGTCATTCGACTCAGCTCGCCGAGCTCTTTCGATTGACATATAAATCATAAAAATCTAAAATCGCCCGGTAAAGTGTACTTTAGCCATCGATTACAAGCACAAATATTGTATAGGGATATATATTAAAAATACATTTTTTTAAGAAAAAGAAGCGAATAGATAAGACGCTAGGTGAGTTTGAAGGTGTTTTCAAAGAATTTAGAGCATCACATTCAGAGAATCACATTCAGAGCAGCATATTCAGAGCATCACATTTAGAGCGTCACATCATCACATTATTAGCGAGTCAATAGTTCCACTTGAAGAATGCGGTCAGGAACCGGATTTCCAATGAAGGCTGCACTTGGATCCTTTAGGTTTCTATCAACACGTTTGCACAAGATCTCGCACCTATCACCAGAGGCCGGAGGACCGCGCTGAAAAAATTGGTATACACCCAAAATACAAATACAAGTCACCTCTCGCAAGACGTCTATTTTTGCAGTGGAGTTAGCAGACAAGAATCCTTTTATGGGGTTAAATTTGAAGTGTTCGTTGTCGGTACACATGATCTTGTATGAGTACTTCACCTAGAAATAGAAAAATATTCTATTGTATAAAGGAAATACCCCATTCGAATCATTGGACAGAGTAATGGAATCGTATCCTCCTTTAACATCGAAGACAAGTCGTTTCGGCGCAGCTCTTACGAATTCTACTAACTCAAACCCGCTACGAAGTGGCGACGAAGCACGTTGACGCTGAACCCCTGCTCTGCCACGCATTAGTATTTTAATTTAATTGACAAGTAGAAGAAGAGTAAATTTAAAGAAAAGTTTGTGCTTATATAGTGACTTTTTAAATAGATTGCAAAAGACATTTTTTAAACATAACAAAGAGAAGATATGCCACTAGACGTGAAGAAGGGACCATTGATTGCAAAAAAGACATTCACGAACAAATGCTACTCAAGAAGCAGGAACTGAATTTAACATTCACGAACAAACATTCACGAACAAATGCTACTCAAGAAGCAGGAACTGAATTTATGGAAATACGCCCACGAAGTGACTCAATTGCAACAGCACCAACGATGCCAATGAGGTTCCCAAGTTTCAAAAGACGTCATCAAGCCAAGTATGCACGTGTTCAATCTTCAAAGGCAAACGACTCCGTCTCTCTGGCTTCAGCTGACTCACCGTTTGGCAATCCTCTTCGACGTCTACAGGCAGACACTTGATTTGGCGCGGAGTCTATTGCAGCCCGACTGAAGATGAGCTGATTTTGCAAAAGAATAAAATAGAAGAAAAAATTAAAATAAAAAATAAAATTTTGCAAAAGAAGAGGCAAAGGATTAAATAAAAAACTAAAAAAGGAATGCGCCACACAAACTTCATTAACGCCATTCCCGCGACTGAAGTTCGTGTGGGCAAATTTACCCATCTCTTTATTTGTTTTATTATCTTCTTACCCCTCTCTCCATTTTCTCTAATTCTAAATTCAATTTTTTATTCTTTGAAGTTTTGCTGGAATTTTCTATCCAGCTTAACTTTTCTTATCATTGTTTGCACAGCTACCTATTTCATAATTTTTACACCATCTTTCTATTAAATTCCTTGCCATCGGCCAAAAACCAGGGCCGATGGGCTCCTTTATAAGCCCCTCCCAAAACCCCCAAAATATTGTCTTCTCCAATTCATTCTCCAAATAATTCTTCAAATAAAAGCCTTCTTCTAACTTTTACAGCAACTTAAATTTAATTAAATACAATAAATAATTTAAATTTGTTCTTTGAATTTATTTTGAATTTATTCATCCAAGATTAGTTGGTTACAACAACTAGACGTAAAAATAGGGACCATAGATTGCAAAAAAGACATTTTTGAGAGAAAACGAAGAGAAGATATGCCTCTAGACGTGAAAATAGGGACCATAGATTGCAAAAAAGACATTTTTGAGAGAAAACGAAGAGAAGATATGCCTCTAGACGTGAAAATATGGACCATAGATTGCAAAAAAAACATTTTTGAGAGAAAACGAAGAGAAGATATGCCTCTAGACGTGAAAATAGGGACCATAGATTGCAAAAAAGACATTTTTGAGAGAAAACGAAGAGAAGAGATGCCTCTAGACGTGAAAATAGGGACCATAGATTGCAAAAAAGACATTTTTGAGAGAAAACGAAGAGAAGATATGCCTCTAGACGTGAAAATAGGGACCATAGATTGCAAAAAAGACATTTTTGAGAGAAAACGAAGAGAAGATATGCCTCTAGACGTGAAAATAGGGACCATAGATTGCAAAAAAGACATTTTTGAGAGAAAACGAAGAGAAGATATGCCTCTAGACGTGAAAATAGGGACCATAGATTGCAAAAAAGACATTTTTGAGAGAAAACGAAGAGAAGAGATGCCTCTAGACGTGAAAATAGGGACCATAGATTGCAAAAAAGACATTTTTGAGAGAAAACGAAGAGAAGATATGCCTCTAGACGTGAAAATAGGGACCATAGATTGCAAAAAAGACATTTTTGAGAGAAAACGAAGAGAAGATATGCCTCTAGACGTGAAAATAGGGACCATAGATTACAAAAAAGACATTTTTGAGAGAAAACGAAGAGAAGATATGTCTCTAGACGTGAAAATAGGGACCATAGATTGCAAAAAAGACATTTTTGAGAGAAAACGAAGAGAAGAGATGTCTCTAGACGTGAAAATAGGGACCATAGATTGCAAAAAAGACATTTTTGAGAGAAAACGAAGAGAAGATATGCCTCTAGACGTGAAAATAGGGACCATAGATTACAAAAAAGACATTTTTGAGAGAAAACGAAGAGAAGATATGTCTCTAGACGTGAAAATAGGGACCATAGATTGCAAAAAAGACATTTTTGAGAGAAAACGAAGAGAAGAGATGCCTCTAGACGTGAAAATAGGGACCATAGATTGCAAAAAAGACATTTTTGAGAGAAAACGAAGAGAAGATATGCCTCTAGACGTGAAAATAGGGACCATAGATTGCAAAAAAGACATTTTTGAGAGAAAACGAAGAGAAGATATGCCTCTAGACGTGAAAATAGGGACCATAGATTGCAAAAAAGACATTTTTGAGAGAAAACGAAGAGAAGATATGCCTCTAGACGTGAAAATAGGGACCATAGATTACAAAAAAGACATTTTTGAGAGAAAACGAAGAGAAGATATGTCTCTAGACGTGAAAATAGGGACCATAGATTTATACCGCCTATATTATTCACTCATATAAAATCCTTTTGTCGCATATACTAGTTAGTTAGTTTCTATTTTATTGAATGTGAATTGTATTTTAAAATATGAAATAAGCATTATTGACAGTCTAGTTTTATTTTAATTATGTTATCTCTTTCGTCAACGAAAGAATCTATTTGATAATAAAGCTATTTACTATTGGAAAAGATTAAAAACTAAATTTAATAGTCAAATTATTTTTTTATTTAATTTACCTTATTTTGGCAAGTGTTTTCTTGGATTAAATTATTTTAGTGAAAATTGTTTCTTTTTTGTCATAGTTAATATTTTCTCAATTTTCTTTTTCTTGTCTTTTAAATTTCACTCTTTTTAGAGCCTGGAGCAAAGCTTCTCATGCAAATTCCTGATCAACTGGTAGAACTTCCGCCCTACGACTTAAATCAATCGAAGTAATCAAGGCTGGCCTGGTTAGTAAGCATCAAGACTGAACGAGAGTTGGTTTTTCTTAATTCTTATTTTTTCTTAGTTTTTCTTATCTTACTGAGTTTTTCGTATTTTTTTAGTTTTTCTTATTCTTATTTTTTCTTATACTAGACGTGAAAAGCGGGCAATAGATTGCAAAAAAGACATTTTTGAGAGAAAACGAAGAAAAGAGATGCCACTAGACGAGAAAATAGAGACCATAGATTGCAAAAAAGACATTTTTAATGAAAACGACGAATCTAGTAAGGCTAGTCTTATCTAAGAATAATAATTATTATAAATATATTAATTCTACATATAATTTTAAAGGTCAACCACGATGACCGTCCATTGGTGACTTCCAAATAATGGCAGGATATAGAAACTGGCAGTTAAAGAAATATTGTGGTGAAGATAAGAACGTTTTATATAACTTATACATTTACTTTAATTCATATATGTATTTATCAACTTTATTAATTTTTTTGTTTGAATCTTAATGTTTGGAAAATAAATCTTTTAATGATTTAATTATTTTAAGTATTTTTTAATAATTTTATTTAATAATTAATAACATATCTACATATTTATCAGTGCAATATTTTTGTTTAATTGTGTGCCAATCACTTTAGGGGGAGGGGGCAATCAATTTTGTTTAAGACTGATCTACAGAATGGTCTGACCATCTACAAAATGGTCAGAAATCATGGTAAAGGAATGGGTTTATTTTGTTACGGCTGCAGAACCTGTAACTGTTCTTTTGACTCCCTAGAGTCGCCCCCACAAAACCCTTTTTAGCACCTTTTTTTCCTTCATAGTATTTCTATTATATTTAGATACTTATTCTTGTGCTCTCGATTTAGATTATATCTGACACGTCGGACAGAAATCGAAAAAACCAGATGCCAATGACGTAATATTTGGTTTCCTCTCTTTCAATATTGGAATTTTTCACCCCAAAATTAGATGATTTCTAATTTTATCTTTCGTCTACCTTCCAATCTCAGTCGATTCAAAAAAGATTAAGTTCTTTTAAAGCATTTTTTTATTGGATACAAAAATTCTTAGCCTAAGAAAATTGTTAAGACCACCTTTGAAAATTATAACAGAAATAAACATATTTATTCAGAACAAAAATAATAAATGAGAACAGAAAAGCTCACACAGAATAACAACAGAGAAACTTATTTTGAAGATCATGCGAAACATATTACGAATCCAATTCTCAACACACAGGGCTAAAAAATAACAGAAATAATAGGGGTAAAGGAATGGATGTGAAATAAATATAGTAAATAAATGTTAGGAAATAAATATATTTTAATAAAAAAACTGTTAAGCGTCATGACGTTGATGCTTCTTATAATGCTTCATGCAGTGAATGTTGCAATCCATCAATTCAGTTTTTCCACAGTTGTGCACTCCCTTCTTCAAAATTGAGCATATCTGAAATTTATTTTTTTAGCGGGAAATTTAAATTAAAAAGGTTTGAGTGTGACACAAATTAAGAGCGAATTTGCTTTTTAGATGAATCCGACATTTTGGAAAATCTGGGTTTTTGGGGGTTTTAGCTATCTAGCCTGACACGTTAGAAAAGTCCAACTACATAAACTAAACCCCGACCTGGGCGGATATCCCAAAATGAAAATTTGGGCCCTTAAACTTGAAAATCCCCATAAATCGCATAAAACAAAAAAACCTCATCATAGAAACGCGCCTCTACCACTTCTGGCGTTTTCGACCATTTGAGAATCACATTGAAGACAGCACTCATTAGACAATCATATTTCTTTGCACTGAAATAAAGGGAATTCCTAGAAATTTAAAGTAAATAAAAATACCAATAAATTCTTCCAGTTTTATGCATTTGTTGTTTAGTATAACTTAGAAAAATAAATATATTTTCAGATAGTTAAGTCTTCTCGAACTATGCGCCCCCTCATACATACTCCCATAGATATTCGGATTAGGGTTGGGGGCCCGGTTCGGTTAGACAGATCGAATCGGGCATCGAATTTTGGTCCGAAAATGACTCGAACGTCGGCCCGGTTCAAAAAATCCAACCCTAATTTAGAAAACAAGTAAAGGATGCCAAATCAAACTAAAACACAGTTTGGTATTTTGGAAGCTTTTAGGGCTTGGCATTCGTTTGGCATAATGGAGGCTCATGGGGGGCCACGTGTTAGAGAAGCTCACGCGTATTGGCCCCGAGAATCTACAAAAACCTTCTTAGAGCGAGGCCCGACTACCAAAATTCAAAAAATACCGAATATCCGAATACGGCGTCGCATAAGTAGATCCACGGAATTCCGGTTGCGGCCATCTAGTATCCCACGGAATCGAGTCACATAAAATGTGATACAAGCAGTAAAACCATCCTAAAAAATAATCTAGTTTTATATTAAAAATGTCAATTTTTAAACCTTCAACATCGTCAACAGGAAATGTCCGCTTAAATTTTCAAAAAAAATTTTTTTTCAAAATCTTTAAAAAAACCCTAGATCCAGTCATTTGAACCAAAGGGGCAGATTCTGTTGTACCATCACCCTTTGAACCGCGTATTTTTTGAACAGTTGGTTTGCCCGTTTCAACATCCTTGTATTTTTGAGACAGTTCAAAGTCGTAGATGTAGAATTTCAGATGATGATCCTTAGTTATGTGAACTCCAAAGTTTTCCAATTTGACATCCCTTGAGACAAAGCCAAGTTGATGAAGTTCCTTCAAGGCAAGGAGAGTCTAGAAATGGGAAAATTTGTTTTTATTTTAAGCGTTTATCTCCCCACATTTCCGCAAATGATTGTCCACAATTTTTATTTATTCCTCCTCCTACCTACTTTCTTCTGATAGATTAGAAATGGTCAATGATTAATAATGGTGAGTGGAAGGAATGAGAAAGAAGAAATAAAAATTGCGGACAATCATTTGCGGACATGTGTGGTTTCATCTTGTTCTAAGCAAAAATGGTCAAGGACCAAAATGGTCAATTGGACAAAAGGCCCTGAGAGACCAACCATAAATAAACTAAACATTTGACCATTTTGAGACCTGACCATTTTATAAAAACTGATATCTTTATAAATATTAGACCGTACCTCACGAGCAGCTTTAAATCTCATTGCCTCAGACAATCCAGGTATATTTGTAAGCCATGTTTTGACATCTCTCAGATTATTATATCTTAAAAAGAAATGAATTCAGAAATTTTAAGTTTAAAAAACCTCGTCATAATGTAGAATTTATGTAGACTATTTTGACTTTTGAAGAAAACTGGGAGTTCACCAGAGCCGAGTAATTCTTGTATACGAGTGAATTTGTTGCCAGGAACAGATTGTAGAGTACGATAGACCTCCATCTTAAATTAATTTATTTGAATAAAAGTTTAATTGAATAACCTCCCTCTTCCAAGCATATTCAGACGAAGCTTTGAGGGCAAAACATTCTGACTCGTGTTTTGAAATGTACACTGTAGATCTTCTACCGTAATGGATTGGTCTGTCGCAAACATTGCCAATTGAAGCAAACATCGCCATTTAGGGACGCTAATTAGGAAATATGAATAAAATATATTAGGAATATTACTGAAATTTTAAAAATATTTACTGTAATATAAAGATTAGAAGGAACACGCCCAAAACGGCGCGAGGCCATAACGGCGCAAAGCCATAACTTGCTTCAAGATTTCCGAATCGTACCGTATTTAGTATCAAACGATTCCTCAGATCGAGCTAAGGAGATTGGTACAAAGTGAACAGGGCCAGACATTTTCCAGGAAGTTATGGCTTTGCGCCGTTATGGCCGCGCGCCGTTTTGAGCTGTACCCATGATAAAGATTAGAGGGAACACGTCCAAAACAACACACGGCGTATAACAACACAAATCTATATCTTGCTGCAAGATTTCCGAATTTTAACAAATTTAGTAATAAACGATTCCTCTCATCGAGCCAAAGAGATTGGTACCAAATTTGATAAGGGCCAAAAATTTTCCAGCAAGTTATGGCTTAACGTTGGCCGAGTTATGGCTTAACGTTGGCCGAGTTATGGCTTAACGTTGGCCGTGCGCCGTGCCCTCAACCGAAGCCAAGACGGTTGAGCGCAGGATAATTTGACATAAAAACACAATGCCAAAATAAATAAAAAATGATTAAATTTAATAATTCAAACTCGTTGTTTCAACCTGGGGCTCTTTTCCGGCCCATAACTTTTTTTATTTTTCTGCGATCTGACTAATCCTTTTACTGATCGATAACTCTTGAACTAAAGTTTATTTTTCTTACTGGATCGATCTACTCAAACGACTCCTTAAAATTTATAGACTATCAAAGGTCAAAAATCACGATTACGCACACTTATCCAGATGTAACTTTTTGTAGGATGGTCTGATCAAATCAATTCTGTCAGCTAAAATAATCTCCACATCCAGAGCTTTCTAATGATACAATAATTATTTAAATCGGTTAAGAATGAAAAAACTTATGGCCCAAAATATGGGCTTGAGACTGAATTGCCTCCTACCCTCAAAATAACTACTTTTCCTCTTGAATTTTTAATTAAATCCAAATAGAAATTTTTTATTGATTTTGATTGTTTTCTCAATCTCATCTAGTTACTTTTTTTATTCAGTAAAGAAAACAATTTTCACCTTTAAATTAAACCAAAAACGTTCACCTTTTCTGTCAATTCGTTAAATTAAAAGAATAAAATAGAAAAAGGGCAATTTATAAAAACAAAAAATTTAAATGGAACGTGTTCATATCTACTAAAAACATTTATTTAAAAGTCTACTTACATATGTGGTCTAAATAAAAATATACATATATTTAGTTAAAAAATACAGTCGAACCTCGTTGTACGTTACACCCTTGGGGCTGAAAATGTCACCTTATAATAAGATGTATCTTAAATGAGGCGTATCTTAATTAGTGAGCGTCGATTAGGCAGCCTCCCCCACTAATAAGACAACCAGAATTTAGAAGGCGCTTCTTGTTTCTTATACTGAGACCCCAATTATAATGAGACCAACATTTGGGGACTTATAATCTCCCACACCAGCGGCCAACCAACTTTCAAGAAAACATATTTTAAATATAAGATTGGGGAGACGAGGTTCAACTGTATTAAATTATTAATTAATTCAGGACAATGTATTATTTTATTATTGAGGTTCAACTGTATTAAATTATTAATTAATTCAGGACAATGTATTATTTTATTATTAATGTTCAACACATTTTTTTAATAATTGTTTTCTTTTTAATTAACGACTGGTCAACCGATTTGTCAGTTAATGCACGCTTTGGAAGGCCTACACTTCCAGCAAGACCTCTACTTCCAGCACATCCTTCTCGAACCTTTCCCAGGCCCAGACCCAATCTATCTAGACCCTTTCCACTTAGAGCCCCTCCTCGTGGGCGTCCCTTTACAAATGCACCAGTTCAACGGAATTTTGGAGTAAAGGGAAGAAATTTGCCTTTAGCCTTTTCTAGGTACTTATTACTGTAAAACCTCATTATAAGATACCCCCAATATTGGATACACCTCTATTTAAGAGACAATTCTATCTAAGATACGCTCTTCAAAATTATTGGTTGGCCACTGGATAGGAGAGGTGCGATACACCCTATTTAATGGACACCTCATTATAAGGCACGTTTTTTCGGTCCAGGGGTGTATCTTATAGCTGATTGACTCAGACTTCTAAAAGTTAATTTTCCTTTTTATCTAGAAAGCCTTTCGGTCAATTGAGGGCTCCTGCAGCACATCATAGACCACCAGCAACTCTTGCTCACATTCCTTTAAATTTAATATTTACTCCTGGAGCTCCTGGAACTGGATAGAAAATTGAAGAATAATTTTTTTATATTTTTTTTTCTAATATTATATAGAAATTTAATTGGATAAATAGAAAAATAACAAAAAATGTACGCAAAGATTTTGCGATCAGGAAAAAATTTGCAGCAAAAATTTTGTGGAGTGACTAAAGTCCGCAAAAATATTGCGTTAGAAAAAAATGTCCGCAAAAATTTTGCAGACATTTTTTGGATTGCGGACAAAATTTGCGTATTTTCTGGAGTTGCGGACAAATTTACAGACTTTCTCGAGTTTGAATATATCGATTTATTAAAAAAAATTTTAATAGGAGTATTATATCCAGTCTGATTTGTCTCCCGAGTTGAGTTGAGTTGAATCAGTTGAATGAATTTAGGGACTTGACCAAATGAGACTTCTTATGCCTTTATTTTTTTATTTTACAATTTAAAAATTATTTTTTTCTTTTTCAATTTTCCGAACATAAAATATAGTCAATTAACTGGTTTTTAAATTAATTAACGCCCATTATTAATCAAAATTTTTGATTACGAATATTTTTGCTCTCCCAATCTTTACGCATAAACTTCGATTTTTATTTTGCCTTTCTGCATATATTCTTACTTTATCGAGTCATTTTCTTCAATTTAAAATTAATTAATAAATTTAATTTCTAAATTTAAAACGAACAAACTCTCATTATAGAGGGTTCCGTGACTTTTGCGCCGAGAACATTTGCGCCGCGACTTATGCGCCGCGACTTTTGCGCCGCGACTTATGCGCCGAGCGACTTTTGCGCCGGGGGACTTTTGCGCCGCGACTTTTGCGCCGGGCGACTTTTGCGCCGCGACTTTTGCGCCGGACGACTTTTGCGCCGCCACTAGCATTAATAATTACGAAAAACTACAGACGGACTTCACTATAAATAGAAGATGTAGGATAGTTGGTGTCTTCGTATATCAAAGATCCGGATCCGATATCCAACCTAAAATTTTCGGCTATCCGGCCTTTTTCAGATCCGGATATCTGGACCCGAGAACCCTACACTATAGTGCACCCTCTTCTGGCAGAAAATCATGCCTGAATAAGGGTAGCAGACCAAATATCTGATTTGAAAAAGTCAAGTTCTCTGAAGATACCCCTCTAGGGGGTCGGTTTATCTTTCAACATTCCTCTAAGGGGTCGGTTTATTAGAGAGGGCTATTGTACTTCCCGAAATATTGTACTTCCTGAAATTCCTTCAGCTCCTGGATACAAATTTTTAAGGAGTACACTATAATTAGGTCCGACTGTGGATATTATTTTTTTTAAATTATGGCGGCGCAAATGTCGCGGCGCATAAGTCGCCCGGCGCAAAAGTCGCGGCGCATAAGTCGCCCGGCGCAAAAGTCGCGGCGCATAAGTCGCGGCGCAAAAGTCGCCCGGCGCATAAGTCGCGGCGCAAAAGTCGCGGCGCAAATGTTCCCGGCGCAAAAGTCGTGATACCTTATAGAGTACCCCTTTGGGGCCTTTAAAAATCGTGCCTTATAAAGAGGTGTATATTAAATAGAGGGTATCCCTTGGATAGCCCCTCCCACCCATTGGCTAACCACATTTTAAAGAGCGTCTCTTAAATAGAAGTGTACCTCATAATGGGAGTATCTTATAATGAGTTGTCCCTTATAACGAGGTGTACGTTAAATAGAGGTAATCGTTTAAAAAGCTCCTCCCCTCATTAGCCTACCAAAAATTAAAAAAACGTCTCTTAAATAGAGGTGTACCTTATAACGGGAGTATCTTATAATGAGGGTTGACTGTATTTATTAAATAATATACAAATTAGTAATCCTGCCGACGTCAATTCCCACCAAAACACAAACATGGAAACTCGGTGAATTATAAAAATTGAGGGAACTATCAAAAATAAAAATACAAAAATTTCTATTTTTGTAGGTTAATTGGGTATTGTGACTTATAGTGGGTTTTTTTGGCTGGACCGATTTCGTCAAATGAGGTGTCATTCGAAAGAGCTTCGAAAACTGAGTCGAACTAGATATGGGGGAAGTCGGTCCGACAATCAGGGGCCGAGTTACAGACCCCTGAAGTTTGAAAAAGAGAAGGGGGGAGTAAGCTCAAATTGGGATGAAAAATTCAAAAATGCAAATAATAGCTCATTCGACTCCTCTCGATGAGCTGAGTCGAATGACACCAAAATCACCGAAATCCGACTTGATTGGACAAAGTTATGATCGTTCGTTTTAGCTCCTTACCTATGGTCTATGTGGAAGTTTTTGCTGCTACGGAGGCCCCAAGTACGTCCAGAACAAGGAAGATAGGAATAGGTTTATGTTACTGACCCAGACCCAGCGCCCGTAGACTCCCCGCGAGGCGCGTGCCGCAAAACCCCGCGCGAAGCGCGGGGTTTTGCACAAGCGCCTCGCCTACGCCCCATAGGTTTATGGTGACCATTTTGAACCTGTTCATCTTGGCTCAAAATCAAAATGTCGAGCTGATTTTGGTGTCATTCGACTCAGCTCATCGAGAGGAGTCGAATGAGCTATTATTTGCATTTTTGAATTTTTCAACCCAATTTGAGCTTACTCCCCCCTTCTCTTTTTCAAACTTCAGGGGTCTGTAACTCGGCCCCTGATTGTCGGACCGACTTCCCCCATATCTAGTTCGACTCAGTTTTCGAAGCTCTTTCGAATGACACCTCATTTGACGAAATCGGTCCAGCCAAAAAAAACCCACTATAAGTCACAACACTCGGTTAATTCACCAAAATTAAATTAAAATTCGCCAAATAAAATTACCTACCAAAATTTTTGCCTAATTAATTTTTATACACAATTTTAAAATATTATTTAATTAGATTTTATTTCATTAATTTTCTTTTTAAATTTAAAAATTTCCTATGAGATTCATGATGGAGTTGCGCGATTCCTTCCCAATAGCCTTGTTTTTGTTTGACAGTTTAGGCAAAGATTTCGTTATTTCCAAGACTACTCTCACGGGAGACTAGACAACTCTCTCGAGCTTAAGCCCGTTGCGGGTTTTGGAAATTGTTTCCATAAATCAAATAAATTTTAGAAGCCTAAAAACAAATAAAAAAATGAATTTACTCTTTTCTATTTTTGTATTCTTTGTTATGTTCAATCTGTGCTACTCTCGTTATGGACAACGTAATTATTTTTTAAAATAAAATTGAATGTTGTGACTTATAGCGGGTTTTTTGTTTCTGAACCGATTTCGACAAATGAGGTGTCATTCGAAAGAGCTTCGAAAACTGAGTCGAACTAGATACGGGGGAAGTCGATCCGACAATCAGGGACCGAGTTACAGACCCCTGAAGTTTGAAAAAGAGAAGGGGGAGTAAGCTGATTTCGAGGTGAAAAATTCAAAAATGCAAATAATAGCTCATTCGACTCAGCTCGACGAGCTGAGTCGAATGACACCAAAATCAGCTCGATATCTTGATTCTGAGCCAAGATACAGGTTCAAAATGGTCAACGTAAACCTATGGGGCGTAGGCGAGGCGCTTGTGCAAAACCCCGCGCTTCGCGCGGGGTTTTGCGGCACGCGCCTCGCGGGGAGTCTACGGTCGCTGGGTCTGGTTCAGTAACATAAACCTATTCCCATTTCCCTTGTTCTGGACATAATTGGGCCTCCGTAGCAGCAAAAACCTACACATAGACCATAGGTAAGGAGCTAAAACAAACGATCATAACTTTGTCCAATCAAGTCGGATTTCGCTGATTTTGGTGTCATTCGACTCAGCTCGTCGAGCTGAGTCGAATGTGCTATTATTTGCATTTTTGAATTTTTCACCTCGAAATCAGCTTACTCCCCCTTCTCTTTTTCAAACTTCAGGGGTCTGTAACTCGGTCCCTGATTGTCGGATCGACTTCCCCCGTATCTAGTTCGACTCAGTTTTCGAAGCTCTTTCGAATGACACCTCATTTGTCGAAATCGGTTCAGAAACAAAAAACCCGCTATAAGTCACAATACCCATAAAATTTTTTAATTAAATTTTTGGCAATCCCGGAGAATCGTGGTCCCTGCGGAAAAAAATCTTAAAATTAAGAAAAAGGGTTTTTCTAGGGTAAAAAAATGTGCTGATTACGAATATGAGCTCGGATTTTGAAAAAGTCGAATCCCGAACCCGAAGTCGGACATTCGACATTTTGGGAAAAATTTAACAGAGCGCAAATTGGTCAAATAATAGCTCATTCGAAAGAGCTCGACGAGCTGAGTCGAATGACACCAAAATCACCGTGATTGAACAAAAACAGACAAAGTTACAACACAAAAAACATAGGTTTACGTTGTTTGTTTTTTGTGTCATAACTTCGCCAGATCTTTTTCAATCACGGTGATTTTGGTGTCATTCGACTCAGCTCGTCGAGCTCTTTCGAATGAGCTATTATTTGCATATTCGAATTTTTCACCCCAGAATCAGCTTGGTCCCCCCTATGGTTTTTCGATTTTGTAGGACCTATATTCGGGTCCGGGTACGACTTTTTCAAAATCCGAGCTCATATTCGTAATCAACACATTTTTTTACACAAGAAAAAACTCTTTTCTTAATTTTAAGATTTTTTTCCGCAGGGACCACGATTCTCCGGGATTGCCAAATTTTTAGCCAACAGATACGTTGATTATAATAATAACTACAACCAACCTCCTAGTAATAATTATAATAATTATTATAGTGGAGGGAGACAACAAGGATGGTGGGGGCAGTCAAATAATGGAGAAAGTGGGTATTTTACTTTAATTAAAGGTGGACACTATTATAGGATACACTCTTAAGATATGGTCGACCTCACTTTTAGATACCTTATTGAAGATGTGAAAATTGTTCCTTAAAAGGAGGTGTATGTTAAATGGAAGGTATCATAATTTTGGGCCTGACCATTTTGAGTCATGGGCATTTCGAATCGTGCCCATTTCGAGCCTCTGACCATTTCGAGCGTTTGAGTTTTTATCCCTGACCATTTTGATCTCTGACTATTTTTAGCTTCTAAGTTTTAAGTTTTTGACCCTTTCGAGTCCCTGACCATTTCGAGCATCTGAGTTTTCGTCTCTGACCATTTTGAAATTATTTTTAATAATAATCTTCAGATTGGAACCAGCAACGTCCATATCAGCCCTATCAGCAGTACAATAATGGAAATAACGATGACGACAACCAATCACAACAACAACAGCCCATCCCACCACCCCCACAACCACAAACCCGAAATAGCGAATCTCATTCTTCGGTTGCTATTTGTTTAATTTTTTGTGTATAAAATTCTTTATATAAAAAAGATTCCTTTGCCACCTGGAGCACCTGGAACTACCGAAGGGGATTCATAAATAGTGAGAGAATGAAGTGAAGAAAAACAGCATTTTATAATTAATTTTGTAAAAATAAATCAAAGAAATTTTTTTAGAATAAAGGAGTGTTACGACACTTGCGAATGCGACAATTGAGGATACAAAATAAAAAATAAAAATGTTAAAGTGACAGCCCGTTTTGGAATGCTGTCGGCTGGAATGCTAGCTGAACCCTGACTTTTTTTCAATTTTTCTATCCACAAATGTCGCGTACGCAAATGTCGTATTAAATAAATATTTGTTGATTTTTTCTAAGGCATGATTACCGGACCTCTTTATAATGAAATATCTTCACTACTAGGTACACCTCATTTAAGGTATCCCTTCAAGGTTCAGTTGATTGAAGGGGAGGATGTCTAATGTAATGTTCCCTTGTAAGCTAAACCCTCTTTTAAGATAACCCCCATTATAAGACCCAAGGGGTATCTTAAGTATCCGACCTTATTTTAATATTTTTTTGGGGTATTTTTCAGTAAAAGTGCTTGGTGAATTGCCAGACACGACTTTACTTATTTTTGTGAAATTCACGTGAATTCCTTTTGAAATCTGCCCCTATTTGCACTCAATTCTATCAATATACATACCAGCATATACTCCTCTTTTTTGCTTACAAACGGCTTTAATCTCTAACTAATGTACATAAAAAGATTGTTGTGAAAGAAGCTTAAATTTATTGTCTACTCCCTTTTTTTATTTTTTTCTGTGCTTAACTTTCTAAGGTAGTTGGCCACATCCAATACCCCTCAGTCTTCGGTCAAACCGATTTTAAAAAAAAATTCGGTTTTTATTTTTAAGTAGTAATAAATTGTCGGTTTTGTTTAGGAGGAGAGGTGAGAATTTCCAAAAAAAAATTTTTTAATTTTTTTTTTAAATTTTGAAAAAAAAAATTGGAATTTTTTTTTCAAAAAATTTTTGGAATTTTTTTTTGGAAATCTTCAAAAGATTTTCGTTTTTTTTGAAAAAAAATTTTTCTGTTTTAGAACCAATAGCCAACAACTTGTGTTCGTTTTGACTCGACCGTAAGGCACGGTCTTTCTTACTAAATTCCCCCTACTTTGCAACTATTTCAAATATCAAAGTTTGCTAGTAAAAAATCGAAGGACACACAATGGCCGGACATCAACAAATAAACAAAGCACTTATTTACTTCTTTTTCTTACTAAACTCTAAACACTTTTTGTTTATTATTAGAACGCGGAACTAATTGTTTAAATAAATTGGTCAATAATTCTTGTATTCTTTTAATCATTTACTTTCTAATTAAAAAATGTTTTTTGACCTCCAAAATTTTTAAAAATTAATTTAGTCAGATCTCTAAGATACCCTATATAGACACACCCCTATTTAAGGTACTCTCCTCAAAATTTGGTTTGCTTCTGGGTGGGAGGAGAACCTCTATTTATATACCCCACATTATAAGATACCCTCATTTTAAGATACTCTCATTATAAGATACCTCCAATATTAGATACACCTCTATTTAAGCGACACCTCATTATAAGATACGAATTCCAATGGAGTATCCTATAATGAGATGATACCCTCTATTTAAGGGACACTTCATTATAAGAGACAAAATTTTCAACCCAATGGGGTATTGTATAAAGAGGTCCGACTGTCAATAAAATTACCTATTGTGAACAGTCACAATTTAATAATTCAAAAAGGAACAAAGTTCACAAACAAAAAAAGATTAAAGTTCGCAATTAATTTTTCTTTTTTAATTCCCCTCACGTTTCTTTTTAAAATTTAATTTATAATCCTTTTCTTTCTTTAATATTTTATCAAAAATCCTCCAATGTCACTCAAAAAAAATTTTTTTGAGAGTGTCTCACCATTTTATTTAATTTTGTCATTTAAACATTCTTTTTCAGCTGACTACAAATTTAATTAAAAAATAATTTTTGGCTTAATACATATGTATTTTACCCACTGAACCCCCTACAGTTGTAAATGTCCCCTCTCCCCTTAGGCCTGAAAATTTTGTCTCTTATAATGAGGTGTATTTTAAATAGAGGGTATCACCTCATTATAGGGTACTCCTAGGATACTTCACTATAATTCGTATCTTATAATGAGGTGTCGCTTAAATGGAGGTGTACCTTATAATGAGTTGTCTCTTATAATGAGGTGTTCATTAAATAGAAGGTATAGCCTAAACAGCCCTCACATTTTATTTGCTAACTTAATTTAAAAAACGTCTCATAGAGGTGACTCTATTATTGGGAGTTTCTTATAGGGAGGTTCTGCTGTATTACTAATTTTATTTAGTTCAATTCTTTAAATTTTCTAATTTTTATTCCGAATTAATTTGAAAATTTAATTAAAAATCCTTCTACCCCTCTAATATGGGACAACAACAAACAACAGGAACAACAACATCAAATAGTGAACAACAACAAACAGAGATTATGCCAAGTACGAGTAGGTAAGGACAGTTTATAAAAAATTTTTTTGGAACAATTCACCGTCCAGACAATTCACCGAAATACCTAGACAATTCACCGAAATACATTTGCCTTCCCGACAATTCACCGAAATGCTCTAATTCACCTCTAAGAAGCCCAAGAGGCCCTTTTAAAAAAAAAGAGCCCGGGGCTTTAAATAGATAAGGAAAATTTTAATTAATTATTGACACATTTTAAGGAAACAAATTTGTGTGACTTAGTCATTTGTTTCCATTTTTCTATTTTTAAACTAACGTAATTTATCACGCTTATTTCTGTTCTACCATTGTTTCCAAAAATAATTTGTACATGTGAGATAATTAGATTAGGATTAATTTGGGATTTAAGGTAATGATTGAACTTTTGAACATAAAGGGAAGGAAACCGGAAGAAAAATTGGGAGAGGTCCTCGTGTCAGGACAAAATACCGTCCGGACAATACACCGTCCTACTGTTTTTTGGGACTCTATTGGCCCGCGTCTTTATTAACCCGCGCCTATATATCCATAGAGATCGAGCTGGGTCTGGACCAAGGCCTGGGGTTTTCCTGTATGTTCAGGCCTAACAAGGAACCATTCTTTACTGTCACTGCGAATTTAATATATTTTTTGGTACCATTCGATAGAGGACCCTCGACTTAGTATTGTGGCGCTATCCGTTTTCTTGCAAAATTAGTTTGGGCCGAGTTATGGCCGTTCAAAGTTAGACCGCTAGAGTCTGGAGTTTTAGGGTAAGTAAGCAATTTCTCTCTTATTTTTCATCCTCAAAAAGGCCCCGCCTACTCCTCTTCTCTTTGTTTATTGTGTCTGACATTTTCTCCCTTTTTTTTATTCTCGCGCCTCTTGCATTCTTATTTCCTCTTTGTAAGGCAATGTGAAGAAAGCAGAGAAAGTGGAAAAAAGTAACAGCGCGCATCTTTTAGCTTTTTTTCATTATACTCAACCACTCCCATAGACTGAAACTTTGAACGGCCATAACTCGGCCCAAACTAATTTTGCAAGAAAACGGATAGCGCCACAATACTAAGTCGAGGGTCCTCTATCGAATGGTACCAAAAAATATATCAAATTCGCAGTGACAGTAAAGAATGGTCCCTTGTAAGTAGGGTTGTCGGTTCTGGACCGAACCGAACCGAAGAACCGATGATTTTTCGGTTCGGATATCGGTTCGGTTCCGGATATCCGAAAATTTTCGGTTCGGATATCGGTTCGGTTCCGGATATCCGAAAATTTTCGGTTCGGATATCGGTTCGGTTCCGGATATCCGAAAATCTTCGGTTCGGATATCGGTTCGGATCCGGATACCCGATAATTTCCTGTTGAAAAAGGAAGAAATCTGTCTCATGGTCCTCTAAAATTCTCAAAATTTTCGCCTGCGGCGCTGAAAAAGGAAGAAATCTGTCCTTTGGACTTCCAAAATTCTCAAAATTTCCGCCTGCGGCGAAGTATGTGGTCAATTCAGAACCCCTTTTATCACCCGATATCAAATCTCTTATATCCAACAAATTCTTTTATACCCACCACTAATCCTCAATAACACCTTAACCTCGAAAAAATTTTCGGTTCGGTCCCGGATATCCGAAAATTTTCGGTTCGGTTTCGGATATCCGAAATTTTCGGTTCGGTTCTTCGGTTCGGTTCCGGATATCCGAAATTTTCGGTTCGGTTCTTCGGTTCGGTTTCGGATATCCGAAATTTTCGGTTCGGTTCTTCGGTTCGGTTCCGGATATCCGAAGATTTTCAAGAACCGACAACCCTAGGCCTAAGCATTTTTTGACCTTCCTAGGGGTTTACTTGGCATGGGTTTTTCCTGGACTACTACAGGCCCAGGATCCGGCCTAGGTCATCAAACCCAAAGCCCAGGAACAGACCTAGGCTTTTAAAAAAATCTCAATGTCTAATATCCATTTCCTTTATCACCTTTGATACTATAATTTTTAATTTTTATGTTTATCTTTTCTAAGTCGATATTTTGACTTTACCCTTTCCTAGACAACAAAAAAATTAATTTACCTATTCATTCATTAGAGAAAGACCACCACAAACCTCTCAAAGACTTTAAATATATTTTTCGTCAAAAACAAAATCAATTTTCCCCACTCAATTCTTTCTTCCTTTTTTCAAGTAGTACATTATTACACACACACAAATGTTTAATATATCCCCAGCTGTGACGAAGAGGAAGTAGACAAACTTAATTTATCAAATGTCCTTTATTTACTGAAAAAATAAGGAACAATTTAAAAAAACGGAAACGGTTTTTTTCTTTTATTCGATTTTTGAAGGAAGTTATTTTTCATTTCATCTTTTTTATTTTCATTTTTTATTTTCTACTTCATTTTTGCTTGAGTAACAAGCAAAAACATGTCCTGTAAAAAATCCGGACAATTCGCCGTCTGGACAATTCACCGCCTTTGATTTTTTTAAATTTCTAAGATTATAATTTTTGATTTTAAAATTCTAAGATATTAAAAAAATACAAAATATATTTGTACATTTAAGTAATCTATAAACCCGTTTTCCTTTTTGTATATCTTTCAAGGTTATTGTCACAAAGTTAATTGGAATTAGTCGATCAGTGAATTGTCCGGACCGTGTCTTTTATTTTTTTTTTAAATTTTGGTTTCTTGGAATTTCTTACAAATTTTTTTATTAAAAAAATTTTATTTTTAAAATTTATTTCACACAAAGAACTTAAAAAAATTTGTATTTTAAATGAGAAAATTTTCGAAAATTTTTTTTTGTTTCTTGGAATTTCGAAAAAAATTTTTTACAAAAATTAATTAATTACTAAGGCTGTGATAGTTAGGCAAGTAAAATCAGTGAAATAGGCGCCTAAAATAGGCACCAAAAAGCCGAAAAAGGCACAAAAATAGGCATGTAAAAAAGGTTATTAGACCATAAAATGGAGATAAAAACTGAAAAAATAACCATTTAATCGTCATTTTTTAAATTAAAAACTATTTTTTAAACAATTTTACCATTTATTCGTCATTTTGAATCATTTTTTGAAAAAATGGAGTAAATTTTTTTAAATGTCGATAATTGACAAAATGGAAATCTCGCCCAACACACAAAACGTCGCACCCCAAAACGTCCCAAAACCAAATCGTCCCTGTTCAAAATGTCCAACAGAGTAAAAATAAACAATTTAACGAACTAAAAATCAATAATGGGACTTGGCACTGATTTTTTCTAATTTGGGACTGATTTTTTTAGATTTTGCACTGATTTTTAGGCAAAATTTCGAAAAAATCGCAAAAAAGGCAAAAATAGTACCAAAAATTTCAAAATAGGCAGAAAGGCATAAAAAGTCAAAAATAGGCAGAAATAGGCAAATTAAAAGTCATACTAGACTTATCGGACCAAGCTAAAAACACGTTTTTTGAACGTATTACATCATCCCAAGCTTGCAGAAAAAATAGGCATTTGCCTATAAATCACAGCCTTATTAATTACCCTAAAATTTAATTTTTTCTTTAAAATTAAAAATAAAATTTCCAGTTTTCTCAATTTAAAAAAAAATGAAATACTTGGGGAAAATTATAAAAATAATTTCATCATTATTTTCCGAATTGCTTTGTCGCTTTTTTACGATTTCTCATTAAAAGAACCATTTTTCTTTTTATTTCTTTTTACAAATTACCTACACAAAAAACCTCTTTTATAAATACATCAATAATTCGGCGAAACATAAAAAGAGAGAAAGAAATTTTCTTTAATTAATTTAAAAAATTTTTGTAAAAAATTTTTTTTGGGGGAAAAGAGGAGGAAAGGAAACGTTGTGTGGAGACCGTGACATTTTTTCTCTTGTATTTAAATTTAGAAGCTTCCCAGACATTTTCTTAAAGCTTTTTTAGGCTTTCATGTCCAGTAGAGACCGGCCTGAGTCTGGACCAAGGTCTGGGTTTTTTCTGTATCCAGAGTCCAAGTTCAGGCATTTTTGACCTTCATGGGTTTTTCCTGGACTACAGGTCCAGGCTTTTCAAAATTTCCGATCTCTAATGTTCAGCAGCCCTAAACTCGCTAATTTTTCTAAGACTCTCCGATATTCGCAATTTTTTTTAAAATTATATTTGTTTATTTGTTTATTCTAAATTTAAAAATACCTTTGTTTTTTGCTCAAATTCTTTTGTTTACTCTTTTTTACTTGAAAAATATTTTTCCGAAAACTCATCAATTTTTTGGCCACGGGGTGACCAGAAATTAAAAAGATTGCTATTTTATTTTAATATTTTCCCAGACATTTTTAGAGCTTTCCATCTTTCGATTCTAACAAATAGCCCCGAACTCCGAGTTTATTTTTTAAACTCACAAATCAGAGTTTCTAGGTTCTAGCCTTGAGAAAACACCCCTGTCAAGGTTGGTTAAAAATGAGAAACTAACGAATATTGGGTCCAATATTTTTTTTTAAATTTATTAAAGAAAAATATATTCTGATCAATTTTTTGTTTACTTTTTTTTTACTCGAAAAAAATATTTTTCTACTCTCATTGATTTCTTGACAAGAATATATTTATTACTTCATACTGACGAAATTTTTAGAAAAAATTTTTCTCTAAGAAAATTTTTTTTAATTTTTTAGACCCTCTTTTCGATTATACTTATAAAGTCCGCAAGTTTTATCCGCAAGTTTTCTGAATAAAAATTGCGGACTTTTTGGGAACATACCGAAAAGAACCCATTTTTTCCTCTAATTGTCTGGACGGTGTTTTGTCCCCCTAATTTTCTTTAATATTTTTCTCAATTTATTTTTTAGTAATTTAATACCTAAAACACCCCCAACAACAACATCTTTAATTAATTATTATTTTTTAAATTCATTCGAATTTTGTACAATTTTGTCAATGCTCGTTGAACAAGTTGCCGATAAATTGTCTTCTACTATTTTGGGTACTCCTATAATTAAGCAGCAACAACCCGAATTGAAAGAAGATAATAAACAACAAATTTTAAATGTAAATAATTTGTGCTGTGATCAGGGAAGCAGTGGGGATGATCGGTGGGTTATTTTCGATAAATGAACTGTGGGGACATTTGCGAACAAAGACGTTTGCGAACAAAGACGTTTGCGAACAAAGACGTTTGCGAACAAAGACATATGCGTAAAAACCTTAAAGAAACCATAGAAAATGGGCTAAAAGGCCGTTGGCTAGTCATGGTCCGTTGTCTCTAAATACAGTAATATTTCACTGATACAGTATACCCGTTAAAGTAAATTTGATTAGATGGTGTCCGCAAATGTCGGATGTTCACAAATGTCGCTTTTTAATAAAGAAATTAAAATTTAAAAATAAAAATTTTTAAAAAATTTTTGAGGGTCTTAAAATTTTTTTTGTCTTCCAAAAAAAATTTTTTTTTCAATCAATCTATTGTTTTCTTCTCTTTTTAATTCTATTTTTATGATTTTTGGTTTTTTACCTTTACCTTCCTACATACATAAATTTTATTTTTTTACAAAAAAAAACTAAAGGTTGCTGAGGGGATTAAATTAAATAAATAAAACTTTTTTTTGTGTATTGTTGCTATATATTATTTTATTTTCTAAAAATCATTTTTTAATATTTTTAACACCTTTTCTGTTTGAAAAATTTAATTTTGCATTTTTAACGACTTTTTTTTCTTAATATTTTTTTTGAATTTTTTCGAATTTTATTTCTTTTTCTTGTTTAACTTTGGGGCATATTTTTATTACAATTTTACAAATTTTATATTTAAATTTTAACACGTTTTTTTATCTTTTAAAATTTATTTTTGGGTGGAATCCAAAAATTTTAAGTTTTAAAATAAGCAAAAAGTAACCCCCGACACCTCTATTTAAAAGACGTTTTTTTTCATTTCGTTAGCCCCACTGAGTAGGGGAAGCTCGATAAGACGTGTTGCCCTCAGGATTGATGTGTGTTGAAATATTAAGGGTATTTGACACCTCTATTTAATGTATCTTTATGTCCCCCAATTTAATATACATCTCGTTATAAGCGACAATTTTTAAGGCCCCAAGCAGGGATCGATCGAATTCCGATTTTAGAAAATTTAGGCTGATTTCCGATTTCTGACTTTTGAGCCGTTTCCGATTTCTGACAGTTCCGATTTCCGTTACCTTCGTCATTTCCGATCGACCCCTGATTCTAAGCGTGTTTCTTACAATGAGTTATTTTAATATTATTTTGGGTGTATTTTTAATTTTTTAACTAAACAAAGGACATTTTTATTTATTATTTTTCTTCCTTTAAAAATAAATCCAAAAATAAATAATATTTTTTGAGACAATCAATTTAAGCCCCAAAAAAACAGTAAAATTACCTTGTATTTTTTTGTTTAAAAATTTTTTTTTCCAAAAAAAATCTATTTTTAGTGTTTAAGTCTATCCCTGTCTGTGTGTGTGTCTCTTTTGTTTTTAAAAAATAAAAAAAAAATTTTCAACGTGAATTACATAAATAAATATACAAATCCCCCCTGTCTGTTTATTTTGTTAATATTTTTAAATATTTTTTTTTCACAAATTTTATTTCACAGTCAATTCTTATTTATTTCAAAGCTCGATAATACGTCATTTTAGGGAGACTTGATTCTCTGTTGTCGTATTAATGAGAGAGAAAAACGTATCGAGATTATGTATCCCCCACATGTATACATCAGGAAAAGGACTGGTCGAGAAAAATGTCGGACCGGATTTCGGATGGATTTGATAACCGTCCCATCCCTGATACACACCACTATTTAGTGGACATTGGGCTCGCGGTACATCGGGGTGTACCCCTCCCAGTGTGTTATTATAACTAGGTTTTCGTCTATATTTTTAATTTTTTGTTTTATTTTTGTAAAATTTAATACTTAGGTAATGTAAATTAATTTTTATTTTTAGAAAAAAAATTAATTTAAATTAATTTTGAGGTTGATTAAATTACGGAAAAATTATTTTTTTTCACTAATTAAATTAAAACATTAAAAATACTATTTTTATATATGTAGGTAAATTTAAAAATTTATTTCAGTCTTTTTCTCATTTAATATTTTAAATAAAAAAATATAAAATCAACGCTCGTTATAATATTTTTCAACCTTTGAAAAATCATACCTTATAAGGATATTAGAGATGTCTGTCCGCAATTGAAGAAAATGCCGAACCGCATTTGCGGAGTTTAAAATCTGCAAATGCAATTTTAAAATTCGCAAGTCAAAAAATATGTAATTTTACGCAACCCGCAATAATAGCGGACAGCCCTAATAATACCCTCTATATTGGAGGTTTCTTAAATCTCCGCTTTAGTTTACACCTTATTATAAGTGCGGGTTTTTCAACCTTTAGATTCTAAAATTATTTACTATAACGAGCTTTAATTTTTCAAAATAAATCTGTGTGTGTCTCTTTCTCTCCTTTATACGTGGATTCAATTTGATCCCTCAGTCAAATTTAACTTTTTAAATTTTAATTTTTTAAAAATTATTTATATAAAGTACACAAACATTTTAAAAGCTAAATAACTATTAAAAAAATTTAAAATTAAAATATTTATTCAGATTTTTTTTTTGTTTAATTTTAAAAATACCTAAGTAAAGTTTAAATTTATTTATTTAGTTTTTATATGTGTCTAAAAATAATTAAAGTACAAAAGTATTTAAATAATTTTTTTTTAATTTTTTTTCTCTTATACATACATATATTTTTTTTATTTTTTTTTAATAGTCCATATTTTTTTACAATTTTTTTCTCTCATTTTTATAGATTATTTTTAGTAATTTTTTAGAAAAAAAATTTTAAATTAAAAAATGGTCTTCATAAATTCTTGTTTTGGCGATAATAAAATAACATTAAACAATTTATTTATTCGAATATCTTCTCTATTACAAAATAATAATTCTAAAAAATCTTCCAAATCTTCCCTCAAAAAATTTGAAAAAAAATTGACTAAACGGGAAAAAGTTTTTCAAAAATGGTTTTTTAATTTTTTTTTAAATTAAATTTAAGGTTTTTCCCTACAAAATATAGTGGCCTTCTTGAGGCCATATTTTGGACCATAACTTTTCTAATTCTCAACGGATTTAAATAATTTTTGTGTCAATCGAAAGCCCTTGATCTGAGGATTATTTTATCTAAAAGGAGCGATTTTGTCAGATTATCCTACAAAAAGTTGGAGCCTGATAAAACCCAAAAATAACGATTACGCGTGCTTATTCAACTGTTACTTTTTGTAGAATGATCTGATCAAATAACTTTTGCTAGCTAAAATAATCCTCAGATTAAGGGCTTTCGATTGATATGAAAAATATTTAAATCGGTTTAGAATGAAAAAAAGTTATGACCGAAAATATGGGTGTGAAATGGCTGACTTAATAGAGCTTCACCGAAAGTTCCGGAGTTTTTTTGTTTCGGTTCCGGTTTGCTTGTAAAGTTGCGGTTTCGGTGAAGCACTAATACGTAAGCATCCCCTACCCTAACTCTTAGCTAGTTCCTTCAATTTAAAATTGGTTATTTTTCCAGTTCGGAAAGCAACATCCTCGGGGAAGACGAAGACGAATTTGAAGGTTTTGAATTATCCGATTTAAAAACAATTACAACCCTTGGAATTGGTGGATTTGGACGTGTAAATCTAGTCAGGCATATTGATAGAGACAAAGTTTATGCTCTCAAAATTTTGAATAAACAACATGTCAAAAATAAAAATCAGGCAAGTTTTGAGAGAGAAAATAGTAGAAAAATCAGTCTCGAGGTCATATTTTGGATTATAACTTTTTTGATTCTAAACCGATTTAGATGATTATTATATCAATCGAAAGCTCAGGATGTGAGGATTATTTTAGCCAACAGGGTTGATTTGATTGGATCATCCTACAAAAAGTTAGAGCCGTTTAAGTGAGCGCAATCGTGATTTTTGGTCTTTATTTGGCTATAACTCTTTGTAAGATGGTCTGATCAAATCAATCCTGTTAGATAAAATAATCTCCATATCCAGAGCTTTCGATTAATATAAAAATTATTCAAATCGGTTACGAATCAACAAAGTTATGGCCTCTTACCGTCAAAAAAGGGAATGTAAAAAAGCATTGTCCCGGTAGCTCAGTCGGGTAAGCTCCTGCAAAAGGGTACCAGGTTCGATGCCTACTCGGGGAAAAATTTTTTTCTTCTCTTTTTTGCTTAGAAAATTGTTTTTAGATCGAACACGTTCAAAATGAAAGAGCAATTTTACTGGAATGTCATTGCGATTTTATAATTAGACTGCACAAAACTTTTAGAGATTCAGAACGTGTTTATATGTTAATGGAGTATTGTCCTGGGGGTGATTTGTGGACTGTTTTGAGAAGTTTTTTGCGTTTAGATGAAAAGAAGGCTAGATATTATTGTGCTGCTGCTTTGGAGGCTTTTGATTATTTGCATAAACGCTTAATTATATATAGGTAGGTTTTTGTGATGCTCGTTATAAGATACACCCTTGGGGGAATTGTCTCTTATAATGAGAGGTGACTCTTAAATAGAGGATATATAGCTCTGGCAACTTTCACCGCCCAGTAGCCAATCAAATTTTAAAAAGCGTCTCTTACCTGGGGTATCTCCAAATTCTGCCAAGTTCATATCCTTCCCATTAACATACCCCTTATTTTTAATATAGTACACCTTCATTATAAGAGGCAACTTTTTTTTTTCAAGCCAACAAAGGGGGTAGCTTATAGAGATCGAGCTGGGTCCGGAACAAGGCCTGGGTTTTTCCTGTACCCAGAGTCCAGGCCTGGGCATTTTTTGATCTTCCTAGGTCTATCCTGGACTACAGGCCCAAGACCTGATCCAGGCTTTTCAAAAATCTCGATCTCTACTAGTTTATAATTAGATTTTATTTTTAAAAAATGAAAATTTCTTTATTTTTCAGAGACCTAAAGCCAGAAAATATGTTGTTAGATATTAATGGAATACCCAAATTGGTAGATTTTGGTTTTGCCAAAAGATTGCCTTCAGAAATGGATAGAGCTTGGACATTTTGTGGAACTACTGTAAAATATTCTGAAAATTTTTTGAAAGAAAAAATTATTTCTTTAAAGGAATATGTTGCCCCCGAAGTTATTTTGGGAGAAGGGCAAGATTCAGGAGTAGATATTTGGTCGTTGGGAATTTTTCTTTATGAAATGTTGACGGGAAGTCCTCCTTTTGCTGCTTCTGAGCCTATGTTGACGTGAGATTTTTTTTGAAATTTTTTTGAAATTTTTTTGAAAGTTTTTATGAAGGCCATTATAATTAGACTCGAAAATCTATCTAGACCTCGGTTGTATGTACACCCAACTTTATATAAACTCTCTATTCTACGGACACCTTAAATTGGTTGGTAGCCTAAGGGGAGAGCTGTTTAGGTTATAACCTCGCTTTTACGTACCCTTTGGTTATACATACACTTCATTCACCCCCAAAGTGTATACCCATAACTGAATTTTCTTACTGTAATACAGTAATCTTTTTTTCAGTTACGGTGCAATAATAAAAGGTGTTCAAAATTTGTCTTGGCCTCGTTACATAAGTGATAATTCCCGTCTTTTAATTTTCAAACTTTGCCGGAAAAATGCTACCCAAAGATTGGGTTATGGACATTTTGATGATTTACGTAAAGACATTTGGTAGGCAAAGAAAAAAATTTTTGAAAATTTTTTAAAAATTTTTTAAAGGTTCGAAGGCTTCGATTTTACTTCTTTTCGTAATCATTCAATGCGCCCTCCTATCAGACCAAAAGTTTTAAGTCTAACAGATACTCGCAACTTTGATCGTTTTTCTTCTACGGATGATTTTGCTTGTGGGTCAGACGATGATGGGTGGGATGAGGATTTTTAAAAAGAAATTTTTATATGCCTTTTTTCATATCTAGTCGGACCTCAATATAAGATACACTTTTAGGTAACAAATAGTCCCTTATAAAGAGTTGTACATTAAATAGAGGGATAATCTCAGTATAAGAGACACTTAAAGGGGTGTACCTTAGTGGAGGATATATAGTATCGAGGGTATTTTATAATGAGGTGTACTAAATAGGGGTCATTGGAGGTCTCTTATAAAGAGGTGTATCTTAAATAGAGGGTAAACCTAATTATAAGATACTCCATCGAAATTCGTATCCTATAACAAGGTGTACCTTAAATAGAGGGTATATAATATCGGGAGTATCTTATAAAGAGGTGTATTTTATATAGAGGTCCGACTTTTTCATAATCCCATTTTTTTATTTTTTCAAATATTTCTTTGCACTTCTCAAGGATTGTTTATGTGCGCGACTTTCATTTTTTAATACAAATTTTCAGTTTAATTTTTTTTTCTAAAAATTAAAACCTGTCTCTTATAGAGAATAAATAAAATAAATTTACTTTGTTTAAAAAAATTCTGAGTAAAAAATGCAAATTTAATAATACCGTATTCCTTTGGAATGAGGATTATTGTAATTCACTAGTTTGATTACCGTATTTTCCAGGTATTGGGGTTACTGTAGTTAAGGAAATACGGTATTTTTTCTTATTAAAAAGTGATTTTTTGATGATAAAGTGATAAAAGAATGAAAAGGGTGGCAGGGTAAAATTAAATATTAAATATAAAAAAATTATGTTTGAAATGACTCGAAATTAAGAAAAAAATATATATTATAAGGGGGGGGGGTCTTTAAATAAAAATATTATTTTAATTTTGAAAATACAGTTGAACCTCACTATTAGGGTTGGGGGCCCGATCCGGCCCGGTCCGAAAGATCGAGTCGGGCCTCGAATTTTGGCCCGAAAAAGACTCGGTCGGGCTGGCCCGACTCGAAAACCCCAACCCTACTCACTATGTATAAGATACCTCATGTAAATAGGAGTAGTCCCTTATAGCGAGTGAATATTAGATAGAGACGGTCTTAAGCTTAGCTTTGCGAACGTCTCTTAAATAGAGGTTTATCTGAAGGTTCTTATAATGAGGATTCTACTGTATTTCTTAAATATATATCTCTAAACCCAACTATCTATAGATTGCCTTCTTTGTTGTTTTTGTAAATTTTCGTTATTTTTTTGAACAGAAGAATATAATTGATCTATTGGAGGCTTTAAAATTAAATAAAAATTTTAAATAAAAAATTATTTAAAATACTTTTTGAAAGTTATTATTATTTCTTTGATTATTAAATTGTGGAGGTGTTTGTCTAATTAATTGTTGCTGTTGTTGTTGAATTAGAGAGGATTGGTATGGACTGACAGAAACCTTTGTTGTAATAATTGAAAATTAAATTTAAAAAAGTTTTGACACCACTATAAGATACACTCCCTTTAGGGGTTAAAATATTTGTCGCTTATAACGAAGTGTTTGTTAAATAGCAGGTATCTTTTAGTCAGTTGCTAATACCCAGTGGCTAACAAGTTAAGAAACGTCTGTTAAATAGAAGTGTATCTAGTGAGGTGTGTAAGTGCTGTGGAGGTTTATACAGGGACTAGAAAGGGAGGGGGGCAGTAAAGCAGAGGGATAAGGCAGGATAAAGCAGTCACCAACTGCCGCCAGGCATCGAACCTGATTCTCGCGTTAAGTACAAATCGGGGGTGTTTACCACTACACCACGGTAATTCCGTTTGTCGCTTAAACGGGATTCCCGTAAAGCCCGTCCCGTGCCGCACTCTAATCCACATAAAGCTCGGATTAAAATTTAAAAATCCCCTTATTAATCTCCACCTATAAAAGCACCAAATCCAAAACTTAAAACAACTCCAACCAACAAAACATCGCTTCACTTCTCTCCAATATTCGTGATGGGTCTCTCCTTCGCCTTGTTTTCTCTTCACGAAGCCTATTACCCGTCTCTTCTGTTGCCGCTTCTGATTATTTCAACGGTCTTGCTCGTCAAATGCGCTAAGAAGAAGAAAGCGAACCAGGCCACCGCAATGACTGTGAAAGCGAAACGACGTAATCTTTTTTCTTTTGACTTTAAAAAAAGAATTTATTTATTTTTTCAAGCTCCTCCAAGGATTCAAGAAGAAAAACCAAGAAAGGAAGGCGTTGCCGCTGTCAAGGACTATCAAACATTGGGCAATCTGGATGCAAATATCTTCCTAAAAGAGCAAAAGAAAAAGGGTGGCGGCGGCAAGACGCCTGAGGCTAAAGACAAAACAGCGGTCGAGAAAACGAAGGAAGGAGCTGATAAAAAGGATGATTCTAAGGACAAAAAGGATCCTAAGGTGCTTTTCAGACCTTTAATTCCTTCAAAAAATAATTCAAAATTTTTAACAGGCTGACAAAACCGAAGCAGCGGGGAAGGATGGAGACAAACAACCTGAAAAAACGGCTATGGTCAAAACCCAAACGCCTCCTGTCCCGGCGGATAAGAAGGAAGCGCCTGCTGCTGCAACAGACAAACCACCAGCGGCTGAGAAACCGGCGGATGACAAAAAGGAAAAGGGAGGAGAGGAGGAAAAGAAGTCGAGTGCGCCGCCGCCGCCTGCTGCTGCTGAAGATCAAGGAGGAGATAACTATGAGACGTTGAATGAACTTGAGAACCCTAAATAAATTGTAGATTCAAAAGGATATATATAAAAAGAAATTTGTGATATATATGTGTATATAATGCTGTTGAGTAAATATATAATGTTGTTAAGTAAAAATTGTTCTTTTCCTGATTGTTAATTACTTGTTGAACCTAACTTATTGGCACATTCTTGGAGTTAAAAAATGGTATCTTGTAGTGGGGTGTGCTTTAAATAGAGGATATCACTTAGGCAACTACCCCATCCAAGAAGCAACAAAATCTTAAAGAGCGTAAAGAGCGTCATAAGATGTTTCAAAAAATAGAGTCCTCCCACCAAATGACTATCAAAAATTTTAGAAAAGCATAGGAGGGTATCTAGTTTGAAAGTATCTTATAGTGATGTCATGGAGTATACACTGTACAAATTTAAAATTTTTTTTATTACCGATTTAGACGTTGGAGTATTATTGAGAGTTTCATAATTATTGTTGTTTGTTTGTTGTGTTAATAATAAATTTGTAGGTCGCTCCATTCCCTTTAAATTAAAAAAATTTAATTAAAAATTAATTTTTCTAGGAGGTGGGCCGTTAAGGCGCAAGGTTTCAGTAAGGCGCGAGGAGTCGCTAGTACTCTCAGGCTTATAAAATAGTCAAAATATTAGCTAAAAAATAAAAATTTTTTATAAAATAATCCTCATATGTCTATCTACCCTCTCCAAAAATTTCAAAATTTTTGGACATATAATTAGTGAATTATGCCTAAAAACGTGCCAATTTACCAAGAATTCACAAGTTTTACGAAGTTAATCGATCATAACTTTGAAAATATTTGAAGCAAAATTCTGAAATTTCTGAAGGTGTTAGGCTAAGACGTAAACAGAAATTTGGTAAAAATTTCGAAAAATTTGGTTTAGGCCAAATGCATTTTTTAAGGTGCACGCCAAAACGTTCTCGCGCCGAAACGACCCGAAAATTTTTAAAAATTTTTTTAAAAAATTTTCTACTTGAGAAGAGAATGGTCTAGCTAAAGTAGTAGTTAAAGAAGAAGGTGAATAATGTTGTTGTTGTTGTTTAGAAGAAATAATTTCTTTACTTGTTGATCTCGATTTATTTAAACTTGAAGTAGTTGTTCCACTATAAAAATCAGATTCTTCCAAACCAGATTCTTTAAATAATTCGTGTAATTCTTTGTGTTGCCACATCATATATAAAACCTTTTTTTTTGAAATTTTAAATAAGGAAGATTTTTTTGGTCGAAAAAACCTGAGTTGCATATTTACACGTTTTACGTCCATATATGGGATATGATTTAGCTAATGCTCGTAGCCGTTCAGTTCCCTTTAAAAAATATTTAAATTTAAAAAGAAGATCAGGATTTAAAATAGAAGGTTTGGGAAACCTTACAATTATGATGAGGTACCCTCAGGCATTTTTCGATCCGAAACCGGATTCAAAAAAATTTTGGAACCTAAACCGAAATTTCTTATTTTTTCTCAACAAGAACCATCACTCATAGAATGGTTAATTTAAAAAAAAATTTCGGAAAATTTCGGATTTTTCAAAATATCGATTCGAAATTTCGAATTTTTCGAAATTTCGGATTTTTTCGAAAAATTTCGAGTATCTTTCTTAATCCGAAACTTTATCCCAAGATTTTTGAATGCCAGATATCTTACTAGAACCACATCTTAATGTGTCTTTGCTTTGAAAATTTTTCAAAGCATAGTTTATAGAGCCGTGCGATGGCTAATCGATGCTAATAGGCCTAATTTTTTCTTGCCAACAAAAATTTTCAAAATTTTGAAAAAAAACAAAAAGCGTTATACACACACCTCAATAGTTGAATGTACTAATTTAGCCATTTCACTATTTAATCTAACAATTTCCCAAAGAATTCCTAAAATTGCATTTAATGTTGAATCTGAAGGGATTTGTTGTTGTTGTTGTTTTTGTAGTTGTTCTTTAATTAATTCTAATTCTTGATAAGTTGGAATTTTTATTAAAATATCAGACAAGGCAAATTTTCCAATTAATTCTAAATTGCGCTACAAAAAAGTGAAAAATTATTTTTATTTTTTAATTTAATTTTCAACAACAGTCAAACTTCATTATAAGATACCACTTAATTATAAGAAAAACACCTCTATTTAAGAGAGGATTCTTAAATTTGGTCTGCTACTGGGTAGAAGAGGAGTAGTGCTTGGACGCTCGTACCAAAATTCCTACTCACTCGTACTTGGTACGAAGTACGAGGTCAAAAATGTAGGTGGTACGAGGTACGAGTACGAGCAAATTTGAAATTTCCAAGCACGGTTTGGAGCTACCTAAGCCCCTTATTCAAAATAAACCTCTATTTAAAATAACCCCCGTTATAAGAAACCTCTCATTTTAAAATACGATTTTTTCACAATTTATTCACTCCCCCTAACAAATAAGTCAAGAGATTTTTAATTGCTCGCTCTTCTTTCAACGTACCTCTCTATTTAAGATACCTATCATTATAAGAGACATGTTATTAATCTAGAGGGAACAAGTGTGGAGTCAACTGAACATTTACTGTGATACCTCTAAGTAAGATCACTCCCATTATAAGAGACTCTCTATTTAAAATACCCCTCATTATAAGAGACTCTATTTAAAAACCCTCTCATTATAAGAGACTCTCTATTTAAAATCCACCTCATTATAAGAGACAATTAAAGCCCTAAGGGTTTATAATGAAGTTTGACTGCATAGTGGTTTTAATTACTTTATCCAAAGCCAAATTCCTCAAAGCACAGCAAACAGCACAAACTACCCTATCTTCTCTCAGACGAAGTAATTCAACAAGTATAGGTAAACCCTTTTCTATCCTAACAGTTTCTCGAACTAATAAAGACCCATAAAAAGGGCAACCAGCCAAATTTTGTATTGCTGCAGCTGAAGCTTCTAAAATTTCACAATTGGCAGATTCTTCCAAAATTTTTAAATATAAACGAATTGTTGAAGGATTCCAAAGTAATTGTGGACCCTTTAAAAATTTTTCTAAATTTGAAAAAAAAATTTTTTTCCCCATACTGATATTGATGTTGCAACATTTTCATTATTATTGTTACTGTTAGAAAGCTCAATTTCTGATTTTTTTCTTCTTCTACTAAAAAATTTTCCTCCTTTCTTGTTTGGTGTAATATCTAATTTTGGACTTCCAGAAGGTGCTGATTTACTTCTTTCTTAAAAATATATTGAAATAATATTGTTATTAAAATTAAGGGTACACCTCCACAGAGTTTCAGGTTCAGCTGAATCCCAACCCTTATATAATTCATAAATGGATGATCATTAAAGATCGGTATTTCCAAAAATCCTGGATCATTATCCAGAAAAAATCCAGGACGATCAAAAAATGCCTGGATCTGGACTCTGGATCCAGGAAAAATCTAGACTGAATCTGGATTCAGACCGCTCTCCAATGGCCATTTTCAAAAATCCTGGAGATACCAGGAAAAACATAGAGAATTAAATAGAGAATTAAATAGACAACAGAATACCAAAAAATCAAAATTCCTAACTGATCGATAAAAGAGTTGTATGATCTATAAAAGTTTGGAAAAATCCCATTTTCTTAAAAAATTTAGATTTTCGATCATAGCTTTTTTATCAATCAGTCGGCCAATTTCGATTCTCTAGTATCTTAAAGTCCATTCAATTCTCTATCCATTGGTACCAAGAACGTTAAAAACTATCCACCCCTTCTTGAGTTATAGAGCCGTGACTCAGCCGAACTTCTCCAAAAATTATAATTAATTTTACCATTAGAACGAGGAGATAATTGTCCTCCATTAATTACATTCTCCTTTTCTTTCATCATTGAATATTTAATTTTATTTGGGTCGTATTTACTATCAACAACTTCCTGTATTCTATAACTTAAATTTCTTAATAAACAAATAACATTTTCACAACTTCGAGTATCTAATTGATTTTTTAAGGTTGCAAAATGTAAAAAATTTAAAAGTGTTTCGACTAATCCGGGTGTTGAACGAAGAAAACGGCGAGACTATAAAGATTAAAAAATTTTTTATAATTGAAATCCCTCCCAAAAATATATCCGATAATGTCGCTTAAATCAGGGATGGGCAGCAAAATGAAAAAAAAATTTCCGCAGTCACCATTTTAATTTTAAAATACGCAGCTGCAATATATAAAACCCGGAACAGCGTGCAACCCTAGTCAGCTTAAAAAAATTTACAAGAATAAACGAAAAACGCCAAAAAATTTTTTTTCTTATATGGGTTTATTTTAAAAATTAAATAATTAATTACTCGATCATTAACAGCAGAAATATTTCTCAAAATTCCAGTTCCATTTCTAAAAACAATAGCTACAGGATTACGATTAATTTGAATAGAAGAACTAGTAGGTTGCTGTTGTTGTTGGTTGGATAGTATTTCCCAAGAAGGAAGCCTTTAAAAAATTTCTTTTTAATTTTCAAAAAAAAATTTTTTTAATTAAAAATCTTTCAAAAATTTTCAGAAATTCTCGAAAAAAATTTAAAAAAAAAATCAAAATTTTTGTAAAATTTCGGAAATTTTCAAAAAAATTTAAAAAAATTTTTTGAAAATTTTTTTTGAAAAATTTTCAGAAATTTCAAAAAAATTTTTGAAATTTAAAAAAATTTTACACAGCATGTCTAATAACAGCTTCGGCTGTTTGATTTAATATAGGTTCTTTTAATTCATCTGCCGAAGATATATTCCATAAAGCACCTGTAGCTTCTTCATGAACAAGTGAATTTTGACAAGTTTTTAATAGTTGAGCAAGTGACTGAAAAAAAATTTAAAAAAAAATTTTTTAAAGAAAATATTTTAAGAGGAAATACAAATTTTCATTATAATACTAGAGAGCTGGACCTGGACCAAGGCCTGGTTTTTCCTGTGCCCAGAATCCAGGCCCAGGCATTTTTTACCTTCCTGGGGTTTTCCTGGGCCTGGGTTTTTCCTGGACTACAGGCCCAGGTCGATAAATCAAACCCAGGAACAGGCCCAGGCTTTTCAGAAATCTCGATCTCCATAAGATACCCACATAGGGTTGAAAATTGTCTCTAATAATCTTTCACCTAAATGAGAGAGTAATCGCTTAGACAACTAACAACTTATACTCTCCCATCATGGGAGTGCCTTAAGGTTATGATTCCTACGCAAAAATTCCTCAAAAAATAATTCTTTTCTACCTTTAACCCATTCTTTTGATAAATTAATCTTTTATTTGCATCATTCAATTTGCCAAAAGCTAAATTTTTTAGACAACCACAAACATTACGTAAAATTTCTTGATTTGAAGAATTTAATAAATTAATTAAACATTCAATGCCTCCTTTAAATTAAAAAAAAATTTTTCAAAAAAAAATTTCAAAAATTCGGAAAATTTTTTTAATTTCTTTAAAAAAAATTATAAAAAATTTTCAACCATTTATTTCTCTAATTTACCATAATTTCTAGTTTCTTCTTTAATTAAATCATTATTAAACGTCAAATGTTGTAAATAACCAGAAGCATCCAAAACTAAATTTGGATCAGGACTTTTTAAATAATCTATAACTTCTTTTAATGTTGGATCTCTCCATTGTAATGAAGATTCTGATTGGCGATATATTGGTGGAGGAGAATCTTTGAAAAAAAATGAAAATCTTTTAAATAAATTTTCACATTTTTCCCCCAAAATTTTTTAAAATAAAGCCGAATCTCATTATAAACAATCCTCTGTGCTAGGCACCCCCAGGCTTTTTAAAAGTTGGTTGGCCATTAAGAATAGGGAAAACTGACAAAAATCGGTACCCTCTAGTTAATATACACCTCATTATAAAGACACTCTCATTATAAGATACCCCCTGTACTTGATACTAGAGACAGGACTTGAAGTGTCGTGCGAGAATCGGGATCTAGAAAAAAATCTCTACCTCGATACCAAGAAATTTGATCGAGATCTCGTCTCAGTCCGATCTCTACTAGGGACACCTCTATAGAATAGATGCTCATCAAAATTTTGGTAGTCACTGAATGAGGGAATCTCTGCCTAAGCAATAGCCGCCCTATATTTAAGACAGGCTTCATTATAAGGTACTATATTTCAACCAGGGGTCGGTCGGAAATGACGAAAGTGTCGGAAATCGGAAATCAGCCTAAATTTTCGGAAATCGGAAGTCGGAATTTCGACCGACACCTGATTACAACCCCAAGGATCTATCTCATAACAAGGTCCAACTGTTTTTATCCTTCAACAAAATTTTTTTTCTTTATTTCTACCATCTCTATCAGGCAATGGAGGTGATTCTCTAACGAACATTTCTTCCATTAAAGGTATTAAATTATTTTTAGTTGTTTCCTTCGATCCTCCCTGATTCCCTACTCCTCCAATAGTAACAAGAGGAGAAGGATCTGAAGGTTGTGAAAGGCCAACAGAATTTCTTGCCAAAATTCGAAATTGATATTGATGTCCACATAAAAGTGATCCAATACTTGTTTTGCATGTTTTAATTAATGAATCTGTTGTTAAGCGATACCAATTGGATGCATCTTGCATTGGATCACGAAATTCAATTTCGTAACCTTGAACGGGAAGTGAACTTTTTGCTGGTTGCCAACAAAGTGTTAAACTTGTTGGGAAAAATTCTATAAAAAATAAAAAAATTATTTATGATAAATTATAGTTGACCTACATATAAGAGACTTCCTCGGATCTAAAAATTGTCTTTTATAATGAGGTGTTCATTAAAATAGGGGATATTGCTTAAGCAGCTCCAAAAACCAATGGCTCCTAGAGGTGTGTTTAATATTGAAGTATCTTAAATAGAGGTTTATCTAATGTTGGGTGTATCATATAATCAAACCTCGTTATAAGATACTCCCAATACTTGATACACCTCCATTTAAGAGACGCTCTTTAAAAATTTTTGGCCACTGAGTGGGAGTCCGTTAAGCAATACCTTCTATTTAATAAACACCTCATTATAAAAGACAAATTTTATCAGCCTCAGGGGAGTCTCTTATGACGAAAGTTAAAAATTTATTTTCATACCAAGATATTCAGGCGCTGAAGGTCTTTCAGGCACTTTTTTGTTATTCAAAGTTTGGCTAGTTAAAGGAGGTAATTTTGGCTGCCAATCATTTTGTGAATTTAACAAATTAATAGGTTCAGAAATTGGTGAAGGCAAAGAAGAATGTAATCCATTATTTAAAGAAATTGACCAAATTCTAAATTCATATTTAAATTCTGATGATAAATTATCCACTGAAAAATAAAAATTTTTTAATTTGGCAGAAAATTGTTATCAATTTTTTGAAATAAAATTTTGATTGAAAAAAAAAGATGGAAGAATTAAGAGAAAAAATAAAAAAAATAAATATTTACTTATATAAATTTACAGTGATATGGGTAAAAGAAAGAAAAACAAAAACTGGAAATGATAAAAAATAAAAAAGCAACAGCAAACAAAAATATAAAGATTATTATTTGATTTTTAAGCCAAAAAATTATTTTCTAAAAATTAATTTTTAAAAATTAATTTTAAAAAATAAAAAAGAGGAATAATAATTCTAGGAGAACTTCTATGATACGGAGATTTCAGAACCAAAAATTTCTTGCATATTTGGGTCCATGATATAAAAACGTGTGATTGCTGGTTAAATTGCTAAGAAAAAGCCACATTTTATTGGGACTAATTATAAGACAACCAATTTTACATTGTAGTTTTAAATGATGTCGTTTAATCCCTTCCTTTTAGTATAAAGGTCCGGATATTTTATTTTAAAAATTTATTCAATAAATTAAATATATTTTGTCCTTTGGTGATCGTAAATATATTATGTTAATGTATTTTTATCAAAAACAATTTTCTATTTATGCGAGAGACTTTCCCCAAACGTATAGAGATTAAAAGGGTTTTGCGCAGTGTACATAGAGTAAACACCCCATCAACAATATGAAAAAAAAAAGATAAATCGAGATTTATATTCAATGTTTCAACGTTAAAAGTTTTCTACTATTTTTATTTTCTCAAGGTTTTTCTCTCTGCTACTAAATTTAGATTTGTTTTCTCCTTATTTTTTTTCTAATTTTATCCCCCAAAATACATTAACATAAATATCCATTAGTGCGCGAGATTAATTAATTAATTAAATAGTTAATTGATAAAAAGAACGATGTTTTAAAATTAAAATATTATAAAGTTTATACAGTCAAATCTCAATTGCATGTAAATTCCCATTTAGGGGACACCTCTATTTTATGGATATCCATAAATCCTTCCGGTGGGAAGATATAATTGAGATATAATTGAGATCCGATTTGTCGAACCTCCACCTCTATTTAAGAGACGTTTTTTAAAAGTTGGTTGGCCAAAGGATGGAGGAAGTTGTCTAAGCGATATTCAACATTCAATGTTATTTTATAAAAAAGGCTATTTTCTGGACCAATCTTATAATGAGGCTTGACTGTATTTTTTCTATTCAATTTATTAAAAAAAGACCCTACCAACAAAATGATCATTAATAGTCGTGTAATTTAACATTCCCTGTCCTGTTGCTGTTCTATCAAATAATTGTTTCCAACCAGAATTACCAACACCAAATTCACGTATTTCTATTAAATATGCCAAATTTGAATCAAAAGGTGAAGAAAAAGAAGAAATATCATAAGAAGTAGAAGGGATTGGAGTATCCCAATGTAAATGAATCCAATTTGAGCCAGATTCTAATACCTTTAAATTTATTTTATTTAAATAGCTATGAATGAGAGACGTTATATTTTTGATCATTTTTCCCTAAATTTTTATTTTCCTAAATAGGTCATTCATGGATTACTGTTTCATGAACCAACCTAGGTCAGTGAAACTGACTTACAATCAGACCTTTTCTATACGCAGATCCCAGTCATTTTTAGACTTCCTAGTCTTTTAATGGACACACCAGGCTCTGGATTCAACCCAGAATTAATGAAACTAGACCCTGCTCTACACGATGGTGCAAGAAAAAGTACAAAATCTTTAGTTACAGTTCAAGATGCTTCCTTGTTAGAGTTCAGGCCAGGAATGGGCCGGGGGTACTTATCCCTTATACCACACCTCCTCAAAGTAGTGTCCAAAATGTCATATATGGGGTAATAAAGGGTGCTAATCACGATTATGGTGTTTATTTCTCAATATAAGAACCCCCTCACCCATAAATTGTCATGGTTCATAATGGTCAAACTTCAAGTTTTTATTTAAATAAATATATAGGTATGAGCAATATTAATGCACTAATATTTAATATTTATTTTCTGTGTGATTATTGGTCGTTTAATGAGTATATAAACGATTTCATTCATTTGAACCCATAATAATAAAAATAAATAAAAAATGCCCTATAATTACGACACACTAATGGGGGGATGTCCTGATGAATTAAACGCTGCAAAATTTTTTCAAAATTGCGGTTTGCTTCATACTGAACGTTTCTGCCATTGTGGTAGTCAAATGCGTCCAAACTTGAAGTTTGACCATTATGAACCATGACAATTTATGGGTGAGGGGGTTCTTATATTGAGAAATAAACACCATAATCGTGATCAGCACCCTTTATTACCCCATATATCACATTTTGGACACTACTTTGAAAGGGTGTGGTATAAGGGATAAGTACCGGGCCGGGTTAAGAAAAAAGACGGGCCCGGTCTGGGTTTCAACATTTTCTTTGGATCGTAACCCGCAATATCTCCTACTCATAATTAACTTTATATTATTTAACAAAAAATATCAACTTAAAAAAACCTTTGGTTTTCCAGGCGGTTCGGGTGCTGCCAAATCCTTCGATTTTAAATTTTGTGAAGAAATTTTTCCATTTCGAAGAGGAGCAGGTGGACGAATACGAATAAAACCAGATGAAGGACTGGTTGAATTTTTGCCATTTTCGTCTAAACAAATTATTCGAAATTCATATTCTCCGTTTGGACGTAAATTGGCAACTTTAAAAAAAAATTAAAATTCATCTTACAATTAAAAACCTTTAAATTTATTTTCTTTAGTAGGTGAGTTAATAGCATTAATCCAATTTAATGTATTTATTTCTCTATATTGTACCTATAATTTTAGAAAAATTTTAATATTTTAAAATTTTTTATTTTGCGGATAAAATTTGCGGACAAATTGTATTTATTATTAGTAGGGTGGGGCCCGGTCTTGTCTGAAAGATGTGTGTCGGACATCGAATTTTGGCCCGAAAAAGACTCGGTCGGTCAGGTCCGATAAAAATCAGGCACGAAAAAATGACTCGAAAAATGCGGCCTAACTCGAAATTAGAAATGATTGACCAGCGATTTTGAAACATTTACCCTTCTCAGATAATGGAATAATAGAAAAAATTAAACAACTGTCCGCAAATACGTACAAATCTTTCCAGAATTTAATTACCAAATATTTATAATTTCCCTCTGTCAAATTTTTCCATTCAATTGTTGCATTGTCTGTTCCTATATTTATTATTTGAGGTTGACTAGGTGGTGGAGGTGGATATTGAGCTATATTTAAATTTGAAAATATAATCTGATTATTTTTTCTCTCATTTTAAAAATACTTTCATATTATGTAGATAACCCCGCATAGGAAATAGTGTGAATGGAACATTGGGGAGTCTGAAGGGAACATTGGGGAGTCTGAAGGGAACGTGGAAGTAGTGTGAATGGAACATCGAGGAGTCTGAAGGGAACGTGAGGGTAGTAGTCTGAAGAGAACCAAAAAAACTAAAAGGAAGTAGTATGAAGGGTTGAGGGTAGAGGACCCTCGACCTCTTTATAAGATTTACCCAAAGGGTACCGTGTAACGAGGTCTTACTAAAATACAAAAATTTATTCCTTTTTTACCTTCAGTTCCAAATTGAGTACTTTCTGGGCGTAAACGAATCGCTGGACATGCCTCAGACGGAATTCCAAATCCAGCCATATTAGCCCCAACAACTCGAAATTGATAATGATCTTCTGGGTCCAAATTGGTAACTTTAAAAATAAAAAAAATTAAATTTCAATTTTCCCTTACAACAATAATTTGAACAACTCAAAGTCTCAAAACTTTTTCTTTCTTTAAAAAATTGTTTATTATTATTATTATTCCCGTAATAATCAAAAGATTCTAAAGAATATTTAAATTCTTCAAATCTCATCATTTTAAAAAATATAAATTTTATTTGTTGTTTTATTTAAGATATTTTTGTGATTTATAAATCTTAAAAAATAAAAAGAGAATAGAAAAAAATTTTAAAATTAATAGAGAAGGTAAGAGCAGACTTGGTAATATGGACATGGATTTTGGTATCCGTATCCGGATATTTACGGCGGATACGGATGGATACCCGCAGGCTGTTTTGAAATTATCTGTATTCATATGAGAGAAATACCTTGAGAAATAAATAATTTACATGTAAGAGAAATACCTTCTAAGTAAGATACCTCATTATAAGATACTTGTAAGTCTTACAAGTCCCAGGGGGCGTCTTATAACGAGATAAAAATTTTAAGTAGAGATAGAGGTAGGACTGGGAGGGGATCTCGAACAAATATCTCTCGGTTATCAAAAATTTTTTTCTCGAAAAAAAATACAATTCTCGTACGTCCCTGTCAGTCCAGTCTTTAATTTTAAGTTCAGTTCCATAGCAAGGGATGCGCTAGTTCCGCATTCGCCTTTATTTTTTAAATTAAATCGGGGTTTCGCCTTTCGTTTTTAATCCGTTACGGCACCTTTTTTTATTATATCAAGGATCTTCCATATTTAACGGAAGACGGAAGGTAGGAGACGGAAGAAAAGTTTAAAAAAAGGAAGATGAAAGCGCAGGGGGCCAACAAAAGGGGGAAGGAATTAAATACCGCATCTCATGTTTATACCTCCAAAAGAATGAATGTTTCTTCTTCTTAAAAAATTTTTTTTTATTGTTTAATTTTGTTTGTCTGCTATTCAGTAAAAACACACAACTTTTTTTTCTCGGTTTGCGGCATAACAAAAAAATCCCCTAATATTTGTACAAGAATCAATATTTTTTATATAAAAAACCGGTAAATATTGTATACATATATTTTTCTTTTGTATTTTTTTAAACTTTTTTTTTGTTAATTTTCTTTTAAAAAATATGTCTAAGTTTAGAGGATTATTGTACAGTTGGACCTCACTTATAAAACATTACATGGGTATAACACGGTGATAAATTTTCGGGATCGCCAAGGGGGGAGGGAGGGACGGGGAAAATTTTTTCACGGGGGAGGGACGGGGAATTTTCAAAAGATCTCTCAAATTCACCGACTTTCGGGGTCGGGGAACAACCCTAGTATCTATTAAATAGAGAGTCTCGCTTGGGCAGCCTCCTACGCTCAGCAGGGGTATGTCAGTTTCGCTTTTTAAACTCTGCTTTAGACAGCCAACCTCCCTGCCGCCCAGTAGTCAACCAAAATTTTGAAAAGCGTCTCTTAAATAGAGGTGTATCTTATAAAGAGTGTACATTATAGTGAAGTTTACTTTAATAAAATATAAATATTTTTTTGATCAAGAAAAATAAATATAAGAGAATTACAATAATATATTTTTAGCTAATATTATTTAGTCAATCAAAAAAAGAGAAAAGGACAGAAAGGGGAACACTTTAAAAAATGAGGGAGAGAAAAGAACTGCGCAAATGAATTTAAAAAAATTTATTTTTAATATTTCTATTAAAAATATTTATTTTTTGAAGAGGGTCAGTCAAATAATTCGCAATAAAAAAATCCTTCCAATCCAATTTTTTTGTTAGTTAAAAAGCGAAATAAATGTGTGAAGATTTAAACGAGGGAATAAATAAATAAAATATTTAGTTGGACACAATAATTGTGGTTTTTTTAAAATTTTTGTGAGTGAATAAATAAATGCTTTTTGCGCGAGCAAAGCTTTTTCATCGGGAGAAAAAAATTTTATTTATTAAATTAAATATTTTAAAAATTGTAAAATAGAGGGAGACGATTTAAAAAACATTTTTAGAAAATTTTAAAAAATTGAAAAACCCCGAAATAATTTTAAAAAACACGAAAGGTGAAAAACGGAATTATGAAAGACAAAAAGCGAAACGCGAAGACGAAACCAACTATATTTGCTTTTGTTTAGAATTGTACAGTCTGAATACCACTGGGGCTGAAACAAAATTTAGTTTCTTATAATGAGTTGTATCTTAAATAGAGGGTTCCTTAAATATTAAATAGAGGGTCCGACACCCAGTAGCTGACCAAATTTTTTAATAAGGGGAAAAAGCGAAAAAAAAGAAGACAAAAATTGGAATGACCTTCCAGTTAAACTAATTTAAAGTATTTTGAAAAAAATTCTCTTAAAAACACAAAAATTGCCAGCTCACCAAAAAAAATATTTTTTGGATGAGCAATAAAACTAAAGAGAATCGAATAGGAAAAATAAAGAGAGAAAAAAGTGATTATTCATCAAAAATAAAAATATTAAAAAAACAACAAAAATATTTTCCCAAATATTTTAAAAAGAGAGGAGAGAGTTGTTCAAAATATAATTAAAATTACCAGCGAACCTCTCACTATAAGATAAACCCTTGTGAATCAAAAATTTGTACCTTATAATGAGGTGTATATTAAATAGAGGATATCGCTTTAACTCCGCTACCGAGTAGTGGCTTCAGGCCCGTAGCCAGGATTTTTTTTCGGAGGGGGGGGGGCCAATGGGGGGAAAATTTTTTTGCGCCAAATTTTTGGCGCCTTCGGCGCCAAAAATTTTTATTTTCAGCGCCGCAGGCGAAAATTTTGAGAATTTTAAAAGGCCGTAGGCCAAAAAAATCTACTTTTTCGGCGCCGCAGGCGCCAAAAATTTGATTTTCAGCGCCGCAGGTGAAAATTTTTTGCATTTTGGACCTCAAGCCAGATTTCGTCCTTTTTTTGCGCCGCAGGCGAAAATTTTTTAAATTTCAGAGGCCGTAGGCCAAAAAATTCACTTTTTTTGCCCCAGCCCTTCCCCAAATTTTTTCCTTTTTCCCATTTCGGGGGGGGGGGGGGGGGGGGGGGGAATTCCCCCCCTCACCCCCCCGGCTACGGGCCTGAGTGGCTTACCAAAATTTTTCAAAAGCGTCTGTTAAATAGAGGTGTATCCAATATTATGGGATCTTATGTATCTTATAATGAGGTGTCTCAAATAGAGGATATCGCTTAACAGTTCCACCCACACAATGGCATTGCCCCCCCCCCCAAATTAAACGTCTGTTAACTAGAGGTATCCAATACTGGGCGTATCTTATAGTGAGGTTCAATTGTAAAATTTTTTAAATAAAAAATAGAAAACCAACTTTTACATTCATTTTCTCCCAACAAATCATCATGTGCCGGTTCCCATTCTTCCAACTCTGAACGTCTAAATTCCACTCTATATCCAATTAAAGGCCCAGCAGTTCCTTCAAATTCGGGGGAAGACCAACACAAAGAAATTGTTAAAGGAACTTTTAGAAAAAAAATTTTTTTGAAATTTTTTTAAAATAAAAGAAATACCAATATCTCCTTCTCCTTCAATTACTTCTTCAAAACATTCAGTTATTTGTGGAATGCCGGGGGCGCTTGGAGTTTCTAAAAATTGGTAAGAATTAATTATAATTTATTTGATGAGGCGATTATTTAGACCAACTGGCGTTTTAAGAATGTTTTTAATCCACAATTTGAGAAAAAGAGTCCGCAAGAAAAGTCCGCAAATATAAAAAAAGTCCGCAAAAATCCCGAAAAATCCGCAAAAAATCCCCGAAAAGGTCCGCAAAAAGACATTTATCCGTTAAAAAAGTACCCAATAAATCCGCAAAAAAATTAAAAAAATTCTTAAAAAATCCGCAAAAACCCCGAAAAAATCCGCAGAAACATGTCCGCAGAAAAATCAAAAATCCGCAAAAAATCCCAAAAGATAGTCCGTACAAAAAAAAAACCTTTTTTTTAATTTTCTAACCTCTTTTCGTTTTCCCATCAATTTCATCCAAACCTTTAGGTGATACTTCTCTTTCACAAGACCTCTTGGTAGTATTTATTAAATCAATGCCTATAGAATGATCATCCGCAATAATTGTTCCTGCAGAACTAGAAGGCATGAAATCATCTTCTGAGGGGGAGCATCTACTGAAATCTGAGGCTCTTCCTCCTCCTGCTGGGGACGGAGAAGAAATTGCTTCTTAAAAATTAGAGATAAAAATCCGCAAAAATTGTCCGCAAAAAAATGTCGCAAAAATTTACCATCAAAACCATTAAGTATTGGATTTCCATCAGCATCAAAATACAAATCTCCTGGTTCAACTGGAAATTGTTTTACTGAACGTGTTGTTGTTATTTTTGTTATTCTTGTTATCTAAAAAAATAAATTTAAAAAATTCCTCTATCCATTCCCCAAAAAAAATTCGCAAAATAAATAGCAAAAAAAGTCCGCAAAAATAACTGAAAGAAAAAATACCAAAAAAAATTTTCCGTAAAAGCTCCGAAAATGTCTTTAAAAATCCACAAGTTATGTCCGCAAAAAAATATTTGCAAAATAAAAAGACTCCCAGGAATTCACAAGAAGTTTGTCCGCAAAAACTGTCCGCAAAAAAATCGGTAATAGTTTGGAATTCGCCCCCCCTTTTTTCACTGTTTCCTTGACCATTTTGAGCTTTTTTGTTTGATACATAATTTATCATATATCATTCGAAAGAGCTCTTCGAGCGTGGTCGAATGATACTATGATTGGCCAGATCTGATCAATCTTACCAAAATTATGAAGCCAAATCCTAGTTTGAGCAAACTTTTTGTGTCAGTGAAAGGGATAAAATAAACGGTCACAACTTTGTTCACTTAAGTCAGATTTCGTTGATTTTAACGTCATTCGACTCAGCTTGAAGAGCTCTTTTGAATGATATATAATTTGCCATAAAATGAAAAAAAAACTTAGAAAAAATAGAAAGAAAAAAAGGGGGGGGGGCGAATTCCAAACTATTACCAAAAAATCCTCTAAAGATTCCGCAAAAAAAGTCCGCAGGATTTCATGTCCTTCAGTAGTTTCAAAAAAATAAAATCAATCAACCAATTAACCTTTTGTGTAGATTTACATCTCCTTTCAATTCCATCTTCATTTGTACAAATTTCTTCCCCCACTTGTTTCTCTTCTTGTTCAGTTTTTCCATTTTCTATAATTATTCCATTATTTATTTTTAAATTATTTAACAAATTATTTTGTTGTTTTTCTTCTTGTATTTCGTTGTTATCACCTTCTAATTTAGATTCATAAATATATGAATATTTATTTCCTCTAGCTGTTGGAGGAAGTCCACCAGGTATTTCTGTTATGTAGGTATGGGCCATTCTTTCAAAAAAATAAAATTTTTTTATTTAAATGAGAACAGTCAAATCTCATTACAAAATACACCTTTGAGGTATACAGAGGGTCTCTTATATAGAGGGTATTCACTAGAGATCGAGCTGGACCTGGAACAAGGCCTGAGTTTTTCCTGTACCCAGAGTCCAGGTCCAGGCATTTTTTGACCTTCCTGGGTTTTTCCCAGGCCTGGGTTTTTCCTGTAATACAGGCCAGGATCCAGTCCAGGTCAAGAAATCAAACTCCAGAGCCAGGAACAGGTCCAAACTTTTCAAAAATCACGATCTCTATTGTTCACTTTGGAAGCTCCCTATAGACAACCAACTTTTAAGGTTCTTTTCTCTAAGGTCTGACGGTTTTGTCTGACGGTGCTCTTACATAGGTATCTCCTATAGACAACCAAATTAAAAAAAAAGTCTCTTAAATAGAGGTCTATTTAGGATACACTACATTATAAGGCACCTCTCACTTCAGAATCTGATTTTTCTGGTTTAGTTCCCTCCATAAATTAACAACATTCAGTTGACTTCAAGAAATTTTATCAACAACTCGCATTTTAGTATACCCTCTATTTAAGATACACCTCATTATAAGCGACTATTTTTCACCCCCGAGAGGGTATCCTATAATGAGGTCTGACTCAATATTATTAAAAAAGAATATCTACTTTGGATCATTAACAATTTCTTCAGATGACAATTTATCCCATTCCGGAGGAATTTTTTCTTTAGGCAAAGTACTGAAAAAAATTTATTTTATTTTAGTATTATTTATAGCATTTAAAAATTGTGACAAATTGCTTTAACATTTTTTCAGTTATTTTTATGAGTAATTTTTTGTGAAAGACCGTGTCAGTTTTTCTTTGATCAAAATCAAAGAAATAAAAAAATAATTTGCACAGATGTGTGGGTAGTCAAAAAAAATAAATTTTTTTTAGAAATTCTTGTTTTATTGGTTAGTATTATTAGAAAAATATTTGGGGAAAAATATGACAGAATAGGCCAATTTAAATAAAGTGAGGGGACAAAACACCGTCCAGACAAAAAACTGAAAAGATGTTAAGAATAAAAAACGCCGCTCATTTAGACACAGATAATAGCTTTAATTTCTTCGAAATTATATTGACAATATTTCTAGTCTTCAAAGCTAAGGTGTTGGTTATAATACTATACTCCCTTCGACTAAAATTTTAATTTTAAAATCGCGAAATGGATGTATCAATTTTTTACTTTAATGTGTGGACGGTGTTTTAGTCGGACGGTGTATTGTCCCTATACAAAATTTAATAAAAAAAGGAATTGATATTAGGCAATTTAAAAAATAAAATAATTAAAATTTGAAATCAGAGGAAATTTATTTTTAAAATAAAATAAAAAATATTTTTCAGAGAAGAAAAGAAATAAAAAAAAACAAATAAAATCCATCAAAAAAAAATAAAAACAATAAAAATATGATAAAATGCAAAACAAACTTTTAAAAAATAATAAAATTGGAAAAAATAGAAAAAATAAATAATGAAAAATATACTTAAAAAATTAAAAAAAAAATTTTAAAAATTTTTAATATTGTAAATGCTCTAATTAAAGCCTAATCTCTATTAGAAGCCTATCTCTAATCCAATCGTATTCAACGGATTTTAATAAATAATTTCAATAAATAAATTTATAAATCAAAAATAGCGAGTCTGGAAGAGTAAAAAAATCTAAAAGCCGGACTTGTAATTAAAAAAGTGCAAAAAAAAATCAAATAAAAATAAATTTTCTTTTCCCAAATTCTTATAAAATAAATAAATATATCCAGATTTTCCCTCATTAATACCTCAATTTATGTTCTCTCAAAGCTTTGATTAGATTAATTATAGCGTTAGAAAATAAAAAGAAAACAAAAATAAAAATTAGAAAAAACGGTAATTAATATATATTTTTAGAAAAGAATTTATATAAAGAAAAAGATTAATTTCGTAATTTTCGAAATTTTGAGGCAACTAAGTACAGCCATTATTTTCAGGTCTAAAATTATAAAAAACCCGAAACACTAAAAGCCAAAATTTTCTTCAAAATGTCATTCAAAATTAGAGCCCGAAGCGAGACGAGATCTCCCGAAGAAAAATTCCCATTGAGATCGGTATTTTTCGAGATACCGATCTCGATTCTCGTACCAAGCTCTATTCAGAAAAATCACTCAAAATGTCTTGACTCGGGTTTCCGTTTTCGATTCAAGTCGACGTCCAGTGCATCTTTTTCGAGCCTGGGTTTTTTTAGATTCGGTTCGTTATCGAGCTTTTCGAGCTGAAAAGCCTAGGCTCACTCGATCTTTCGAGTTTCGGTTCAAGCGAGCTGGCTGTCATATTTAGGCTTTGTTCAGAGTTCGTCCCTAATCCTATATTTAATAGAGATTTTTAATTATCGATTTAATCAATACTTAATTTTTTAACAAAAAATAAAGAAAAATTCTTTAAAAAAAATGTGCAAATGATTAAGTAAATGTAAGCAGAAAAAAAAGATTATTTGTAAAAAAGCAAAACGGTTTCTTCTTGTTTTTAGCGATAACAGAAATAAAAAAAAAATAATTTTTTAAAGGGAAGAAAACCCTTTAAAAATGAGGGAAAAATAAATGAATTGAAGAGGGGGAGAAAAGCAAAGCCACTCAACGAGTCAAAGAAAGAAGCAAAAAAAGTTTTTGGGGGATAATTATGAAGAGGAGAAAAATGGGGGAGAAAAAGTACATAAAATAAAAATAAAAATAAATTTATTTAGGAGGAATTCCAACTCACGGAACAGACAGGTCACGGAACGACAAATCACGGAATCACCAAATTACGGAGCGACCTTCTCATGGAATGATCACTTAGAAATTTAAAACATTCTAATTTGTATAATAGTTTTATTTTTTTAAAAATATTCAGATTTTTCAGAAAATTTCGATTTTTAAATTATTCCGTGTTTTGGTCATTCCGTGAGTTGGGCGTTCCGTAATTCCGTGAGTTGGTCGTTCCGCGAGTTAGCCCAACACGATTTATTTAGAAGAGTGACTGGTCGAAAAATAATAAAAAAATGAACACAATAAAAGTATAAAATAAATTTTAAAGGTCATACTTGTACATATGAAAGAGAAGAAGAAAAGGAAAAAAATTTTTTAATTGGATTAAACTTGAAAATAATTGAAAAGGTGTGGTTAATTCGCTCGCTAACACACAACAATACTCACCGGAAATTGGAATTAAAAATACCCCCACAACAATAAAGCGAAAAAACGTGTTTGATTTATATTAAGCAGATTATTAATTTTAAAATCTCTAACCTTTGGGTTTTGGATCGCTTTTGGGTCTCTTGGCGTTTGGTTGGACATATTGTTTGGAGGATGTTTTCGGTTCTAATTTCCGGTGAGTATTGGCTATCCAATTTTGTATAAACACGGAAAATAATTTTAATTAATTTCGGAGTGTTGAATTTTAATTCAATTTTTACTTATGTTATTCAGTTAAGCTGCAAAGGAGTGCGCATTATGGACTTAAGAAATGACTCAAAATGGTCAATTATTTTTATTGAAATTTTTGAGGAAATTAAGAGAATAAATACACTTTTAGTTTAAATAAGGGGATGTATTAAAAATATTTTTGCATCATTGGTCGATGGTGAGAGAAAAATGTGTAGGTATATGAACGAGGAAGGGACTTTTTGGACAGCAAAAATGGGGAAAGCATCAACAAAAATTCATCAGCAAATGTCATCACATCATTTTCAACTCTAAATAAATATTTTTTCCTTCTCTAATAGTATATATTTGCTTGTCCATTTCTCTTTTAATGTTATTTGTGTCCAAATCCCCGCAAGCATTGATCGAGTAGACTAGCTGTCCCTCTCTCAACTCACCTTTTCCCCCGTTAAAAACGTATCAGACGGCTGGTCGAGAAAACGAAGGGTTTTTCCAGTTCGGGGTAGGGGCTATTCAATACAAATAGGTTCTAAAATAAATAATCTAGTCCTAGGGTTGTTCCTCGTCTCCGAAGGTTGGAGAATTTTTGAGCCTTTAAGAAGTTGTTGGTTGAGTGGTAAGTTGCTTGACATAATTAGTACATATTATTAAATGGGGGGGGGGGTGGGTAGGCTCGAATCCTGTTTTTTGCGCAAATATCTAAGGGAAACCCTGATTAAAAATATTCGATAATTACTTCAGTTACGCTGCTGTTTAGGAGGTATTTTAGATTTCCGGTGGTTTAGTGAGCGAATTAACCCCACCCTTTCATTATTTTCAAGTTTAATTCAATTAAAAAAATTTTTCCCCCTTCATTTTCATTCTCAATATGACCTTTTAAAATTAATTTCGAATTGTGTTCATTTTTTAATGCCTAAGGCAACGAAATTTTGAATTTTTAAAAGTATTTTTAATAAAACAAAAAACCCACCTAACAAGCGTATCAATCTCCTCTGTTCTATAAATTTCTAGCCTCTTTTGTTTTGTTTCTTGTACATGTCCATCCAGATTCTTTGAGGGAGATGTTAAATTAATTGTTGTTTTTTGTATAGGTTGTGACATAAATGAAGAACTTGGTGATCCTTAAAGTAATTTAAATAAAGTCCAACCTCTATTTAAGATACCCCCACAATATAAATACACCTCTATTTAAGAGACGCTCTTAAAATTAGGGTGGCCTTTGAGTGGGGGAAGCTGCCTAAGCGATACCTTCTATTTAAGATACCCCCATTATAAGATACCCCTCATTATAAGGTATCCCTCATTTAAGAACCCCTCATTATAAGGTACCCCATTATAAGATACCCCCATTATAAGATACCCCTCATTATAAGGTATCCCTCATTTAAGAACCCCTCATTATAAGGTACCCCATTATAAGATACCCCCATTATAAGATACCCCTCATTTAAGATACCCCTCATTATAAGGTACCCCATTATATGATACACCCATTACTAGATACACCTCTATTTAGGAGACACTCCTTAAGATTTTAGTTGACCAGTGGGTGAGCGGAACTGCCTAGGCGATACCTCGATACCTCCATTTAAGATAGCTCATTATAAGGTATCCTCATTACACGACCTGCCTAGGCGATACCTCCATTTAAGATACCCCTCATTATAAGAGACGATTTTTCAATCCCTAGGGTGTATCTTACAATGAGGTTTAACTAAAAATATAATTGCACATTTAATTACTAAGCACTAAAATAATTTAAAAAACCAAAAATATATTAAACTACATATTTAATACATTTCTGTTATATTTTTTCAACCAATTTTTTGTCAAAAACAAACACACAAACCAAAACTGCCGCCCTCAATTTCCTCAACTTCAGGAATTGACTCCATCGGCAGTTTTATTGGTTGTCCACCGCTATCCTGCCATAAAGGAAGGGCAATAACTTCTTCTTCCTCTTCTTCTTGTTTGTCCGGCTGTTCCCGGACAGACTCTCTTTTCGAAGTACCGGCGCCTTCCTTGTTGAATGTCGTTAACATTTTTGTGGGTGTGAATTTTTATTGGAAAAATTAAAAAAATAAATTAATAATTTGGGAGAAATTTTTGTAGTTTGTTTGTCTGTTATGAATTTTATAATTAATTAGATAGAAAGGTGTTAAGAGACATTTTTTTGCTTTTTTAAATGAGTGTGAAACGAGAATAACAAAATTATGATTAATCTATTTTAAAATGCGCAAGTGTGATAATTAAGGGAACAAAAATTTGTGTTGCGTTTTAGAGTGATTTTTTGAGAAAAAACAATCTTCAGAAAAAACCAAAAAGATATTATCAAAAAAAAACTAAGAAAACTTGAAAGTTTCGAATTTTAATGAAAATAGCATAAAGAAAAAGGAGAGTGGAGAGAATAAAAAGTAAATTTGATTTAAAAAACAGAACGCCAAACAGAAAAAATATTAAAAATATTTGGCGTGTTTCAAAAATTTAAAATTGAAATAGTGAGGGAAGGTTTTTGTGTTTAAAAAGCATTTAATCCAGCGCAGGCATCGAACCCTCAACCCCTCGCCGACCACATACAGGTGCTCTACCGACTGAGCCACCGAGGTACTAATTTACAATATTTTTTAACAGGTCTTAGACCCTCACCTAATAAGCGTTTTTAATGCTAACTGGATCTCCTTTCCTTACGTTTATTTCAAAAAATGAATTTAATATTTAAAAAATCGCTTCATTTCCCTATTATACAATGATTTTTGTTTTTTTGATTATTTTTAAATAAAAGTAACAACAAAAAAATAATCTTTGCTTTAATAAAATCGCAATAAATTAAACACAACAAAAAAAGGTTTTTTTTAATTCATTCACAGCGTGTGGGCGTTTTTGTTAGATTTATTTATACGAGAATGGGGGAGAACATATATAAATGACGATAATGATATTTTTACTTGAAGAGGGATAGATTGGAAAAAAATGTTTATTTTTTTTGATAGAAAATGATTGAACGAATTAATTTTCTGCAAAAAATAAAAAATAATTGTAAAAATTAATTAAATTTTATTTGTTGCGGTATTTAAAAAAGGAAGAGAAAAATTTTAAATTAATTACAGCCAGACCTCATTATAAGATACCCCCAATATTAGATATCCTCTATTTAAGAGACGAATTTTTCTATTTGTGTGGCCACTGGGTGGGGGAGGAGGTGCCCAAGCGAAATCCTCTATCTAAAAAACCTCATTATAAAATATCCCCAATATTAGATACACCTCTATTTAAGAGACGTCTTTTTAATTTTGGGTGGCCGCTGGTTGGGAGGAGCTTCCTAAGCGATACCCCTATCTAAAAAACCTCATTATACGATACCCCCAATACTACATACCCTCTATTTAAGAGACACCCATTATAAAATACGAATTACGATGATGTATCTTATAATGAGACGATACTCCTAATTAAGAAAGCTTCATTATAAGATATGCCCACGGGCGAATCTCGCTATAAGATATCCCCAATATTAGATACACCTCTATTTAAGAGATATTAAGATACACCTCTATTTAAGATACACCTCATTATAGGGACGACCTTTGGCAACTTTATAGGTGTAGTATGTATTAGAGATCGGACCGAGACTAGATCTTGATCAAAAATCTCGGTTATCGAGACTAAGAATTCTTCGAGATCTCGATTCTCTTACGACACTTAAGTCCGGTCTCTAGTATTTACAATGAGGTCTGACTGTCCATAATAAAAAGCATTTTTAATTTTTATTTTTAGAAAAAAATAAGGAAAGGAAGTAAAAATAAAATAAAAGTTGCACCAAAAACTTTGTTAAATGCCAAAAAATGTATTTAAAAATCCCTTAGGAAAAGCGCCTTTAAAGACAGTCAAAAAGTTCTTTTAAATGGTTATATGTACTTTGCCTAACAAAAAAGCCTCGAGGGATTTATTTTGGAGTTTAAGGCTTTGCCCTCTTAAGTTTTGAGTTTTACACGAAAAAATAAGTCAAAGGAGCTGTAAATAAAGGCAAAATAAAAGTGTTGGGAAAAGAAAAATTTTTTTGGCATTTTTCTGGCATTCTGTCTCTACCTTTAAATATTTGTCAAGTTTTATTTAAAAAAATATTTTTGAAGGTTTTGGCATTTTTTGTAGGGAAATCTTTGGTTTCTAAAAATTAAAAAATTTTTTAAAGAGAATAATTAAGAATTTAAAGTTTTTAAAAAAGCTTTTAAAGCTCTTAAAAGCCCATTAAATATAAAAGGAGCAGGCTTTTCCACCGCGACCACGGCTAATCCCGGAGCCATAACTTTACGTAAAAATGTCATAGAGAGTTAATTTTGGTACCATTCGACGCAGCTCTTCAAGCTGCGTCGAACCATACCAAAATCATCCATATCCGACATTCCTAAGATTAAATACAAGCTCCGCGGCAGACTAGGGTCACGTCAGGAGTACACCCAATAAAAAATTTTTTAATTGAATGACATTGATTTTCATTGACATTAATTGCTTGCCATCAAAAAGTACACACTTTTTGCCCCATATGTGGGCCAAAAACATTTTTGGTATTTTCAAGTAGCTTGAAAGAGGAATGGCAAAAATAAAGAAGCAATCGATTACATCTGTCAACAAATGCCAAAAAGGTTGTTTTGTCAGCTGGAAGTATTAAAGCGACCTTTACCCCTTCTTCCCACTTTAAAAAATTGAAAAAAAGGTAGGGGAAGAGGAGAAGAGTTTTAATGCCAGCTGAGAATAAGAAAAAGCTTTAAAGGTGAATAATTTAAAAAAAATATTTTTTTCAAAGCTTTTGGTTGATTTATAATTTATTCAGCAGACAGGTCTATAAAAAAGTAGCTTTCTAAGGGTAAGGAAGAAAGGGAGAGATGGTTAGCATTTAAAAAAGTTTACTTAGGCGGGGGGGGGGGGTTAAGAATTTTTTAAAAGAAGAGAGGACTAGTAGCACCCCGATAGCTCAGTCGATAGACTGGGTCGGGTTCCGGGTCGAAAAAAGTCCGGGTTTCTGATTCCGAGTTTTCTGACCCAGAATTGGGGTAGAGCACCTACACGTGGTCAGTGAACTCGCCTAGCAATAACTGCCAAAATATCATAGGTTCGCTGCCAGGGGTCTCTTCTCTTAAAGTCCTCTCTCTTATTTGTTAGTCTTTTATCTCCCTCCAAATTGTATTAAAAGAAAAGATTTTGACCTAATACTTGGCATTGAATTACTTCAAGTAAAAGAGAAATGAAAAATAAAATAAATTAATATTTGCGGCTTTTATCAAAAATAAAATATGTGTGCTAAATATACTCAAAATTAATTATTTTTTAGATTTTAATTAAAAATTTAAGGCTAGACTGGTTTCAAATTTAGGAAATTTAGGCAAAACTTGAATAAATAAATTTAAAAAATATTAACTAAGATTGGACTTCTAACCCGAAATTTTTGACCTCATTGGGTCCTCATTGAGTCGACCCTATTTTTGACTGACTTTGCCCTATTTTTGAGACATTTTTGTTTGGTTGAGCCCTATTATAGTCTTCTAGAAAGGACTACCCTGGTCAAGATCCAACTCTGATAGTATCAAGATTGTGGAGGGCAATAGGGCATACAGGTCTGGTGCCGATCCGGCGTAAAGTCGCAAAGGAAGTGACAAGTCCAACCGAAGGTTAAGGAGAAGTGCCGTCGACCCAACGGCATTGTTAACGAAACAAAAAATAATAAAATAGGCTTGTTTAATCATTCCCTTGATTAAAAAAAATTTTTTTTGAAAGAGAAAATAATTTTAAGCTTATTTAAAATATGAGGTTGAACAACTAAGTTGAATTAAAAATAAAAAGAATTAAAGGAAGAACAAGCTTAAACAAAAATAAAAAATATTTCTATCCTAATTTTAAGAACCTTTCTCATTTTTTATAACCGAATACAATTGAAAAAGAATTGCGTAAATAATTTTTAAAAATAAAAAGAAAAGAGGGTAAATCTTGAAAAATAAGGGGGAGGTTGTTGTGAGTGTCACACAGAGCTAGTAAACAAGCATAAGAGGGAAAATAAGAAAATAAAAGTAAAGGACAAGAAGCAGTCCAAATCAAATTAAGTGGACGGCGGTCGATGTGAATTGGGTAGAAAAATAAAAAAAAATTTTTTTTTAATTTTTTCTTTAGTTTTAGTATGCAATAGAGGGGTAAATTAAAATTAAAAAAATTTTGTTTCAAAAATCTTCTCGAGGTCTTCGACCGAGAAAATTGGATCTAGAATAAGTCGTTTTCTTCGAGTTCTTGAAGGTTTTTTCTCGAATTCTTTTCTCGAGCTCCTCAAGAAGTCGAAGAGAGAGGAGTGATCTAGATTGGCTTTTAGGAGCACAAGAGCTCGAGAAGAAGGGTTATTGAAGAAATCGAAGAGAGATGACGATTCTAGATCCATTTTTCTCGGTCGAAGAGCTCGAAAAGAAGCATCATTTAAGGACTCGAAGAAGACTGAGGGTTCTAAATCAGATTTTCACGAGCTCCCTCAAATCCAGTCTAGAGTCATTATTCTTCTTCGACTTCTTGAATGATGCTTCTTCTGGAGCTCTTCGACCGAGAAAAATGGATCTAGAACAGTTTTCACTCTTCTAATTCTTCAATAACCCTTCTTCTCGAGCTCTTGTGCCCCTCAAAGCCGATCTAGAAAAGTTTTCTGTCTTCGGTTTCTTTTTAAAGTGTTTATCCTGAATAGAAGATCCAATACTGGAGGTATCGAAAAGTAAGAGTAAAGCAGCTGGGCTATAGCTATTCCTCTCCTTTAGCTATTGCAAAAGGTTATTCGGCGGCTGGGAGCGAACAGCATCTTCAGTAGACCGGACTGATGTGTTAGCCGTTACACCACGCCGCCTACTGCATAACCTTAGAACTTAAAAAAAACATAGCCTTAGAAACTATATGCTTTACATAAGCTGTACCCGAATTTAAGAATGAAGAGATACAAGAAAAATCAAAAAAGGACTTAATTAAAAAACAGTTTGCTATAAAAACAAAAAAGTTTTTATTTAAATTTACCCATCTGCACAACAATAGAGGCCGCAAGGGTTATCGTCAATCAAAGATATTGTATGTATGATGTTAGTAAAAGAAGGGACCGGAATGCTTATTGTTATTGGAATAATTTCTGTGACTATTTTACTAATGTAAGTTTTCTTTTCAAAAATTTTTCGAAAATTTTTCGAAAATTTTTGAAAATTTTTGAAAATTTTCTTTGTAATTTTTTTGAAAATTTTTTTTGAAAATTTTTTGAAAAATTTTTTGAAATTTTTTTTTGTAATTTTTTAAAAAAATTGTTCTTTCAGAATTTTCATCCTTGGAGTGTTTCTTTGTTCATTTTACCGCAAGTACAGAAATGGCGAGCAAACGTTGGAGGTAAATTCAGAGCTGTCAGTTGAAACAAGTTCAGATACACAGAATAGTGAAGGGAATAAATAAAAATAATTTTTTTGATCTAATATTGAGAAATGGATTGTAAATAAATTTTTGTATATTAAGTAGTTTTTATTTAGACAAGATAAATTTTAATTTAAATTGTTTCCGTATATACTAGGTTATTAGGGGTTTTAAGCAAAAATTGTTTTTTAGCGTACGTCGAGTACCGAGTAATTGAGGGAAAACCGAGCGAGTAGCCGAGTACCGAGTAATTGGATAAAACCCGACTCGCTTTACACTCTGTCTATGTATTAGGATATAGGATCCTCCTCCCACGTATAAGGATCCCAAGTTCGAGCTCGAGTAAGGACGGAAAAATTTCACTTCACCTCTACTATCCCTTCACTTTAATTCGACTCGAATTGTTAGTCTATGAAAAATTGTTAGTCTAAAAATATGTTCCATTTTTTACTCTGCCCAATTTACTCTATTGAGATTGAATTGGATTTCAATCCATTATTAGGAAAACTCGTATTTCGAAGAGCTCAACATATTCGTAAATCTTTTACAATCAGAGCCTGTTATATATAAGATACCCCCGACACTATATACACCTATATTTAATATACGCCCTTTAAAATTTTGTTGGCTATCTGGGTGGTACCTAAGCGGTACATCCTGTCTAGGATACACCTCTTAGTTATTTCAACCTCCGAGGGTTTATTGAGGTCAAGCTTAATCTAGGGATATCTCCGTTATCTTCTGCCTTTGAATTCTAAAAATGCAGCAGGGTCCATCTCTGATAAATATTCTAATTCAAGCTTATAAACCGTAAATTTTTTATCTGATTAAATATGCATATCAAAAAATTTTTTTTACAATTTTTAATTTATACAAATTTAATAAAATTTCCCTCATATTTTAGCTTTTAATTTATTTTCATTTCTTTCCTCTATTATATCCACTTCCTCCTCCATTATACCCGGGAGAGCCAAAACCTCCACCGCCGCCACCATCACCGTTGTCAAAACTGCTACTACCGCCAGATGATTGACTCCATTCACTGCCACCTTAAAATGAAAGGTTATTAAAGGCGGACCTCATTTTTAAATACACCATTAGGGGATGAGAAATTGCGCCTTATAATGAGGGGTTTATTAAATGAGGGGTATTGCTTAAGAAGCTCTCCCACCCAGAAACCAACCTGGTGGGAGAAAGATGTCTTATAAATAAAGGTGTACCTAGTATTAGGGGTATCTTATAATGATAAGTCTCCTATAATGAGGGGTCTCTTATAATGAGGGGTCTCTTATAATGAAGTGTCTCTTATAATGAGGTGTCTCTTATAATAAGGAGTCTCTTATAATGAGGGGTCTCTTATAATGAAGTGTCTCTTATATTGGAAGGTTTGCTTAATAAGCTCCTCTACCTAGTGGATAAAATATACAAATAAGAATTATTTACCACTGCTTGAATCAAAGCCTCCTCCGCCTCGGTTGTATCCACACTCAACAAAATTAAAAGAAATTGCCAAAATATTTAACAAAATGAAAATCAACAAGGATTTGTTCATGTTTATCTAAATTTTAAAAATTTTATAAAAATTGGGTAATCCTTGGTCTGAAAAATTGTATGTTAAGGTTTATCTTAACTAGAAGGTATCTTAAAGGGTATCGCATAGCAGCGCCCCACCACCAATTAAATTTTAAAAAGCGTATCCTAAATAAAGGTGAATCCAGTATTGGGGGTATTTTATAATGAGGCTTATCTTAAACGGAGATATCGCTTAGGCAGCTCCTCAACCCATTGGCCCTACTAAATTTTAAGTAGCGTATCTTAAATAGAGCGGTGCCTAGTACATGGGGTTTGCCGTTTTCTTACGTTAATTTGTGAATTTATTGCAAAACTAAATTTTTAAAAAAATTCCCCTCCTTAAAATCACCCACTCAACAGTATATGAAAGTGAGACGATTTTAAAGTATTTTATAGATGTTTATTTAAAATTATTTTCTCGTTTTATAAAGCAAATTTTAAAGGCGGGAATTTATAATTAATTAAATTAAATTGGGGTAAAGAAAATAATTTCAAGGAAATTTTCAAAGAGAAAAATGATCGTTGTAAACAACACACATATTCTGGTCTGCCAAAAAAATTATTTTTGCTGAAATTATTTTTGAGAAGAAAGAAGATTTTCTGAGAAGAAAAGAAGAAAGGAAAAGATTATTAATCAGAATTCGCTGTATTTAGTAAATTTAAGTTCCTTCTCTACAATTGTGGTATTTTCTAAGCTGTCGTTGTGATGAGCTCATTATGTTTGACGAGAGAAAAAACAAAAGACTGCAAACTCGCAATAAAATTGGAAAAAAGAAAATTTTAAATGATCAATTTTGTTATGATCAGTGGCATGATTAGAAGACTAGATTAAAGAAGATTCCCTGCCGTCAAAAAATGAACGGATTGATGATTAAAAATGCTACAAAATACTAGTCTGCTATTGAGATTTATTTAATTAGAGTCAAACTTTCTGATACATCCAATGTGAGCTACACCTCTATATAAGAGACGCTCTATATAAGAGACCTCTGTATTAGACCAAGCTTCTTAAAGTTGATTGGACACTGGTATCTAAGCAACAAAGGCCTAAAAGCCTCTAAGCAATATCACCTGTTTAACGATATCACCCTCTTAAAAACACCTCTCAATAAGATACTCTCAATATAAGAGACTTTAAAGTTTGGTGATTAATTGGTGATAACTTCATTATAAAATTTGGTGATAACTTCATTATAGAACACAAATTTTTCAACTCCAAGGGTGTCCCTACAAGTCAGGTTTGACAAGTAATTTAATAATCATACAATCGAAAAGAACAATTTTTACTTAACAACACTATCTACACAACAGCATTATATACACACATATATATCACAAATTTCTTTTTTATATATCCTTTTTTGAATCTACAATTTATTTAGGGTTCTCAAGTTCATTCAACGTCTCATAGTTATCTCCTCCTTGATCTTCAGCAACAGCAGCAGGCGGCGGCGGCGGCGGCGGCGCATTCGACTTCTTTTCCTCCTCTCCTCCCTTTTCCTTTTTGTCATCCGCCGGTTTCTCAGCCGCCGGTGGTTTGTCTGTTGCAGCAGCAGGCGCTTCCTTCTTATCCGCTGGGACAGGAGGCGTTTGGGTTTTGACCATAGCCGTTTTTGCAGGTTGTTTGTCTCCATCCTTCCCCGCTGCTTCGGTTTTGTCAGCCTGTTAAAAATTTTAATTATTTTTGAAGGAATTAAAGGTCTTAAAAGCACCTTAGGATCCTTTTTGTCCTTAGAATCATCCTTTTTATCAGCTCCTTCCTTCGTTTTCTCGACCGCTGTTTTGTCTTTAGCCTCAGGCGTCTTGCCGCCACCCTTTTTCTTTTGCTCTTTTAGGAAGATATTTGCATCCAGATTGCCCAATGTTTGATAGTCCTTGACAGCGGCAACGCCTTCCTTTCTTGGTTTTTCTTCTTGAATCCTTGGAGGAGCTTGAAAAAAATAATATTTTTTTAATTCAAAAGAAAAAAGATTACGTCGTTTCGCTTTCACAGTCATTGCGGTGGCCTGGTTCGCTTTCTTCTTCTTGGTGCATTTGACGAGCAAGACCGTTGAAATAATCAGAAGCGGCAACAGAAGAGACGGGTAATAGGCGTGAAGAGAAAACAAAGCGAGGGAGAGACCCATCACGAATATTGGAGAGAAGCGTGAAGCGATGTTTTGTTGGCTGGAGTTGTTTTAAGTTTTGGATTTGGTGCTTTTATAGGTGGAGATTAAGAAGGGGATTCTTAAATTTTAATCCGAGCTTTATGTGGATTAGAGAGCGGCACGGGACAGGATTTTACCGGTACTGTACACCTTTTGTCACATGACCTAATTTATGTTTACCGTTATACTCACTTTCTGCCATAGTACCATTTTGTCGTGTACCATTTTTGTTTTATCATTTTCATTTCTTATCCAATCCAATTTTCTATCATTTTCGTGTTTCATTTTTTATTTCGATCCGCTTTTCGTTTTCATTTTTTAAATGCGGAAGGGCTGCAACTTTGGGACACGCCCAAAACGTCGCTCGGCCATAACATGCTTTAAGATGTTCTAATCTTACCAAAATTTAGTGTTTAACGATTCCTCTAACCGAGATAAGGAGATTGGTACCAAAATTGATAAGGGTCAGACATTTTTCATCAAGTTATGGTTTTCGCCGTTATGGCCGCGCGCCGTTTAGGGCTGTACCCTGCAGCTTTGCATATTCCACTTGCTTCAATATTCAAATTTTAGTTGCAATTTTGGTTCTGTTATGATACAACATTCCTGATACCAAGCTCTAGTTAACAACAAATATATTGCAATGTCAACTCGACAAATATATTTTCTCTTGCCTTTTACAAAGTTTGTTTAAGTCTTTAAAGCCTTTCTAAAATTTTGTTTTTAAAGTTTCACAAGAACTTCAACATTTTGTTCACAAGCTCTAGTTAACAACAAATTTCAATCAAAAGACGAAAACAAAATTGTAGAACACTTTGGTGGATTAAAAAGAGAAGATGACTGGCTCAAGACAGCCGAAAAATTTGTGGAAAACTGGTCTGTTCTTCGTTGGCCTAGACATGGTTGTGGTGGGAGAAGTTATGCTTTGATTGGTTTTTTTTTAATTTTTTTGTTTTTTTCAAATTAATTTTTTAAAGGAACTCTTGCTGATATGGAACGTGCATTATTGGACTATGCGTTTAATTTTGTTTGGAAACAGCTTCAATTGGATGATAATGTTAAGAATGTGGAGATGGTTAATGTCGAGGATATTCTACCTGTAAGCTAAGTTTGTTTCTTTTAAAGGTTGGGGCAGAATCTAGTCTTTTCGGACTTTCTGCAAAAACCTTTAAATGACTTTTCCCCTACATAAGTTGTTTTGCGGATTTTTTTGGTTCGCAAATTTTTTGCGGACTTTCTCTTCCATTTAAACGTTGGTTTCTTTAGTTTTCCATCAATTAACAAATAAGATTCAATTTAAAGATCGTACATATTTTTTTAGGTTTCTACAACAAGAGCTTGTGGTGTACCTTTTCAAACTGGCCAAAACCCAATGCAATATCGAATTTTTTATGTTGATGATATCTACAATTCTAGTCAAAAACAAATTCAATTATCTGATGATTTAGACTTCTGTCTTTCTGGAACAGCAGAAATGGGAATTGCAAATCAGTTAAAATTTAATTTTTTAAATTAATTTTTGCTAAAGATTACGTTTGTGTTAACGGGCTCTGAAAACCCGATCCTTGGGCTGGCCTAGTATCAAACTCAAATTTTGATCCAGTTTTGAATGAGGAGCTTCTAAAGGCAGATCGGAGGAATTTTGGAAAAATAAAGTGGTGAAATATAAAAAAGGCCTTTGAAGCTACCTGTGCCAAATTTAAAAAATTAACATTTTTTATTTTAGACTTAGAAACCGTGTTTTTCAACAAGATCAATTGCCAACATATTTTTTATCAGAAAGTACCTGTTTTCGTCCTGAAATTTCTAAAGGAGGCTTGGAATGTGGTCTATACAGAGTTCATCAATTTAAAAAGGTTTTTCTTGTTCTTTTTATTTAAAGATTATTTTTTAAAGGTTGAAATGTTTGTTGTCTGTACTGAAAAACAAAGTTCGGATGAATTGCAGCGGATTGTAAAAATTCAAAAAAATTTATTTTCTTCTCTGGGGCTTCATTGTCGGTTATTTTTTCTTTTTTTAATTTTTATTTTTCTAAATTTTTAGTCTTTTGGATATGTGTCAAGAAGAGTGTGGTAACTCAGCTTCTCAAAAATTTGATATAGAGACGTGGATGCCTGGCAGGAAGCAATGGGGAGAGTTATCTAGTGCTAGCAATTGTACTGATTATCAATCTCGAAGGCTTAAAATTTCTTATAGGTTTTTACTTTTTTCAAAATACAGTCTGACCTCATTATAATATACACTCCTGGGAATTTAGCACTAACAAGGGAGAGGCTGTGGGGTGTCGGGAGGGATTAAATTTGGTAGACAGTTAGATTTTACCCTTCTTTTATTGTGAATCTATTTTAAAGTGAGAGGTATCTTATAAAGAGGTGTATCTTAAAAATAGGAATATCGCTTAGGCGGCTCTCCCCAGGCCCTTAAACTAGGACTTTTCTTTGGTAATAATTTTGCGGCCTTGGTTACGGGCCTTGCTTTCCCATAACCATTGTCCAACTAAATTTTCGAAACGAATGTTAAATGGGAAGTATCCAAAAATGGGTTTATTTTATAGTGAGATCCAAGTTCCTACTATAAACTTATATTTTAAATGGCAGATCTGACAGTTCTCCAAATAATACTTCTCTGCATTATTGTCACACTTGCAACGGCACTGGAATTGCCTCGACTCGACTCATTATTGCACTTTTAGAATCATCTCAATTGTCACCGGTTTTTTTTCAAAATATATTTTTAAATAAAATTTTTTCAAATTAAGTGTCATCTTCAACTACATGAATTAATCAAAAAGATGCTTCCTGTTGAAAGAAGTTCTGTTTTAAAATGTGGAAAGGCCAAAGCAATTGATTATTTTGTTGATAATGGCGTTTGTTAAATAATTTTTTGTCCATACTATGGATGGGTCTGAAAAAAATCGAGTCGGATTTTGTTCGAAAAAAGTCCGGGTTTAGGTTCAGGTAACCCGACCCATCCTTCATCCATTTTTTTTTGTTTTTATTAGAAGAATCTAGCTGCGTGTTAGGAATTTTTGGGAAATTTTCTTGCGGACATTTTTGAAATTAATTTCATACCCCTCAGCAGTGGGGGAGGGGAGGGTGGGTAGGTAATGGACATTTTGTGGCTCCGGTTCCTACTCTTCAAATTTTTTCTAGGCTAAGGTCATTTTAAAATCTTAGCTCCGCTGGAGCTAGCTCCTGAAGGCATACCCAGCATTTCTCCTGACTCCTCACAATCAATCAAATTTCTAAACTTTTATATTTATAGTGGATTTAATAATTCAACACCAAAAATTTCTTCTCAAATAGCAACGAAAAATAAAACTATTTTTCACGGAGGATTTAAATATTATCACAAAGAGGGTAATATATTTCGTTGCGAATTGAATCAAAAAAAACAAATCCGTTGCAACGGAAATTTGAAGATCAAATATAATAAAATTATTAGAGTAAAACCACACAATGATGAGTGCATTAAGGTATTATTTTTTATTTAATTTTATTTAAAAAATAATTTTTTTCTAGAATAAGTTAGTACTTTTCACTCCACGCAAGTGAATAAATCCAAATTCTGTTTTTAATGATTTTTTAAGATAATCCTTTTAGAAAACCTTTTCAACGTCCAATAAGATATCAGCAACAAGCATTGCTATATGTGTATTTTCCAGTGCATTTTTTGCATCCCATTTCGGCCATTCATCAAAAGAACCATGTGTACAAGCATCGATCTTAAATTTCAGATTTTTAAATGAATTACAAAATTTTTATGAAATTTTCACTTTTCGGGATTTTTAGGATACCTTTTCTAAATTAATTTATTTGTAGGATCAAGAACAAGAATTGCTGGATGTGCTTTATGATCCAACATTTCCTGCAATTCACTCAAAAAGTGGAAAATTTGTTCCACCTGAGAAACTTTTATCACCGCTTGGATCTTTTGCTTTTTTTTCTTCTATTTCTGTTGTTCCTGCCGCTGCGTCACCTATAGCTTCACCATCTCAAATCTTCATATTCAAGATATTTCTAAATCAAAAGCACCTCCAACTGCTCAGTAAATATTTTAATTTTTTGTCTGAACCGGAGATGAAGATTTGAGATGGTGTAGCTATAGGTGACGCAGCGGCAGGAACAACAGAAATAGAAGAAGAAAAAGCAAAAGATCCAAGCGGTGATAAAAGTTTCTCAGGTGGAACAAATTTTCCACTTTTTGAGTGAATTGCAGGAAATGTTGGATCATAAAGCACATCCAGCAATTCTTGTTCTTGATCCTACAAATAAATTAATTTAGAAAAGGTATCCTAAAAATCCCGAAAAGTGAAAATTTCATAAAAATTTTGTAATTCATTTAAAAATCTGAAATTTAAGATCGATGCTTGTACACATGGTTCTTTTGATGAATGGCCGAAATGGGATGCAAAAAATGCACTGGAAAATACACATATAGCAATGCTTGTTGCTGATATCTTATTGGACGTTGAAAAGGTTTTCTAAAAGGATTATCTTAAAAAATCATTAAAAACAGAATTTGGATTTATTCACTTGCGTGGAGTGAAAAGTACTAACTTATTCTAGAAAAAAATTATTTTTTAAATAAAATTAAATAAAAAATAATACCTTAATGCACTCATCATTGTGTGGTTTTACTCTAATAATTTTATTATATTTGATCTTCAAATTTCCGTTGCAACGGATTTGTTTTTTTTGATTCAATTCGCAACGAAATATATTACCCTCTTTGTGATAATATTTAAATCCTCCGTGAAAAATAGTTTTATTCTTCGTTGCTATTTGAGAAGAAATTTTTGGTGTTGAATTATTAAATCCACTATAAATATAAAAGTTTAGAAATTTGATTGATTGTGAGGAGTCAGGAGAAATGCTGGGTATGCCTTCAGGAGCTAGCTCTCAGCTCCAGTGGAGCTAAGATTTTAAAAAGACCTTAGCCTAAAAAAATTTGAAGTGTAGGAACCGGAGCCACAAAATGTCCATTACCTGCAACTGCTGAAGGGTATGAAAAAATTTGAAAAATATTCGAAATAAGATGCCCACAAAAATTCCTAGCTCACAGCTATGATTTTTATCATTAAAATTTTTTGCATATAAAATTTTATTATTAAATTTTTGTTGTGTTAATTATCTTTATTCATTTCTTTTTTGAATAATAATACCTTTGTTAAAATTATAAATATTTTTTCAAATTTATAAAATTTTGCTAGACTATAATGTCATTAGCAGAAGAAAAAACCCTACTTGATTCACTTGCTTTACAACTAGGGCTACATTATTTTTCAGAATTTAAAACAACCGCTGATGATTTAATTAAAGGTCAAAATACTCCAAATAAAGGTTTGAATTTAAAAAAGGTTGGATTATTTTTCTAATTTTAGAACAAAAACAGAGGAAAGCTTTGTTGTCGTTGAGAAGAGCCATCCTTTGTTTTCATGCTCGTTACCCTATGTTGAGTGAACGTTGTTATCGAGAAGGTTTGTTTTAGTTGATGAGTAGGCTCTGGTTGGTTTATGAGCAGTGATTGTACACGTACAAAAATTTGTACTTGCTCGTACTGATGCAAAATAAGAGTACGAGGCCAAAAATCGGAGGTTCCAAATACTAGCAAAATCGTAATTTGCACATTGACCGGGTATCAAAAATAAACAAATTGTATTCTATTCACATTTTACACTTGATTAGGGCCTGAAAATTTCGGTTATGCTTGTACGTTTATTTTGCATCGAGAACGAATTTTGGGACGAGTGTATAAGCACTGTTTATAAGTCTTTGTAGGATCCCTGAAAGGTAAACGGATTCTCTTGTGGAACCCAAAACCAAACTTGCAGGCGAGATAATTTTTATAATCAGCTCCACGGGGCGCTTAAAGCTTCATGCGACTCATAATCAGAGCTGCGTTGAATTTTGGATTTTTTTAATAAAATTTCGGATTTCTTACGATTTTCGAAGATTTGTTTCGACGCAGCTCTGCTCATAATCAATAGCCAATATATCTAGATTTTAGGTGCCTTGTTTATGGATCAAATATCTAATGGAGACAAGAGTTTACTTCAATTACGAAATTTGTTTAGCATGTTAATATATCAAACAAGATGTAATACAGATGCTTCCTCATCTAATGCTGATTTAACACAATGAAATAAAAATTTTTTTAAACGTTTTTTTAATTTTTTAATTTTTATGGATTTTCCATATTTATGTTGAAACTTTTTTGTGATCATTTTAAAATTTTTTTTTAAATCTAGGAAATGTCAAAAATGCGTTCTGCACTTTGCAGTCCTGATGGTTCAGTTCGTTTAGCTTGCCTCAGAACACTTTTTCAAAATTTTGATTCATTTGAATATTCATTGGTAATTTTTAAATTTTATTTAAAAATGGTCCTTTGTATTTCTGTTTTTTTTATAAAATTTTTGGGGTTTCCGTTGTACTTCAGGCAATTACACAAGGATTTGGGTTGGTCCCATAACTTTGTTGTTAACCTTCCCTTGGGAGGTTTTTCCGTTGTGATTCCGTTTGTTTCCCTTTTAAGTAGTTTGAGGAGTGTCCGGCTGATGAAGCAACTTCCCCACTGTTGTAACAATTTTTTTTGTTCCTAATGACTGCAAAAAAATTTTTTACCTTACATCAGTTAAAATTTGATTTCCTTTTAAATAGTTTGTGGAAGCAGTCAAAGAACTTTTTGCGATTTTAATAGAAGTTGAAGAGTGCCCAGCAGATTTTAATAATTATCGACAACGTGCTCAACTCCTTAGGCGTATTAAATTTACTTCATTTGAGAAGATCTTTTCTGACACTGAAAATAATATTAAAGAATTAGGAAATGGAACAAATATAGCCATGGTATTTTTTTAAATTTTTTTATAAAAAATCGAAAATTTTTTAGTTGGTATTGGATTGGCTTTTCGCGCAGTTTTACGAACGCTTTACCCTTTATTGGCCATTACTTGTTGAACCAATAGAATCTTATGCTCGTGGAATTGGTTTTGATGGATTTTGGAATTGTTTTGAAAATGCTATGGATTTTTGTTGGGAAAAAATTTTTGAAATGAAAAAGGAAAAGGAAGGAGAAAGCAGTCAACAACTTCCTCCAGATTTTAAAGCTTTTCGACTTCAACTTTTACGTCTACTAATTAAACTTCCAATTAATACAATAAAACCGGAAAAGAAAACAAAATATTTATCTCCAAAATTTTTGCGCTTATACAGGTTAGTATTCTGATTTTTTGGGACGGATATGAAGACCCGGGGGATTTTTTGGGGGATTTTTGCGTACTCAAATTCTTCGTAGGTGGGCCTGCCTGTTGTGAAATAGTCGGGACCGAGGGGGTCTTCTGTAGAATTTTTTTGCGGACTCTTCAGTCTTTTGTAGTAGATGGGCCTGATTTGAAAAAAAGTCGTACCTGGTTTTCATAATTTTTTTCGGATCGGGTCTTTGATCGAAGAAAGGTCCTGATTGAGTTTTTGATAACTCAATCATTCTCTTTTTTATATTTAGAGAAGAATTCGTTCAAATAGATGAATTTGTCAATACTTCAAAAATGGAAGAGGAAAATGAAGGGAGCAAAACAAATAATGATGATCAAGGAAAAGAATATCTACGCCCATTAAACTTTAATTCAAAAACAGAAGCAATTAAACCATTAAAAGCTATGCTTTCTTTATTTGGCAAATTTAATAATCCTAAGCAAATTTACAAAGAAGAAGAAATAAAAGAAATGTATTATGAGGTTATTTGAAATCTATTCTGAAAATTTTTTTATTTTAAGCTTCTTCTAGTCAATGAATCTGAAATACAGCGACTTGCACTAGGATGTTTGTGTTGTTACAAGTACAATTGGCTAACCCCTTATAGGTATTTTTAAAAGTGAATTATAATCGGACCTTATTATAGGGTACACTAATGAGGCTGTAAATTGTCTTTTTTAAGGGAGTGTATTTTAAATAGAGGGTACGTTAAAATCAGCGCTACTGATAAAATTCTCTTAACGTCCAACTGAGAGACGTTCAGCTTCAAATGCCAAATCCCCAAAATCCCTCGAAATACCACACTTCCCAGTGATTATCCTTTTTGAAACGTATTTAAAATGGGGGAAAAAAGTCGGGCGGGTGTTTCAAAAATTTTTTCGGATTGGCTCTTTGATGAAAGAAAGGTTCTGATTGAGTTTCTGGTAAGCGAGGTCCGATTATATTTTTGCTTATATTTTTTAAATTGCAACAATGCCGAGGTGTGGGATTCATTTTCAAATCCCAATATTCTCATGCGATATGTTGCTATATAATATTTAAAAAAATAGTTTTTTGAGGTAAACGGTGCAAATAATATTTTATAAATTCATTATTTGTAAACTTACCCCTACATTTAAGAAATTTTTTTAATTTTAGGACTTTATTTAACAATTTTATTAATTTTACAGAGCATCTTTGGAGCGTCTTTTAAATGAAAAATCTTTTCGTGAGCAACTTGTACTTTTTAGTGTAGATTCTCAACAAACAGAAGCTCTCGCAAGTGAACAACATGGACGAACAGTTGGAAAAAATTCGTCGAATACAGTTCCACTTTTAGAAGAACATCGAAAAGATTTTATTCCAATTTTGTTAAGGTTTCCTTTTGAAATTTTTCAATTCGATATTTTTTATTATTTAGAATTCTTTATGGTTCCTTACACACACATGTTCCTCAAAGAGGAAAGGCTAGACGTATTGCTATTTTTCGTTTTTTGGCAAATTGTTTATCTGATGAATTGCAACTTTTTCTTCAACTTATATTTGGCCCTATTTGTTCATTTTTTGGTTTTAATTTTTATTCTAGACACGGGTGGACCTCACTATAAGATATACCCTTGGGTTAAAAAAGTCGTTTATAATGAGTTGTAACTTAAACAAGGAGTTTAGCTTAGAATATGTTGCCGTAATGCCATAAACCATTTCGCTTTCTTGTGTTTGGTATTTCGGCGTTTTGGCAACGGCGGCTCTTTTCTGGTCTTAAATATCTACTCGCATTGGCAACCATATTAAATTGAGGTTTATCTAGAGGGTATCTTATAGTGAGATTCACTTTAATATCTCTATGTAAATAAATAAAAAAATTTTTTTAAGAAAGTGACGATACAAAGACTGATATTTCTATCTCTAAAACGTTGAAATCCCTTAATGACAAAAAGTCTCAAGTTTCATCAGTTTCTCTAAATAAACTCAAAAGGTTTGATTTTTTTTTATTTTTAATATTTTTTACATAATTTTTTAGCATTCTTGGCTCCTTGACAGATTTTTTCATTTTTCTTGGTCCTTCTCTAAGTGATTTTCAAACAAATTTTCTTTTTAATATTTTGCTTTTATCTGGAAAAATAATTTTGCTGCGTGACCAAATGTTTTGTGAAAGAAATTTAATAGAAGACGAAAGTATGCCATTAATCAGACAATTGAAAAACTTGAGACTTCTTTTTATGGAAACGATTACTAAGGTTTAGAATTTTATAATAATTAAGGTTGCCAAAATGGACCGACTCGGATCGAAAGATCGAGTCGGGCCTAAGATATTTGGTCTGAATAAGACTCGTATATTTCAGGAAAGTGAGGGAAAAAAGAAATAATTAAGGAAAAAGAGGGCTTAATCACCGAAATTTTTTTTGTAATATTTCGACTAGAGTAGCTGAAGGCCGGTTAACCGCCCGGTTAATGTTTTCATGTGGCGGGTCAAAAAGAGAAGGGGAAGAGAAAAGACCCGCCACAGGTAAAAATTAACTGGGCGATTAACCGGCCCTGTTCTACTCTAATTTCTATTGAAGGAATAAAGAAATGGGAACATACATATAACTGAAAATACAATCTTATTTTTTGGATAAATTAAATTTTTTAATTATTTAGTTTCTTCAAACCTTTGAGACTCGTATTATTTTTGTTACTTCAATTGAAACGTTTTTCAACGAAATTTTGACTCCTTTAATCGAGAATAAAGGAAAGGTTGTTGCTTCTCAACAAAAGTGTTTGATTTTATTGCCATCTTCATTAATTAAACTGTTTTGTTTTTGGATAAAAATAAGAAGGTTTTTTTTGGTTAAAAAAATTTTTTTAAATAAAATTACTAGATATCAACCATTACTTAATGTCCCCTTATTGATCCGAACTACTACAAATTTGGAAAGTGATGCTATTGAAAAAACAATAACTACTACACCTTTTTCATTGCTTTGTGATCAACTTTTAATATTCAATAAAGAAGATGTTAACAGAATAAAAAATGCACATGTTGAAATTGTGCAAGCTTGTAGTTTATTGCTTAACTCTTTGGTAAATTTTTATTTTTTTTTAATTTAAATTTTGTTTTTAGGATGATCAAATTTTTGTTCCAGATGAAAACGATTTTTCTTTATTACTTCCTCAAGCACAAATACAACATGAGAAAATCGAAACAATTAATGAAAACAGTAAAGGTAAGAAACTTTTAAAAATTTTTGTTCTTGGATCTCACTATAAAATACACCCATGGAACAAAAAAGCCGTTCTTTTATGAGTTTTATTTTAACAATAAGCCAAGGGCGTAGCCAGAGGGTCGATTTCGGGGGGGGGGGGGGGGGGGGCTAACACTGGGTGTGCGCAAAATTTTTGGCGTTTACCTTGGCGTTCTGGACGCAAATTTTTTTGAACCATATTTTTATTTTTTTCAGCGCCGCAGGCGAAAATTTTTTTAATTTTAGAAGGCCGTAGGCCAAAAAATTCACTTTTTCGGCGCCGCAGGCGCCAAAAATTGTGATTTTCAGCGCCGCAGGCGAAAATTTTTTGAATTTTGGAGCTCAGAAACCAGATTTCTTCCATTTTAGCGCCGCAGGCGAAAATTTTTAAAATTATGAAGGCCGTAGGCCAAAAAAATTCACTTTTTTGCTAATTCTTCTCCTAATTTTTCTCCCCTTTCTCCCATTTCGGGGGGGGGGCTTTAGCCCCAGAAGCCCCCCCCTTGGCTACGCCCTTGCAATAAGCACAGGTTTAGGTTTTCTTACCTATAGGAAAGTGTGCGGCATTATCGCAAATCCGGTGGCCTGTTTCGGTTTTTTCAAAAGGTCGACAGGTTCAAGATCCCGCGGGATTAATCCGAAAATACTGGTTCTCGTTTAACCAGCTCCCAAAACCAATGCTCAAATAAATTTTTAAAAACGTCTCTCAAATTTATGTCTATCTTATAGTGCCGTCCGACTTATTATTTTTTAAAATTTTTTTAGTTACATTTGGAGTTGGCCTAATTCTTTCCAAATCAAATGTCAGCAAAATTCTTCAGCATTTATCTCATTTTATTGGTGGGGACCATTCAAAGATTGCTCGTTTGCCACCAATTTATTTTGAATTTATTAACAAGTTTATTTAAAAAAATTATTTTAGATGTATTTTTTAAATTTTAGGCTAAGTTCTCTCACTCACGATCCAGAATTTGGTCAACTTTTTGCACAAACACTTCTTTTATACATTACAAATAAAAATGGAAAGGTGTTACGTCGTCAATCTATTGATAAAGTTTATAATCTTCTTTCAACTTTTACCAGACTTTGTGTTCATTTGGAGAATCCTTTAATTGCAATTCGGTTAGTTTTTGAGATTTTTTTAAATAAAAATTTTGTTTAAAGTTTAATCAGTCCTCTTTTCTCAATTCTTAATGGACGGCAGGCACGAGAACATCTTGTTGGAATTTGTTCAGCTCTATGTGCAAACAAGCAAATGATACAGGAAGCGGGATATTTGCTAAAGGTTTGTTGAACTTTCAAGCTATCGACGAGGTTGTTGAAGACTAGGCTACTTGTTGAAAGCTTTTACTTTTTAAAGTACCTCATTATGAGGTGAGGTTTTGTCAGTCATGTAAGGGGTCCGTCCAGTGATCTCTTCTACTGGATTCGAGGGGTGTTTATAGCGAGCTCCAAGTGTGTCTTACAATGAGGGCCAGGAGGTATATTATACTGACCATGGGAACTTGTAGTGAGGTCCATTGGGTTTCTTACAATGAGGTCTAACTTTTGTTAATCCTTATACATATTTATAGTTGATAGAGTCACTTGAAAGTTGGGATGCTAGACGAATATCTGAACCAGATGCTGAACGGCGATGTGAAGCACTTTTATGTTTACACGACTTGTACGAACGCTGCGACCTTGACAAGCTTCTGGTTAACGGTGCTCATGAATTTTTGCCTTTGTTTGCTCATTCACATGCTCATGCTATGATTAATGTATTTTTAAATAAATTTTAAATTTAATTTTTTATAAAAAATTTTTAGTCTTCCGACATTTCTTTACGCGGTGCTGCATCCAATTGTTTTCGACAATTAATCATATTTGCCTCAAAACAACTAAATAATTTGGAGAATTCTGATTCTTTTAATCCTTGTGATTTTTTGCATTCACATTTGATACCACTTGTGATAAAAGGCATACAGTCTGGTAACGATGAGAAAATGGAGGTTATTTTACTTAATTTTTACAAGGATAATTTTTAAAAATTTTAAATTCAGCCTGTTCGACAAGAATTTTTTCAATGTTTGATACAACTTATGCGTTCATTTCCTTCGGATTCTCATTTGACAGCGTTGAGAGAAATTGGTGGAGATTCGATGATAGTTGATGATAGTGATACGAAAGGTTTTATTTTTATTACATCCTCACCTCACTATAAGATAGAACTTTAAATTTGCTTGCCTACTGAGTGAGCGAGAGACCGAGGCAATACATTCCAATTTAAGATACACTTTATTATAAAATCCCAATCTATTTTATAATGAGGTCTGACTATATTAGACTTCAATTTTACTTAAATTGTTTGTACTATTATCTTTTAGATCAAGAAATGGATTTTTTCGAATGCGCATTACATATTCAGACACATAAACGCAAACAAGCTTTTAATCAACTTGCAAAACGTTTAAATAATGATGAGGTAATTTTTCATTTTTTATTTTTTTTTCATTTCCACAGCTTAAAATCAGTCATGTACCTTTAATTCAATACATTTTGCCAATCATCGAGCCTTATTTCCTTGAAAATGCTCCAAATCGTGTAGCGCTAGCTGAACAAGCTTTAAATTTGTTTACTGCTATTCTCAAAAGGGTTCCTTGGCATAAATATGTAAAAATTCTGATCAAATATATGAATCAAATTAACATTGAAGAACGTACAAAACAGGCTGTTCGGTAAATTTCATAAATATACCAGGGATTCACGGGTTAAGAAATAAGAGTTTGGGCAGGTTTCGGGTCAATAGGGGGATTAAAATGGAAAAGGTTGGTTCGGGTTTGGAAAAATTTCTCGGATCGCATTTTGGGTCGGTTGAAAGTCCGGAACGGAAGAAAGTCGGGCTTTCGGGTAACTCGTGACATCTCCGAAATATACTTTTATGTTTCGTTTTATCCTTTTTTTAGTTTGGTGATTGCAACACTTGATGCTTTTCATTTTGATCTGCGTGATTTAAAACAAAATTTAGAATCAACTTCTACTATTACAGTTACTGAAGAAACGCTGGATCAAAAGAAATCTAAAAATTCAAAACAACAAATTTTTGCATTTGTAAATGGAAAAATACTTCCAAAACTTAGAGAATTGCTTCGACCAAAGGTTGCAGCTTTTTTATGTAATTTAGACACGCTTTTTTCAGACCCAATTCAATAGTCATAAACGAGCTCAGAATTTTACTTCAAACATTTTTCAATATGAAGATGAAAAGTTACTTCGAGCTCCATTGGTTTTAGCGACAGCTAGGCTTTTTAAATGGCTTCCTCAACGTGTTGTGGATCAAAATATGAATGGGTTAGTTAATCTTTATTTTCTTGGAAACCAAGTACTTTTTTTATTCGAAAGAATCTGACGGTTCCTGAGGTTTTTTGGAACCATTTCCTGATGTTTTCTAAAATTTTAATGACTCCACGGTTCCTTCATTCGCTTCCCGAACTCCTTCAAGATCGTGAAGACACTGAATTAAATTTCTTTGCTAAATATTTTTAATATTCTAGTTGTCTTCTTACTCTTAATCATTTATTGATGAGTCGTTCAATTAGTGTTAGGCAAGGTGCTCGAAAGTTGTTGATAAATCTTGTTAAAATTGTTGGTCCTTTACAATTTCCTCATATAATTCGTGAACTTAAACAAACTATGAACAAAGGATATCAGGTTTTTAATATTTCTTTTAATTCTTTAATAATTTTTTTTTATTTGTAGATTCATGTTATGATATTTACGGTTCATGCATTAATCAGCGCGATAGCCGAAGATTTAAAACCAGGCGACTTGGATTCCTGTTTGCGTGAATTACTGGAGGTTTCTTTTTAATTTTTATAAAATTCAATAAAATTTTTATAAAAATCAATAAAAGATTCAATAAAATTTTTTGAGAAATTTTTTTAAATTTCTTGAGGAAAAAGACTTTAAAATCAATTTTCTCTTTTTAAAAGATATGCAAATGGGAAGCTTTTGGCAATGACCAATTCGAGGAATCGTTTAATAAAGATGGACAAACACAACAACTTCGCTCCGAATCTCATGGTGTTCCTGAAGCAAAAACTAGCAACAATAAAACATCTGAAACGCTCACACAGATTGGACGATTTATTGGTAGTGAAAAGGCACTGAATGAAATTGTTTTGGAACATATTCGTGAAGTATATAATTTTTTGTACAGTCGAAACTCACTACTATATAAGATACCTCTTATGTTAGGGCTAAAAAATTGTAGCTTTTATGGATGTATTCTATTTTAAATAGAGGGACGATTATTCAAAGATTGCTTATTTCACATATGTTAGATAGGCAGTTTCCCCACTCACTTGCTTAAATAGAGGTGTGTGTGTGTTATAGTGAGTGTTTCTTATAATGAGATCTGATTCTATATAGAGAAATTTTTATTTTTTTTAAAGATAGTTGAAGCCAGTCCAAAAGCTGAAACAATAAGAAAGCTTTCAGAGTGGCTTAGAGCTTTAAGTGCCGGTTTACGAATTAATGCTGGTGGTATTCCTCCTCTCCAACAACTTAATTTCTCGTTGAACTTGGCTCGTAAAAGCATGCGACACATGGAAGAAGACAAGGTTAGAGATTTACTATTCTTACTCTAGAAACTTTCTTTTTTTTATTTTAGCAAAGGCTGAATAGCTCACAACATTTGGCAACAGATAAAAGTTCATTGAGGCCTCCAAATTGTTTATTATTACCAACAGAACCAAAAAGGTAAAATTCAACCTTTCGAAATTATCGGCCCAATTCAGGGTTTTTATATTCACTTGGAGCAAAGGCGGGCTTGGAACTTGTGAGATATACCAGATTTTCTTGAAAAATATTGGAGGTTTTCCTTTTTTCGGGCCTGATCAGATATTAGAGTTGTTGGCGGCCGGTTAATTTATCCCTATAGCGTCTCAATTGCTCATACCTACTAATTCTCTATTTGAGCCACCATAGGGAAACATTAACCGATCACCAACAACACTACTTTTAATCACTCTTTTTGAAGAGTACTAGATATAATTTTTATTTGAAAATTTTGAAGTTTTAATTTATACAAAATTAATTTTAACAGACTTGGAGTTATCCATCGTATTGCAATTAAAAGCAAAATGCACATTTTTGTTGAATTTGCTTTACAAATTTTGGTTGATCAATTAAAAGGACGTTCAGTAAATGTTGAAACAGAAAATGAAATTTGTTTGTTTTTTATTTTTAATTAATTTTAAATTTAATTTTTTATAGTGATTGAAGAAGAAAATACTCCAGTTTTAAACTCAACTCAGGCTAATTGTAAGGAATTCATTCCATTATTGGACCAGTTTGTCCCGCTTCTTTTGGAAGCTCTCAAAAAGAAGTATGACAAGGTAAAGTTTAAGTTGTACAGTCAGATTTCGATATAGAATACCTTTAGACCTCATTATTCCAATCTCTTATAATGAGGTTAGATTTTTTTCGACCTTTCTATATTTTGGGTCCTAATTCTTTGATTCTATTCTTCCTTGGACTAACATGAGGCGAGCCTGAGCTTGTGAAATCCGTCAGATTTCCTAAAAATGTAGTGGTCTTCAGACCTCAAAACCTCATTATATTATATAATACACATCCAGACCTCACTAAAAGCTATGATTTTTCCACTCCCAATATGTTATTTATTTTATAATAAAATTTTTTTCTAGATCACTGCACTCTCCCTTCTTTCAATATTTTATTTATTTAAATGGCCTTTGGAATCTTTAAATTCACGTCTCTCAGAGCTTTTTGATCTACTTTTTGTTGTTCTTAATGATTATGCATCTCTTGGACAATCTGGCAATCGTCCAACAATTATAGAATTACATATAAATCTTTTCAAATGTTTCACTCATCTTTTGCGTTCTGCACCAATTATTTCTTTATTAAATACGGATAGATTACAACTTTTATTAAATTATGTGGAGACTGATATTCTTGATCAACAAAAACAAACAACTGCTTTCAATTTAATTAAGGCTATAATTAATATGAAAATTGATGATGAAAAGGTTTGTGTTATTTAATTAATGATGAATAAATGGGTGTTAGCTTTCCGGTTCTAGGTAATTTTTTGGGTATCCGAAACTTAACATAAGAACCGAAACTGATCTCCTTGATTCTTTCTTTCGTTCTTTTGATCGGTGGAGCAGGTTATCCTAAGCCAGAAATCTGAAACCTAGTCCTAAGAAATTTTGAAACTCCTTTCTGTCACGTGTTCCGAGTTATTCAGCCCGACCCATATCTCTTCTAAATCTGAACAAAATAACCGTAAATGATCTTCTCGAGTCTTTCTTTGCTTCAGCTCCGAACCGACAACCTTACAGCAATCTAAATTAAATTTTCATTTATTTTTTAGATAACAAATATTATTGAATATTTATCAGAAAAGGCAATAACTTCACTTTCTACAAATATTCGAAGCCAATGCCGACAGGTTTATTTTACAAAAAAAATTTTTATTCAATTAATTTTTTCCAGACAGTTCTTCTTTACCTAATAAATCATCCTCAAGGAATGCGTAATTACGAGTATTGGATGGAATTCTTTCTAAATCAGACTGAATATGAAATTGTTGATGGTCGTTTATCTGCATTAGAAGTGGTTAATTCTATTTTGAGTGAATTTACGGAAGTTTGTTTTTTATTTTTTGCTACATTCGAGCCTTAGAAACTTTCTATTTAATACACAATTATAAAATACCCTCAATTTAATGCACACTTCATTATAAGCTACACTTCTATTTAAGAGACACCTCATTATAAGATGCGAATTCCAATGCAGTATCTTATAATGAGTCGATACCCTTTATTTAACATACACTTCATTATAAGCAACTATTTTCCAATCCCAATAGTTGTATCTTATAATGAGGTTAAACTGTTCATTTTTTTAAAAATAGGAAGCAAATGATCGTTATGCAATGCTAGTTTTCTTAAAATTGGCTGCTCGTTTACAAAATGAAGATAACGAGCAATGTCTTCAATTTATTGTTATTTGTTTGCGTAAACTTTTTACTTCAATTACTGAAAGTTTATTTATTGATTTGCATTCAGCAGCAACAGATTGGCTTTCAGCACGAAAGGTTTTTTTTGAATTTAATATATAAAAAGAGCAGGCCAGTTTATATTAGGGATGGGTCGTGTTGAGAAAAATTCGGGTTGAGTTTGGGTTGAGAAAAAAGACCGTGTTTGGGTAACCATACTCGTCCGCTTGTTCTACATCACATCGAGCCCAGTTTACAGATTCTCATATCTAGACGTAAAAATTTCATAGGAAGCCAATTTTGGCACTAACGGCTCAGCTCGATGATAAATGTTAGAATTAGTTTAATCGGACTTTTATCCCTCTATGTATAACTCCCGCGTTGTTAGGATGGATGATTGGTGAAGGGTCTTAAAACTTTTTTAATTTTTTAAAAAAATTTCCAGCCATCAATTCGTGTTCTTGCTTGGCGTTTATTTACTCAATTTGTTTTGTCTAATTCGTCTCATTTTACTAAACATTTATTATTGAAAATTGTTCGAAAAACTTTTAAAGAGTTTTGTATTGAACCAAACAAATTCTCGTCTTCAGATGTAAGAAAATTTTTAAAAATTTTGTAATTTTTTTATATTTTTTAAAGGTGTCACTTGATTGTAAATTATCTTTCTGTGAACTCCTTAATGCCGTTGCTGAGAATAATCCCGAAGAACTTTTTAATGGAATCTTTGAATTTGATAATCAACTTGATGAAACAAAAAAATTTAAAAAAACATTGAGAAAGCGAAAATTGAAGCGAATTGAAAAAGATGAAGGAAGTGAAAATTCGGACATTCATCAGCACAACTTTGGGAATTTTATTGGTAAATTTTCTTAAAATTTAGTCGAACCCCATTATAAGATACTCCCAATATTGGAGACATCTCTATTTAAGAGACGGCGTTTTAAAATTAGGTTAACCACTGTGATAGGGAGCTGTCTAAGCGATACACTTAATTAAAGATACCCTCAACAGTAGATCGCTTCGTTATATGTTGCTCTCCATATTAGACACACTTTACAGATACGCTCGGAAAGGGCTATCTAGGCAATTCTATTTAAGATACATCTCATTATAAGGACGACTTTTAAGACCCCTTGGAGTATATCTTATAATGAAGTCAGACTATTTTAAAAAATATTTTTTTCTAGAAAATTTGGAGTTTTGTCTTTTATCTGTTAAACATCGAAATGAACAACAACAAACATCTGAAAGCTTAAAACTTTCAATTTGTGCAGCTACATTTTTAAATACATGGATTGGACATTTAAATATTCGGGAAAAATTGATTAATTTATTAAATAAAAGGTTGTCTTTTTTTAATTTTTGAAAGGGAAATTTTATTTTTTTGTAGAACAAATACAGACGAAAACAACAAAGATGGCAGTAAGCTTTATTCTTTATGTATTTGCCTTGTTTCATTGCTGGAAAATGGGAGAAGAAGAGGAAGAAAAGATGAAGAATCGAAAAATAAAAATGAAAAATTAGAAGAAGAGGCAGGGGAAGAGGGTGAAGAAGAAGAAAAATTTATAAAAAATGAAGAAGAGGAAAATTTGGAGGAAGAAAATTTTGAGGAAGAAACTTGTGAAGACGACAAAATTCAATTTAATCAGGAAAATACAAAAGAAGAAAAAAGAGAATTTTGGAATGATACTTTGTCTGATTTGGTTTATTTTTTTATTTTTTTTAATTAAACTAATTTTTATAGGCAATACGCTTACTAACCCATTTTATGCTGGCTTTGGATATTCCCAAGCAATTTGAAATTTTATGCAGACGATTGTCTAGGATTTGTTGGATTGAATCTGTTAAGGAGACAGGAAAGACGAAAAAGGTTTGTGAAATAGTTTTTTAAATAGTTGGTTCCAGACTACTTTTTATGTTCTTAAAAACTGTTGGGGAATTGTCTCTTATAATGAGGTGTATATTACATAAAAATATCACTTAAGGGGCTCATCCATCCTTCGGACTGCTTCTGTCTGTTCCCTTCAGACTACTTCCTGTGTCCCTTCCAAACTACTTCCTATGTTCCTTCCAGACTACTTCCTATGTTCCCTTCAGACTACTTCCCATGTTCCCTTCAGACTACTTCTTAAGTTCCCTTCAGACTACTTCCTCTCTGTTCCTTTCAAACTACTTCCTAGGTTCCCTTCAGACTACTCTCTATGTTCCCTTCACATGGGGTTAATAGTGGATGTGTATCTTCTAATGAAAACCGAACTAAATTTTTATTCTTCAGCGCCTTTGTATCTTCAAAATGATTGGAGTATTAATATTAAAATGTGATACAAATTCTGAACGTTTTGGACATCTTGTCAACAATTTCTTGCCTCTGCTATACCGTGAAATGAGCGATTCTTTAAGAATATCAGAAGAAAAAAATAAAAATGAAGAATTGCAAATATTGGCATCTGAAGTTGGAAATCTTTTTAGAAAACAATTGGGAGATAGAGAATATTCAACACAACTTGCCAAATGTCAACGAGAAACAGATGAACGAAGGCAGAAGAGAAGAGAACAAGCAAAGGTTTGATAAAGGGGTTTTAGGGATCATTTTGACGCCTTGACGTTTGGGCGAGATTCAAAACTGGCACTCAGCCTAAATAAAAACTCTTGAAAATTTTCTCAAATTTTATTACCATCCATGGCTAACACCTCTAGAGATTTCAAAATTTTTATAGTTCATTTCTGGAGTTATAGTCAATAGGCCTAAACGTCTCGCGCCTAAACATCCCTTGAAAAGAAATTGTCTAATTTTTTTCAATTTAGGCAATGTTAATTTTAAATCCATCAACAGCAATTACAATTAAACAAAAAAGGCATTTACGTAAAAGAACAACAAAAATGAGAAAAATGGATGAAATTAAGCCTTATAGAGCCTTCAAGAGGAGGAGAAGAGAGGAAGCTTTGCAAAGGATAAGAAGTGAGGAAGTTTAATTTTTTGAAGGTTTTTGTTATTGTTGATTTATATATATTCTAAATTAAAAATATTTTTTTAAATATCTCAAAAAAATACCATAAACAAATAACTAAAATTTTTTCTTTTAAAATAACAAGAGATCAAAAAATAAACGACTAGGTTCTTTCAAACATCCAAAGTCTCCTGAGTAACTCCATGCAAAAGCGGAGTGTCTGCCTCCTCATCAGTAGGTTCATGTTCCCCAGCAACAACAGCATCAATTTTTGCGTCGACAGCATCAAAAAGAGGTTGAAATTGCTGAAAATTTTGTAAGAGATTATTTTTGTTTGGCGGGATTATTGGCGAGACTACCCAACCCTCTGAATTCGATATCAGACCGGAAAACAACGGAAGAATTCAATATCCCGGCTCGCCACCCCTACTAGCTGAAAACCCGAGTGAAATTCCAAACCTTTTCAAGCTCATAAACCTTCTGATAGAATTGAGTCTCAACTTGTAAAGATTCCAATTGAAGTTTTTTCAAAGCACGTACACGTTTAATGACAGGCCGAGACCACTTAAAAAAAATAATTTAAAGACTTTAAATCTTCAAAAAAAAACAGTCGGTTTATGAAGCATTGAAGTCTCAGATACCACATGTTGACAAGCTTCTACTGTATTGCTCACAACACGCGATTTTGTTGCCGATGAGGGAAATGCTGATCGTGAAGGAATAAGCTTTTCATATACAACAATTATATCATCATCCTGAATTTCCTCTTTAACTTTGACCAAAGGATTTGAAGCTAAAGTTAAAGTTTTAATAATAAATTCTAAATCGCTTACCTCTAGAGAAAGGATGAAAGAAAGGACAAAAAGGCCGTTCACACTCCTCCCCTTCATCATCAAAAGGACACCTTGAACGCGAAAATGTATGACGGCGAGCGCCCAAATGAATCATTTTTACCTAAAAAATCATTCAAAAATCATAAACCTTATTTAAAATATAAACATGAATACAATCATTTAAACAACTAAGTCCATCCCCTAGTCCATGCATTTCGGAACTTTCACTTTATCATCAAATATTTTTGATTTAGACAAATACCTATTTTTAAATTTACATCTCAAAAATACCATAAACAAATAACTAAAATTTATTTCTTTTAAAATAACAAGTGATCAAAAAAAAATAAACGATAAATTTAAATCAGAATATATCCTTTCCATTTTAATTCCAAACAATTTCTTTCTCTCAACGCTTAAAAACACGAATAGTTTCACCACCAGCTCCACCAAGACGAACAGCTTCTTGACCACCACCATCAGACAAATCCGAGTCGTCATGAATCCCATCATTATCGTCCTCCCCATCTTCATCATCCTCGTCATCTTCCTCATCATCAAAGTCATCCATATCATCCGTAGCTTCACCAGTGAAGAACAAGACCGCACGCGAAACAACCTAGACGTGGGAAAATTGAATTTTGGGTTAGAAAAATAGAAAGAGGCATCTTAAATGTGGATGTCATCTAGTCAGTTTGCCCAGTCCAATGGACTATCTAAAAAGGGGTGTACTCATTATAGTCTCTTATAATGAGATTATTTTAAAGGTTATCCAGTGTATTTGGGGTGCATATCGTTAGGCCGCTAACCCATCAAAGGCAGCTAACCCATCACAATAACAGCAATTTTAAAAATGGGTTCCAGTATTATAAGAAATCTATGGGGTATCCTATAGAGTCCGTAATGTATATTAATTCAAAAAGACCACAATACCTGATCCCGAATAATTTGTCCAGTCTCAAAATCATCACGGATCTTCTCCTCGTCCTCCTTCTAAAAATTATTTTTTTTTTATTTTTGAAAGTTAAAAAACCTCCAAATCATCATCCAAAGCTTGCTCAACATTTTCAAAGAAGTTGAAAAAACTCTCGTTCCTAACCGTTTTCGTGACAAATTTTCCGGCACTAGGTCCTTTCTTCTTTTTGGTTTTGATAATTTTTGTAGTCACATCTTTACCAGCATTCCAATTGATCTCACAACCTTTGCTTTTAACAACAGTTGGTCCATCATAATCAAACCTATTTTTAAAGAATTGGAATTAATTTATAGTCTTCACAATTTTAAGGTCAAATGATATAGGAAAGGAATTTTTGAAGCCCCTTATAAGAACTGGATTGGCTTTGGTAAATCGTACAAAGCCAATCGTACAAAGCCAAGGTAACCAAAGCCAATCCAGTTCTTATATGGGACTTCAGAAACCGAGGACTTTTGAGTTCCGAAACGTCTCCCCATTTAATTAAAACCAAAAAATAGAGAAGCACTTTTTCAACGCGTAATAAAAACCCCAGTTTAGTATTAAGAAGGTATCAAACCGATTCCCTAGTTACTGTGGAATCGAAAATTCGTTTGTTGGTCTAAAATTTTCACCCGATTCAGATTACCCAAAAATTTACTTTAAAATTAAAAAAAACTAACGGGTCATCCTCGCTCAATCCAATTTGCAATTGGTAATGCTTCTGCAAAACAGAATCGGTAAAGTACGGATTCTTGGCAAAATGGAATGAAAGAGTAAATCCCTTAAAAATAAAAGATAATAAAAATTTCTTTAAGAATAAACCGGAGTATTCTCATGCGATTCACTCGTTATATCAATCAAATATTGAAGTATTGGTTGATCACATTCCTAAAATTTGAGCGAAATAGTTGAGAATTTTTGAGGTTTTGGGGCTCCAATATATGCCTTGTTTTATACAGGACCCCTCTTTGAATAGGCAAGAAAGTCGGGCCAAGCTTGCTACGAAAAAAATTATTGTTTCGGTTAACCCGACTCATCATAGGTTGGGTTAACCGAATCTAGTTGAACAACTACACCCAAAAACAGTAAAGCCGAGGAGCAAATAAAAGGGAGCCCGTTATTTCCTATAAATTCCCCAAAAATATTCCAAACCTTAATCATATCAGCCGTATGAGTAACACTATTCAAAACATTATACCAAAAAGAAGGAACTCCCTTAGAAGGTTCACCTCCTTCAACTGGCGCATCTTGTTCAATTTTCTTAAATTGAGAAAACTTTATTTAACCAATTGCTGATTAAAACAACCTCCAACGTCTCCTGAGTAACTCCATGCAAAAGCGGCGTATCGGCTTCTTCATCAGTAGGTTCATGCTCTCCAGCAACAATAGCACGTCTCTTTGCGTTGACAGCATCAAAAAGAGGTTGAAATTGCTTAAAAATTTGAAAAAAATAAATTTAGTATGACGATGAACTTGTTCCTATCATGGCAAAAATAGGCTGACCCATAAAAACTGGGACTGAAGCATAATTTCAGTGATTTGACTCTGTCAAGGAGCTTTTTCGGATGGCATATTGTTTATTAGAAAAGGATAAACATTCTAACTCCAGAGAGGGGAATTCCCTTTTCCTCTCGATAGAACCGAATCTGCCCAACCCTCTAATTGTAAGTTCGATATCAGAACCGAAAACTTCGAACCAATTCAATAACTTGGCTCCCCAACAATACTAGGTGAAAATCCGAGTAAAACTCCAAACCTTTTCAAGCTCATAAACCTTCTGATAGAATTGAGTCTCAACTTGTAAAGATTCCAACTGAAGCTTTTTCAGAGCACGCACACGTTTGATTACTGGACGAGATAACTTTAAAAAAATAAAATAATTTAAGGCTTTAAAACTTCAAAAAAACCTCAGACAAATGAGGACTAAAAGCCGTTTCATCCTCGGCCAAATCATAATCGTTAGCCTTCAAAATATCCATCAAATTTTGATTTTTATTATTCATTTTTATTTAAATTTTCAAGACAAAAAAAGAAGCTCTCTAAAATTCTTCTAAAAATTATTTGATAAAAAGACAACAAACGCGACAAATATTTAAGCGAAAATTGAGTGTAAATTCTATTTTGAAATTAAATTCTCTTTTAATGTTGGAAAGAAAGAGAAAAATAAAAATAGAAAACGCGTAAATAATTCTTAAATGATCAAAGATTAAATATTGCGAAAAACATTATGCCAATAACGATTAAATTTTAAGCGACATTTAGACAAGAGGCAATTGGTCTAAAAGACATTTCGCCATTAAGACAATTGGTCTAAAAGACAATTGGACATACTACAATTAGTCTAATGACAATTGGTCTAATAGACATTTGGACACATGGACTATACAGAAAATATTAATGGATTTTCCTTATGAGAAAGTGCCAATAAGCAGTTTAGATCCTACTAAATCAGTCAGACTAAAAATATTTTGTTGACTGCCACGATAGAAGTTTGCCTATGATTACCAACTGTCAAACTGGGATGAAGGTTCGGTTATCCTACAAGAATTTTATGATAGTTGGCTGACACGGTCGAGGAGCTCTCCCCCTGGATTCGATATCAATTTCGAATAAATAATATATCATTTGAAAGCACTGAAATCTTTTGCTAAAGGAAGGGATATGGTTCTGTTACCCTAAAAGAAGTTGATTTTATAAAAGGGTAAGCTTAAAGGATCTCTTCGAGAAAGACTAATCTCTTCGTGAAGACTAGTAAATCAAATTCTTAAAAATAATTTCTTTCCCCTCCCCTCTCAATATTTTCTTAAATAAAACATGAATAGGATTGTCTACCGACTTGTGTCGGTTATATCCACCTAATATTTGAGGGAATGACCTCGCGCAAGGAAAAGATTTTTTTAGTCTTTCATTTTAAAATATTAAAAATATTAAAATGTCCTCATCCTTTAAAAATAAAATTTAGAAAAAAAATTTATTTTTTATCCATTTTGCGTAGGCATCTTGTCAGCGACCTCATTAACCTTTGATTAAAAAAAGTCGCGACTTCTTCCTACGCAGAATGGGGGAAAATTTGTAAAAATAAATGAAAAATGTTTTTTTTCCCTATTTATATTCCATGGAATTCCCTCCTCCATTTTGGATTATTTTTATAACCTTACGTTGTTTGACTGGGAAATTTGCTTTAGAGAAGGGTAAGATCAAAAGAAAGGTAAGATCAAAAGGTTTTTAAATTTTGAACGTGAATGATACTGTAAATGGAAAATTATTGAGAGGTTTAGGACTGTTTGTTGGAAGACTCCGGCTTGTGTATGTCAGAGGGACTCTCCTACCTCTTTCAGAAAAAAATCTCCTAGTAATTATCTAGTAACAGTCAAACCTCGGTTGCACCTTATAGTACGTCTTCGAAGTTTCCTCCCAGCCTAACCGTCTTAGGATGTCATAGAAGGGTGGGATGATCAAATCGGTTAAAACCCTTCCCTCGTAGAGCTCTTAGGTTCAAGTTCCATCAAATCCTTTGCTTGCGTTTTTGAACTGATTGCTACTGGGTGGGGGTTCCTAGGCTATACCTTCAGTTCTTACATACACATTTTTCATCCTCGAGGGTTACATACCAGAGGTGGGACAGAATTCCGATTTCCGACGTTTGTTCCTTTCGATTTCCGAAAAAAATGTTTGATTTCCGATTTCCGAGTTCCGACTTTTGAGACAGTTCCGATTTCCGACACCTCTGACTGTTCCACCGACCTCTGTTTTTTTCCCCCACCCGAGATCTGACTGTACTTAAAAATTTTTTAAACAACAATTACAAATTTTATTTAATTTTTTCAAAAAATAATCTTTTCCACAACACACATTTTCCAGACAGCTCTCAATTTTTTTTTCGTCATAAAAATTTTTTTCCAACATTTATTTACCTTAAAAATAAGTTTTAATAATAACACAATTCTCTCTCTTTTCCATTCTTTATTTTTTTCTTTGTTTGTTGGATTCGTCAAAAATGTCAGGAGTGCTTTTAAAATTGCATGTAAAAAAGGAAAAATATATATTTATATTAAAATTTGTACAAGACTAAAAAAATTTATTTTTAATGTTTAAAAAGGAAAAAACGATTTGTAGGACTTAATATCGGGTGGATTCCGCAGCTTTCGGAGTATTTTTTGGTGTTATTAGATCAACTCCACAGGATTTTAGGGACTTAAATTTGGAAATTAAGGAGCTAGATGGTGTAAAGCAAATAGATATTTAATCCCTAAGGCTGTGCAGTATTCTACTGAAGATGCTGGTTCGCTCCCGGCCGCCGATTAACCTTTTGCACTAGCTGAAGGAGAGAAATAGCCATAGCCCAGCTACTTTACTATGGATTTGTTGGTTGTTGTGCTCGAATCTTGTGCTTCGGGATAGTTCTGTAGAAGCTAGATTTTACTGTCTCCTGCTTTGTAAATCATACGACATGCTTCATTGGAACGAGGCAGTACAGGCAAAAACTGAGCTTATACTCAGTACGAGGCCAAAATACAAGGGTGGCCTGGTCAAAGCATGGGATTAAACAAAATAAAAAATTTAGTAGCCTCCTCGGAGCATGTTGAAGTATTATATTAGGAAGCAGACTTCACCAAATACCAGCAAACTTCACCAACTACCAACAGGCATCGAACCCTAGTCCCTTTTAAGTGCAAATCGGGGATGTTATCCACTACACCACACAACTTTCACCCCCTATAAAAGCCCTCTATTAACCCTCCCAAAAATGCAAACTCGTCTCTTGCTGACTTTATTTTGTAAGTTTATTTATCATTTTATCACTCCCCAATCATTTTTCATTTTAAAGGTTGTCTGTCTGTTAATCATGTGCTTTTGTCGCCGTAAAGCAAAGAAAGCTGAGACTTGTCCAACAAAAGAAAGAGTTAAATCTCCACATTCTCCAAAAAGCGTGCCGGACGACAAAAAGAAGAGATCGCCTTCAACAACGCCTGCTAGAATAATAAAAAGAAGTTTGTCTCCCCCACCCCCTCCAAAACAACAAAAGAAAGAGCAACAACAAAAGAAGCCTATAGACAAAAGAAAAAACAAACAAAAGAAGAAGAAAGTCAAGAATAACCAACAACAACAACAACAAAAGCCTGTGGAGACGGCAAGAACTTTGAGATCATCAACTCCGACCTCTGACAGTCTGTTATTGAGCAAGAAAGTTAGCGAAGATCATTTTGAACATGTTTCGTTTAAAGGAAAATGAGGGAGAGGGGATAATATAAAAGAGAGATTTTTAAATGTGTAAATTGTAATTGTGATTTTTGTAGGGGTTATTTTTGTTGGTTGTGAATTGTTTTGTTAAATTTTTTTTGAAAAATAAAAATGTTCTCTGTTACTCTTTATTAGCAAGCAAATTTATGATGTTTAAAAGCCAATTTCAGCGTCTGTCTATTTGAATGACCCTTGTCTCTCAATTCCACCTTAGCACTTTTTATAGGGTACCATCCATTTCTCTTCAGAAATGGGATAGTTTGAGAATTTTGTAAAGACCTAGGCTTTCTTCAAGTAATTAGTTTTGGTTTATCCGAGTCTTTCGATCCCAGTCTCTCGAGTCTCTCGATCCCAGTCTCGATATCCCTATCTCTCAATTGTTTATTAGCAAGCAAATTTAAGATGATTTAAAAGCCAGTCTCATCCTTTGTCTAGTTGGAGGGATACTTGCTTAGATAATCCTCGATATCCTTCGTCTGCTCTATCCCTGATTCCACCCTTCCTTGCACGTTACGAGGCGTCTTTAGTTGAAAGCCAGTTTCGGTCTCTGTCTAGTTGGAGGGATATTTGCCCGGTTAATCCTCGTTATCCTTTGTTTACCCCTCCCCCACGTTTGCACTTTTTATTGGTTGTCATCCATTTTTCTTCAGGGATGGAACAGTTTGAAATTTTTTTAAAGATCTAGGCTTTCTTCAATTGACTAGTTTTGGCCTAGTCAAGTCGCTCGTTTGTTAACCCAGCTCATATCGAATTTTGTTCCTTGGAGTAGAACTCGAAAAGACATACTCCATAGAGATGCATGGAGAATCTCATAGACACTTCGATTTAACAAAAGGACCAACTAGTTATATGTAGTTTCTCAAATAGAAAAATCCTAACGGAATTTAACGTCAAATTGAATCCCTAGAAAAAAATTTTTTGAAAAATTTTTTTATTGAAATTTTTTTGGAAATTTTTTGCATCAAAATTTTACTTGAAATTTACATTTATTTATTGTTTGTTTTGTAATTTATACTTTATTTATTTTTTTAAAAATTCTAATGTTGCGGCATGTCTTCCTTCTTCTTCTGTTTTTACTTTTAACCTGACTACTTGCCTTTCCATTTATTTTCCTCTTCTATTCCCACACCTATCCTTTTTTTTTAAAAAATTTCCATTTTTGGGAGATTCACCTAAAAATACTTTTTGCCGGCACTAAAAGGGAAAAGCTTTCTTTTTAAATTTTTAAATGGCATTTTAAAAAATATTTTTTTTAATGAAATGAAGGAAAATTGAAACAAGAAAATGTCAACTTTTTTTGTTTTAAAAAAATTTTTTTGGGCAGAAAAAAATTTTTTTTAGTAAAAAAGGAAATGTAGAAAGGAAATAAAGTATTATTTTTATTTTTTAATGGATATTTTATTTTTTTTTATTACTTAATTAAAGGGAAGCTTTTTTGTTCTTTAATTTAATTTTCTACATAAGTATAGGAAATCCTCGCTAAGAGGGCTCTTAAATCCGTACCTTTTAATGAGGTGTTTATTAAATAGAGGGTATTTAAGATACTCTCAGGTATAGGATACTCTTACCCCCTCAAAATTTGAAGCTTATAACGAGATTTATTAAATAGAGGGTATCGCTTGGACGTTAAAGAAAGCCTCGTTATAAGAAAGCTCTTAAATCCGTACCTTTTAATGAGGTGTTTATTAAATAGAGGGTATTTAAGAAACCTCATTATATATAAACCTCTTAGGTCCGAAAATTCGAACCTTATAACGAGATTTATTAAATAGAGGGTATCGCTTGGGCTTTAAAGAAATCCTCGTTATAGGAACCCGGGGGCTTAAATATTCGTACATTGTAATGAGGTGCTTACCTTTTAATTTAATTCTTCGAATGCGTTCGAACTTCATTATAAGATCCCCTGGGCTGAAAAATAGTCTCTTATAGTGGGATTTCTATTAAATAGAGAGTTTCGCTTAAGCTAAATATTCCCCACCCAGTGCTGACCTAACAATAAGTTTAAAAACCGTATCTTAGGCTTAGTGTATCTAGTCGGTTGGAGAGGTCCGACAGTGTTTTATCTTTAAGTTGAAGTCTGTTCTAACCTTTAAACCTCAAAAAAATATTTTTTTAAATATTCCAAATCCGTGGGAATTTAAAAATGTGTTGAAGTTGCTTCTAGTATTTTTTAAATTGTGAGGGTGGAGGATAAGTAAAAAGAGACTAAAGAATAAAAAATCTTATTCTTCTATCGACTAAAAATCTCTCAAAATTTTTTCAAAATTTCTCACAATTAAATTACGGCAAAATTGTTTCTCTAAATACTTTGTGGACTACTTATTATTCTAAAATAACGTTTATTTTATTTAAAATTCAGTCCAATTCATTAAGGAAAAATTCGAGATATTACCGAAAATATGGGTCTATTCCCCCCGAAAATAAGGATCTATCCCCTCCTTATATGACACCTCCCAATACTAGGTACATCTCTATTTAAGAGACGTTAAAAGTTGGTTGACTACTGAGTAAGGGAGCAGCTGCCTAAATACTCCATATTTAGGACACACCTCTTACACCTCACTATGAGATACACATCTATTTAAGAGATGTGTATTGGAAATCCATTGGGAAGAAGAACTGCTTGAACGATACCTTCTACATATTTAATAAACACCTCATTATAACAGACAAATCTTTGTTCTTAAACTCTTTGTTGTACATACATACATATAAGGAGGTTTTCTCTTCATTTGCTCTCTAAAATTATTTTCGTTTTTTTTATTTAATCTTTATTTTCTCGGTTAAAATTGCCAAAAAATTGGGCACAATAAATAAACGAATAAAAAAAACTAAAAATAAACAAAATTACTAAAAAACATAAATTTTTTCAACTATTTTTGTTACTTTATTTTATTCAAAAAATTTTTTTTTGGTTTGTTTTTTGCACAATAAAAAAATTTTTTTGTTACGAAAAACATTTTTATTTTTTATTATTTTTTATTCCCATTTAAAAATAAAATTTTTAATTTTTGTATAAAATTCCCATAAGTTCTATTTTTAATAATAAATACGTGCATATGTGATTTTTAGCCATATGGTGAAATAATGAAAATAAAAATAAATTTTTGAAGAATTTTATGATTTATTGAATAACTAGAATGACTAAAAATCCTTTCTTTTAAAACAAATAGATTTCGTCCTGATGCACCTCTTGCAGATTTCATCTAGGGGCTATATACCTAACCTTTTCGATTCACTCTAACGTCCCTAGCAGGGGCAGGTTGATTTTTCCAAAAATTTATTTTCTCCGGTCTGGTCCGAAAGATCAAGTCGGGCATCGAATTTTGCCCTCAAAAAGGACCCGGCCGGGCAGTCCGAAGAAAAATGACTTGAACGTCGTACAAACTCGAAAACCCTCCACCCTAGTCCCTAGTATCGTTTAATACAGCCTTCCGAGTAATTTTTCCCTAAAATTTATTTTCAATAACTGGGAGATTTTTTCAGTTACAATTTCTAAGTTGTCTTTCTTAAACACATTTTTAAGCACCAAATGGATATTTAAAAATGAGATTTTTGACTCTTTAAAAATTTAAAATTTAACAAATTTTCCAAAAAAACTTCCTTTTCTTTAAAAAATAACCCCGACTTTATTCTTTTTTTAAAATAAGGTGTCAAAAATTAATAAACATTTAAAGGAAAAAATTCTTTTTGTCTTTCAAAAGTTTTCTTTTTTTTTCTTGATATCCCCCCTCCCCCCTTCCCCCCCTTTTCCGTCTTTAAATTATTTAAATAAACGAGAAGAATATTTAAATATTAGCACAAATGTGTAAATATTATTATTTTCCCCCTTTTTTCCCAAACATTTAAAATATTTTTTTATTTCAAAATTATGTATTCTTCCCGATATACTTTTATTCTTCTAATCTTTTTAATTTTAAAAATTTTATTTTTTAAAATTTTTAAAAGGGGCGACATTTGCGAACATCCGACATTTGCGGACAGCCTATAAAATCTTAGGCGAACACCCTATAGATTTTCTATTGCTGTTGATAGTTACTGTACTTCCAAAAGGACTGTAATTTTAAGGCGTGGTACTAGACAGAACCAAATGACGGGACAGAACCAAATGACGGGACAGAACCAAATGACCGTTTGTTCCAATTTCCAATAGGTTTTAGCTTTGTTCGCAAATGTCGGTTCATAAATGTCGTGATGATTCGTTTAATGACAAGGACCTCGCTTATGCCCTCACTATTGTGTACACTCTTTTTAATGTACGTTTTTTAAACATGGGTCATTTGTGGGGGGGGGGGGGTGCCTAAGCAATACCCCCACCTTAGTGTCCCTCTCGTTCTAGTGTACCTTCTATTTTTATGAATTTTTCAAAGCATAAGAGCGGTCCGATAAGAAGATTCAGAAAAAAAGCTTCAAAAAAATTTTTTTTTTATTTGTAAATATTTTTTTTAAATTTAATTATCATTAAAAAAATATTTTTTACAAAGAAAAAAGACGCAAAATATTTATTTAAAAAAATTTTTTTTCCTTAATTATAAACTATAAAACATTAAATTAAAAATATTTTTTATAAAAATTTTTTTTCAAAAATTTTTTTTTTCAAAAATTTTGTTAAAATTTATTAGCAACTTATAATTATTTTGACTTGTTTGCTTCACATATTTTTTACTTCCCCCGCCAGTCTCTAAAAAAATGTTTTTTGTTATTTAATAAAATATTAATTCCAATAAGCGATATTGCGCACACAAACTTGATAACAGGCAATTACCCCCTATTTTTTAGTAAAACAATAATATTTTGATTTAATGTTTGGAAGCAAAGTTTTAAATTTTTTAAAATTACCGTACGATAAAATTAAATATTTGTGTCTTCTTTTACTAAAAATGTACATAATGGTCAGAGCTATTTTAAGAGTTTCTAGTTTACCTAAGAGAAATAGGGTGGAATTGAGAAAGAAAGCAGTCTAATCTTGTTATAACTTACACTTCAGGGATC